TGGATTGTTTCCATTTGATCGACTTTTACACCTTCCGCGATACTGGCGATCTTCTGAAGCGGGGAGACGAATCGTGTTGTTGTCCGGATTTTCTTCCAAGCTAAGGGATGTGTCCCAGGCAATGTCTGAATGTTGATCCATAGTCTGGCTGCCGCCCGGGTGTGTCGTTCTTGTATGGAGAGAATGCTCGCTTCGGCTTCTGCTACAGCCGTAGCCACGGTCCGAAAGGCTCCTATGATTGCTAGGGCGCCAATCTTCTGAGCCCTGTTCAGCCAGCTTAGCGCCTTTCCCCTACACGCATGCATCCAGACGCTGACCGCGTAGTCCATGACGGGAGCCACTGTCGCTACAAACAATTGTCTTGCTGTTCGTGGTGAGAGCATCTTCAGCCTCCTCAGGGCTAGAACGGCTGTGAGGTTCTTGGTTGCCGTCTTGGCAATGTGTTTCTTATAGCGGAGTTCGCAGTCCATTGTTACCCCCAGGATCTTTGCGCTCTTCTTTGGCTTGATTGTGTCCCCTCTGACTATGAACGGCGTTTCGGAGGATCGCTCTCTGTTCCTTGTGAAGTGTACGATGGCCGTCTTTTCGCTCTCGAACTGGGCGCCGCTTCGTCTTTCCCAATCCAGGGACCTGTCTATGATGGCTTGGATGCCTGAGCGGTTCGCCTCCGCTGTTGGGCCTACAACCCAGGCCGTGTAGTCGTCAACAAAAGCGATTGAGCCTCCGTTCGTTGATTTTGTGCTGCACCAGGTCTGCGTTAAAGAAGAGGAAGAGTATCGGGGACAGCGGTGATCCTTGTGGCAAACCCGCCTGGGGCAGCTCTTGCCGTTCCGACGTGAACCCGTTTACCACAATGGTCGCCGTGCGCTTAGAGCAGAAGGCATCAATCCACCTAACCAGGGATTCTGGTACACCTCTTGCCTTGAGCCTCTGCAGTAGCCTGTCCTTGAAGACCCCATTGTATGCACCCTTCACATCGAAGCTGACCAGGCTGAGCACTTTCCTAGCCCTCCATGCTTTGTAGATTTGTTCTTGGGAACGGCTAGATCGCACACGGCCACGACTATATAGCACGGCGCTATCCCTGATTCGGCAGGGCTCCCGCGGTGCCCGTGCAGTAGTACAATCGTGAACTTCCTGACAGCTGCCAAGTGGAGGCATAGAAGCTGCGTCGGCTTGATAAATCCGTTCAATTGAAGTCAACGCAAATAACATGAGCTCGTTCCCATTGCTTTTGTGATATTCTTGAAGGTACTGACTATGAACTACACATTTACGGCTTAGCAGTGTGCTCCATGCAGCTGCTTGCGATTGTCAGCTACTGCGGGTTAGCAGCATCCTGGCGGTAACAGGTTGTGGATGGAAGTTGAAGCGGGAAGTTGGGGCAGCAGCCGGCTGGCTGCTGTAGTGTGCTTTGGGCAGACGCCGGCCTGTGGCCCGCTTGGCAGCTGCCAGGAAACTCACGATTGTACTGCTGCACGGGCACCGGGGGAACCCTGCCGAATCAGAGATAGCGCCGTGCTATATAGCCGTGGCCTTTTCTTTTTTCTCTTTCTCTTCTTTTACAAAGGGGAGGGCACTTACCGTGCCTTTCTGTGTACTGTCGACAAGTACGCTGGGCCCCTGGGACTGGGCATGTGTCGTATGGTCCGTTTCATACGTGGTAATGTTGATAAAGCCCAGACAATGTCGCCAACATACGAGGCTTCGGCCACGATCCCGGCAGTTCCCAGCCCAACGATAACGACGGAAAGTGTACCAAAGAATCGGACGTGGGATTGGAGGTGATAGCCCTGGAGGTAACTGACCGAGTCTATCGTCAAAGCCTCGGTGGCGTAGTACAGCTCCGTGGAAACCTCGAAGACGATGGGGTCGTACCCCGTCGGCCAGCCGACGCTCGGAATCAGGTACGCGAGGATATCCGTCACCGATACGTTGGTCTCGATACCGAGACTCGCCACGGCCGGCTTGAATTTACCGTCGAACAGGATCAACGCCTTCAACTCCAGGCCGTCTGGCGAGGGCTTCCCGTTGTGAAGTGGAAAGGCGGAGAGGAGACATGGGAGCCTTACGAGAATGTGGCCGAGACGGAGGCACTGGACGGTATGAGCGCCTTCATGGCCAAGTTAGTGCAGATTTTGTTTGAGATTTAACTGTGGCTGGGTGATGCCCCTGATCCCGTGTTTATCTTCTATTCCTTTTCGTCTCATATGATCTCTATAGCTTGGACAGGATCAGGATTCTACGGGTGGTCGGGCTTATCACAGAACACCAGTGACCGGCTTATTAGAACCGTACCAATGCCCACTCGCTCGCCGGTTCTTCCGATATATTGTTATGAAACGTGATGAAATGTAGCTACACAAGCTGTCTCCGGTCGGTGAAGGGATGGATATGTCGAGGTGTGGCTTGAATAAGTCTCAGTCGCAACAGAATGTGTTCCACTGTCTCACTCGCAAGACCCCTCTCCAAATCAGCACTCCTGCTGGCAAGGAAAGTGACAAATCCGGGGCCCCGCAACAAATCCCGAAATTCCTGTGGACGCCTATACGGTGGGTCGCAAGGCAAGGGACGAAGGATTCGTTGTGAAGCCAAAGGTTCACGACAATGCAAGCAGTGTCTCGATGGCACGGGTGATACCAACCTGTGATTGCTTGGTGAGGAGGCCAGAAGCTATCTGAGAAGGTGGAAGAAGGGGATCTTTAATACAGCTTTCTTCGTCGTACTCGCGTACCTGGCTCTGTGTGCTCTGTCCAAGATCGAACTGAGCACTTCCTCCTGGCTAGTCCCTGAGCTCCAGAACGGGCCGCGTCCGTCCCATGTTCGTGGCCGTTGGTGATATAATATTGACATCATGTCGATAAGGAAAACAGGTTGGGGGCAGTTTTGGCCTACCGGAGTCCTCGCGATCTAGAAAACCCCAATGCTTGACGCACCAAATTCCCGCACATGACCGCGAACTCTCATACCTTTTTGACAGCGAGCCGAAATCACTCTGCTTCTCGACTTGGGGCGATGGAAGATGTGAGCGGTGCCGTCAAGGCATCCGAAATGGTTGTGGCGGCCACACCTTCTGACCACCCCTATCCAGCCAGTCGGTTAAGTAACCTCGGAGTCTGGCTCGGCAGGCGATATGAGCGGATTGGATCAGTGGACGATCTCAACCGTGCTGTCGATGTTGCTAGCATGGCAGTAGAGGTTACACCTTCTGACCACCCTGATCGAGCTGGTCGGTTGAGTGGTCTTGGAAACCTGTTCGGTAGGCGATTTGAGCAGACTAGATCAATGGACGACCTCAACCGAGCTATCGAGATTACTAGTATGGCAGTGGAGGCTACACCTCTTAACCACCCTGATCGAGCTGGCAGGATGAGTGGTCTCGCAAACCCATTTGCCACCCGGTTTAAGTGGACTAGAGCGATGGAAGACCTCAGCCATGCCGTCGAGATTGCTGAAATGGCGGTGGCGGCCACGCCTTTTGATCACCCTGATTGAGCTGGCAGGATGAGTTGTCTTGGAAACCTCCTCGGTACGCGATTTGAGCGGACTGGAGCGGTGGAAGATCTCGACCGTGCCGTCGAGGTTGCTGAAATGGCTGTGGAGGCCACAATTTCTGGCCATCCTGATCGAGCTGCTATGTTGAACTCTCTCGAAAATCTGCGCGGCTGGCGATTGAATCGGATTGAGAACACGGCCAGCGACATTGACGAAATTACATCCGCCACATCAATTATGGACGATGGCTTCTCCCATAAATACGAACCCTCCCATTCCTCTGGCACGACAGTCGAAAACGAAGCTGAACAAATAGTGCCCATCTCCATGTATCAACGGGAAGCTATCCCACATCACAGCAAAGCACATGGAAATAAATCGCTGCACCGTGTGTCAGATTGGATAGATGAACTTCTACCGTGGCCCGCTCTTAGCCCCACGCCCGGAGGTATAGGAGTAGTCCTTGGAAGACAACCTGAAAAACTGGAGCTGGCCCGACGAAAGACGGCGATCTGGCCTGATTTGGACGCGCTGGAGGAGTTTCAACGAAGTCCCTCACTGCCCGTACCTAAAAGCAACAATGAAAACGACTGTGGGCCATCGCATCCTTTATGGCCAATTCCACAACATCCTGTTCTTATCACAGCGGCTCATGGCCCCGCAGAGCAAGCACTGCCGGTAGAGCGAAAGGCAGTAGCGGCGCCGGGCTCAAACGTGGAGAAGATCGAACCAGGGCACCATAACCCGCACATAATGGTGACGAAGGGCAGCAACGACCTCTACTGCCAATTCCAAGGGGCTTTATAGACAGACTTGACGATGGACACTTTCGAGTCAAGACAAGAAATGTGAGTCCACCAGAGATACATGACTGGATCACTAGGCTAACGGCGTAAAGCGATGCAATGACATCTTCGAGGACATCATTGCAACCAAGAAGCTTGAAGAGGCTCAGGTTTTTTTCAGAAACGTCGGTCGCTATGATAGATTGAGAGGTCCGATACGTAAACTCACAATAGAATGATGGACCTCTAGGTCTGTGCAGCTAGCTAGCTAGTTCGTAGGAAGAACAATCTAGGGACTCTAAGGTCCCTGGGCACCTCGCCTGCAGCCGGCGATCGAAGCTGACCGAGAGAAGGCGACCGAGATGGCCAACGGAGCCATAGGCATTGTGATTGTAACAAGCTCATCCGTGAAGAAAGGCATTGTCGGTGTTGGTGGCATCGCACGAGACACTCTCTTCAACAGGACCAGCGGGCCCGTGACAAGATTTGCTGTAACCCTTGGCACGAGGGAGGAGCAGAACCCATACACAGCAGAACTAGCAGCCATCGCAATGGCCTTGGAGAGGATTCCGGCCAACGCCTGCCATAGGCACATCACCATCGTCACCAGGAACCAGTCAGCGCTAGCAGCAATTAGGCAACCGCGACAACAGTCTGGCCAAGGTACTATACGGCAAATTTACGAGTTGGCTAGACTGCACCAAGAAAGAGGGAACTCGGTCGATTTCCTGTGGATCCCAGCGGAAGCCAACTTTACTTTGGGCCTAGACGACATGACCCCCAAACCGGACACTACCCCAAACCGAACACGATCGACGTCCACCACGCCTGGGCTTCAACAAGCTCCTGTCCTGCCACAACCATATAAACTATACTAAATCTTGGTTTTCTACATCTCCTCAGCCTGCCGAAGACGATCCAGACCATGGATGATCATTTCCTGCGCTTGCTCAACGACTGGCTCTGGGTTATTCTGCCTGCCTCCCTTCCTCCGCTTGGGGGGTCTCTCACTTGCTTCCTGAGCTGCAGTTATATCCTCAACACGCGCAAACGAGTCGTTGGCATTCTCTTTGACTCTAGTCTTCGTGCGTGGTTTTTGAGCTTCTAGATCCCTGCGTGCGGTTTGCAAAGCCTCCCTCAAAGCGGCGATCTCCGCGTTCTTCGTATCCAACACATGTCCAACCTTGGCAACAAGCGCTCTTACGCTGCGTTTGGTTGGCGAGACGTGCTGCCTGGCTAAGTCGACGGCCCTCCGGATATCCTGGCCCTGTTGGGGAATCCGGATAATAGAGTTCTCCGCGTGTGGCTGCGGTTTTGTAGGCGTAGACGGCTGCTCGGGGGACCTCGTCTCTTCGACTATTGCTTCTGAATCATCTAGAATTTTTGACGCGTCGGACAGCGTCGTTCTCGGGATGTTCCATCGCCTCGATGCTGCGCGTAGGGAAACACCATCCTGGACATCTTGAAGCGCTGATTAAATGCGCTGCTCTCTGAGGTTCGCCATGATCTAGGTCTGAACTGGTTTGAAGAAGAATTGGGTGAGAAAGATGGTGTGGGAGATGGTGTGTTTGGGTGAGTGATGACCATCGGCATGTCCGGTTGCAGGGGTTGTCCGGTTGGTGGGTCACGTCGTCTACAATACTGTACTTGGCCTTGGTGTTCCGTATAAGTGCGAACTAATCGGTAATGATCTTGGATCATCGTACTTGGCCCTGTGGTAGTCGTATCTACGTGTATGATGCGTCTGGAGCTCTGGCTGACGTTTCACGAAATTATATGCCTAGAGCTTGCCGATAGGGAGCGCGTTGCGTTCGCGTAGTAGTTAGTTGGTCATAGCTTCCACATCACGCAATTCCGGTGGAAAAGCTCGTGTATATAGCTCAATGATGTATTGAACAGTAGCTCTCTCTTTGGAGTCGGTGAGCCGGCGCGATTTGGGCGTGGTATCACATTGTGCAGGTCGGCCAGCGAGTTGTCGGTCAAGGTCATCCGGTTGACATTGTAGATCTTAGCTGCGGCCGAAACCTTTAGGTTCTTATCGTCTTGAAAAGCTTGGAGGGCTAAATCCACCTGCCTTCATCCAAAGTGGCGGGCATGTTGAATGGTAGAAAAAAGTTGGTGTTGAGGAGAGAGGCGGCGCGTCACGTAGGAAATCGCACACTCGCTTTTAATGCACACTCGCCTAAGAGGTACGTTCGGCCGTAGAGGACAGGCACACTGGGAGTAGCTGCATCCGGGAATGTGCGGGATAGCTAGACGGTGGCGTCGACGGTCAGGTTACGCTGCTGGGAGGCCACCCTTATTGACGAACGATTAAGTCGAGGGACGACGATCGATTGGGGGGTGGGGGTCAGGTCGATATCGGGTGCACGAGGTTGGCAGACGACGCCGATAGGTATGAGAGGCAGTGAATCCCAGGAGGGCCCATTGTGAGACGTGTGACAGACGCATGCTTAAGAGGCGTGGGGACAGTTGAAAATGTCCTCTCCGGGAATACTCGAGCACCCGGTCTATAGGTGATCACTTCTGTTGGAGTCCTCAGCTAGCCCGGGTCCCGGTTGCGGTCGATGGCTTTATATGCTATATGGATTGGACCAGCACTTTTCAAGGCAGAGTGTCTGATCTGGTCCTCGCCCGGCGCCGGAACGTCACTCCAGAAGGTTCAGATGCCACTGACAACTGTAGTCCAATACATCGAGCCAGTGGCTGATGACCACCCGAAAACGTGCTGTCAGCGTGGATCACCATTCCAACAAGCACGTCGCGGACGAACCAAGCCGACGACGAACATACACGGAGCGAGCCAGACAGTGCCAGCACCTCCAAGTCAGCGGCAGCAGTAACAGCTGATCTTGCACCCACTAAGCTCATGTCAAGGACCTCGAAGAAACAGCTTCTTCGCCCGTCATTACTTAGCCTAGTGAACTTTCAGTTCCAAACCAACACACTGCACCCATCACCATTAGCCTGAGCACAAGTAGCACTACCGCTCCTCCAAAGCCCTCTCCCGCGCCCCTGTAACCAACTCAAACCCGCCCGGATCCAACTGCAGCGTATGCCTCCCGCCCGTCAAGCTCCTCAATCTATCATCATACTTCATCATCTCCTTAAGCGGCGCCTTCCCCACAATTGTCAGCATCCTCACCACCGCCTTCTTGTTCCCCCTCAGACTCTGCACCGACTCGTACGGGTCCGGCGGCACATAGACCTTGGACACGTCAATCATGTCTCTCCGAGGCCGCTGCTGCTGCCGCTCACCCTCGCCGTCCGCTGCCAGGCCCTCCTCGTCCTCCTCGGGCTTGCGCACCTCGAGCACATGCCCGCCGCGGGCGCTGGCCAGGTCGTGCTGGATCGCCTGGCCAGCTTCCTCGGGGCAGTGGATCTGTACGTGGGTGACCGGCTCGAGGATGCCGATCTGGCCGTTTTCGTGGGCTTCCTTGAGCGCGGTGCGGACAGCGAATAGTGCAGCGTTTGTGATGTGTCCGCCGGTGGTGGCGACCCCGAAGAAGTCGGTGGCCGGGTCGAAGGTGATGTGCACGTGGCAGTGGCGGACCGGCGCGCTGCGGCGGGGCCCGCGGGCGAGGCCGGCGATGGCGCCGTTGAAGAGCTGCTGGCGGACCTGCTCGGGGTCGAAGGGGAGGGTTGTGGTGTCGTCGTTGAGGGGAAGGGGGATGGCGATGTGGATGATGTTACCATTGCGCTCAATGGCGGATTCATGCAGCGTCCCGTGATGGTGGGCTTCAAGTGGTTCAATCTTGACTGTACAGGCTGCTTTGCCTGCTTTGTCGCGGATGGAGCGGTCGTATACGGAGCGGTGCAGGCTGGTCGGGGCATGCAGGCATTCCGAGTACTCGACCTTGATGTCGCCCCACAGGGCCGATTCGCGGTCGATCTTGTAGTGCGTCAGGAGGCGGTCCTGGGCGATCTCGAGATGCAGCAAACCCATGCCAGACAGGATCAGCTGGCCCGTCTTCTCGTCCTTGGTCCACCTGATGCTGGGATCCTCTCGCGAGAGCCTGTTGAGGGCCTCTTCGAGCTTGTCGTTGGCCGTGCGGGTGTACGGCTCAATGGCGATGAAGGCGACCGCCGGGGGCGTCTCGGGCGCCTTGATGCGGAGGTTTCTGAACATCTCAGGGGCGACACTGCCCTGACGGCCAGGAAAGGTGATCAGGGTGTCTCCGGTGCGGGCGGAGCCGAGACCGGTCATTGCGCCGATGTGCCCCATGGCGAGGTGCTGGATCTCGTGGTGATCTTTGGCCGACACGTGCAGAATATGCAGCGGCTTCTCAAAGGTGCGGACGTTGCTGTTCCACATGTGGCTGCTCCGGCTGAAGGCGCCGTGATAGACACGTACCCAGCTCATCATGCCTCGGCGCGGATCATCAACGACCTTGAAGACGTGTCCGAGACCTACAATTAGGGGTTCATGGTGGTGCCCCTTTTTCTTGGCCGACTGGTCGATAAGCTGCGGCAGAGTGTGAGCCTTGGCGCCGGTAATCTCAAGGGGCGGCCTGTCACTGGGACTGGGAAGGTAGTCCACGACGGCGTCCAGCAGCGGTTGGACTCCGATGTTCCGCAAACTGGCGCCTGCAAAAACAGGTGTGAACCTCGCCTCGCCGTCCATAATCAGACGCCGAATGGCCTGTTTGATGGAGGTCGAAGACACGTCCTTTTCCAGCTCAAGGAACTCGTCCATGATCTGGTCGTCGTTCTCCGAGAGCGTCTCGACCAGCCGCAGGCGGGCCTTCTCCATCTCCTCGAACAAAGCCGGGTTCTCCTTGGCAATGCTCTGTTTGCTGACAACTGACATGGTGCCGCTGCTGCTGGAGAATCTGAAACCGTGCTGGTGGATCACGTCAATGACGCCCACGAAGTCGTCCTTCTGCCACCAGGGAATCTGGCACAGCAATGGCCATGTCCTCAGGCGCGAGGCGACCTCTTGTACAGAGCGTTTGAAGCTCGCGCCGTCGCGGTCCAGCTTGTTGATAAAGAGCAGCCTGGGGATCTTGGAAAGCTGCGCCGACTGCCAGACGCGCTCCGTGTGTGTCTCGACGCCTTTGACCGAGTCGAGGATACAAACGGCGCCGTCGAGAATGGGCAGGCAGCGGTCAACCTCGTAGCGGAAGTCTTGGTGACCGGGCGTATCGATGAGGTTGATGGTCTTCGGCTCATAGTCCGGTGGACAAAGAGCCTTGGGGGGCCACTGGAAGGTCACGGCGGCGGATTGGATAGTGATGCCGCGCTCCCGCTCCATGGGGAGGAAGTCGGTGGTGGTGTTGCCGTGATCGACATCTGAGGGGTCAGCCGGGTTCGAGTTCTTGAAGCCATTCGTTTGAGAAGCACCTACTTCCGATATGGCGAGTGCGCCCGCTGTGATACAGCATACGCTCAGTGGTGGTCGTCTTGCCCTGGGAAGTGTTAGTGAACATCGGCGAGATGAAGTCGAAGCCATGCAAGACACGCACCGCATCGACGTGTGCTATGATGCCAATGTTGCGGATGCTCTCGGTTCGGGCTTCATGATGGGCATGGTCGCTGGAGTATCTCCGGAAGCAGCTGCCTCGGGCCAATTGGGCGTTTCTCAGCATCAACACAGTCAGGGGAAGCCTGAGCGCAGATGGCAGCCTGGGAGAGCTCGAGCCATGGCGGCACGAGCGGAGGGGGACGCTACAGAGCATCCCCGATTTTCACTCGCCGATGATTTCCTTCCAGTTGAATTCAACTGTGCACACGACAGAAACCAGACTGAGCTCCAGTCTGGCGAGGCAGATGTTAAAGTCCTCTGCATCTCAGGCCGCCAGACCGTGACTTCCCGAGCAAATAAACATGGAATGACCCCGCCTTTCTCAGATGATCACGTACCACACTCGTTGGATGTTTAGAACAGCCATCTCGTCGTTGGCTCGTCGTTGGAGTTTCTTTTGGAGATGATACTCGGGGCCCGTGCATCCCCGTCATTCCCGGCTTGGCGCCAAGGGCCCATCATCCTGCCCTGAGCCAAGGCAGCTGCGCCGCTTCAACCACCGCGACGGCGATGCGGGACATCCTGCACCTTTCCCTGCCTGCGCCATTGACCGTCGACACTACGAACCCACGAGGGACCTGATTTAGTAGGAAGCACCTTTCCACCTACGAAGCACGAGGTACCGGACTGAACAGAGCTCGACCACGCCCACCCCACGTCATCGCACCGCGGCCATTACTCGCGCATCCACGGCATCATGGATTACAGCGCATCAATAAACGACGCCGATAATGCCGCCGAGGCCTCGCCATGGGGCAACTCGCCGAGCTCGTCACCCCGGGCCAACCGAACCACGTTTGGCTCCATCACGGGAGACGCCCCCAGCTCTCCTCTCCGATTTCCAAGTTCGAACAATGGCCTGCCCGACGAAGGTGGCTTTGGCGGGAGCGACACCGAATACCGCAGGCCCGATACCGCAAGCACCGTCTCTCAGACGACCGAGCCTCAGCCAGAGCAGCCCACGCCGGCGGAGCCGTACCCGGAATATCAGGGTTTGACCGGCCCTCATGGGCCGGTATCGCCGCAAGCCCAACAATCGCAGCTTACTTCAAAACCCGCCCCAGAGCACGCCCAGCACGCCTATCACGCCCAGCGCAACCAAGAATCACAGCACCCCGGGAAGCCCCCACCGCCGCAATTCAAGCTGCAGGCTAAGATTACTGGGCTTGAGCGCACCGGGCGCAAGGATCCCATCCTGAGATTCGATGTACATGTACGGCTTCGAGGCTAGGAATTCTTGGGGACTGTCACTGACAAATCTAGACAAACCTCCCGGCCTTCAGGACGACGCAATACCGCGATGTGCGCCGACTCCACTCGGAATTCATTAAGCTCGCTGAGCACCTCATCTCGGCCAACCCCGAGGCCATCGTACCCTCGGTTCCTCCCGCGCTGACCTCCGCCGGCGCGGGCACCGAGGAGGACGAGATCCGCGTCAAGGCGCTCATGCAGCGCTGGTTCAACTACGTGTGCAGCAACGAGGTGCTGATGCGCGACGACGAGATGGTGCTCTTCGTTGAAAGCGACTTTGGCTACAGCCCCATGGTCAAGAAGAAGCAGCCCGCAACTGGCGTGCGGCGCAAGATCCTGAAGCAGTTCGCCCCTCCGCCGGACGACACCCCCGAGCTGCAAGAAGCGCGGCCTATTGTCAAGCTCTTCTACCTGGGCGCCATGGACGCTGGCCACAAGGTGGACAAGCTTGTGAAGTCTCGCAGAGGTAACCCACCCCCTCTTCCACGCATCCAGCTATACAGTCTAACCATAGGCCAGGCCTCGGGCTGTCCGAGTCCGACTTTGGCGTCAAGCTCGGCAACATGCACGTCCAGGAACCGCACCCAGGCCTCGGCAACGCCTATCGCAAGCTGGGCAAGATCATCCAAACCGTCGGCGACTACCACGCTGCTCAGGCCACAGCCGAGGCCACGACGATCGGGGACCCATTTCAATACCACTCGCAAGATGCCTTCATCGTCAAGGAAACCCTCACCAACCGGCAGATCCTCATCCGCGAGTTTCTCCAAGCCCAAGAAACAACGCGCAGCAAACTCAACGCCGCCGACCGGCTCAAAGCCTCGTCCACGGTACGCCGCGAAAAAGTCGACGAGGCCATCGCCGCCCTCGACGAAGCCCAGCACGCCGAGTCAGCACTCTACCAAAAGACGACGCGCGTCACCCAGAACCTAGTCCACGAGCGCCGCCGCTGGTTTGCCCGCACGGCCGCCGACTTGCGTCTATCGATCCGCGAGTATGTTTTGCGCGAGATCGAGGCCGAGCGCCGCACGCTCGCCCTGCTCGAGTCGGTCCGTCCGGATATACGGTCCATTGACGCCAGCGGGGGGCTGTCGCGGCTCGGCCGCGAGAGCCACCCGCCGAGCGCGATGCGGCGCTCGGCCGTGGCGGCGAGCCAGGGCCCCAAGGGCGACGCCTGGAGCGGCGTGCCGCGGCGCAGCGTCGACGCCATGAGCCGGAGCGTGTCGGGCAGCCTGGTGGCAAGCTCGGTGGTGGGCGAGGGGGAGGACGGTGCCGAGGGTGGGGAGGCTGGAGAGCAGGGAGGCCGGGCACGGGCGGTGAGCGGGTCGGCCGGGAGGATGCCGGGCTTGTTGGAGGAGGATGACGAGGATCGGGTTGATGCGCGGAACGCGGCTAGTCGGCTGGCTACGAGCACTTTCTAAGGGAGGCCGCGCGAGATAGGTGAGGGCATTGTAGCCCCAAACTACTGTTCTGAGAGGAAACCACGATGATTAGGCGGAGGGAGTTGGAGGTTAAAGATGCGGCTACGCTAGGCTAGGGGTTGCTCTCCATACCATTGTCTAGTCTACAGTTCCACACGAGGCTGTAGCTCAGCTATGGTTCTGAATGCATCAGGCTTACGTTAGGGTCGTGTTACTCGTGGGCTCCTGTTCTTGTAGGGTGTGTGCCTGTGTGAGGAGGTGCAGATCCTTTCCCTTCCCTTATGCGTCTCAAGCTTCCTCTCGGAGCAGCCCTCTCCGGCGAAGCCTTCAGCTCGGCATGCTTCCCTCTGCCCCCACGTACCTCCGCACGGCTCGGTAACCGGCAGGGCCGTCCCGTCGTGGGGGTCGTAAAGGAGGGGGCTGGTGGATCGGGAGTCCTCGAGCAGGTTTTTTGATGAAGCGCTCAGGGTTCTCCAGCCGTCATGACGTTGCCACGGCATGTGCAAGAGTGTACCTACGCATAGTACGTCCGTAGGTGGGAGTACATCCGGGCCTTGTCTCCAATAAATCCGACGTTATCGTCTGTTCGCCTGCAAGATCGCTTTCCTTGCATACGGATTACAACGATCCAATATCTGTCCCGTCCCGGCTGAGGCGAAAGGCGGCCTGCAGGCTCACCGCCTCGTCTCCACGATTTCGGTAGAGAGCTGTCCCGTATTGCGACCTCATCATCCGCGGGGCTCGGGACTGAGGCAAAGCAAAAGGGGGGGGAGGGGGGGGTGTTTACGGGTCGGCGCCTGCGGCCGACATGCAGACCGAGCGGCCCTGACGCCTCGCTCGGGTTCTGTATGCAAGATTATTCCGTCAATGGATGGCAATGATATTAGACGTCACTTGGATCATGGCAGATAGCGCTGTATCCAGCCGAGACCGGAAGACCGAGCATTTCCTGATGTTTGTGAGGTATGTTTCGGTGGTTCATGGCTGGCGGAAGTCGATGGTTTCAGCAGATGGGTCCTATGAATGGCCCTTTAACCTCGATCGCGGGTCGCCCAGCCGCAGCATCCGAATTTATCAGCCACGTCAAATGGAGCAGGCTTGCTTCCGCTGGGGAACAAGCCCGAATGTGCCGGGACTGGCGGAACAATTCGCCAGCCATGAGACTACCGCGGTGGCGGAGATGGCGCGAGATCCAGGGGTTCCCGATGTGACCGTACCGCGGTGCGAGCGCAGTCGCCGACTGGATTGGCTCTGGGCTTTGATGCAGGGTCGCTCCGTCAGTCAGCAAGAGGGCGCGAGAGCAAATGTCTGTACATTGGCTTGGGAACCTCGGCTGGGAGACATGTCTGTTGAATTGGATCGATGAGATACGGACCTACCTAACTAGTTCGTGCTTTGTCGGGGCTCTCCAATATGAGACCTGCGACAGGATGTCCGCTCGCAAGACTGGTCACAAAACGCGACGTGCAGCAACGCTCAGTAACGATGTCGCGAGGCTCGAACAAAAGCCAATTTGGCCCAAGAACCCTAGCGGCTCCACTCGCTCTTTACCAGATGAGATCGTGGGACTAGCGCACACAGTTCTTGCTTTTTCTTCTGAGCCGCCAAAACATCCCTGCTCCAACCGCCAGAACTCCAACTTTGAACATGGTTACCAGTGACTGAGCTTCTGGAATTAGCTTGATGTTGGGAGCACGACAGGAAAGCAAGCATCTAAGGACGAGGACCAACCAATTGTCGCTCGGAGATTTGCTATATCTGATAAGGTACCGGCAGACGGCTCTGGTCGGTTATCATCGTCCATAGTGGAGACACAGTTGCAGACCCAGACAATGGGACCAACGGCGGCATGATAAGGACGTCAACGTCCGGCTCGCATGCACACCGAGGCACACCGTGCTGCTGTGTAAGGAGCACCGTCACGGCAGGATCCTGTCCTATTTCCGGGCTTCCGGAAGGCTTCTGCACCGTCCCGAGGCGACCTTTCCGTGCTGAAGGATGTACTGGTTGCGGTCCACAAGGAAGACAATGAGCTTGGCCTGGAGCCCGTTGGTCCGTTTCATGTGTGAGGAACCCCTGCTGTGCCATGTGCGCCCGCGATAGGGCCGGTAAAACGGGAGAAGGGGTGCCTTTCCCGGGCCTCTGGCTTCTGGCGCGCCGCCAGAAATCTTCTCGAACCCAGCCCGGGTGGAGACACGGCCATCAGTCGCGATCAGTCGGTGAACTGTCGAGACTGTGTCCTTTTCTCAAGGTCCTGGGTGTGGTAATTGGGGTAGCAAGCGGTGGGGTTGGTGTATCGGAGACATCAAGGGTCCTGCGACACGAAGATCCGCCGCGGATAGATATGTCGACGACAATCACTGCTTCTCCAAGACGGTGGCAACGGAGCGGCGGCCATGAGGGTGTTGAAGTTGGGGATGCAATGAATGAGCCAACGACGACGGTAGCACTCGGCAGCGTTATTGTGCGGAGACGAGCCCGTTGTGCAGCACTGTCGCACAAAATACGCCAGAGGCCAAGCTCTTCCCCGGAGCGCCAGCTACAAGCGACATGTCGTAGACTTCGCTAATCGATGCGGAATCGGCTATTCGCACCGACGGACACAGGAGGCATCTTGAATCAAAGGTTGCAGAATGCAAACGCAAGTGCAAAGTTGCAAGATGGGGGTCAGAGAGATCCATCCATCTCGTTGTCAGCTATGGGTAGAAGGGAAGCAACGCGAACCCGAAGGAGGGTGCGACTTCCATTCTTTCCTTTCCTCTCATGCCCAGCCCGCCAAGGCAAGGTGTTCTTTTCCCTTGCGGTTCATCTCCATTTTCCAACGATAAACCCTGCTGCGTTCTTGCTCGCGTCATTGAGGGCCCCACTACACACATCCTTTCGAAATCCTGCTCCCAAATCTCGACCTTCTCGACGTTCTCGTCGAACTTTCCACGGACGGTGTCGATATCTGCGAAGCATGACAGCTTGCATCCGCCCGGCACATGCCAGCTCCGAATCGGATGAGTATCAGCGGCAGCGGCCTGGAGACAGCGAGCCGGATCCGCTGCGCACATCCATCGTGGCCGCAGTCGTCTTCCATGCCCTCCATATCGTCATGCTGGATACTGCGACATCCGAGAGCTGTGTCGCCTCGCTACGACTTGAAAACAGCCGGCTATAAGGACCAGTCCTCGTCCTCGTCTCTCCATGAATGCCGCGATTCCCCGCCCTACGGCAGGCAGAGATGGCGTGCTCGCGCTCGACACATCTATTCGCTGCCGTCCCTGGCCCTCAACGGATGGTTGAGATTGACAGAGTCACTTTGTGGCCTGAGCACCCTCCCGCCTTCGACAGGGCCCCGCCGTACCAGGCACCCAGGTCGCCTGTGGTACCCGGGTCCAACCAACCGCGAGGAATCCCCACACACCTGCATGGCTGCTGCATGGAAGCCGGCTATGGCTCCCGTGCAGCTTCTGTCGGAAAGCACCAAACAATCTTGCTGCTGCAGCCGTTCGCCATCATCAGGGCTCCACCGCCCGGCTTGAGATTCCCCAGACAGGAAAGACCCTCGCCCCGAGTGCTCCCGGATCGCATCAGGACTGGCCAAAATCAGCTGCGTTTCGTCCTGTGTCTTGGACCCGTATCTTGTCTCCGCAGTTGTCTGTGCATCTTTGCTGTGCCCTGCACCCGCTCCAGCTCCGGCTGAACACGTTTCTCGAGAAGACACTACGGTACGTTATGTATCCATCGATGTCGTTGATGTCGTGATCTACCCCTTCAGCCGTTGATAGACATGGGGTGGTGGGGAAAATTGACCTCGACACTAACCAGCTTTATTATGTGCTCCCGAGATTATCGGGCTCCTCTGGAGCGCATTACGCCTAGCCTCTTTGCTTCACAGACGAGAGATAACTAGTCAATATCTGACTGGCGAGGCCGGCTGGGCGCGCATGCCGACTCCAGAGCATCCATCTTTGTTGGTCTCCGCTCCTAGACCTTGCATCCCCCGACTTGTTGACGTTCTTGATCCGGCCTCGTCGAACCCCGGGCGATACGCATCAGGGATTAGCACATCCAAACGAGCACGTTAACGGTTCATAACATCATGGCGGCCGAACTCCTGACGGTACTACTGTATACTTAAAGAGTGGGGGTCCTTCCTTGCCTCCCGCTCCTTCTCTCTGAACATCGCTCCTTCTCGACGTCTCTGACAACTGATGTAACCGACCCATTTGTCTTTATCATCGCCGCGGACGCACCTTTGCCACCCCTTCTCTGTGGAATCTGTTCCGCTCGCTCCTAACGCTCTACACCCTCTTCTTCCTGCATCCCGCGTCGTCGTCATCAAGAAGGAGCCGCATCTGTGTCGACGGCTCCAGCTGTACCTGGCACCCCACGGGGAAACCCTTTCTCGTTGGCCAAGCTCGCCCTATCCCACGCCTCATCCCACTCTGCCATCCCGCTTAGCCGTCGCCCTACCGAGATGGCGCCTTCCGCAACGGACGACTCGGCGCCAATGCACCTTCCCGCCGCCTCAAAAGCCGCAGCCATTATTGCTTCGGTTCTCTACGGTCCCCGCGACCTCCGCCTGGTAAACACTCTTTCTTGTTCCCATCTCTTGTCCCTTGTCCTCGGAGGGACCTGATATCTCTGGACTACACAAAATGCACCCTTCTATTCCTGGCCAGGCCACGCCTCTCTCGCTAGGAGAATTTCGGTTGTCTCGGTGGTCCATGACTGACCTCTGTTCAGGAACGGCGGACAATCGAAGAGCCAGGTGTTGGTGAGCTTCAGATCGCCGTCCACACAACCGGCATCTGCGGGTCGGATGTCAGCTATTACAAGAAGTTCGCAAATGGCGACCTCTGCGCTTGCATGCCGCTATCGCTCGGCCACGAGTCGTCGGGTACCGTTGTCGCCATTGGGCCCCAGGTATCGGGCTTCAGCCTTGGTGACCGCGTCGCTCTCGAGGTTGGCATCCCTTGTGGCACGTGTGGCATCTGCCGCAAGGGGAGATACAACCTGTGCAAGAAAATGAAGTTCAGGAGCAGTGCCAAGTCAGTGCCGCACTTCCAGGGGACACTACAGGAACGAATCAACCACCCTGCTGTGTGGTGTCACAAGTATGTTGTCTCTCAGGCTTTGCCAGTGAAGTGACTAACAACACCATAGGCTCCCTGACAACATCTCGTTTGACGCCGCTGCCCTTCTCGAGCCATTATCAGTCGCCATTCATGCCGTGAACCGGGCCCAGCCAACTCCTGGCTCTTCAGCCTTGGTCCTCGGCGCCGGCGCCGTCGGTCTTCTCACAGCAGCCATGGCCAGGCAGTCGGGCTGCTCAACAGTAACTATCGCTGACGTCGACCAAGGCCGCGTCGACTTCGCCATCGCCAAGGGCTTCGCAACACACGGCTACGTCGTGCCCCGTCCCCTGCACACCTCCTCCAGTTGCTCTTCAATATTCAGCGGCAGCAGCAGCAGCTCGGGCACTTCGACTCCAGTCGACGGCCTCATGACGCCCGCCAGCACGCTCTCGATGCAAAGTCGATTCGACTACGCCAAGTCCCTCGCCGCCGACATGCTCTCCCTGACCTCGTCTTCGTCAAATCCGCTCCTGGTCGACGACGAAGATGACGGCGTCGACGTCACGTTCGAGTGCACCGGCAAGGAGGTGTGCATGCACACTTCGTTGTATGCCACCCGGCCCGGAGGGAAAGTCATCATGGTCGGCATGGGCACCCCCGTGCAGACGCTGCCCATGTCGGTTGCGCACTTGCGCGAGATCGACATCCTTGGTATCTTCCGGTATGCCAACACGTACGCGACGGGCATCAAGCTGCTGTGCGCGCGGGGGTCTGTCCTGCCGTGTTTGGACGACATGGTGACGCATCGGTTCAAGGGGCTCGAGAATGCCCATCAGGCGTTTGAGCTGGCGAGCCGGACGGTTGATGAAGAGGGGAATTTGGTGTTGAAGGTTGTTATTGAGGCTTAGGCTGCTTTGTGTGGTTTGTCTTGTTAAGGAAAAGAGGGCTTGGTGGTTTGATATCCCGGACGGGAAGTGGTTTTCGCGCGGTTTCAGTGCCATTTCCCGTGATTTTGGTCCTGCTTTGGCAGTCCTTCTGGGGACAACACCAGTTTCTTGGTATCTGCTTACGATAGACGGGTTGGCTGGGATGGGTTGGGTGGTTGGGGCTGGATTGTTTTTCTTTTTCTTTTCTTGTCTAGGACGAAAGAAACGCTGGGGTATAGACAATGGGCAGGCCTGATTTCTACTGAACTACTTCTTTCTCTGTCCGTGGGTTGCTGTTCCTTTTCTCTCTCTTCGGTTACGTGATCCGGTAGTGGGAGGCGGTGTAATGAGCTTGTGTTTCAGACCTTGCAGAATGAACATCACAGTAGGAGCCGTGAAGCTGCTCCCTGGGTAGCGCAGCTTTACAATGAATCAGGCGATGTTTTAATGGCTGCAAATCTCCCCCACAGAGATACCATCCATGAAGCGAGCTGCACACGTGTTCGCAGTCGAGTTGGACACAGCTTTACGCCTTTAGTGTGTCTGTAGGTAGGTATGTCTGGATGGCAGGAAGATCTTCTCGCTCCTTTCCCCTGTCCCTCTACACTGTAACCCATCTATGCACATCAGCTTTGCTGATGGAGCCAGCGAGACCGAAAACCAGAAGTGACCCTAAGACGCCGTCTTCAACCTTCAAGAGGAGTATTCACTTCGCGCCGTCCGTGCGATATGCAGGTCCTCCCATTCCATCCATGAACGTTATCACCATCGCACTCCATTCATCCTCCCAAAAGCAAGAGATCGTCAACCCATTCCCATCGTTCCAGCGTCACTGAAAGCCGAAGACCGTGGCCTCTACAGCGTCACCGGTCCTGCGACTCCCAGCGACCTACATACTCCTGGGGTGCTGTATCATAAGGGTTCCGAGTAAACCTGGAACAATCCCCAACAAGCCCAAGAGACCATCGTCTCCATCCATTACCCACCACAGGCCGCGGCTGATCCACTCCGCGACAGCTCTCTAATACCCTGCGGGGGCGGCAGCCGCAGCATCAACTCCACTCATTCCCAACCCACCAGTCGCCTCATCGCCGCCGTGGCCGATCTGCCCTGCGAGCAGCTGCTCATACTGTGCGGCACTGGGCCCGCCGCCCGCGCGGCCCTGGCGCGCCTGGCGCTGGGAGTCAACGACGAGGAACTTCTTGCCCGCTTCGCGGGCCTCGTTGACGCTCGACATGAGGGCCGAGACCATGGAGATGACGTTGACGTCATTTGTCTCGCGTTGAATCTCGCGCTCCAGGGCGGCCTGCTCGGCGGGAGCGACCAGGTCGGCGTTAGTGACAATCGCTTGGATATGGCGGAGGATGGTGTTGGAAGGGGTGGTGTATGTTTTGTTGGAGGCAGCGGCCACAGCAGCTGCTTCCGAGGTGGTTTGCTTGCCTGAGGTGAAGTCCGGTGGCAGCTGTTGCAGGTAGGTGATGATGAGTCCAAGGCGGGATTTCAAGATTTTGGTTGCGTTGTACTTTGCTTGTAGAGCTGACATGTACTCGGCCTCGGCGCGGGTGAGGTTGGCGTCCGGGTTTGCGGCGGCTGTTTGTTCTGCGAATTGGGCGGACGTGTCCTTTCTGGATTTGCTGCTCTCCTCGTAGGCAACGGCCCTCCTTTTGCCTTTACCGTCGTTGACCGCGATCTTCTTGTCGAACTGCTCTAGGATGTGCTTTTCGGTGCTATCCACTGAGGCGCTGGCACCGCCCTCGCGGATAAACTGCATGGCGATCATCTCGGCCTCGCCGGTTTCTGTCGTGTAGGGCAGCTTGCGGAAGCGGAGAACCATCTTGGTGGCTGACTCGGCGTCCTTCATCTCCTTGTCCTCGCCCTCTGCTTCCCTGCTGTCGTCCGCCTCCATGTTGCTCTCGTATATCGTAATTGGCAGGGGGTCTCCGGTTGACGGAGCCAGCATATCCTCGATGTGAACACCGAGCAAGACGGCGGATTCGTTGTAGGTACTGATCTGGCGGTGGATGGGTAGGTGTTGGGCGGTCGGGCCTGTCTTGGGCACCAGCGAGTACCAGCCGACGAGGTCAAGTGCAGGTTTCCGGTGGACAAGTTTCACTGGAGGCATCAGTCAGTGGGGTCAATGAATGAGCCGCAAGCACAGAGGCACATACTCTGTTCTAACCGCTTCCTGAACCACTCTTGGTCGAGCTCGTAGAAGCCGTCTGCATTCTTGGCCGATTTGCAGGTGAAGCTGTGCTCGATGGTCACCGCCCGGCCATTTTGCTGGCCCAGCAGCGCACCGACAACGGCCCCCTTGAGCCCACGCTGGTACCCCCGCACGATGAGGTCGGAAATTTCGAGGATGGGTAGAGGGTGCAGCGCCAGCTGCAGGCCCGATTCGGACGCCTTTTGGGTCGACAGCAGCTCGTTGGCTGCCTGGCCGGCCATGGTCGCGGTTCAGAACTCAAGATTACAGTTTCAGCCAAGGGGTACTGTAGTTGGAGCGAATCTCAATGGGCCCTCGTTTCGACGATCGGATGTGGTGGGATGTCGGTGCAGCGATCATAGGTAGAAAAGCAGCGTTTTGGAGCTGATGGCGGGCGGGGTTGATTGACAAATGACGAGGCAGATGTTCAGCCTCGACCACCGCAACTCGAGCTGTTGAGCCTGGAAGCTTGGCGGTTGCGGAGAGCTGGCAGCTAGCTACAGTAGCTCTGCAATGTTACAGCTGCCCAGAGCAGTCCACCCTCTGACCTCAACACTGGAACAATAGAAGTTCGCCTTGCATGTCTCTTCCAGTAGTTAGCGTGCCAAGGCCCTTTAGGCTTCGCGCCTCCGGGCGAAATAAATTCCATGCATCCATGTCTCTTCCACCATTTCGTGAAAGCCGGCACTTGAGGTTTTAACAAGGCTCACTAATAGCATGCCAGATTAAGGGACCTGGTGTGCCACAACATAAAATCCGTGCAATGGCACCGATCTCTCAGCAATATTCTCATTCACGTTCTTTCTCATTCAGGTTGTGCTATGTCTCCGTGACTTGTCGTCCTCATGTTCACTGACACACTTGTTCTCATTTGTTCCCGCCCCTAGGTGGCTTCGTGTTCCTTTCTTACATGCCTCCTCAGGGATGTGCTCATTTCACGCAAATCTGCCCGTTCATGAGTGCATAGAAGCAGCAAAGGGACGGCCATGGCGTCGCCTTTCACCTCTCGCAATGTGAGAACCTGCAAGCTGACCAGGCAAGTGATGGCAGACTCTTTGATCGGCTAAGGATATAGGTCTCTCTCTCCCTCTCTACGGCCATGCCCTCTGGATCTTTCCATCATCTCACAGCATGCGGTATTGGCCGTCACATTAATTATTGAAACCACCATGTCTAATTTGCCCAAAAACGAAGAGGCAACCAAACTCACCGGCGCCGCGGAACAAGCAATTGGCCAGGCTGGTCTCATCAAACGCCCTGTTGCCGACGACGACATCCAATTCATATCGTCAAACCCGGTCAAGAAGAGGAGGATGACCGAACAAAAGCCGGCGCAGACCACCGAGAGCTCAATGGCACCCCCTCCCGCTCCCACTGTGAAGCGCCTGACTCCCACCACCGAGCAGATTCCATCAGTTGACCGGTCGCGCAGCTTGTGTGGCATCGGCCAGGCCAAGGGTCCAGTTGCTGATGCCATGCTGGAGACCCGGGGAACATCACTCCCAGTCTTGGAGAACTTCGCCTTTCCAAAGTCGTTCCCTCCCCTGCCGAACCAACCATCTCGACTCTCGGTGGCAATCTCTCCCCGTCAGCTTCCGCAGGCCTTCACGACCCCGTCAGAGGTCGACGCGCACGCCAACCAGCCTGCCCCGCCTGCTCCAGACCCTGCAGCGCAGGATTCAATCACACTCGACCAAATTTCATGCCTTGACTTCAATGGCCTGCCGCTCAACACTCCCGGATTCGATATGAGCCAGATCTTTTCAGCTGACGGCGGCATCATGGGCGGCCTTGGGTCGAACAGCACAGGTGCTTCCGCGCCAGCGCCGCCCGCACCGCTCAACGCCTTGAACGCCCAAAACACGATCCCCTTCACCATGTACTCCACTGGCAACATTGTGACGCTTCCGCAGACGACTGGCTCTGGCCAGCCTCTGGCCCCTTTTCCCAGCCTGCCCATGATGCAGCCCAAGCAGCACGGGGCGTTCGCGCTCGGAAGCACGCGTGGTTCTCAGGTGCAATATCCAATAAACCACCTGCCGAGGGAACAGTCAGCTTCTAGCCGCTCGCCCTCTCCTGCTCCAGGGGCAAACCCGGCATGCCTCCACTGCGCGCGACTCCGACAAGAGAATCTCCTGAGACGGCCCCAAGCAGCCCCAGGAAGCGCCGCCCAAGCCCAGCCTTCTCCATCCAATCAGCAACACCTCTGTCCGCGCTCCCCGACGCCGCTTGCCCTGCCCACGCTGAGGCCGATTCCCCGCTCCACACCAGCGGCCGGTCAACCGGGAAATTTCCACCAGAGACAGCAGCAGCAGCAGCACCTCCCGGCTGCTCAGTTCTCTGCTGCTGCGACGATGCCGGCGCCGGTCCGTCCCGGCCCCGCTCCTAACCTGCTGCAGGACATCGCACAGACGGTTCAGGCAAGCTTTCCTTACGCCCAGGTTGCTGCGAGGCACGGCATGGCCCCGGCCAGGGTGGTCGAGGTAGTGTCGGGCGTTGTTATCGGGCCACTCCTGCGTGGTGCTTCCAATGATCGAGGTGTTGGTGGGAGGTATTATGGTCCGTAAGACGAGGGCTTTTTCGTTGCTGTTTTTGTGTTCCGGAAATAGTGCCCGCAACTGAGAAAAAGTGGTTCGAGGGGCCGTTCTTGAGGCGCAGGATGAGAGGCTGCGTGGACGACTACACGGTCCGAGAAGGGGGTCCTGCTGCGAGTTGGGGAGACGGATTTTTTGATGTTTTCATGTAAGAGATAGCGGGAGGGAGGTGGAGGTTAACACCCTCAGTTGCTAGTACTTTAGCCATCACCTCTACAGTCAATACCTCAGCCCGTATTCTCGTCGTCCTATACCTTGGACCGGTCTACATGTCAACACGCTCAACAACATGTGGCGTCCGCCCCCACCTAGTCACATGCTTCGCCCGCTATGTCTGGCTCCGGCCCACGGGCGGATGAGAGTGCCGCCTTGGCGCCGGCCAACCGCCGAATAGATCCATCCGGGACAGGGATGGGCGGCCGTGCACCACCGATTTTACCGCATTCCCAGGCCCCCCACGGCCTGGCACAAGGGGATACGACTTGCGATGCGGGCATGCGTCTTGGACCCGACGAGAGGATGCGGGGTGAGAACCAACTTGAGGCAAGACAGAGCTTCGCATCAAACTTGGCATGATGGCGCCATCGTTAAGCTTGATCCTTGCAGGAACTTTCCTCTCAACTGGGAATGATGACGGGCTGTGAGCAAATCCTAAGACACCGGCACAGCGGCACACTTGGGTTACAGTGGATATATAAATCCCCAGGTCGTCCCTGTCCCTGCAGGACCCTTCATTTCTACGGTCGGGTGTGAGACATTCCCCTCCAATCACAACATCACGCGAACAATCATCGTGGACGGCCTGTTGGCGACTCTTAAGCATTGAAGGCTTGACACGGGATACCACCCATGACCTTCCGCGTCGAGTTCTTTTGCCTCCTTCTCAAGCAAATATTCTGAGCGTCGGGTAGGTTACCACCGCCTGGACGCACCTGAGCTCTCCCAGCAAGAAAATACTGGAATAAGGACGCCTTCGCATCGCACACACCCCGAAAAGTCATGGCATCAACTGCCGTCGACGTGGAGGGTGCCCACGTCTCGGGCTCCCTGAAGCAGACGCGCGGAGAGAAGAGTGCCCCTGGAGACACGTCGAGCGACAATGTCTCGATCCGTAGCAGCCCCGGTGACCACACACACCGGACCCTCAAGTCTCGCCATATCCAGCTGATTGGTGAGTCCCCTTGACGCCCAGGATGCATGATAGTTTGTGGCTGAGTAATGTTTGCGGTAGGCATCGGAGGAACAATCGGTACGGCCCTGTACGTCCAAATCGGCAGATCGCTGCTCCAAGGAGGGCCGGCCAGCCTGTTTATTGCCTTTTCATTCTGGTAAGTACTGTAAGAGTGAAGATATGACAGAACTGGAATGGGCCCTGACAAGACTCTAGGTGCACCATCATCCTCGCCGTGACCTTGGGCATGGCCGAGATGGTCACATACCTCCCCATCTCGTCGCCCTTTATCCGGCTTGCGGGCCGCTACGTCGACGAAGCCTTTGGGTTCGCCGCCGGATGGAACTTCTTCATCTTCGAGGCCGCCATGGTGCCCTTCGAAATCACCGCCTGCAACGTCATTATCCACTACTGGAGCGACGCTGTCCCGGCCGGCGGCATTATTGCCATCACGATCGTCCTCTACGGGTGAGCGCCTGACAAGTACTTACTTGCCTGTCGAAACTCCCTGACTGACCGCCTCCAGCTTGATAAACGTCCTCGCTGTGAAATGGTACGGCGAAGTCGAGTTCTGGGCCGCCCTCGGCAAGGTCCTGCTCATCGTCGGCCTGCTCATCTTCACCTTCATCGTCATGCTCGGCGGCAACCCGCTCGGCGACCGCTTCGGCTTCCGCTACTGGCAGGACCCGGGCGCCTTCGCCGCCTTCTACACCTCAGGCAATCTCGGCCGCTTCATGGGCTTCCTGCAGTGCCTGATTCAAGCGTCCTTCACGATCGCCGGACCGGACTACGTCTCCATGGCGGCCGGCGAAGCCGAGAACCCGCGCCGCGTGATGCCGCGCGCCTTCAACGCCGTCTTCTATCGCCTGACGGCTTTTTTTGTCCTGGGCTCCCTCGCCGTCGGCATTCTCGTCCCGCACACAGACGAGGAGATGGCACTCGCCTTTTCAACAGGCGCGCCCGGCGCGGCCGCATCCCCGTACGTCGTCGCCATGAACCGCCTGCGCATCCGCGTGCTGCCGGACATAGTCAACGCCATGGTCCTGACGGCGGCCTTCTCGGCGGGCAACAGCTACGTGTACTGCGCGTCGCGTTCGCTGTACGGCATGGCGCTCGAGGGCAAAGCGCCCGCGCTGTTCCTGCGCTGCACGGCCAAGGGCGTGCCGATCTACGCCGTCGGACTCGTGCTCGCCATCGCGCTGCTCGCCTTCCTGCAGGTGTCCAACGACGCGGCCGTCGTGCTGCAGTGGTTCGTCAGCCTCGTCACGGCCAGCCAGCTCATCAACTTCAGCGTCATGTGCGTGACCTACCTGCGGTTCCATGCCGCGCTCAAGGCGCAGGGTGTCGATCGGGCGACCCTGCCGTACCGCGCCGTGCTGCAGCCGTATGCGGCGTGGTATGGACTTGCGGGCACGTTTATCATGACGTTTGTGGGCGGGTACACGGTGTTTCTGCCGGGGAGGTGGAATGTGCCGACGTTCCTGTTCTCGTGAGTTTTCCTACTTCTCGTGAACGGCACCAAGTAAGGGGTCCGAAGCTGACGAGGTGACAGGTACACCATGGTTGCTCTTTGCCCGCTGCTATATCTCGGGTGGAAGGTCGTAAAAAAGACGAAGATCCTTCCCCCGGGCGAGATCGATTTGCAGAAGAATCTGGATGAGATTGCCGAGTACGAGCGCAACTATGTGCCGAGTCCGTCCACGTAAGAGTTACCCTTTTGAGCGGGTTGTTGGATGCCTGGCTGACCATGTCGCAGAAACCTCTTTCACAGGTTCCTGGACCGAGTTTTTGGATAGAGGGTCACAGGGCTATTGACATAGACCTAGATCTTGACGACGTTGTAGATAACCAAATATGACTGCAATAGACTTCGCTTCGATTGCAAAAACAAATACTGCCCCTGTCAACATCTTCACTAACACCACCTTACATCACGTTCGTGGACTCCTCAAAAACCCAACAACGCCCCCGCAATACCCAACCAAATCATCCAGCCTCTCCCTCTCCCTTGCCTGATACTCCTTCCATTCGGCTAGCGCCTGTAACAGCGACTCGTTCGCCATGACCAGGTCAAAGTGCAGCCGCAAAAACACCGTCATCCACGCCTGCGTCAGCTCGTAGTCGCGTCGAGCAATGAGCCTGCTCGTCAGCGCCTTGATAAAGTGCAGAAGCTCGTTGGAGGCGTTGTCGCCGTCGCCGATGGACAGCGAGCGCAGCTCCAGGTCGGCGGCCGCTGGCGGGAGAGACTTGAGGTGCTCGAGAAAGTCCGTGTCTGTAGATTAGGCATGTTAGTTTGCTGTTCAGGTTGCATGGAGTAAACTCAAACGCGAAGACTTACAGTCCCCTGTCGACCCACACACGAGCAGCTTCGACGTAAGCGCCTGCTGATTCCGCGTGCGATCAAGTTGCGTCAACCGCGAGCCCCGTCCGCTCTCCTTGCCCTTCCCCTTAGTCTCCTCCGCAGCAGGTACGAGCGAATTCGACCCGCCCACCGATGGCAGGAAAAACGGCGCTTTTTCGGGCGCCTTGGGCGCCTCCTTTGGTTTGTTCCGTGCCTTGATCAGATCGATGTGCAACAGCGTCTGCCAGCGGCTCTTGGGCACCAGGCTGAGCGTCATCATGTCGGCGCTGAGCTGGTCGAGCACGGGCGCCGTAACGCCGTCGTCGTCCTGGGCCTGCTTCTCGCCGTCCGCCTCAAAGGCCGCCTCGATCAGGCCCTGGCCGCCCTCGCCCGAGGCTGTCGGCGCCGAGATCTCGCCAATTTCCTTGTCTGATATCTGCCTCGTGGGCACGTGCTTGAACAAAGTCCTGTTGGTCCAGATTTGCACCCCGAGATCGCCTTCGACCGCACCAGCGAGATACTCGCCCGTCGCTGAGAACGCCAGCGCCGTGCACGGCTTCTCCAGCCGGAAGGCATCGATGAGATGGCTCGTGGGCAGGTCCCATACGCGAATGACGGCGTCCTGCGAGGCGGCAACGATCCACCTGCCGTCGTTGGAGAAACAGAAATCGTTGATATCGCCGCGGCAGCCCCAGAACTCACGGATGGTCCGCTTGGTTTCCACGTCGACAACCCGGATGGAGTGGTCGTCGCACGCAAAGGCGATGAGGTCATTGGCTGCGTGATACCGGCAGGCTGTGATCTTGGTCATGGGTGCCCAGTCAATCTCATGGACCAGGTTGCCTGTGACGAAATCCCAGAACTTGATCTTGCCGTCGAGCGAGCACGAGATGACAGTCCGGTTGAGCGAGTCTACAACGATGCCGGTCACCGCCTTCGTGTGTCTCCCTGTTCCCGGCGCGAATGTGTTGTTGGCCCGCGACTGCAGCTTGTTGACCTCGTCCAGCGCCCTGAGCTGCTGCATCTTCAGCTGTCTGAGCTGCGCCGGCGTGAGTCGGGAAGGGAACCGCTGACGGTGACGCCCTGACTGAAGGTTGAACATGTCGATGTTGCCTCCAGCCGAGCCGACCAGCGCGAAGCTGCCGCACGGGCTGATGGCAACGGTTGACACATTTTCTCCGTCTCCCGTCTTGAAAGCCCATCGGCCAGCTCGTTTCCTGCCCCAGAACCACGTGCGAGCCCATGGGTCGTCTTTGTGGGCCGTGACAACGCTCTCCCAGCCAGTCATGCTGCTAATTTCCGCACTCGTCAGCTTGTTTCTGTCGTCGCCTTTATCCCAGATCATCTGCTTCCCTGGCATGGCACCCATGCCGCCGTCGCGGTTCAAGGAAGAGGCAATGCAGGTGATTTCCGGCGCCTTGAGGTCGTCCAGAGTGGTGGTCGGCCCGTGCGAGAGCGAGCCGCCAGCCAGAATACCAATCTTTCGGGCCTTCTTGCGGATTGCGCCCTGGCTCAGCTCGGAGCTCTGTCCATCGCGACGCAAGCTCCATCCCCACAGACTCCGGTCGCGGCCGCCACTGAGCAGCCATTTATTGCCACCCTCGGCGCCGTCGAAATCGGAAGGCAGAAATTGCAGACAGCGTACTGGGGCTGCATGGCCGCTGCGCATGTGCAGGATGCGCGGCACCGGCGAGAAAGGAGACTCGTCAAAGATCCACGACTTAAGCGAGTTGTCGAGGCCGCTGGTGACAATGACGGGCTGGCCAGGCAGGAACTCAACCTTGGTAACACCTCCACGAACTTCCTTGTTGTGTGACGGGGGATTGTGTGCGCTTCGAAGCACACCCATGATCCTGCCGCCCTTGTTGAGGTCCCAGAGTGTGACATCTCCGCTGGCACTGGTGGCTGTCGCCATGACGCCGTCATTTCTTCCGTCTTCGCCCGCTCCCTGACCATCGCTGCGGAACGAGATGCACGTAACGGGAGCATCGTCATTGCCGGCGTTCAGCCGGAGGATGAGCTTGTCGGTGAGCACGTTTTGTATGACTAATGGCCCCTCGGAGTAGGCAATGGCCAGCAGCGACAGCGCCGGCGAGGGCTGAAGACAAGTAACAGCGCCACAATCGGGGGCTGGCGGCAAGATGGTGTAGATCAACTTGGCCGTGCTGACATTCCAAATTTCCACCCAGCCGTCTCTCCTGCCGACGAAGATCTTATTGAGGAAGGTGGGCATGTTGCAGACGCCCCCGGTGATCTCATTGTCTCCTTTCCTCGCGGCGGCGGTGAATATGCTGGTGTAGTGTTCCAGGGTCGCCGACTTCCACACCTCTATCCTTGTCAAGGCGCATGCGACGATCCACGAGCCAAAGATCAGAATCTGCTTGATGGGCTGGTCCAAGTCGGCTGGTAGCTGCAGCTCGGCCGCCTTCTTGCCGCGCTGGAAGGCCCACAGGCCCTGGGGCTCGCCATTACGCGGGTCGCCCCAGGCAGCGAAGACCCTCTCCTTCCAAGCATAAGTGGCGGTGATGTCGGCGGGTGTCTGCGGGCGGGTGACGAAGACGAGGTTGAGGCCGCGCCTGAGGTCGAAGGTTTGCAGGGCGCGGCCGACCGAGGTGGTGATCTGGAAGGTGGTTTTGCCGAGGGGAATTGAAGTGAACGGGACGCCGGTGGGAGAAACTAGGCCGATGGCCTAAGAGGTCAGTCAGATGCACCCCAATCTCCCTACTTGTACGAAACCGGGGACCTACTCGGAACGGCGCAAAAATGGCCGAGCCTTGTTTCGGTGCCGACGAGGCCTTGACGACGGCATCGATCTTTTGGCGTTTTGTTGATGGCCAGTCAGGCTCTGAATGAGGCATTGTTCTGGGCGTGGCAGCTGATCACCACTACCAATGAATGGCATTCTGTCTTGATGCTGGCAGTTTGGAAGTTTTCGGCCCCAGCCTCGTCCGAAACGGCACAAGCACAAGGCAGCCCCACCTAAAAATTTCAAGCCAGGCAAAGCCACACCTTCATTAGACCCACAGTCGGGATTGTCTTACCGAAACACCGACTTCCAAGCCCGTCCTGCTCCGATGGCCGGACCCATTCTCGTCGGCACACATCCATACGCCACATGCCGTCATGCAGTAGATCCGTATCATGCAGTGTGATGCAGTGTCATGCAGGGCCGCTTTCTGACCGCCTTTGTGCTTCTGAGAACAGACGACTGCTGGCCTATGGGAGCCCAACATCTCAGTCTGGCTCAAACGGGATACACATCACGCGACCTCTTGCCCGTTGTCCAAAGACACGTCAGTGTCTAAGATGAAGATCAAGGGAAATCCAATGAACTAGACATAATTGTCTCGATGAAGCATGCAATCTGTTTTGCAGTTCTATTCCATGACAACAATAGGCGTGCTTCTCATTGCTGCCCCTGATACCAACCGTCACCACAGCGCACGCAGGTCACAGGTGATTATTGCAGTATTGATGTGTTGTGCTCAGGTTGTCAGTCTCGATACGTTCATGCCATTTGACCGTGCGATATGGCTCGTGCAGACCTCAGGCTCGTCGGACGATCACTGTAGCTAGTTTTCAGATTCCCAATGCACCAATATTGAGGAAGTGGAAAAGCAGCTGCATCGCATTTGGGTTTTTGTTCCTTCTGATCTGGAAGTTTGAGAGTAAACGCTTCTTCAGTTTTGGTGCCGAGTCCCTGCCGAAATGCAGCTGGTCTCTGGCGTCATGGGGCCCGTGCGTCAGTGCCCGTCTGCCCCGCCAACCCAGCGCCAGAAATCGCGATGGGTGGTGTGGCAAGGTACGGATACTTGGGCTCTTGAGGGGGGTTCTCTGGCAAAAGACCCACAATCCCCAAGTAGTTTTTGTGCCCCACCATCTCTGCGTATCAGAGCCATTGACCTGTCCCAGATCAGCTCCTCTCTCCGCCCTTCGGCAAGCCCTATCTGTGTTCCATGACTTTGTCGTCGGGTTGGCTCCTTGACTGGCCAATTGACCCGGCAGGGGCTGATTGATTCTGTGGTTTCTTCTTTTCATGTGGGAAACGGGTGCCGATACATGGATGGGTCTGTTCTGGATTCTTGGGATGTTATCTTGTGATTTGCACCATCATATTCTTGTGCCGTCCTTGTCATCCACTTGCCACCAATGCTCTGCCAGAGCCCCCCAATCGCAATTCACTGTGAACCCTGGATATCTCGACATCAGATTGTTGGGCACCGACATTGCACACGTCGCATGCGCAGGTCACCCAGAACCGCTTGCAAAACATAGCGGAAGCCTACACCTACCGGCTACCGACATCCACCAAGATGGACCAAATCTCCGACGGAAGCGTGAATTCGACCACTGCGGGCTTGGACGAAGCCATGCCTCTGGCTCAGGGAATTCCACAGCAATCGAGACAGTTAATCGACGATTCCCTAGCACTAGCCGGGGCACCAGCGGCGACAGAGCTGAGACCCGACACCCAAGGAGAGAGTTCCCGCACCGAAAGTCAAGCTTCGTCCTCGGCGCCTTCCACCTTCAAGGGCAGGCAAGTAGAGCCTGGCACTACTACGGCCCACGCAGAGAGGACCGATGTATCGATGCCTCCGCAGGTTTCCCCGGTACCAGACCTGTCAACCCAGGTTGCTTTGACCCAAGAATCAACAGACCAACGTGCTCTTTCTGGCGAATCGGCGAGTAACCAGGGACAGTCTCAAGAAGCGCTTACCAGCCCACCATTTTCGCACCGGGACTTTGCCATCGACTCTGCCGACCCAGACGACGGAAACACGCGCCGTTCGCGGCCCCCCGCGAACGTCGATACAACACATCAACGTGGGCCTCACGATTCGGCTCTCCGAAGTCCCCGCTCTTCCATGTGCGAAGCTCCCGTCAGCAACCGCATGAGCATCAGCTCCATGTACAGCCTGGCATCCGTCCGTGGCGTCCCAAGTTCCGCAGCATCCGCCAACGGAAGCGATACCGGCAGCGTCACTGGCGTTCCCGCCCACCGATCCGTATCGGTCGTCATGGCTTCGGGGGGAGGACACCATCTAGCCCCCCGCGAGTCTCTCACACAACACCAGCTGAGCGATATGGCGAAGAAAGGGCAGCAAGGACAACCGCAGCCGGCCGGCTCGAACCCCGCCCCGCGCCCGCAGCCCACTAGGTCTAGGAGCCGGGCTAAGCGCAGGTTCAGCGGGAGCACAGGGGCTAGCAGCCACCACAGTCCCAGCGGCGACCGTGCCGGGTCGCACCGGCCCGACAAGGAAGAGCTCAAGCCTGCTCCGTGGGGTGTCATTGGCGTGTGCGCCCTAGACGTCAAGGCGAGGAGCAAGCCGAGCAGGAACATTCTGAACCGGCTGATCCAGAACCGCGAGTTTGATGTGTGTGTTTTTGGGGACAAGGTCATTCTTGACGAGGGTGGGTCTCATCTGGAGGTCTATGTCTTAGGCTGAAGCTAACCAAGGTATTAGAGATTGAAAATTGGCCCATCTGGTAAGAACCCATCGGTCTGCCCGCCTCCTTGTGCTAACTGTTCAGCGATTACCTCATCTCCTTCTACTCAGATGGCTTTCCCTTGGAGAAAGCCATCGCCTATGTCAAGGCCCGCAAACCCTTCTGCGTCAACGACGTGCCCATGCAAAAGATACTCTGGGACCGCCGCCTATGCCTGCGCTTACTCGACCGCATCAACGTGCCTACACCCCAGCGTATTGAGGTGAACCGCGACGGCGGCCCACTACTACTCACCCCCGAAATGTGCAAGCACATGCGCGACGTAAGCGGTATAACCTTCGAACCGTTCGACTCCGAGTCGGAGAGGGCAAAGTCGACCCCGCCGCGGAAGGTGGAGCTGCTCGACGGCGGCGATATCCTTTCTGTCGACGGCACGCTGATCAAGAAGCCCTTCGTCGAGAAGCCCACCAGCGGCGAAGACCACAACATCATCATCTACTTCCCGTCGTCTGCCGGTGGGGGGGCTCGCAAGTTATTCCGAAAGATCGGCAACAAGAGCAGCGAGTTTGTCCCGGATTTGACGGTGCCCCGTGCCATCACGCAGCCAAACGACAGCTTCATCTACGAGCGCTTCATGCAGGTCGACAACGCGGAGGACGTCAAGGCCTACACGGTGGGCCCGTCCTATTGCCATGCCGAGACGCGCAAGTCGCCTGTCGTGGACGGCGTCGTCCGCCGCAACACCCACGGCAAGGAGGTGCGCTATGTAACAGCGCTGAGCGCCGAGGAGAAGGAGATCGCCAGCAAGATTAGCACCGCCTTCGGCCAACGCGTCTGCGGGTTTGACTTCCTGCGCGCTGGAGGCAAGAGCTATGTTATCGATGTCAACGGCTGGAGCTTTGTCAAAGATAATGACGATTACTACAACCACTGCGCCAGTATCCTCAAAGACATGTTTATCAAGGAGAAGCTGCGCAGGGACGGCCGGACGCCTCCTATGGCTTCGCCCGCAATTTCCGACGTGGACCCCATGTCGGTTCGCTCGAACCACACCAACAGGGAGAGGGACCACGTCTCGCAGGGCCGGCCAAGTGTGGACAGGTCAGCGAGGGACTCGCTGGTCGAACCGATTCCGATAGTCAAGTCCGAGCCCAAGCTCAGCAGCATGCCGGCCAGTCCCTTGGTTAGTCAGTTCCCCTCTTCCTTGCAAGAAAGCGCACCGTCTACCGCACCGTCTGTCACGTCCGCCGCGCCGTCCTTCGTCCCCGAAGCCACCGCACAGGACGAGCACGAACCGCCCCCGCCCCCGCCGCCCAAGCCCAGCTGGAAGCTCAAGGGTGTGGTCTCGGTCATCCGCCACGCAGACCGCACGCCCAAGCAGAAATACAAGTTCACCTTCCACACAGAACCCTTTATCGAACTGCTCCGGGGCCACCAGGAAGAAGTCCTGCTTATCGGCGAGCCAGCTCTGGCCAGCGTCATCGACGCCGTCGACGTGGCCATGAAAGCGGGTATCGAAGACCCTGCTAAGCTCAAGGCCTTGCGCAACGTTCTCATCAAAAAGGGCAGCTGGGCCGGCACCAAGGTGCAGATCAAGCCCATGTTCCGCAAAAAGGCGGACCCCAAGCCGGACAAGGGACAGAAGGACATGAAGCAGGAGGAGCAGGTGGCCGAGATTGACGAAACCAGAAACGGCGACAAGACGCCTCGCAAGCCTCCGAAACGCCACGACTCGCTGTCCGGCGTGACCATGTCCAAGTTCACGGCCGCCGAGGAGAGCCTCGTGCTTGACAAGCTGCAGCTGATTGTCAAGTGGGGCGGCGAGCCGACGCACTCGGCCCGCTACCAGTCGCAGGAGCTGGGCGAGAACATGCGCAGCGACTTTGGGCTGATGAATCGCGAGGTGCTCGACGAGGTGCACGTCTTCAGCAGCAGCGAGCGCCGCGTCGTGACGAGCGCCCAGATCTGGGCCGCCAGTTTCCTGAAGAAGACGGACCTGCCTGAGGACTTCATCACCATCCGCAAGGACCTGCTCGACGACTCCAACGCGGCCAAGGATGAAATGGACAAGGTTAAGAAGAAGCTGAAGGGCCTGCTGCGCAAGGGCAACGAGCGCCCGCCACAGTTCGCCTGGCCTCCCAACATGCCCGAACCGTCCGAGGTGCAGACCAGGGTTGTCCAGCTGATGAATTTCCACCGCAAGGTCATGCACCACAACTATGCGAAGCTGTACAGCGGCGCCGCGAACTCGCTCAATGCGATCAACAACCCGAGCTCGGAGAAGGGTCTTGCCGAAGGCGGATCGTCGGGCGTGTCGCTGTCTTCGCTCGCCTCCACCGGCTCGCTGTCGCAGATTAACGCCGTCAACAGCATCCAGGCGCGGTGGTGCTGCGGCGAGGACGCAGAGCTGTTCAAGGAGCGGTGGGAGAAGCTGTTTGCCGAGTTCTGCGACGGCGAGAAGGTCGACCCAAGCAAGATCTCGGAGCTGTACGACACAATGAAGTTTGACGCCCTGCACAACCGGCAGTTTCTTGAGTGGGTGTTCACGCCCCCCAAGAGCATGCTCGAGGAGGAGTACGGCATGTCGCTGAACGGCAAAGAGGGCAAAACGACTTCGCCTCCCAGCAAAGATGCGGAGGAGAACAAGGGCGAGGAGAAGCCTGCGGTCGGCACGCTGTCGGAAAAGATCGAGAACTCGGGCCACAAGGCTGTCAAGCGCATCTTCCGTCGTCGGTCATACCTCAACGGGTTGCGGAGCGGAGCAGAGGCGGAGCTGCCGGAGAGGTACTTCCACCTCCACCGAGGCAACAGCCAGACCAAGGCGAAGACGGACGCCCGCTTCGAGCCGCTGCGCGAGCTGTACCAGCTGGCCAAGGTGCTGTTCGACTTTATCTGCCCGCAAGAGTACGGCATTTCCGACAGTGAAAAGGTGAGGTAGCAAAACAATACCGCGGAAAGGGGAGGTACTGACCGCTTTGCAGCTTGAGATCGGTCTCCTGACATCGCTGCCCCTGCTCAAGGAGATCGTGCAGGACCTAGAGGATATGCAGGCGTCAGACGAGGCTAAGTGCTTCATCTACTTCACCAAGGAGTCGCACATCTACACGCTGCTCAACTGCATCCTCGAGGGCGGCCTTGAGACCAAGATCAAGCGGGCCACCATCCCGGAGCTCGACTACCTCTCGCAAATCTCGTTTGAATTGTATGAGATGCCGGCTAACCCGCCAGTTGACGCCGAAAATTGCGAGCCCGTGTTCAACTACAGCATCAAAATAACCATCAGCCCGGGATGCCACGTCTTTGACCCGCTCGACGTGCAGCTCGACAGCAGGCATTGCATTGGGTGTGCGCCGCGCCGCAGCCTGACGGCCCATCATGACTGGAAGGTGGTGATTGAGACGCTGCGGGCCAAGTTCCATCAGTGAGTTATCCTCCTCTTATTTCACACGTCATGGGCCGTGTCCTCGGCCTTTCGGAACGAATGAAGTGGTGGATTGCTAATCATGTGGTGGCGTTGTAGGGTGAAACTGCCAAAGACGTTCCTGGCCGTCAATCTCTCGGATGCGTTCACGTTTCAGGAAAAGAAGCAGGAGAGCGAGGCTGAGGGGCTTGAGATGAAGCCCGCCGAGCAGGACGAGGACCAGGACCAGGAGTACTCGACCGAGCCTGTCGCCACAGCCACGGAATCTACCGCGGAGCCAACCGCAGACATGGCTGCGGATTTGTCAGCGGACACGAGCGACGACACGTCCATTGCTCTTGCTGCCGCCGCTGCTGAGGCCTCGGAGTCGACGCCTGATTCACCGGTATCAAACAGCCAAGGTGGCCACCGGGAAATAAATGGATGAATTCCAGGCTCGTCCGAGGGAACACCACGGCCCGATTGGATTCATCGGTGTGTCGTCGATGTTCTCGTCCTGGTTCAAGGTTTTGGAGAGAATCCGGATCAGCCATACCGGTGAGGACCAGTCACATTGATTGTTGGATCGTTACGGCATTGTTCCGGCTCGGTTCAGTACCTCGGCATGGCGTTGCCACTTGCTGCCATAGCATACGGAGCATGTGCTGTGCTCGGGCAGAAAGCCATGGTTATCCACAAACATGTGCTCTTCACCGCCAGTTTCCTTTCGTATCATTTTTTTTTGAGACGGGGCTCTGCAGGTGTAGGTGGGCATTCACTGCTGCCGAGCGACCAGGGTTTTCCTGGCTGCTTAACGACTCAGCATGAACGGGATCGCCTATGGCTCACGGGGAACGGAAAGGTCAAGGCGGTGGGGGTAAGGTGGGTGGTCTATTGAGAGGCAAAGATACAGGAATGGGTCAAACCATGATGGGAATGCGGGTGTGTGCGTGGCATAGAGTACAGTACAACTACGGATAGAGTCGATAAACGAGCATTGTGTGATAGACGCGGGTATTCGGGAGTCAAATTAGGCGAGATCAGATGAAAAAATGGGAACATGTGACCGGTCGCAAATCGGCGATCTTCGGTTCCGGTTTCGCGGAAACCCGTGGCATGCGAGACGAGCCTCCTGCGGCACAGCCGCGGACACGTCCTGTCAGGTTGATGATCTGAGTGGGATCACGATGCAACTCCTCTTTACGGAAAGCCAAGTGAGGAAGCGAGCAAGCTCACGTGAACGGGGGGTAAGAGACATTTAGGTTTAGCGATTATCCGAGTCCAAGTCTGTGGATGTGATGAGTGTTGCGTCAACGGCTCGCTTGTGTGCTTCGGCTAGCTCATCACATCACTGCCTCTGTAGCGAAATGCGGGTGAGATCAGGTCCGCCAAGCTCGGTTGGCTGGTTGGCAGTGACGAGGAAATTCAAGGTATCTGAAAACTCACCCACGGGTACATGTACTTGTACCTACGCTTCCTTCATTTCGCATCATGGAGATGAACTGTGCCACCGTTGCCCCGGGGGGGAGGGGAGGGGGGGGGGCGTGAAGTGGACTCAAGCCAAGTGCCGCGGGGATTGCAAGGTTCTCGCTGCAGATGGCAGCTTGATACGCACATGGGTGCAGAAACCCGTCCACATTCGATCGCGAACCATGGTTCGAACGGGTGGAGGTAGGGAATTGTGGATGGGTGTGACTCACGAGGGTGGTCATTGACGTGCTCTGGCCCAAGACTGTCACGGCCCAAGCGTTCCATGGTTCTGCGTCGATCCCAGAAGGAATCTGAAAGCTACTACTGAACGGGAAGCTTGCAGGGCTGAACGCGAGTTTGAGCCTCAGGACAGGTTGGGCGCAGAGTCTGGGGCCTGAGATTAGGAATTTGAGCAGTCTCTGGGTAATGGCAGCGGTTCTGGCCGGGTCATGTCCCAGAATGGAAATCTCGAAGGAGCCCTGGGCAATCGGTCGGCACTCAACAGCCCGGCAGTCTATCCCAGCCGTTCGGAAGCGCTGCCGTCTCATTGTCAACAAAGTAACCGGGGACTGGGGAAGCGAACTGCGGGTGTGCAGACCATGCAAACGCGCATAACCAGCTATCGTGAGGCGGTATTCTAAATTGAACATTGGGTGCCCAACGCTGTTGGAAGGAGAGGCTGCAATCACGCCTCTGAGTGAGTGACTTGGTGAAAGCGGGCGGCGCGCATCCTCTTGGCCGTAGGAGCGAGTGGCTACGTCGATGCCCACCAGTGTCCACTGGATTGAAATCGATGTTGTGCTCGACAAGCCCAGGCAGTTCCGTGCGACATGCTGGAGATAGGGCACTAGATTCGGAAGTCAAGGTGCGGTTGGAAAAGATGGGCTATACCGGGGCTCGGCAGTTGAGTACTACTGCCGCGAGGCCTGTAATATGAGATTGGCGGGATCATTCGAGTTTCCTCGAATCTTTATGTCCCCGGTTCTACCGTATGACAGAAAGAGTGGACCGTGGATGCTCAGGTTTTAGCCCAGGAATTGGTGTCGTCTAGGTTGACGCATAGACCAGCAGCCTGCATGAGGTCGCCCGAGGCGGTCGCATGGCCCTCAGGTCAGCAGAGAGCCGGTAATGTCCCCAATTGGCTAGAAGACAGTCGCTTCTTGGGCTGCAGACGGGAGGATGATCAACTGCAGAGTGCAGACCGCGTGAAACGAAGAGCGAACGGGGGTTGGGAAGCATAATGTTAATGTCGTGTGCCTGCTTGAAAGATATGTATCAAGTCAGATCGTCGACTGTTGTCCTCTTCCAGGATCCCAAAGCGATTTGTTGGCGTAAAGGAGCTCGGGGCTGCCTTTTCCGAGCCCGTTTGGACAGACGCGCGAACAGACAGGGTCGCTGATGAAGCCCTTCAACATTAGACGAATGTGGAGCGATCGAGAAGCAACGTGGAAGTTGGACTCCCTTGCGAGGCCCACTCGACTCGGCAGCCCCGGGCTTGAACGAGGAAAATCCACTGTCGAAGCTCCCCAGAAAGTTCTCTGCCGGGGGTTGGGCCTGGCCCTTTCCCCTTGAAGCAGGGGCCCTGAATGACGTTAGCGGGGATCTCGCGGGCCCCGGAGCATTGGGATCTCGCAATAACAAGGGCTCTTCTTCTTTTGTTCCATGAGCCTCCAGGAGTCTAGGGCCGCCACTGACATGCCCTGACATCCGATCGAGGGGCGCTCAGACACCGGTGTAATGCCTGATTGGGCATGATCTGACCAGCAGAGACAGGCTAGGCAGCATTCTCGGCGAACCTGGAAAGAAGGGCCGGCTTGCTGAGTCTCGGCCGGGAAGATGGGAAGAGTCGACTGCAAAATGCATAATCAAAGTACCTGAGGCGGTCCAGAAACCGGTGAAAAGGTGTGTTCACCGGCCATGTTGAATCCGAGCGCCCGTCAAAATCGTTGCAGATTTAGCCACGGCAGACGCGTGGGATGAGGCTCAGAGCGCGGGGGCCGGGGTTGTGACGATGTCCAAGTGGCATTTTGTGACGGTTGAGGGGAGAAAATCCAGCTTCAAAAGACTAGCAAGTACTCGTACTGGGTACCTTACGGTGCCTTCCATCCCTGTGGGCGAGCTGTGGGAAGGTAACTGGCGAGCCTGGCAAGGAAACTGCGACAGAATGCCCCTCCGTTGCCTGTCCAGTGCTGACCCCACTTCTTCTCGCTGCTGCGACTTCCTCTCCCCCGGTGAAATTCCATCCCCACTGCATCCAGAATCTGTCTTTGATGAGCTTCGTGTTCATCAATCCATACAAGCCCTGTACTTGGTCCATGGTCTCCGACAACGTCACCTCAGGCACAGGGTGCGGCGACGTCATCCTCCTCCTCATTCTCATGTCAAACCTCTACGGGTTCAAAGAAAAGCCACCATGGTACGCTCGGACGCAAGGGATCAGCAGCCGAAGCTGCTGGCTGTGATTGCATTGGGCATGCCCGACAGGATACTCCGTATACCTGCCGGCACTCCCCCCGCAACGCCGTGATGTCGGGACGCCCCTATCCGCCTTGCTTGACTGCCAATCCGGGCACTGGCTGGCGTTTCGCGGCTGAAGCGTTGTACTCCCGCGACGACATGCAAGGTACCCGTCGATGGCGTCGACATCAAATCGGCGTCACCTTGTGCGACAGCAAGCCAAGTAAGGCGACACGTCGGCACTGTCAGTACTCATCGCCAGCGGCCAAGTTGACGGCCACGATCTCGAGAATGGCCGACAACTCCGTCAGTGGAGAGAGGAGGCTGAGGCGTCTCGCAGCGGCTCACTCATCTTGTCTCCCAGCCAATGAGAGGCCCGCCGGCGTGTCTCAGTCATGCCTTCAACCAAGAGAGCTGCTAGAGCCAACTCCAACCGCATAGCAAACCCGTCATACCATGCGTCTCCAAGCTGCCGTCTGTTTGGATCATTAGGACTTCACTTCATTGGCGCGCCACGGCAGGGGAAACGAGCTCAACCAGAGTTGACGGCTAAAACGCGTTCTTTATCTCGTCCAATATAACCCCCAACTGGCCACAAATGGACCAGAGGGGTTGCGACGGCCCTGCAAGGGAGCCGTATCAGGAAACGTCGGACGGCCCAGTTACAGGGCAAATCCCGGCAACCACCATCGTCCCATATTTTCTAACCTCTGGTGATGCGTTTTCATGGTTTGAGGCCAGCCTTTCTCCACCGAGGTCGCACTCTACCGTGTCAGGGCTCTAACGTCCCAGAGCCGTTGGCTTGGAAATGATCCCGCAACCCGCAGTTCTCTTGTCGCTGTTTTTGTGCGGTGAATCATGGGTACTGTACACTGCATGATCCTGTTCCATAACTGACGAGGATGCCACTTTCCTTCACATCTTGCCACATACCCTCCCTGTCTTCCCTGAGCTTCCGCCCGGTCTTTGCAGCTTGGAACTAACCACCACCCCCCACCCACTTACATGCGAACACTTGATCCTTGACAACGCCGAAGCCACGAGGGAGGGGTGTAAGGTTCGAGGACAATGACACTGCTCTCATCAACACATACCGATTCGGATACTCTACATTCAGCAACCGGAACGCATCCGTGACCCGCTCCAAGCCCGTGCTCAAATCACTCCTGAGGCAGGCCATCAAGATAGCATCCAAGTTCGAGACGGTCGGTCGATCCACCACTATATCGACCCGTGCTCGACCTCCACTTTCCCATGTGCCCAGCAACTCATAAGGCCGCCTCATCGCCCCGTTTACCTCGGCAGGTCACTTACAATCAGAGTCCCGCGCTGCAGGCCGACGTTTGACAAACGACCACCAGAGAGCTCTTGATCTGTTCGTCTGCCCACCCATGACTGCTGTCTTCTGTAATATTCCTACCGCTACCTCGGCTTTCTTTAAATCCCCTGGCTCGCCCTGATCGTGGTTCTCGCTCTGGCAGCGACCGCAAATCGCAACCTCACGACCACGGACCACGACTTCATCACAATCACAACTGAACCGTTGCCTAGGTGCAACCGCGTCTGTAAAGACCTCAAAGGGCCCCTCGGGATTTCCGGATACCAGCAGACACCCAATCCCGGCCTGTTGATCTGCCTGTGCGTGTGGCTTCATGCTCCTCCAATATGCTGACCACTAACACGGCAAAGAGCTAGGGGCTTTTTCCTTTTTGAGTAACGCCCGCAGCACCCCAACGCCCACTAATTCAATCTTGGCTTTGGCCACACCTTAAAGTCCCAGGCTCCTCGACATCAGGACGAGAGCCAGACAGAGTCCGACATGGCACTCGCAAGCCATACGCACTGCGCGCACTCGTTTGTCATGATCAAGTCCGACAACACCCTGATTCAGTGGACCTGCCACGTCTGCCACCACGGGCCGTTCTGGTTCATCTGGGAGTGCAGGTATTGCCGGCTTCACACGTGTCGGTCCTGCATGGACAGTGCCTAGACGGGGCGCTGCGCCTGGGCCTGGGCAGGAACTCAAGTCATGGCGGCATTCATCCGGGCTGAATTGGAGCAATGGGGGGGGCATTTGGCGTTTGAGCTTCCTCTGGCAGCGGTGGTTGGCTTGGCCAGGCGTTAAGGCCCAGGTGAGTGAGATCCAGATCACCACAGTCCCAACAGTGCGTCACTGGTGCCGCGCAACCCATCCCATTCAGCATCAACGGCCCGATCAGTGGCGCGCCTTGCTTGCATCTGGCAGAGCTCATGTGAGCCAGCCACGAAAACACGGGAAACGCAGCTGCGCAATCGAGTTGACAGTCACCAAATTTTATTGCCCTATGGCCCTATTTGCAGCCTGAGGGAGCATTTGGGTGCTGACATGGCACCATAGACCTGCAGCACGGCTTGACCAGACGATCGGGACTGCCCACACTGCTTCTCTTCTTGACGACCAGCACAGGGACGACGAAAATCGTCCGAAACCCAGCCTCCATCCCGCCAGTTCTGACGTTCCATCAGCATGAGCACGCATTCAGGTCCAAACCAACGTTGTCCCGCATATTTTTGTGATGTTACAGCGGAGGACCCTTCCTGTGTCCGCTCCGATGGGTCCCCAAATCTCGCTTCGATACCCGCTGTCAAACCAATCCTGCGGCCTTCCCGCCTGGCACAGCATTTGCCCCAGCTGCTCGGTACTTTTATTTCGCTCTGCATCCCTGCCCTGGCCGAGATTACGCCAACGTTACGCTACTGCACCATGCAACGCGACGGCAGGACTACGCTCCCTTACACGACGCTTTCCTTTGTTGCTACGGATGAGGAGTTTTTCTATCTGATAGACGGGTTGGGGGTTACCGGGTGTTTGTTCGCTTCTCTGTTGTTTGTTCTGATACACACTTCTTTCCTTGGTTTGCGTGGGCTGGATTAGATTGGAAAGGGGTTCATTGACCCCGTGGGTGACCACCGGATGGTACGGATGGGGATGGGTGTTTTACAAGGAACGCAAAAGGAAAGGGAAACGGCAAGGGGTTACAGGCGTCATCGATTATCTTCTTGAACAAAAACAAAACAGAAGAAAGAAAGTGGAGGAGACCTTTGTGCTGGCTCACCTCTCAACTCTTCACACTCTTTTTCCTTCTTTGCCTTGGGAATTCAGGTTTGCTCTTCTTTCTTCATGACCATCAACAAGATACAGACCTCAATAGCACTGTGCTGTTACTTTGGCTGGTAATTGAAGCGCCGAAAGCTCGTGTCACCGCCACGACCAACCCAGTGCACACCGAATCTGCTGTCCGGCATAACGAGCAATCAGCGAAACCAGAAAAGCTCAACACTCAACCCCACACTCGGATGGCCGCAGACAGGAATCACGGTTACTGCTTCCAGCCAAATGCAGCAAAAGAGCTCATGTCAAGTCAGCAAACTACTCATTTGCGCGGCTGTGCAACAACACCCAGGAAACTTACCTGGTGTTTGTTCAACTGCTCGGCTCTTCGTCACTCCGACTCATATGTCTGGTGCGTGTTTAATCTAAACCTTCCCTCAACCTGAGACCAGACCGGTGCCACTGAGACATTAAATCTACGTCTATGTAAGCCAAGGTAACTAGCTCAATATTCCCGTCTTGCTCCTTCATTCAATTACCGGTTACACTCACTCGATCTGTGCATCTCCACACAGTGTCACGGGCAATGCCCGTGCTAGGGTTAGGTTGCCCCTATATAGATAAGATAAGGAGTTGGCAAGCCTAGTAGTTGAACTTGCCATAGTCTATGCGCACCACTCTATTGGTCAGTACGCAACTCTAAGGCATTTTCACTAAGGGCTATGCAATGCCGATAATTTGATTCTTTATAGAATTAATTATTATTATTATTCCTACACCGCTATGCCCTAGGGCTCGCCGGACCCTCTACCACTAATTACAAAGGAAAACCATGCCTGCAGAGCTGAAGTGAAAATCTCTGTCTGCTCTATACTAGTCTGAAGTCCTAAATCCACTCACTACAGCGAAAAGAAAGGCGTAAATGATTCGCTAAGTTATCGAACTAGCCTAGTTCTAGCCGTGCAGCTAGCTTATACTATAGGAGCCTTCCAGAGCATAGTAGCTATCTAATCAACTTCATTGCAAGCCTTCTCTCTTTGTTTCCCCACCCGCCGAGAGCTCTGTATAGGTCTCTGTGCGAGCGTATCTCTGTAGCTTGCCAGGTCCTTGACTTCGGTATTCGGCAGCACCACACAGCTAAGCGTTCTACTATTTCCCTGCCCCGGCCGCATTTGCAGTAGGGGGTAGGTATTCGAGAAACCCTGGCCCTAGAAAAGGAAGTCCTTGAGGCCTATAGCCCCAGTTCGGGCGTTGGTTAGTAAGGAGCTCTCGGCATTATTACTATTATTGTTATTCCTGTTTCACTCTGCCTTAGAATTTGCCAAACTAGTTATTTATAACTAGTCATAAAGAGAAAACTATGCTGTATAGCCAAACTAAAAATCTCTATCTGCCCTATGCTAATCTATTACATTAAATTACTCACTATAGTGAATTGCCTATTTACTAATTACTTTCTTCATTTTAATTAAAGCGGTTATTAAGAGGGAGCTTTTCATTGACTTGCATCCTGCTTACACTAACACCTTTGTGTGGTGCGCGCTGCAAATCCTATTCTGTCTCGAAATTAAGTGCTGTCTCAGTTTTTTTCGGCACCTTCTACGAAGTAAAGGGCCTGCGCAGCAATGCCAAGAGCCCCCAAGTATTGCCGAATACATGCCCTGTACCCAAACGGGACGGCACCGTTGACTTGCGGGTTTCCAGACGGGTGCTCTGCCGGGTTGGGCTTGGCTGGGCCATTTTCCCGACTTCCCGATCCAGACGGCTGCACGGAGCCGGGGGACGGTGATTGGTGCATTCGGTTCTCGTGTGTTACTCTCCTGTTTTCCTGAAGTATTGTACCCAACCTGAGATCACAATCTCCAGGAAATATTTGATCGCGGAGGAAAAGGCATGCTTCCGAAGACACAATCTCAGTCACATCTGTACGCTGCTTCGGCCATGTCACCGCTCAAGTTTGCCAGCCCGGCTTCGTTGGCGCGACCTCAAACTGTCGAGTACTTGGTATATAGTACGGCCGTACTTGGCGTGCACATTGCCGTGCGACATGTCAATTTTTCCGGTCGCTCTTCAGCCTCATGTCTCACCAAAAGGTGTTTGCGGTGAGGCTCTGAGATGCTTGGCTCCTGACCGAGGACGACGAGATGATTGTGCGTATCGAAACACGGAGGGGAGGAACGATACCCTCGGTTCACGGCCCTTACTGTGCGAAGTCTTGCTTCCAGCCCCTTCTCGAATCTGCTTGCGCCGCTTGCAATGATCGATCCCTCGTCCACGCTATTTTATTCTTCCAGATTAGCATTACTAGTGCCGCTGTACCTGAAACCTATGAGATGCGAGAAGCAGCTCCTGTCACAATGCACGTCAGTGGCGCCCGCGTGCCACACCCAGATCATCGCTTGCCCTTTCAGATCAGCATGCATGCGCTAGCCCCGATCTGCCCGGACCTGCATCTTGGCAGCACGAGCCCCACGGCGCCGAGGTCCTCCGAGTCTGCCGAGGGTTGGCGTACGGCATGTTCCGGAGCCTGAGCTGGGCCGGAGAGACCCGGACAACGCACGGCCATGTGGAAATGAGAACATACTTTTGACTCCTGATCAGAGCGAGTTCTCGTGCATCTTCTGTCACAGACGTTGGCCGGTGCGGGTCCAAATGTCGGTAAACAACACCCAGGGCGAAAGAGCGCAGTGTCAACAACGACACAACGTTGATTCTTCAATGGCTGATCCGACGGTGCCATTCCCGGCTAGTGGGGCTTGTCAGCCGGTACTCGACCTCCGATGGGACCTGAGCAGGCAACGGCCAGCTGTCAAGAGATTAGCAGGGACCGCAGCATGCATGTGACGGCTTCCTTCGGGTCATCGTCCACGTCAAAGATGAGCAAGGCGTCCTGCGATCTGTTGACCGTTGCAGCGGGCCACGGTTACATCAGCCCGCTTTCAGTTGGTTTACATCGCGGCCTGGTTGCCGGGTTTTCGGCTCATCGCGACTCATTCCGCATAAACCCCGCCGGACTCTTCTCCGTAGTTTTGAGTGGTACAGTTGTATCACAAGGCAAGCCACGAATGACGCTACGTGGCTCACAACGGTCGTCCTCAGCAACGCGCACGTTGGTGATGACGTGGCTCAGATACTGATCGGAACGTTCGATGTCCCTTGTCGAGACCATAGGCCGTCGGAAGTTGCGCCAGAGTCCATCTGGCAGATGGGCGTAACGAGCCGCCGGCCGGCACCATCACTTGGGTTCCACGATCCCCCAAAGCATCACGCAAACCTCGCTTGTCGTGTTCCTCATGCATTAATCCCAGACTACCCCACACCCCATGTACCTGGCGTAAAATGGTACTTGAGCCTGGCAAGGGCGTAGCCGAGGGGTGGCTGTCCGGGTCGAGGGAGAAGCCAGACCGAGATCCGCCTTATTTTCGGGCAGAATCGGCGACAGAGCGGGTTGTGGTGTGATCGGACACGGTTTCAAACACTTTCCTATATCGGAGCATCAGTGCAAATGCGTAATGATTGTCTCAAGAGGTGCGTTGCCCGAGAACCCAATCCCAGTCGCCTGATCAAACCACGGGGCAAGACGGGCGTCAACGGTCGCTGTTCAACCTGTCGGTGCGCCACATGAGACTTCCGAGGGCCCGGCACAAGTCCGGACAATGTGATTCGACTTCCTCCTGCGTGACTGGCATAATGGTGCTTCGAAGTTGCCTTGGGAGTCGAGCGTCATCCACTGTCTCGTCGGACCGATGAAGAATCTGCAAGCCATCATCAGTACCATGAGGGTGAGGGACCGGGCAGGTCAACCCACCTTCCGCCAACTCTGCGAGGAATATCACGCATTAGACAGCTTCCGTTGACGTCTCATCACACCGGAAGACGGCCCGTTCTGCAGGCGTTCCTCGATGGACTGTCTTCCGGGGATTTAGAAGTGCAGACGTGAAAGATGAACGAGGAGGGAATATGGAAGTTGTCGGAAATTGCAGGGAGGTGGCAGCTGGAGGGTGGGGCTGAACGGCGCTACCTTTAATTGGAAATGGCGGGGAAAATGCGGGACAGTTCCGCGCTTCAGGGCTGCGTGGGTCCCTATATTCCCACTGTGGCCAGCATTGGGAGAACAGCCCAATGAGGACATACACCTGAGAGCTATCCCTGAGAGTTTCCATTGATGAACTCGCACCAAGTCCACGTCCAATTGTGAAATAGATGAGTCTCCCTGCAGAAAGTTCAAATTTAGACGCCGATGACGCTCAAGCCCAGCCACTCTGTCTCCTGTATGCACCGTCAAAATGTTTGTTTACCCTGCCCCTTTTTTATTATCCCCACGCTCGCGCTGGATTTCTTGAGAGCATGGTCAACGACCTGGAAGAACAGCCTGGAGTTCCAAACCAGACCCAACTGTCGCCGGCTCTCACCCAAATCGGCAGCAGCCTTACCGCGTTTGATAGAGCGCACACTCATCCAACAAACAACCTGACCACCTCCGGGCTAGAAGCCCAAGTTGACAAGCTTGAGCACCAGCTGGCAAAGGTGCGTGTGTAAGAACAAACTATTCCGCGACTATTTCCACATAGAACAATGAAGAAGACCCGTCATCATCTGGCTCAGAGGGCTACTGGGAGGATGTGGTCTGTCTATGCCTATACGACCAAGCATTGGCGGGAGAAGCATCCACGGAGGGATGTCAGGAAGGCAGCAGGGCTTGCAGCAGCATATGCTCGACAGCAGGCGGCAACTGGCACGGCAGGATGTACTTGGGGCTTCGGACGCAAGCCCAGTCAAGTGGACAATCCCATCCAGTATCTCAAGCTGGTTATCACAGTGCCCCATCCCCCCCCGGGCGGCATTGGATTCCTTGCTGAGAATTATAGAATTCTAGTAGACGTTGACTGTTTCACATTCGCCAAGGTAATATACTACGGCAGCTTCACGTTGGAGAAGAACCACAGCAGCCGACCTTCTAAACTTGGATGTGAATTGGCGGGGCATGTTGAACTGAACTGGCTCCTTGGCACCTGGATTCAGGTTCTGGGCACTGTTGCCCAATGCAGTAAGCGTGGAAGACTCGTCACCCACCCAAAAGCAGGGTCTGGCGAGGGTCCCGAAGCCCTCGGTTCTTTCAAGCAACACACACACATGACGCATGGTTAAGGCAGTCAATTCAAGCTTCATCTTGTGCCTCAATGGATGCAGTGTCACCTGGTTGGTCTATGCCTATTCGAGCCTGTAACTGTTGCTGTCCAACAGGGCACTCCCAAGAGAAGCAAGGGCAGTTGGATCTTTAGGACTCTGATGCCACGTCCTGTCTCACCGAATGCGGCACCAGTCCACAGCATTCAGGTCAAGGCAAGTATAAGACAGATGATCCAGCTTTGATAAAGATAACAGTAACTCATGCATGACAGCTGAAGTGTTTAGTCGAACAAGGATATCACAAGGGACCTATATATAGTGGCTAGTTGATAGGATACATTTCATTTCAGTTTAAGATATAGCTATCTAGCTAGTATCTATAGATAAATATGTGTCTTTACAAGGGTGCTGCTAGTTCCTTGAGCGGTTCTCATTCATCAGCATCTCGAGATAAGTCAGCATCCATACCCAACTCCTGAATGCTGGAGACCAAACAGCACAATAATATCTATTTCTCTTTTACATCTGGTATTCTTAAACATTCAGACAGTCACTCCAAGGCATTTGAGATTCACCTAAATGATTTTATTCTCGCTTATAGCCTAATATAACTTAACGTTATACGTTATACTTAATCTTTCGCTTATAAAACGTTAGCCCTATTAGCAACCTGTCAGCCTGTCTTTCTCTATATATCAGACTTGATGTCGTTAAAAACACCCTCTTATCACAGGCGAACGCTAGGGTAGTCACCCTTTGGCAGGTGAGGTTCACGTCTTGCCAAAGTTGCCCATCAAATACACATCCCTCGACAGATGGTGTTTAACCCCACTCAGCCCCCAAGCTCACCGCCCTTAGAGGCAGTCAGGGAGTCAAAGACAGGCACAATCATTCTCCCAACACTATGAGAAGACGTGGTCTGTCTGCAACAGCATACTATGCAAATTGGGGATAGTATAAGCTCGACCATCTCGTCTCATCTTCAGAGAAAAACTCGCAGATGGCTCAGTCGGCTAGTGTTGCACTTTCTGAGACTCGATCTTTCTGAGAATCATATGCTAACAAAGACGACAGGGTTCGACCTGTGAAGGGACCAGCGGTGTGTTTCTTAGCGATGAGTTCTCACAGCGTTTTAACTTACTTCCGCAGAGCGGCAGCGTGATGTCTTCAGATTATGTACCCGTTTACCCTGAACAGTAAGGACAAGCTTTCCTTACAAGTGACGCGAGTTCGACTGAGCCAGCTGAACGAGTTCAGTTTTGCACCGTTTTTTTTTTGGTGTTTTCTTCGTCACCTGTGCCTTTTTATTGCATCTTCGCCCACTTGGCTATGTTTCAGTGACCTTCACTTGGTGCGAAACATCACCGGGATTTGTTAGAAACCTTACATCCCGCTCTCATCAGGGATCACTGGGCTACCACATTGCCTGCCAACGGACCGGCATGTGGAAACTGAAGACATCGTCACCAAGAAGGACCAAAGAGACGCGATATGTGAGTCGAATGCTCACCAAGGTGCTGAATTCAAATCAACATACCTAACACGGAGTTATGTACATAAGAATCAGGATTGGCCGATACACACTTCTCATCCAATTGCTGGCTGAGAAGGCTGCCACCTGGAAATGTAGGCGCCGACTTGGTGGATACGGGTTTACTGATAGACAAGCCATTCTGCAGGAAACGTGGCCGTCATCTCGAATTCACCGCCAACCCATGAGACCTGAAGTGAATGGCGCGGTAAGTTGTCAAGCAGGTGACAGCTACCAACGGTTGGCCCTGGAGCAGTTGCCAAAGGACCACTTCCGCAGCCTGCGGCCCTGCAAGCACCAGACGACCAATCAAGATTGAGTACCACCAGACCTTAGTGCGAGGCGCGCTGCGCAAGGCACCCTGAAAATCCGTAGGTTGACAAGGCCAAACTGACCGGCCGGTTATGCCGGCCAGGGAGAGCGTCAACCGAAACGGTTTCCTCTTGGTTACACCCTGGCGTCTTTCATCCTGAGGGCGACGTCTTCCAAGGTGCGGGCTCGCGGTTTTCACCGGAGACCATCGCCGACCAAGAAGCAGCGACTTTCTCACGTTGGTGCAGCCGAGCCGAAGGCTTCAAGTGCCCGTCGCGGTTCGCAACGGGATATTACCACGTTTGAAGAAACCCAGTTTGGTGACTATACCCACGTCCGCTTACAATGCCGCCGTTGCTAACATGGCGAGGCAGGCAGCTTAAGACGCAGCGCAAGGCTCCAGAGGCGGCTGCAGTTGGAGACTAGCATAGAGCCTCAACTGAGCGGGGTGCAGTCTAAAGCGAGCACAGGGAAGCTTCTGGCAACTGAGCCTGTGGGATCGTCGCGGGTGGGGGGTGGAGGGCCTACAGCAACCCAGCGCCGAGAAGAGAGGCGAACGGGCAGCCAGGGTAAGACACTGTCACCCGGCGCAGCTTCAATGCTAATGCCTCATGTAGGTAGAGCCGCCGGTGAGACCCGCTGTAGTAGCATCATCGCGAAAGCGACGGCTTGACGGCGAGCACCGCAACCGGAGCGAGCGCGCCTGACAAAAGAGAACCTCACCCTGCTCAACGAGATGGGGAGAAGGAAGTGGACCAGAGGAACCAACAGCACTCAAGCTCCAGTGACTTAGACTCCTCCGTCGAGTCGGTCACGATCAAGGCCACCTCACAACTTCATCCGGGTTTGACATCCAAGCCCAGCAAAACGGCATTCTCAACCAGGTCCATTCCAAGCCCCCGAAGAACCTCGAGGACCGCCGCAAAGGATTCGCCCGATCACGAAAAACCGCGTCGCCCCAGAGTTAGTGTACCACGCTATACCAACACAGTTCTGAAAGCGTGCAATGACGCCACCGTGGTCTTAAGGTAGGTGTCCAGCTTCTCAAGACGCACAGCGATCCGGGCTATCCACGAGCCTTCAACCAGGCCTTTACCGCCTTCCCGAGAAATACCGAGTTCAACAACGGCTTATCCGCTCCGCAGCCCGACTTTTGTCGAGGGGCTCGGAATACGCGATTACTAGCCGTTCCCCGTCGACGAGCAGGTCAGCGGAGCGGTGCTCTTTAGGGACGACTCGTTTTTCTGTCGCGCTGCCGCATATCGCCGGCGAGTGGAAGGGCCGCGGGAAAGACATGGACGAAGCAAAGATGCAGAGCGCGTACGACGGGGCTGCCCTCACCTATGCCAGGAACCAGGCATTGTCGTACCTGGGGAAACCCCGCCCCCCCAGTCACGCCGAGGTTGCAAATCACCACTGACGGCACCAACATCAACTTTTTGCCCACTACGCGGCCGCGTCGCAAGACGGCGTACTCGAGTATCATCAGTATCCGACCGCGTCTACCAATCTGACCAGTTCGTATGAAGACATCAAGAAGGGTTGGAGGTAGCTCCGAAACCTCCAGGACGATGCAAGACACCTATCGTACGCATTGCGGGATTAGCTGAAAGACCATTTGAAGACGTATCAAGGGCCAGCGGCGCCTGTTGACCAAATATATCAAGGACTAGGCGACATCCCTGAAGAATTCGAACTGGATGCGGAAGAGCCAGAAGAATTTGCAGCATTGCCTCCATCATACGCACTTACACGTGAGGAGCTCCAAAGACATACCGGCGGCCTATATTCTGCGCTGTGACGACGATGGCTTTGTCGATGAGCTTATCCATGTGCCATCGCCTCCAGGATCTTCAACCAAGTGCCTCAGCCGGATCCCCCTCCGCGCCGCAGGGCGGTTACTTCCAAAGGCCGGCCACCACCTATAACTTGAGAATCCTCTCAACTACACGTCGAAGCGGCGCAGGTCTACGCGGCGAAAAGCTACGGTAGAGGACGGGTGAAGCTGAGTGTTGTGCCCATCGATCCTGTTCAAAGCGAGCGGTTCGAGCGAGACCAGAGTACCTATGGCTGATGTACTGGTTCCGGGAAGCTCAATCTACTGTCGCACCTAACGATTCTAACTTCAGATCTCATCTCCTATTGAACTTGCCCTAGCAATGGAACTTGGGACAGCATCTGCAAGAAGGCATTGTCACGGCAAGCCAGCACCGGAATAACGAAATAAGAAGGAGGATAATGGAAAAAACGAGGGCATGGGGCAAAGGACGGCAATCAAAGCACTTGGAAATGCATGCATTCAGAACATGAATCGCAGGAGCAGCGAGGGTATTGTGTCTTTCTGTCATTAGCAGGGACCAGATGGACAGGATGTACACGTCAAAATCTCTCTGACCGAGGTGTTTTAACAAAATCTGAATGTCTCCTAACCGCAACCATTACTGTACCTGGCAAAGCCATCACAGCCCGAGGCCTCCAAGACTCCAGCCATTTCCAGCAATCTCCAAAGGCCTTGATCTCGCCCAAGAATCCCAGGCCTTGAAACACCCGAACTCCAACAGGACCTCGAGCGATCAACATTCCGACTCAATAGTCGTCATTATCTTCACGCTGGTGCTTCTTGCCCGGTTTTCTCTGACGGGCGGTAACCCAGCCATTTCCATGTGGCTTTGACCGGCCATCCCTCTTGGTCTTTTCGGTCTTGTTGGTCTTCTTGCCGCCCTTGACTCCTCCTCCTCCTCCTCCTTCTTCTTCTTCCACTTCCGCGGCTCCCGCAAAACGGTCAGCTGCGCCGTCCGCCACCGCAGTGAGCTTAGCAATGACCGCGCCTTCGTGTCCCTGAATTCCTGTCCAGAAAAGAGTCTAGCCTGCATCACGTCTGCGACGGACCTTGCCGCCGGCTCAAACATGTCCTGGTGCATTTCACGGATCTGGTAGAGGCAGCGTTCTACCTGGATCCTAAGGTGATTAAAGGAGTCAATCCCCGGATCGTGCTCCTCGAGGATCTTGTTCAGCCTGCCCTGCTCGGCAAGGATAAATCGCCTCTTCTGCTCGGCCCGCTGGCGATGGTGAAACTGCGCCTGGTCAATGAGCTGCTTTCGCTCAGCCTCTTTCTCCTTGACGAGATTTCGCTAGCACTGTGCCTCCTCCTTCGCATGGTCGAGTTCATGGCTGCAACGCTCGAAGTCCTGGTCGACTTCGCTGGCAATGTCGCGGTTGTAGTCCTCCAGCTCCTCCATGTACTCTGTGGCGGCCTTATTCGAGGCGGGCTCGAGTTCTGTGTCCATCGTCTCCTCCGGTGCTGCTGCAATCTCTTGTGGTTGCTTTGTGAAGGGATAGAACTGGTTCGAAGAGCTGGATCGGTAAATGGTAGTGTTAGTGGGTGGATGGTTCTACGCACCGATATCAGTTCAGGGTTGTAAATACAGTGGAGAGCTGCAATTCTCTTGCCTCCTCGACAGTCGCTTCCATTTCGCGGACAATAGATTGCAAGAAAGAGACCTGAACCGCGAGCCAGCTGTTAGTGGTCGGGGTTTCTGCTTGCATCGAGTCGGTGATGACTGAAATTCATACCTGAAGGAGAGTTTCCTTTTGCTGCTAACCTGTCGATGGTTTCATGAAAAAAGTGGATCGGAAGTCGGAATCCAGAACGACTGAGGGCACGAGAGTTGGCCGTCTGTGATCGGTGGATTCTTGTGCGCGGGAAGATCGAAAAGAAATTTTGTGCGCCATTGTTGTTCGCTGGCTGCAATGAACCAACCGCGAGTAAGATTCCCTGGCGGTTGGCGAGGCAGAGATGATATGAAAGCCCGAGAGCAAGTGGCCGTTGTCGCGGCCCGAGATGCTGGCCCATCACCGGACTCACAACGAGCGGGCTAAACTCCACACTTCGGAAATCGTCTCTCATTAAATTTGCCTGAGCGTCATCAAACATCTAACCCGCCGTACCCAGGAAATCACGAACCACGAACGCCAACCCACAGCCAGCCCGGCACATCCTTCACCTCCCGGCCTGCCCTTTCATCACCTCTCTCCCATTCCAAATCGGATACTCATCGCTCTTCCCATCCTCGTCCCTCCTTCTCCCAAGGTCCTGCATCCCCAAGCTAACCCCGGCGTTGCCCGCCTCGACGTCCCTGATGGCGGAATGCACCACTGACATGGTCGCGCCCTGGGACTCCTTCTTCCTCCTTGTGCGGGTCTCTACCTTCTCCCGGATCGACCTGGGCACAAACAGGTTCCACATGTACTCTCTGAAGGTGCGGGTCGTGCCAAACACGATGAAAGCGAAGATAGTCGCGGTTGGGGCGGGCGCAAACAGGGCAAAGTCGCCCTTCGCGCGGCCGGCACTGAGGTCCGGTTCGGGCGGCACGTTGGCCGGGTTGTTGGTTGCGGCCGCGCGAAGCTGGAAGTTGATGACTACCAGTTGGAAGAGGCTATGTGGCAATCAGCTCACCATGCCGAGGGCTTAGTTTGGTGACTAGGGGACTCACCTGAGCGCGATAAAGGCGACCGTGAAGCGCAGGACGAGCCATTTGTCGTATATACTTTTGCGTTTCGGGCGCGCGTTACCCGTGCCGGAGCGCGTGCCGTTGGTGCCGCCCGAGGTGGACCGGCCGTAGCGGACCTTGAACGAGGCGAGGGTGATGCGCGAGTGCACGTAACGGCCGAGGATGGCGAGGAGCAAGATGCTGCCCAAAGCGAAGCAGCCAATCACTGGAACGGTCAGCCACAGCTCGCGGTAAAACGAAGAAGCGGTAAGGGAGCCTACTGATGGCGTCGGCCAGCACCATGACGCCCACGGTGCTGTGGTTTACGCTACTGAAGCGGAGGAGCAATATCTGCACGGCGGGCAGGACGGCGGCGGTGGCTTTGGCGATGAGACTCGCGTGGAAGCGGTACACCTTGAAGATGCGCAGTTGGAAGATGCTGTTCGCGAGCTCGACGGCCCTGGGTTAAAGTCAGTTGGCGGCGTATGGAGATAGACAGGCGGTCGACGCACCAGAAGAAGACGAGCAGGGACTCGACATTGTAGCAGTAATACTCTGTCAAGGGTCAGATTGGCTGAGAAAACTGGACGGTGGGCTACTGACGGATGTAGAACAACCCCAAGTCCAGCCCCGACGATAAGCCGGCGATGTTCAGCTCTGGATAGCCGACAGTGGCGACGAGCTTCTCGTACTGCTCAATCTTGATCTCGCGCCATCGGACAATGGTGTGAATCTGCTGGATGATGGAGGCGAGGGTATGCAAGGACACGAAGAAGCCCAGCATGGCGACATCTGAATCGTCAGCGGCCGCAGGTCCGACCAGGGGAAACGCAGCTTACAGCTCTTGCGCTCATCATGAACCCAGACAAGCCACACCAGGAAGATACCGCAGGCCAGACAGATGAAGCTGTAAATGAGAACGACCAGGGCGACACCCAACACACCGGGCGGAAGCTGGTCCATCATGCCGGCGCTGGTGAGGGGGGAAGCGGAAGAATCGAGTGAGATCAGGAACCAAGACGAAAGTCTGCAGCAGGGCTGACAGGTATACCTGAACTCGAGGGCGTTCCATGGCGCCGGGTCATACAGCAGCCACTGTCAGCCACGACCAGGGTGCCCAAGAAGAAGAGGAAAACCGGCGTCGCAAAACAGCAATTCCCGGCTGCCGAAGGAGCTGGATTGGGGCGGAACGGAGCTTCATCCTGTCTGAGCACAAGGTCGTGCTGACTATTTGGGCTTGGAGTCGAACACTAGCTCTGTGCCTGGTGGGGTCGCGGACGCGCGGAGGCCATATGCACCAGTCTGCTTTGCAGTTGGGTTGGTATCGTCGGCGCATCGCATCTGCTGAAACACCCTGGCTGACATGTACTGTGTACAGGGCAGGGGGCGGGTGTGCAGATCACATCGAGCCTGCAACCCAAGATCGCACGGGCCAAGGCTGTCTGGGATCCCGGGCCGGCAATGTTCTTCCCAACCGAGGACACCGCACAAGGACAGAGCACTCCGTAACTTCATCCGCCCAAAAAGTATTTGGCGACTTGGGATTGCTCATGCCAAGGCGCATTCAGACGAATAATCGTTGCCCGACTGGCGGAAAGGATAGGAAATTCGCATGAAACATGGCAATACCTCAACCGCAGCAAAAAAGTTCGAGAAGCTGGCGAGAAACCGGATAGTTCTGGGCGGGGTGGCTGGAAGGAGCGACACTTGCGAAGCTAGGCACAGAAGCTCCATCGCGGCGATTGATCCTTCGGTCTTAGCGTCGGTGTCAGCCCACGTGGAAGCAGGGGCCCGCACGAATGAAAGCGTAACTGCCCCCACAGAGGGGAACTCGACGCCAAAACACACGGTAAATCCCGTCGCGTTCCTATTCTCGGGCCGCCTTGACGAAGCGCCCATCATAAAACCACCATCTCACCACCAATCACCATGGGCGACGAATGGGAACCGCCGCTCCCTGCAGGCTACAGCGATGTCAATCGCGCATTTCTCCAAGCCTTCATGGCGCGGGGCACCCTCACCTTCCGCGAGGGCCAAAGACTGCTTGCTGCCATACAGTCCGCCTCCGAAGGCGGCAGCCACATCGACCCAGCATCCATAACGATGGACGAGTTTCAGAACTTCATCCGCACCGCCCGAGACGCCGTGGAGCCTTTAGACTTCGACATCCGCAACACACGGGACCAGATCCGCGGCGGCGAGCGCGTCTGGGCCTTCATCAACGCCCACAGCGACCCCGCGACACAGCTGAGCACCACGCACACACCCGAAGAAGTGGCCTACGTCAAGAGGCTGCTGGACGCCATGTTTGAGCAGTACAACACCCCGCGCATGGAGGTCATGGCTGTGGACGAGGGGCAGGCGCTGCGGGTATCCCGGCCGGCAGCGAGGAGGGAGAGCAACATGAACGGGAACGATAACGACGACGAAGAGCATCAGGAGGACGGCGCCGCGGCAGCAGCGACAGGGCGAGGTCTGAAGCACTCCGAGGTCCTCTCCCTTTTGTCGAGCCTGGTGGCCGAGGGCTGGCTGGACAAGTCGCTTAATGGCTTCTACAGCCTCACCCCACGGTCGCTGATGGAGCTGTGGTCGTGGCTTGTGGCGACGTACAACGAATCGGACGCCGACGCCGACGACGACTGGCAGCGCATCAAGTTCTGCGAGGCTTGCAAGGAGATCGTCACGTACGGGCAGCGGTGCAACGAGCCAAACTGCACGATTCGGCTGCACGATATTTGCGAAGACGGGTTCTGGCGGACCAGGCCCGAGAGGAAATGCCCCAAGTGCAGCACACCTTGGGAGGGAAATCACTATGTGGGGGAGCGGGCGGTCACTTCACGGTCGGGATTTCAAAGGGGCCGCGGACGGCGAGCAAGACGGACCGAGGCGGCCGAGGCTGAGGAAAATGGGGCAGATGAGGAGTGATTCCTATAAAGCGGCCATTGATACCCGGCGGTGCGATGCACTTGCCACAGTTAAACGAGATGAACACATATTGTGTACGAGTCTGTTCCATGACATCATGTGGCGGCGGTACGTGGCGGTGCGCTTGGCATGCAGCACGCCTGGATACGACGCGGAGGGAAGCGGGGGAAGAAGTTGACGCCGCGTGCAGCTATGCAGACAGTTTAACGTGAGCTTTTCCAGCTCGGTTGAAACAACTACCATCTCACCTGATCACCAGCAACACCTCCAAATGGCGGGATTCTTCAAGAAACACAAGGAGGCAGACAAACCGGGAAAAACCGGGACGAATGAAATAGCCCAGGCAGCTTCCGCTACTAAAGATGCATTGGCGCCCGGCGCACCAGAGGGCGATAAGCCCGCGCCCGTCCTCGACGACGAGGACGAGCAGTTCCTGCAGCGACTCGTGTCAAACGACGATGACGACGGGCCGCCGCCGCCCCTCCCACCGCGCCCAAAGACGCCCGACCTGACCTGGGACAGTGACAGCGAGTCGATCCGGCTTGCCCAAAACGAAAAGCCCGCCGAGTCCACCACCACCACTACCACCACCACCACAGCCAAGAAACCAAACCGCTTATCCCGCCTCTTCCACCACAAACCCTCTTCCTCCTCCAACAACAACACCCTGACCGTCCCCAACAGCAGCACCACTGTCCCGCCGGAAGAAGCAGACCGCGAATGGGCCGACCTGAACCTCGTGCTCTCCCGTCTCGGCATCGAGCCCACCAGCACCGAGGTTACCGAATTCTCCAACCTTTCCAAAAGTCCTACTCCCAGCAAAACCAAAGCCGCCGCACTCGCCGCCTCAGTCGAGGTGCAATCGCTCCTCCGCCAATTTGTGCTCGTGCTTAAAGACATCACGAACGGCGCCCCGACGGCCGTTGACGACCTTATCTCGCTCCTCGACGGGCGCAACGATGTGCTCAAGCGCGGCTTCGAGAAGCTGCCGGGCTCAATGCAGAAGCTCGTCACTCAGCTGCCCAAAAAGCTAACCAGCTCCTTGGGCCCCGAAATGTTGGCCGCTGCTGCCGAGGCCCAGGGTCTGAGGAAGGAGACGGACGCGGGCGGACTGGCGAGGTTTCTGATGCCCAAGAATCTGGGAGATCTGGTGCTGACGCCGGCAATTGTGAAGAGCATGCTCAAGGCAATTGTGAATGCGCTGAAGGTGAGGTGGCCAGCCTTTGTGGGGACCAACGTGCTGTGGAGCACGGCGGTTTTCTTGTTGCTCTTTGTGTTGTGGTACTTTCACAAGCGCGGCAAGGAGGAGAGAGAGAAGCGGGAGAAGGAGGAAACGGAGAAGGAGGGAAGGGAGGGTGCATAACCGGAGGAGAAAAAAGAGGCGGCTGAGGGGACGTCGAGCGGTGTGATGACTGAGCCGCCTGTTGAGAGGCCGCGGGCGTGAGATGAAGATACCCTGTGACACGATTTCGTAGCCAACGTAATGCCATCGTTTCTGGTCTTTCAGTCGTCCTGGACCAACTCCTTGATCTCCTCTCTACCCGGCGCCACCGCCTCGGCCTTCTCATCTCTTGCCGACCGGTCAATGATTTTCCCGCCGTCCTGCATCCAGAAGCCGACTTCGTCCACAATGTCGTAGACAATGTCCTCGGCGATCTGTTCGTCGTAGCGCTCGCTCACCGGCCGCAGCGTATTCAACTTCTTCCGCGGCGGCCCATCGGCGTCGGCCATCTCAGCATCCTCAGCGGGCGGAGGGTACCAGAAGTTGGGCCCAAAGTTCACCTCGACCGCACCGCCCCGGAAGACGCTGACTGCCGGGTAATAACCCAGCGTCCCGTCATCGAGAGCCTCCCGCCCGCCGGTCTGTTGCGCCTGCTTCGACGCTGGTGGAAGGAATGCCAGCAGGTCAGTCCAGGGCGTCCCCATGAGGACGCCATTCTTGTACACCTTGATGCACGAATCTGGCAGCGTGCGCAACGCAGGAACGGTGTGGTTTGGATTCGGCGGCTCAGCATTGTGTCCCGACGCCATTGGGGACGGGTTCATCAACTCCTCCAGCTCCTTCGTCGTGTGGTAGTCAATCTTCTCAAAGTAGATGTGCGCTTTGAACCGGATCGGGATGCGGTCTCGAATGATGTTTGGCGCTTCGGGCGTTTGCTTGAACTCCTCGTCAGCGAGGTCGATCGCCGGATTGTACACACCCTGAACAATCTTCCGCTGCAGGCGCTCCGACGGCAGCTGTATCTCCAACCCGATCACATCCCCTTCTTTTATGTCCTCGCCTGGCGGGAAGAAGTCCTTGGGTCGCGACATGTGCACCTTTTGGCCCGCCACATCCCTAATCCCGTAGCTGTAGGCATCGAACCCAACTGGCGCGTCCAGGGACGCCTCCCTCCTGGCGAATCCCACACGAACATGACCATGCGATGCTGGATCGCCCTCCCTCCGGTCCTTGAGTATGCCCCGGGTGACTTTGCACTCCCAATACCATCGCCCCTCGCGGACGGCCACGTTGGCGCGAGACATCCGGAAGCCCTTGTCTGAGGTAATATGTGTTCCGCTTTGATCGAAGAACATGTGAGATGCCGCATCTTCGAAGCTCATGTGGGCAGCAAACGGCGGCGGCTCGGTGTTGCGGTAGTAGAACATGGACGGGAAGCCGGGGTCGGCGATGCAGTGTGTATAGTGGAAATTCTTTTTGTTATAAACGCTGCAGAGGTCAGCCAACTGCAGGAAGGGGCATGGTAGTCCAAACCTACTGATCTGACGTCTCGTAAAACTCAATCGTCCTGCCTTCTGGGTCTTGCACCTCATGGTGGCTTGTGAGGACGGGTCCTTTGGGCAACTCGAAATCGGTGGGCTTTGGATGCGCGAGCTTGTACCGAATGGGCGCCAGATTCCCCGGTACTTCCCTCGGCTTGGGGTCAGGCGTCGCCCTCGCGCTGTCCGTACCGCCTTTGGATTCGCGTTTCTTGAGCGAGTCTTTCTTGGTCCTCTTCTCGCGCGCCATGACCTGGCTGTCCTCCTGTATCTGCACCTGCACTTTTTGCGCCTTGGGTTCGGGGTTTAATGGCGATGAAACGGCTGGGACATGGTCATCTTCGAGGGCGCGTTTTTGGGGAATTGAGGAAGGCATGACAGAGGGAGTGGGCTCCCTTTGGGGAGAAGCTGCGGCGGAGGCCATTGTGAGATTGAAGCGATACAACCCAATAATCAAGCGCAAGAAACCATTTCATCCCAAAGCTGCGCCCTTCCAGTGACGGCATGCCACGATAGCTTATATTGTCGCTTTGTGGGTGATAGACTCCATCTGATGCGAGAAGGGGAACTGGCTGGTTTTGGGGGACGCGCCTTGCATGAACATGAAGCTCGGGTCAATCCCCAGCCAATCACGGACCATCCTCCCTGCCGCAACCAAATATCATCGGCAGTCTGCCCGGCCTCTATTTTCAACTCCCCGGCACATCCCAACCATCACACCAGCCATCAAAAATGCCCGTCGTCAAGGGAGGCGTGTGGACAAACATTGAGGACGAGATCCTCAAGGCGTCCGTCAGCAAATATGGGCTGAACCAGTGGGCGCGTGTGTCGTCGCTGCTGGCGCGCAAGACACCAAAGCAGTGCAAGGCCCGCTGGAACGAATGGCTCGACCCCAGCATCAAGAAGATCGAATGGAGCAAAGAGGAGGATGAGAAGCTGCTGCACCTCGCCAAGTTGATGCCCACTCAATGGCGCACTATTGCCCCGATCGTTGGCCGCACCGCCAACCAGTGCCTGGAGCGATACCAGCGCCTCCTCGACGAAGCCGAGCAGAGGGAAGCGTCCTCCTTGGGGCTCACAGGCCCTGAGGGCGGCGAAACCAAAGCACCCACCGCCGATGATGTCCGCCGCTTGCGCCCGGGCGAGGTCGACCCCGATCCCGAGACGAAGCCCGCCCGACCCGACACGATCGATCTTGATGAGGACGAGAAGGAGATGCTGAGCGAGGCCCGCGCCCGCTTGGCCAACACACAGGGCAAGAAGGCGAAGCGGAAAGCTCGTGAGCGGCAGCAGGAGGAGTCACGACGGCTGGCAGCTCTGCAGAAGCGGCGAGAGCTCAAGACGGCCGGCATCAACATCAAGGTCACGACGCGCAAGAAGGGGCAGATGGACTATAATGCGGACATTCCCTTCGAAAAGAAGCCCGTGCCTGGGTTTTACGACACGACCGAGGAGATCTCGCGCAACGAGTTTCAGCGGACTCATTTCGATCCCAAGAAGCAGCAGGTCGGTAACAAACGCAAGGGCGAGGAGGACGGCGATGCCGACCGGAAGCGGAGGAAAAACGAGAAGGATGGGCCCTCCGCGTCGCTGCAGGCTGCTCTCAAGGCTGGCCAGATGCAAAGGCTTCGCGAGGCGGAGCAGAGCAGCAAACGCAAAACCCTGGTACTCCCTGCGCCACAGGTCAGCGAGGGCGAGCTGGAAGAGATCGTCAAGATGGGCATGATGGGCGAGCGGGCGGCCGCCATGGCGCGTGAAAGCGACAACGACGCCACCCGCGGGCTGGTAGGCAACTATGCAGCGCTCAACACAAACGCGCCAATCAGGACACCGCTTGCGCCTGCGCAGGAGGACCATATCGCTAATGAGATCCGCAACATCCGGGCGTTGACGGAGACTCAGTCATCCCTTCTCGGCGGGGAGAACACGCCTCTCCACGAGGGAGCAGGGTCGACCGGGTTCGATTCAGTCGCACCCCGGAAGCATGTCGTGGCCACGCCCAACCCGCTCGCAACGCCCCTGAGGCCGGCTGCAAATGGTGTCGGCGCCACACCACTCCGGGTTGGACAGACCCCGCTGCGAACACCGCGGGACACCTTCTCCCTGAATGCCGCCGATAGAGATATGGACATGGTTGGAGGCACGCCAGCAGACGCGAGGATGCGGGAGCTCTCCATTCGTCACCAGCTCAAGCAGCGCCTTGCTGCATTGCCAAAGCCGAAGGAGACTGAGTGGGAACTGGAGCTGCCGGAGGAGCAACAGGTGCCCATGACGGCCGAGCAGCTTGAGGAAGACGCCGCAGAGCGTGACCGCAGAGCCCGGGAGATCCGCGAGGCGCAGGAACTCCTGGAGCGCAAGCGGCGGACGCAGGTGATGCAGCGGAATCTGCCTCGAGCTGTGTCGGTCGATTACGCCGCGTTACTGCGAGCCGCATCCGAGGTCGAAGACGCGGCCCAGGCACTCGTCGCCAGGGAAGCTGCGCTGCTAATGGCACACGACGCGACAAAGTACCCCGTCCCTGGTGCACCTCTGGCCACGAAGCCAGTCGACCTGCCCCAGATCGACGACATGGCCCTCGCAGAAGCCCGTCTCCAGGTCCTCCTCGAGATGAAGGACAAGCCCAAGCCCGAGGCGGTGGAAGCCGTCTGGAACAAGGAAAACACCAACTCGCTGCTCCTCGGCCTGGGCTGCTACGACTCGGACGACGAGGAAGATCAGATTTCAATCATGAAATCCGCATTGGATGTAAGACCACCTCTCCCTCACCCACCTCTACTGTCACCACCAGCTGACCATCACCCTACATTCAGTCTGCACTCGATTCACTCATCGCTTCAGCCGAAAAAGGCAACAAGCTCGAAAAGAAACTGAACCTGCACCTCGGCGGGTACAAGAACCGCGCCGAGATCCTGCGCACCAAGGTCGGCGAGGCGCACGCCGCTCTGGAGAAAGCGCGTAACGCCCTCAGCGGGTTCAGGGTCCTGCAGGCCAGCGAGCAGGCGGCTATCCAGCGGCGGCTGGCGGCCCTGCGGGCTGAGGTGGCATTTATGAGTACGAGAGAAAGGGAGGCGCAAGAGCTGTATCGTACGGTCAGGGGCGAGTTGGAGGAGTTGAGCATTGGGTTTGATAGCCGATTGTAAGGGGGTGTGTTATTTGGGAGGTAGAAGGATGGATGGTTGGGTTGGCGTTCGGGGAGTAGCGAGTCACAAATTGTCTTTGCGGTGTGCCCAGACAGATGGAAGGAACTGGTGGAAGCGATGTCCGCGAGTCCATCACTGATAAGCAGGATGTTGTCTTCTCCAACGGGCGGTGGAAGCTCCGGTGCGGCCGTGCGAGGTTCAAGAGTGAGCAACATCTCCCATAGGGAAGTCGTGGACAATACAACACACAAAACAATATTACAACCTTAGTCTGGATTCAATAGGGGCTATATCGGACCCCTTATCCCGTGAGCGTCGATGAGTAGTGGGACAGGTTCTCGAGCGCGAACGACGGCATCAGGGGCTTCGAGGATGCGGAGCAGTCGATGCGGTACTGGTCGGCGAGTTCGACCGTCCTGAAAACCGCGGCGAGATTCAACAATCAAATCAGAAGTGGCTCGCTCATTCCACCACCACAACAACAACAACAACAACAACAACAACAGCAACAACAACAACAACAACAACAATAACAATAACAATAACAACAACAGCCCACGAGCATTGGAGGGCAGAGACACTTTCAGTTCCATACTTAAGTCCACCGGGCAGACCAGAGTGCACTGGTTTAGCACAGTACCGTACTACCTGCGGTCCGCGCGGCTGATTGCTTGGGCAACCTCCCATTGCTGTCACTCACATGGCCGGGCGTCGTCAACAAAAGGTATTTTACCTTGGTTGACACCAACCTGGAACGGCTCTTATCGTCACCACCCGTGATTAAATATAATATAAAACCCGTTTCGCATCAATCCTCAATCACACTCAGTTGACTACACCTGGGCTGTTGAACGATCACATAGCTTGTCTCGGTTTTCGAAATTACTTGTACTCATACAGACGGTAGCCGTCCTTCCCATCAGTGCTCGGGACCGACCTTGCCTCTACCGACAATTGTCCAGCTATTCGCCACTTCCATTGCGGTTCAGCTGCTGTTGTTGATTATTGGACCCGCAGACTTTGCCGCCCTCTTCTTCTACCCGCAACAATGATCATGTCCTCGACCATTTGCCGACTGCCTCTTCCCCGAGTACCGGGGCCGAAACTTGCCTCACTCACTCCTACTGGGAACACTAACATCAAATCCATTGAGGAACTGGGAAGCTCCTCCGACAAAGATGCCTATGTCTGGAAGGTGGAGATTCAGAGGTCAGTCTACGCGCTGAAGATGGTGAATGGTTTCTAGATAGAGCAGGATATCAACCAACAGTATAACTAAGGTGAAGAGCGATTACTTCCAGTTCAACAATTGGCAGTATCTCAGGAAAAGTCCAGGGCAGGCTCTCAGGTACGCCCTCCCCAAGAGTCAATACTACTTCGACTATCTCGACCATTTTTGCTGCGAGTGTCGGATATACGGCCGTCTTAAAGAAGAGCATCGCGAGGACATCGCCGTTCGAGCACACGGCTACCTACTCCTTAACCCCCAGAAAGAAGAGGAGATTATCAAGATGATAATGGGCATCGATTATGAACAGGACCACCACGACTCGAAGCTCAATGGTCAGAACATCTGGGTCCTGTATGAGCAGCACCGTGGACAACCTGTTCGGGCGATTGTTAAGGACCTCGCTCGACCTGACTGCACACTCTTTCGAGACCAGGCAGATCCCGCAAATGTGGACTGACCTAAACACCCTTCATGCGCTGGGGATCGTGGTTCAGGACATCCATCTCGGTAACTACCTGGGTGGAAAGCTGATCGACTTCAGCCGGGCTTGGACCATGTATCATCCGTGTCTGGATGATGATAGGACGCAGTCTATGCTGGAAAGGCTCTCAAGGAGGGATGCGCGGATCTGAGGGTATGATTGACGACCATTGTGGTTATGACGTGCAAGGAATACCGGAGGAGCATCATGAGTTTACCGCAAAGAAATGCGATGCTGGAACAGACCAGACGCTGTACAACTGGCGGGAACAGGGAGGTGAGGAGGCGGAAGCTCATGTAAAGGAGCTCTATACCGAGCATGGGGTCGAGTCCTATTCCGACGGCAACGATTGATCAGGCCTGAACAAGGAAGTCTTAACGCGTGCTCTCGACCGCGAGCATCAAGAAATAGTGCGAGCTGTGATACATACAGTCTTCTGAAGTCGGACTCTAACCAATACAACAGGCCTATAAAACACATTCAAGCATTCCGTCTGAGTTAGGGTTGGAAACGAGCTTCACGTGGCTGGCAACACAGCTTCACAACTCCCGGCGCCCCTCGAGCCATACTCCAAGATTGGCCAGTGTGATACATGCCCCCATCAGCAGCACCGAACTACCCGCTGTCACCGCTACCACAGGAGCACAGCTTGTCTTTTGGGGCTCGAGAACTGCCTCTCTAGTGGACAACGGGGGTGTTTGTTTGCGCCCATCCCTGAATCTTGCCCTTGTAGTATGAGATCCGCTGCACGACGAGCTTCTTAGAATCAAGACCGCTCTGCTGTCGACTTTCCAGTAGGAGCCCGATGTACCGTCATCGTTACACCTGCCACCGCAGAAGCATGTGGCCACGGGCCCGCTCGGCGTGGTCAGTCTCCCGGCCACACTGAGCAGCCCCGTGGCCGCGGTAGGCCACCGCTTGTCAGGCCGCATTGCCATCAGATTCTGCCCACAATGCCCACGCGGTGATCTCTAAAGCTGCATCCCAATCTGCCAGTCCAGCTACGAATGAAATTCCTCCCAATGCTAATTTGCACACAGGGGCCATGGTTCCCATGCGGGGATTTGCGTACCCGAGGGCATGGCAAAGGATGTTATAGCCGTGATCAGACTTCCTCTTCGGGACGCGAAGCAACATCGGACCCCAATATGGCGTTGGACAGGAGAGGAGGGATAAGGACGTCGCATGGAGGCGGTTAAAGTGTCGCCTGGGCTCGCAAACAAGCTCTCGAGTCGCGCATCGCTGGCGAGCCCCCTACTGCAGATATCTATTAGACCGCAGTGCGACTCAGGGTCATCTGGTACCCCTTAAACCCCCGTCACGAAATTCGCTCACTCTCATAATGGTATCCCTACGCTTCGGGCGGGCTGGCCGCCCGCGCTGTCCACATGGCATCACGCTTGGCCCTCGGGCTGACAGCGCCTCTTACTCTGACAACTCGCTCGCAGCGGCCAAGGCGCTCCAGGGTTGGTACAACGCACCCTCTGGGCTCTGGGGCACGACCGGCTGGTGGAACAGCGCAAACTGTCTCTCAGTTCTCACCGACTGGGCGCTGCTCGCCGGATCTGCCGCCCAGAGCGTGAACGTGCCCAGCATCATCGCCAACACCTTCAGCAACGCGCAGCGGGTCGTGGCCACGGCGCACAAGACGGTCTCCTCTACGGGCCTGACCACGTCCAGCTATCGCTACCAGCCGACGCCGAGCAAGCGGGGTTTCTCCGAGTTCGTCAACGACTACTACGACGACGAGGGCTGGTGGGCGCTCGCGCTGATCCGGGCGTGGGACCTGACGCACCAGCACACGTACCTGGATATGGCCGAGCGCATCTTTGCCGACATGCACAACGGCACCGACGGGACCTGCGGCGGCGGCGTGTGGTGGAGCAAGGAGCGCGCGTACAAGAACGCCATCGCGAATGAGCTGTACCTCAGCGTGGCCGCCGGCCTGGCCAACCGCATCGTGGGCAAGAAGGCGCAGTACACGCAGCTGGCCAAGGCCTCGTGGACGTGGTTCCGCAGTAGCGGCATGATCAACGAGCACAACCTCGTCAACGACGGCCTCATGATCCACGCCGACGGCAAATGCGCCAACAACGGCCAGAATACCTGGTCCTACAACCAAGGGGTTGTGCTGGGCGGGCTGGTCGAGCTGGCTAAGGCGACGGACGATGCGTCGTACCTGAACCCGGCCGTCGCCATCGCCAAAGCGGCCCTCGCGCTGCTCAGCGACGGCAACGGCATCATCCGGGAGGTGAACGAGTGCGAGCCCGACTGCGGCAGTGACGGCAGCCAGTTCAGGGGCATCTTCGTGCGCAACCTGCGCTACCTGCACCTGGCGGTGCCACACGAGGCGTTCCGGACCGCGATTGTCAAGAATGCCGACTCGATCTGGGCGCACAACCGCAACGGCAAGAACCAGCTTGGCATCAAGTGGACGGGTCCGCCGGAACTGGGGGAGGGGCCGAATGCGTCAACGCACAGCTCGGCTATGGATGTGATTGTTGCTGCGTTGGCTGTCTCGTCGTAGCCAGCACTTGAGGGTGTGGGAGTCGGTGAGATGGACGACGAAGTGTCGAGTGAGATGTAAATGCGGAGAGCGCCAGTGTTCCGCCTCGATATCTGATACCATTAAACAGTCAGCTTGAATAGCGAAGCATTGCCAAAGATCCTATCAACCTGTCAGAACCAATTCATGTGTTGGGCTCTGACATGGCAGGTGAAAAGTGTGCCGGTGCCTGATTGAAGTTCGAGGAGTTCCTCAATTAACCACCCACTGCAGCGGCCCCACTTTAAAACCTGCCCCTCATCAACTCATCACCATGGACGCCTCCGAAGAAGACCTCGACATCAAGTTGCAAAAAGTATCGGCCGATCTCATTGCAGATTTCGACAAGTCTCTCGGCCCTTTTCTTAGAAAGCAAGATGGTGCAGGCCGGTCAGCAGTGCGGTCGCGCGTGCGCAGCCGTGAAACTGAGCGTCTGATCTCTTCAGTGAGCACACCCCCCGCCCATCTCTCGCTACCTTACCCAAACCTACAGAACTCCATCCCCCACTAATACACGCCTTAAAAGCGAAATAAAAACTGATACATAACCAGCTCCTCGACCCCTTTCAAGAACTTCCCCAGCTCCTGGACCCGCACCTTCCCATCTGGCTCCCTGCTCTAAGCGATGCCTACCTAGAGCACCTCCTCACCCGCCGCCCTTCCCCTTCATCCAACACCACCAGCATCTCAGGCCGATCCAATGACTTGTTAATGCCCCTCCCGCGCGCCATATGCAAGCTGCTATACACCTTCTGCAAAATCCGCGGGGAGAAGGTCGTCGTGCGGTTCCTTAGTAATGAAGCCAGGTATCTCGAGGTGCTGCTATCGGCGTTGGAGGACGCGGAGCGGGCTGCTGAATCCAAGTCCGGTTCCAACCCCAATCCTGATCCTCTCGGTGGTGGTGGTGGTCTTGATGATATCAGTCATGGCCAGGCGGTTGCGGTCCGGGTGGGGGCCTGGACGTGGGAGGAGCGGTACGTGGTGCTGCTTTGGCTGTCGCATCTGATGCTGGCGCCGTTTGACCTGGCGACGATTTCGTCGTTGGAGGAGGAGGAGGTGGTGGCGGGGGAGGAAGAAGCGGAAAAGGAGGAGAAGAGGAAGAGGGTGGGTGGATTGACGCTGCCGGCCGGGTTGCCCAGCATCACGACCCGGATCCTGCCGCTGGCTGTCAAGTACCTGGCTTCGCCGGGGAAGGAAAGGGATGCGTCCAAGGCACTGCTGGTGAGGGTTGCCATGAGGAGGGATATGCAGGAGATGGGGGTGCTTGATGCGCTGGTGCGGTGGGCGTTGGCAGCGCTGCGGCCGCAAGACGGGGCCGAGCGCACGCCGTATCATTATATTGGCGTGTTGTCGTTTCTGGCCGGTGCTCTGACGACATCGGAAAATACCTCGGACATGAATTCGTACCTGACCATCATCTTCCACGCTGTGCACGGTATCGCCGTCGAGGGGGGCAAGGCCGGGGGCATGATGGCGTCCGCCCTGGCGCGCAAGACCATGATCAAGGTCATCCGGGCGATTGCCGTGCTGCTACTGAGGCGTCCTCAGGACATGGAGGGCATGGAGATGGTCGAGACAGCCATTGGGTTCTTACTGGAGAATTTGGCCGACAACGACACGCCCGTCCGGTTTGCCGCCAGCAAGGCCCTCAGCGTCATCACGCTCAAGCTGGACGAGGACATGGCGTTGCAGGTTGTCGAGGCTGTGCTCGAGTCTCTGAACCGGAATGTCTTACGCGTCGAAAGTCCTGGAGAAGCGGCAACACCAAAGAAAGACCTCAGCATGGTCGATCCCCTGGAGTGGCACGGCCTGATGCTGACACTGTCCCATCTGCTCTACCGGCGGTCCCCACCCGCAGAGAATTTGGCCGATATTGTTCAAGCGCTGCTCATGGGTCTGTCGTTTGAGAGACGCAGCACGTCTGGGAGCTCTACTGGCGGAAATGTCAGAGACGCCGCATGTTTCGGCATCTGGGCGCTTGCCCGGCGGTATACTACGGCTGAGTTACTAGCAGTACCGACCGCGACGTTGACTGCCGATTCCAGCTCAGGAGTTTCAATACTGCAGATCATCGCTACCTCTCTTGTTGCCGCTGCCTGCCTGGACCCCTCCGGCAACATCCGAAGGGGGTCTTCGGCGGCGCTGCAAGAGTTGATCGGCCGCCATCCCGACAGAGTCGAGAAGGGTATTTGGGTTGTCCAGACAGTCGACTACCACGCCGTGGCCCGGAGGTCGCGAGCGCTGCATGACGTTGCCCTCGGCGCCACCAAGCTCTCCGGGCAGTACGGAGAAGCCATCTTGGAGGCTTTGCTGGGCTGGAGAGGGGTTGGCGACGTCGACGCAGCTTCTCGCCGTGCGGCGGGCGCGTCATACGGCATGATTACCGCAGAGTTGGCCTCGACCGAATTCAACCATATCCAGCGGCTGACACGGTCTGTGTCTCTGGTTTTGGACCACATCAAATCACTTGAGAGCCGTCAAGTCGAAGAAAGGCACGGGCTATTTTTCAGCTTTGCAGCTGTTTTGGACGCGCTACCTGGTGTTGCGACGATAAAAGACGGAGCCCTTGACCAACTCATCCAGCTCTCGATGGACGCATTGCTGGCTATCCTCCAAGACTGCAACTCAAAGACCTACCGCAAGCCGGAGCTGGTCGCCGAAGCTGCCAGTCGGCTGATCATCTCATCGTTTCCTGTGCTCCAGGCAGCCACCTCAGCTTCCACCAACCTGCTGCCTGGGCGTTCGCTCAGGACCAAAACGGGCGATGAGCTCGCCCAGCTGGTGAACGTCGTGGGTGCCAGGACCGAAAAGCTGGGTACCTTCATCGCCCTCGTCAGGGCCAACCTGCAAAAGTGGCTCGTCTGGCCAGACCTAGAGATCGTCTCCGCCGCGTCCGAGGCCGCGGTAGTCCTCATGATCTTCTGCAGCGACGCGGAACGCGACGAGGCCATCCGCGGATGGGCCGAGGCCGCCAGGGAGCGCCAGTCCTCCAAGACGCGCACAACAAGCGGCCACTTCTCTGCGCTGGCAGCCGTCTATCCCATGGCGTCGACCATGGCGCTCGAGGAGGACGAGACGCTCATCTGCGACGCCATCACGGAGCGCTGGCGGAACGACGTCTGGACAGACACGCACGCCTGCATCCTCCAGAGCCTGACCGGCAGCGAGCTTCTCAAGCAGAATACCGACGTGTTCTTCGACCTTGTGGCGCAGGGTCTGGATGATTACACGACAACTGCTCAAGGAGACGTTGGATCTCATGTTCGGCTTCAAGCGATCAGGGCGACAAAGTCACTGTGGGAAATGCTGGACGAGGATCCAGGGACCAAAGTGCCGCTTGTCGGGGGACTGTTTCTGCGGATCCTACGACTGGCGGCGGAGAAGCTGGACCGGGTCCGGGCTGCGGCACAGGCAGCGCTTGCTGTGGTCCTGAAGCCAGCGTAAGTGCAGTCTCTGAAACGATATCCGCCGGGCAGCTGCTGATCCATCCGCCAGGCAAGCCGCGGCGCTGCGTAGGTCGACTTTCTCGTCCAAGGGCTACTTTGTCTTTCTGCTGGACCTGCTCCAGCAAGACTGGCTGCACCCCGCCGTGTCCGAGGTCAAGGCGGACGCAGAGCGATGGATGGACGCGTTGATGGCTGGCTTCGTGTCGTCTGCCGACACCGGCAACGAGGAGCTCGTCATTGCGACCCGGGCCGCGCTGTGCGAGTTCTGCGAGCGCTCGGCCGCCAGCACGGATGCCGTGTGCACGGCGCTCGCCCGGAACCTGAAGGCCTGGCAGGGGACGGACCGGGTACTTGTCCCAACGCTAGAGGTAATAGCCTTCCTCTTCCATGTCGGCATCTTTGCTCAGTGCAGCGGGGTAAACTACAAGAGCCTGTGTCTGCAGGTGCAGAAGGCCTGCTATAAGACGGGCAACGTCCGCAAAATCGAGGCGTGCATCAGGGTGTACGGCGCCATCGCGGAGCTCGGCCGGGATGCCGGACGCGGCGATGGCGATGATGCGTGCAAGAAGCAGGAGGGCGTCCGCGAGGCACGAGCTCGCCTCGGCGCACTCATGTTCCACCCCTGGCCGCGGGTCAAAAGCACCGTCGTGGACGAGCTCTGGGCCCTGCACTACGACGATCCCGCGGCGCAGGCGCTCAAGAGCGTCGACTGGGCCAGGGCGGAAAAAGCGAAGATGAAGACGGTGGTGGGGGCTCTGGGGCTGGCTTAAGCCTGACCGCCTTTCTGCGGAGGCGGAGACGCAGCAACGAGCACGTCACGTTAAAGCGGCGGAACGGGGCCCCGACTAATAAATAGGGTTGGCTTAACGTTGAAACGGCTCTGAATTTCCGCCCAAGTCATTTCAAGAATGCTACTCCGTATGTTATACCATCCGCCGTTCTATCATGGGAAAGGACAAGTCGATTGGGACAAATGGTGGGGTCCACATGGCAAGCTGGCAGCCCTATCACGCCGCGGTTTGTGGAGGCGAACGTCCACCCGGATCGAAGACCGTTGTTGCCGCAGACGGGGCCAAGTCGAGGCTAGCCTGTTCGGGTCGATTACATCGATTTATGCAGAGAACTTTGCTGGTTGGTGTTCTCTCTCTCGCTTCAACTTCTCCGATGTGGAATCTCTGATGAGAACAGGCTAACTGGCCCGTCTCCATTTCCCGGCTGCAATGTACCCTTTGGTCAGATGATTGGAAGGGAGGTTCGCAGCACGTCGTCGCACGAGTCCCCTTATTCATCCTTGACAAAGCTGCCACAAGCGAGCACAGCGAGATGAAGATAATGTCGTGATGTGCTGCGTGCTGCGCGCTGACCGCCGCAGGGCTCAACAATCGAGGCGATATTAGTGTAAGCTGCGGGATGGCTGCGGCCCGGCGTCCGACGTTGAGCACAGGTCGCCGATTAATATGGCAACGAGGTTGCACAAAGTGCAGGTGGTGAGAATTGTCACCCTATCGTGAGGTATGTCGCTGCCGGCCATCCATTGGTCAACCTTTTCCTTTCCGTGATCTTCTCTTCCTGCCGAGGGCGCCGTCAACCACGTGCAAGGTTTGTCAGATCAATATTGAGCGGGAGGGAACTTCTTGGTTACCCCAGACGTTGTATCAGCCTTAGTTGGTGTGTGTGTGATTGCGGCACTCGGCTGACGGGCGTAGAAAGTGGAAAGGGAGCGGCTTGCAGGCATTTGAGAAGAGGAAAGAAAAAAGACGGAAAGAAAGGAAGTGAGAGTGAAACATGTACTGAAAACAAACCGGGCTAAGCTAGATTGCGACTGATGTCCAGCCATACAAGTGCATCCCTTTGCAGACCTCACGCCAGCACGGATCATATGCGGAATCTGATCGAAAGGGAATAACTACGGGAAAATCCGCCCGCCCTCATTTCGTGAAGCTTTCCTGGACGACGTGGTGTTGTGTTAGGCGTTCGTTAGGTCATTCTTCTCACCAGCGCTCGCATCAAATCGCCAACATGTCAAGTAGCGAATGTCCTGTCGAGGCGGGCGGCTGGTCAGACGGACGAAGCTGTCCTTGAAAGCGACGATGTTGGGTTCAATACCGATGATTGCCGTGCTTGGCTGCGGATTCCCACTATGGATGAAATCCAGGATTGCCTCCGATGTGCTAAAAATTGTTGTTGCCTCATGCGCTGCCGCTGCGTTTTGGCGGTCACGCCGTGGAGAATTTGATGAGAGGGAGATTTGCGAAAGAACAGGTTGTTTTCTTCGGCTTCCAGCTTGCTCGTCACGCTGCAGCTCTTCCGATCCTGCACGTCGAAGCTGCATCGACAGCGCGCCGCCTTCCACATCGGGCAAATCTTAACGTGGTTGGTCGCAGGACGGTGAAGGCCACCAAACCGCATCAGGTTTCGCTACGGCCGACAGATGCAACAGCGGAGGGTTTCCGAGTCGACCTTGTCGATATGAGGTTTGAAATAGGTACCTAATGATGATGTTCGGAGATGGATGGATTCGACGACCGTTGAGAGCCAAGTTGAAAATCATATCCTAACCGGACCACCCCTGCTTAGAGACAAGCTTGGGTCCATGGCGGACATCATTCGCCGGACTTAGCTTGCCGGTTCTTCTCACCGAGTCCAGCCCAATCATTTGGAAGATAACGAACCAGTTACCACACCCGTGCCCTCAGTTCAAATCAGCGCATATCGTTTTATCACCACCTCATAAAGACTGCATATTCTACTCCGTAGGTGGTATACGGTATCGAGCTGCCCAAATGGACGACCAACACGTAAGGGATTCTGTGAATTTCACCTGCCAGGTTACGACCACGATTTATCAGGCAGTCGCCGGAGCAACAGGGACCTTTTTATCCTTGCTATTGCAACAGCAGCGGAAGCTAATGTAGCGAACGTGGTACGTCTTTCGTGAGACCTTGGCGAGATCGGCCGCCGAGCAGTACGGATGCTTGGGCACCCAGCCGTCGATGGAATTGAGTGTGTTGATTATTGGGGCGTTCCGAGTCTGCCAGACAGTCAAGGCCGAGATTTCAAAGGTTTTCATGCCTCTTCTGTGGCCCGGCTGGCCAATACGGATCTACACTATTCCGTACCTTCCTCAAGTCTCGCATTGCAGGGGCCGCGGCAGCCAAGCAATGCTCGAACCAACATGGCCCCGTTAACAGAAGTAGCGAGAAGGCACACACGCAATCCATTGCACAAGTACTGCTCTCGTCGTATCCTGTCAAATAAACGCTGAGCAGCCCTAGGGTAATCTCTCGTCCCGGTTACACAGCGTTAGTTATGCATCGCCCACGTTGCGGGCGACGCCCACCACGGAAGGCAGGGCCAAGAAGGAGAGCAGCGGGAAGGCTTGCTGCCACGCCCACGCCGCAACGCCGCGCGGAGATCCGGGTCGTATGGATCGTGGCAATTTGTCTGCGGACCGAGCCTCCTCGGAACGGCCACTAGGCTGCCATACGTAGCCTAGCCTCGGCCACGGGCACTGATATTGCCGGCTGGCTGCGGCGTCCCTGTCCGCGGTCGATGTCACGTCCTCCCGCTTCTCTGGCGTCAGGGTGTTGTGGTTTTCGTGCATACGAGGACACCGTCACGAGCTCACGGCAGTTGAACAGCAGGGCCTCAGACAGCCGGTTGGTGGCATCCCTCTGCTCGGTGCAGTCAAGGTCAAGGTCTCCTGCATTTACCTATTGTCTTGTTCCACTGTCGATGCAGGTTGAAGCCAACTCCAGCCACCTAGGCCAGCCTCAACAGACGGCGGAGGAGACGCCGGATCGGGCGAGCAGTTCCGCGCCGCACATGCAGACAACCCCCTCCAGGGCCCTCCTTTTCCTGCACCCTGCCGCCTGCAGCCGCGAGAGAAAAGTTGGCAACCCCCCCGCTCTGCTGCAGTGCTGATGCTGGTGCAGACCGCCTTGTTGCGGCACACAGATATTTTCTGTAGAAATTCGAAAATTTGCAGCGTGCTGTCACCTCCCCCGCCTCATGGATGATAGGACCGCTGGAAGCTAAGACATGGCAACTAACAGAAAACCCTTCGCAAGCACTCTGGTGAGACTGCTGGCCAACGCCGGTTTGCGCCTTGACAGGATGAAGGTACATCTGGAGCGGAGGTAGGAGACGAGGGTACGGACGGAGCGGGGGTTCGCCCATCATCGGTCCCCGATACTTTCAATGCCTGACAAGTCGATGCGCATCGTATCGTGATCGACATGCAGCAGCGCTGCAGGGCCAAGCCCAACGCCGCGCCGCACAACGCGGCAGAGACTTCGGGGCAGTCCGCAACGGAGCGGATGCCGCCAATCGCCAGCGGAGAAGCGGCCTTGTTTGCTCTACCAGTCAAGCCAGTATGGTGCATGCGCCATATGTATATGCCGAGGTGGCCCTGTTGCTTACATGCGAAGTGCTGCCCCGTCTTTCTCCCCCTTTCTCTCCTCTCCGTGGAATGATTGTTTGGGTTATGGAACCCCAATATTGAACTTGATGATTTTTGTTGTGTTTCCAGCGCAGGCTCATGACCCCCTGCTGGTTCCTCGCTCCTCCGGCCTTGTTCTCGCAAACAGGGACAGCCCTCCCAAACTGAGGGAGAAGCGGCAACTCTCCCCGGTCTTGGCTGCGGATCAGATCCGCTAACTAGTTGGCGCTAACGTTGGACCGCAATCCAATCCCACGCGACAATCCACACTCGCCCGCTTGCAACTTGCGTCCTGTTTGGGGTTCTGCACGGGCAGCTGCCAACTGGAAGAACGGAAACCCAGAGAAGTCGGCCGACCGCTCCAACACCTCCCACCACCCTCTCCATCGCATGTCGAATCCGCAGCACCAGGCAGCACCTCGGAAACCCATCCTCGACCAGTCTCGTTTCTTCGCAATTCGCACACATACCATCGATAGCGACAGGCCAGCACGGACGACGCTCCTAGCACGGCTTGTTTCAGGAGATTTGGTGTTTTGAAGCCCGACATTGACGCCCAATCCCGATTCCCGCGTTGCACGATTCTTGCTCGCAACCGGCAGAAACCGCAAACTTCTTCTTGTCCCGCTATACCACGGCATCGAGTTAGTGCATTCGACCATTCTCAGCGTGCTCGCGTTAGGTGCGTGCCCGCCTAGCGAAGCGCGCACTCACTGCCCAAGACGGCACGCCCACTCAGTGGTTCCCCTTCCGACGGGGAGGAGGAGGACCTCGCCATGGAAGCCCTCAAAAATCTGATCGCCAATGTTCCCGACTGGCTCAAGAAGCTCGACGAGCTCAACGGCCAGATCGAGCAACGCCAAATTGAGCTGGCCAAGCTGACCGAGGAGAACAAGGGCAGCTCACCCGGAGACGGTGGCTCCGGCGGGCCCAAGTCTGTCCGAAACAAGGGGTCAACCGAGTCGCTCAAGCCCCGAGACGAGCCCGAGGCTCACCCACTCGCCACGCCACTACAGCCCGACGACGCCAATGCCGCCGAGACGGCCGCCGCCGCCGCCGCCGGCGCGGCAGCAGCCAAGGCTAGCGCCGAACAGCCCGCACCCGCCAGCCCGTCCGACTCGCAGTCCCCCTCAACGCTGCAACGGCAGGCCAGCCAGATGCGTGCCGCCGGCCAGGCCCGCGCCCGGGCGACGCTCCGCAAGCGTCAGCGGACCGACTCGGTCATCAGCGCTGAGGGCGCCGCGCCGAAGTACCGCACCCGGACCATGATAATCGTATACTACGATAGCTACGTGCAGAGCTTCTTCGAGGAGCTCGTCAAGTTTGTGAGCGCGGGGCGCAACATGATGCGCAAGGCCAAGATGGCGGCAAAAGTCGCCCAGATCAAGCGGCTCGCCGAACTGGAGATGCCCAACGACGACGACGAAGACGCAGGCGATAACGCACCCAACCCGCCCGCACCAACCATCACCACCACCGCCGCACCATCACAACCACCACCAACAACCACCACCCCCACTCCACCACCTATCCTAGCAGAAGAACACGCAATACACTACATCAGCGCCCGCCGCGCCGGCCCCCGCGCCTTCATGCACCTGACCTCGCGCAACCCACGCTCCTCCCGCGGCGGCGGGCCCGGGTCTACTAACGGCGGCGGCGACGTCTACGACGAACTCGACCGCAACCTCGAGTACGTACAGTCCATGTGCGAGCACGCGGCGCACCAGTTTTTGCGCGACGGCGACTGCGCCGAGGAGGTAGCCAACATCCAGCGGCGGCTGGCTGAAACCAAGGAGCTTGCCGACAGAGAAATGGAGCGGGTCAAGAGGGAGGACCCGGCCGCGCTGGCCAAGTTGGAGGGAGGTGGCGGCGGCGGGGAGGATGACGGGATGCGCGGGAGGAGTTATCGGCCGCAGAGTATGCGGAGGGATGTGGTCAAGTCGGCGGGGAATGCGACTGCGACTACGGGAGTAGGGAGTGGTGGGGGTGGTGCGCTGACGGCGGCGGCTGCGGGCCCGCTGGAGGTAGATGAGGGGGTGGAGGATGTGGATGCGCCGCCGCCCAAGCTGGTGTACAAGAGTACGAGGTTGATGCGGTGAGGTTGTACGCCGCTCGGGGGCGGGAGCGGAGAATGCTGGTATACGGGTGGCCGAGCGGCTACGAGGGGGTGGATATTTGATGGGGTTTTGTGTTTGTGCTGCGTTGCACGGATGCGGTGGCCGGATAACCCCTTTCCCCCCCCGGAAATGTTTTGCTAGCTCCAGGAGAAGTGGCAAGTCGCGGCGAGAAAGGAAGATATCACATTCCCACGGACCTGGCACATCGGCATCGACCTTTCCTTATCTTCACAGCAAACGAGCGAGCGAACACCTCCATTTCGAGTGGCCAGGAGGAGGACGTCGGGAACATCGAGATTTTTGCTGTCTTTCTTTGCGGGGAGGAACTCATTTACGGGACGGGACGGATTTGGTCAGGGCAAAGTCTGGGTGTTGGGCAGACACCATGGCATGGTCATTCACAAAACGGGGTTCTCTATTTGGCGCGGGGAAGAGGTATCGGGATACCTAGCAGGCATTTCAACATCTATAGCTTGTTGGAAGGTGCTACATATCTGGTATAATATCCAATGTCGAAGCCGTTGGCGAACGTTCACAATCAGCTCACTTGCCAGGCCATCCCCGACATGTGGTGTTTCAAGTTGGTGTTGAGAATCCAGGTACTGCTACTGACCTGAAGTTGTCGGGCTCGTCTCAACTGATCTTTGAAGCCGGGCTTACGGATCACGCTCGCCTCCTACCCACCTCTCCCGTCGTCTGCTGTGGAACAGCCCCAAGGACCAGCATGCTCCCGGAAGGACCCGATGCAACCCTCTTTCTAAAGAAACAAGAACCTCAAGTTACGCTCGTTGGATGTGGAAGGGACACGCGGGAAGAACGGTTACAATCACACAGAATAGGCACGCGGGTTCGGCCGGTGCAACCGTTTCTGGCAGCTCTGGTGCGATTCAAGACCGAGCCGGGCCGAATACGGCAGGTTGTGACCTTGACCGGTCTGGGCGAACGGCACGGCGCTATTCCATACTCCAAGTAGAGGTGGTACAATGGAGCTGTCCCTCTGCACTTTTTTGTGCCCGCGTTCTGGGGGCAAAGGAGCTGCCGAGAGATTGGTGGTGCTGTGACCAAGGTCGTTTGCCATGGTTCGGGCTGACGGATGTAAGTGAGCGGAGATAGGGCTAGTATTGCACCAGCAGGCCCCTGATACTGGCAGGAGGCTGCCGGCAATTCTGATCCGTTCTCAGGAGTTGGGAGCACACTCACAGAGACACCAGGACCGCCGACGGGGCGAAGTAGCCGAATTCCGGTTCAAAAACCGGCTCCGGGTCCGGCTCTGCATCCGCTCCGTGCGCTTCTGCCGCGCTCCGATTATACTCGACGTCCTCCTCCGCGGTCCAGGTGACGCTCCAGACGTACGGCCTCGGCCCCAGGACTTCTCCTCCAGGGCCCTCCTCTCCTCACAGTACCTGTACTCCTGGGTGTCGTGCTCCAGACACGCCGGGCACCTCCGCTGCCAGTGGTAGGGTAGTCCCCTCCAGCTCCACCGCCTTACTCTTTCCATCCCTCCTCGCGGCGGCACGAGACACCGCCTCGTAACCGGCCTCCCATTCAGCGTCTCGGCGTCGGGCGGCATATCATAGGCATGCGTCCCGCCATCACGGTGGCGCTCACCGTCGCACGCCGATGCAAACGCTGATCGGAGGAGGTGGCTAAACTCTAGCATCCACGCCTCCGGCAGCCTCATCTTGGGCAGATTTCCAAACACCATGAACCGCCACGTGGCGACGGTCCAGCGCACGATGCGCTCCACCTCTGCCGTCCTACCGTGGCACGTCTCAAAGCCGACGGTGAGCGTGCGTAGAGAAGGGAGCAAGGCCAAGGCGGTGGCGAGGGACCAATTCTCTGGTCTGCGTGGCGGCGGCTGCTGTTGTGATGCTGTTGTGGTCGTCGTCAAAGCCATGGCACCCTCCATCTGCTTCTTGTCCTGCACCGGAGTCAGCATCACGAACGGGTCGGACGCCAAAGGCCACGAGGAGTGGCAGAGGCCCCATTCGACGGCCCAGATCGTCAGCTGGAGGCTGCGGATCTGATCGAATAGCCGGATCGGCTCTGGTCTTCTGAAGGGGAACTGCGAGAGTAGGTCTGTCTTCCAGGCCAGTGAATCCCAAGCCTGCGCGATAAAGCTGAACGGCAGACGGTCTGGCGAGGTGAACCGCCTCATCCGGGCGATACGCGTCAGAGAATGATAAGGGATTGTGGCCTCAAGGTGGCCCGCGTACTTGATGAGTGGAGGAGTCGGCCAGCGGCATAGGAAGTCCTTGTCACAGGCCCAGTCAATATTTGGTTCCCAGGGCGGGCTGAGCTTCCGGCCGGGACCGGAGTCGTAGATGGTTAGTTCTGACTGGAAGGGTGGCAGATGCGCAATCTCGAGGTAGATGCGACGGCAGGTGCTCAAGAGGGAGCAGTGAATCCTGACTGGGCCAGTACTGTTGTCTGGTCGAAGCCAGTCTTCGCCTCTCCTGGAGGCCTCGTCCTCATCCGGTGTCCCCCCGAAAATCCATCCCTTGTTTCTCCCATGTTCAGATCAGCTGCGGTGAGCGGGGGATGGCCATCCTGAATGTCAAAGTCGTGGGACAAAGCCAACGGATGGGGCATGAATGTCGGGCTAAGAGCGAACTCGAAGATGACTCGTCGGATCTCACTGGGAAGCCGGAAAAGGGAAGACGCCGACTGGCAGTCAATCTCGTCGTCTTTCCAGTTTTCAATCCGCAAGCTCATATGTGTGCCTGGGGTTATCGAGACCATTGCAGGAGTTGTGGTGAGATGACCATGACGGGGTAATCGTGCTGCAAGTTGAGCTGAGGATGGGTTAAGGAGGAAGGAGAGGATATGGATAAAGGTACCCCTACGACGGACGGCGGGAGTTGAACGGTAAGGCGGGGTTCTGCGGGGCAGCCGCGATCTTCAAGAGCTCTTCTCAAACCGAAATTCGGCCTCGAGACCGAACACCATGACTGACAGCAACGCAAACGCAGAGGCACTCGTGCCGAGATTCAAATTCGAGCAATTGCTTAACCAAGGTACATCCAAGATAAAGCCGAAAATGAACCTAAAGCAAAACGTCTAACAATATCCAGACCAAGCCGGCCGCCGATCCTCCCTCTACGGCGCCATCGACAACCAGCCGGCGCTGCTAATCCTCGAGCGCGCGCCGTTCCCGAGCTCGGCAGACTACATCGGCTCGGTCTCGGCCAGCCTGCGGGCCATCAAGAACCTCGGCGCCAACGACATCTATCACTGGTACCTCGCCAACAGCGGCGAGGTCAGCGGCGCCGATGGCCACGAGTTCGCCGACTTGAAGATTAACCTCATCTGGCCGTGCACCGAAAAGCACATCAAGAAGTATAGCAAGCAGGGAGTGCGCTTCGTGACCGAGACGCCCGACATCTACCGCGACCATGTGCGGCCCTTCATGCAGGCACAGCGCGAGGCCGGCCGGCTGACCTGGGTCTTCAACATCATCGAGGGCCGCAAGGAGGCCGAGGACGTCATCTACCGCACGCCCTACGGCGAGGACCCGAATGACGAGGGCTTCCTCCTGCTGCCCGACCTCAACTGGGACCGCAAGACGCTCGACGCGCTGCACCTGCTGGGGCTGGTCGAGCGGCGCGACATTTGGAGCCTGCGCGACCTCCGCAAGAAACACATACCCTGGCTGCGGCACATGAAGACCAAGTTCCTCGACGCCGCGACCAAGGTGTACCCGAGCATCGAGCCCGACCAACTCAAACTGTACGTCCACTACCAGCCGACCTATTACCACTTCCACATCCACATCGTGCACGTCGCGCTCGAGGCCGGGGCCACGCAGGCGACGGGCAAGGCGGTCGGGCTCGAAAGTATCATGTCGCAGCTCGAGACCATGCAGGGGGGCGACGAGGCGGGCATGGAGAGCGTCACGTTGTGCTACACGCTGGGCGAGGCCAGCGACTTGTGGGCCGAGGTGTTTGAGCCCCTCAAGCGGAGTACAGCTTCTCGACCGCAGTGACAAGGTCCTTGACGGCCGGGCCGGACGGACATTCCTTCCACTCGCCGTCGTCGCGAATGCAGTAGATTTCGTTATTGAGACGGACCGTGCAGCTCTTGTTCACGCCGGCCTGTAAAAGTTAGAATAGAGATACAGGAGAACAGAGGGAGTATCGACGTACCTTGGCTGTCCGTTTCACGCTGTCTCTCAGCATCCCCACGCCGTACGCCCCGTCGTCTTTGGTCGCGCACTCATTCAATTTGTCAAAGTCGATGGCGTGCTCGAGCGCGCAATCCTCAATCAGGCTGCGCTGGGGTATGTGGTCATAGTCGCGGGTCAGGCACATGGCGAAGCCGAGAAACGTCTTGGGATCCGGGTAGAGCTTCTGGGCACATAGCTCGATGATATTACCGAGGCCTGCCACATATTTAGCGTGACAGCATCACTTATAGCGGATATAGAGACCTACACTCCTCCGGCCCGTGTCTGCATTCCACACCATCGTCGTGATCGGTCGGCCTAAAGAGGTCAGTGGGATTTGATCGCTGAAGAGTCTGGGTGACGTACTTTCCGATGAATGACAGCGTGAAGTTAACCTTGTCGTAGACTTTCTGCATCGCTGGCAGCACCATGTCGCGGAGGCAGTCCTGTGGCGTGTTAAGAGCCGAAGCAACATGCGGGAGATTCGGTTGGCTGACCTTTGCGTCTGGGCACTTGCTCATGATGTGCGCCTCGAGTGGTACGAGCTCGTTGGTGAAGGCGACTTGCTGATGGCTCGATGCACTCGGCGCGCTCAAGTGGAAAAGGCATGGCCCGGCGGTAAACTGGCAGTAGACGAAGGCTGCGATGGCCAGGTAGGCCACGGCGACAACCAGCCTGAGAGGGCTGAAACCCCGGCGGATCGGCGGCGGCATTTTCCCGTGCTTCTCGTCCATCAGGAGTGCTCTTCCAGGTTGGAAAACTATTGTTTGGAATATAGCTGTGGTGAGGATGCTGACTATGATAAAATCGTACGAGTTGTTGAGTTGCGACAGAGGAACCCGAACCTGGAAAGCTCGCCCGTCTACAACGTACAAAGAGCCCCACACAAAGGACAGTGTGGGGCGCCGCCACTACAATAAAAGGGAAACGCTGGCCCCCAATCCGTTTATTACAGTTCAACCAGGTTTGTTTGTTACCGTGGAACTTCCGTGATAGATCTTACACCTCATGTTCCTTCACGTTAACTATATTTTCTTTCTTACTTTCTTCCTTTCCTCTTCCTCTGTATCTTTATCTTTCCCTTTCTCTCCGTCTTTATCTTTATCTGTCTCCTCCTCTTATATTTCGTCTTTGCATTCCAACCTTTTTCTCTTCTTTCTCTTACGTTCCTTTCTTTTATCCCGTTCATGTCAAATGCCCCACCATGTGCCACCGCTACATTAACAAACAAACCAGGGTTGGATTGTATTCCAGGTAGCTTGACGATTCCCATGGCACGACGTGAGCACCAAACGCGAATCTCCGAAAAGCTGAAAATGACTTCCGGCCACTACTTCGTTACCTTTTAGATATTGACGGCGAAAATGTTGATTTGGGGTTGGCGGTCGCTGTGGGTTGGGTGCCTTCCTCTGCACATCCTGTGACACACGCGCAGCTATTTCTGTAGCCAAGTAAGGCAGGTGCTGGTGTGAGATTGACGGTGCAACTCAACTCATCATCCTTCTCCACGAGAACTCTTTCCAACCTGGAAGTACTTTTCTTGATAAACCGTAGCGAGGGCTTTCAGCATATATTTCTTTTGCCACATTCGCTATAACATTGGCTGATCAGTGGAAGGGGGCAAACTAACTGACTGGTTCAAGATCCAGAGGGGTTTCGACGGAAGCAATGGGATCACCCGCGCTTGACGAGTTCCTACAGCCGCTGGCCATCGACACCCAAAAGGTGTTACAGCTCTCTCGCGAACTGGCCTCGACATTCCGAAAACTATCCTTCGAGTCTTTGGAGCAGTTCTTGCCGACACCCATCTCTGAGTCCATCTTACGACCTGCAAGCCGAGATCACGGCCGGTAAGATCCCAATAACAAACACCCTGCATGCTGGAAACTCACACTCCATAGGTTTCTTTCCATCGACATGTAAGGCGTGGTAACCTGCTCATGGCTCTCTCGCTGACCTCGCTAGCGGCGGGTCGAACCTTCGCGTCGGCTTCGTTGAGCTTGTGGGCGAGCAGGATTCGTCTTCCAAGGTCAACGGTACGAGACCCCGCCAGGTCAACCGTCTTCTTGAACAGTCATGGCCCATTCAGGAGCACCTCAAATGTCGGAACTCGGAGAGCCTGTTTTCATGGATCGGCGAGCGAGTCGCCGAGGTGGTGCGCAAAGGGTGCGACCCCCTACGCATCTCCCGACATGATGAGCTTCCCATGGGCGTTACCTTCAGCTTCCCAATGGAACAAAGGTCGCTGTCTGAGGCAATTCTCATGCCCATGGGCAAAGGCTTTGCCGTCACCTCCAACCTGGATCTGGCTGGCCACCTCATGGCAGGTTACGCAAAGCACCGAGCACCTGATATGCCGCACATCAGAATCGCGGCCATTGCCAACGATGCCGTGGCCACCCTTGTGTCTTTTGTTTACCAATACCCAGCAAAGGCTCACCAGAAAGCTGTCATGGGCTTGATTGTCGGCACCGGCTGCAACGCCACACTGCCCCTCAAGCTCAGCAGCCTGCATCACAGCAAACGCCCGGCCTCCATCAGCATCCTGCCTGGCCAAGAGGTTGAAGATGTCAAGATTGCCGTCAACACGGAATGGACCATTAGAGGGACGGCGCCGCCGCTCCGGAAACTCGGCCTCATCAGCCGCTGGGATACCGAGCTGGACCAGGCCGGCGAGGTGCCAGGGTTCCAGCCGCTGGAATACATGACAGCCGGGCGCTATCTTGGTGAACTGGCACGTCTCATATTCGTCGACTACTATCGAACGGTTCTAATCTTGCCAGCCGAGGCATTGCCGAGCAAGCTTCACCAGAGATTCGGCCTCTCGACCACCTTCCTCAGCCACCTGTACCCGGACAGCACGAAAGGCCCGATGCTGTTGCAGGTCGAACAAGAGTTCCCACCAGAGGACCCCTCATTTTGTTGGACGACCGAGTTGGCTCATATTCTTTACCGCATCGCGAGGGCTATTGAGCTGCGGGCAGCCGGCATTATTGCCGCATCTACCGTGGGACTCCTCCGGCTTGCCGAAGAAATACCACCGCCGGATACTGAGAAGACAGAACTTGCGGTGGGATACACCGGTGGTTGCATACAGCATTTCCACAGCTACCTAACTGATACCCAGAGGTTCATTGACGAAATCCTAAGTCTAGAATTCAGTGGTCAGTCACCAGCGAAGGTCGTCCTGGCGCCCTGCCACGACGGGGGAATTACTGGAGCCGGCATACTTGTACCGGCCGCCCTGACGAGCCATACCACATAGACCAGCAGCATCACGATGTAGTCAAATCAATTCATCTGCGGCTCGGGCGCTCCCTATACTCAACGTAACAAGCAATTCATGCAAATCGATCGAGGAAGTCCCCGAACTCAGCCTCCCGAGACTTGGGAATTCTGACTCATCAACATGTCGAGTAACACTCCACAATGCAACCCATCGCGCTAACGAGACCGAGAATGTCGTGATGCATCCTGCACGGCGAGCCGCAGCCACCGGGCAACGGACCCCATGCGTTGCCGCGATTGGAGACGTCTCCACTCAGAGGTCTCATGACCGCCCGGCTTTCCCAAGGTGGTGGCAGGCCAGAGAACACGGACCGAGCATCGGAGGCCGGAGGGATGGTTCACCAGACGATGCGTCATGTGTGGAAAAGTCATAAAGAGTTAATCATTAATTGATGGGTGGCGCTGGCTCCTTCTCAGCTTGGTCTACCCAACCGAGCATGCTTTCGTCCCTAGCGTAATATCAAGAAGACATAATACCGCGATGAAGGCACAGACGACAGAACTTGCTCATCCGGGTGCACTCCCCGGCCCCGAGCCGACTCCCACAGCAAGCCGGTCCAGCCTTTCCCGCCGGAGATTCCAGGATGACGATGGTTCAAATTCCTCCGAAAATGAAGACATAGACCCCAACAAGCTCGAGCTGATGCTCTCGCGGTCGGTCCAGTCCGCCGCCCCTTTGCTGGAGCCGGAGGCCATCGAGCACAGCATGCTGCGCAACACGCGCGTTCGCAGCCGCAGCCGCAGCCGGCGACGCGCCTCTACCGTAAGTCCCTACCGCAACCGGCGGCAATCGAGCACACCGCGCGCGGGAGCCGAGCCACTGGGGGGCGAGACCATCCCCGACGAAGAAACTCCCCTTTTGCCGACCCCGATCGAGGAAGTGGACGAGACCGCCGACGCCGACAACAACAACCCCTACCTCGGCGGCGTCTCGGTCACGCGCTTCTGGCTGCTCTTTTCCCAGATCATGGCCGGCTACTTCATCGCCTGCTTCGACAGCACCATCATGGCGTCGAGCCACCCGGTCATCACGTCCTACTTTGGAAGCAGCAACTCGGCCTCGTGGCTATCGACGGCCTTTTTGCTCACGTCGACCAGCTTCCAGCCCGTGCTGGGCAGCCTGTCGGATGCGGTGGGACGGAAAGGGCCGTATGTGGTGACCATTGCCGTGTTCTTGGTTGCGACCGTGTGGTGTGCCCTGGCGGGGAGCATGACCAGCTTCATTGTCGCCCGCTCGGTGTGTGGGTTGGGTGCCGGGGGAATCATGACGCTTGGGAGTATTATCGTGAGCGACGTCGTGCCGATTGAGTGAGTTGCCTAGGCACTGTTTTTGAATGGGGAGGGAGGCTGACCCTGTTCAGGATCCGTGGTGCCTATCAGTCGTACATCAACATCATATTCGGTGTCGGCTCGATGCTGGGGGCGGCCTTGGGCGGTGCCATGGCCGACTATCTCGGCTGGCGCTGGGAGTTTGGCATACAGGTGCCAGTTGTGGTGGCCTGTCTCATCATCGCCATACTCGTGGTCCCTGGCGACCTGGGTCTCGGCGGGAAGAAGAAACAAACGCTGCGAGAGGCCATGCGGACATTCGACTTCAAGGGCTCAATCCTGATGTCCACCTCTGTGACGTTTCTCATACTGGGGCTGGTACGTCTCACGTCCTGCTCGGGGAGTTGCTGTCGCTGACTGGCCAGAACCTCGGCGGAAACGTGCTCCCCTGGTCCCATCCCTTCGTGATCGCCTCGCTCGCCATCTTTGCTGTCTTCTTCCCTCTCTTCCTCTTTGTCGAGACCCGCGCTGTCAAGCCTATCATGCCGCTGCACCTCGTCCTCAGATCTCCGCACATGAATCTCCTATTCTCCAACCACATCGCTGCCTTTCTCTCCAACGCCACCCTCTTCAACGTGTAAGTCACCGACTTCCCTTATCATTCATCCAGTCTAATCTCCGGGGTGCATTCGCCCAGACCGCTCTTCTTCCAAGGCGTCCTCCTCACGACGGCCACAACATCAGGCTTCCGCCTCGTCGTCTCCTCGGCCGTCGCCTCAATTGCCGGCACCGCCACGGGCTTCCTCATCACTTACACCCGCCGCCTCAAATGGCCGCTCGTGCTGGGCACCTCTCTACTTCTCGTCGGCTCCCTCTGCCTATCCTCGATGCAGCGCGGCTGGCCCGCCCTCTTGTACATCCTCTGCCTGTGTCCGGGCGCCGCCGGGTCCGGGTTCCAGTTCCCTGGCACCTTCATGGCCATTTTGAGTGTGTCGGAGCAGCGGGAGCAGGCCGTTGTGACGAGCACGCTGATACTTTGGAGGAGCCTGGGCCAGGTTCTGGGCGTAGCGTGCAGCTCGCTTGTGGTGCAAAACGCGCTGTGGTATTATCTGGAGGTGTTCGTGACGGGGCCGGAGAAGGATGGGGTTGTGAAGAGGGTGAGGCAGTCGGTGGAGGCCATCCGGGAGCTGCCGGGGAGCTACAGGGAGCAGGTGGTGCAGAGCTATGAGGCGGCGTTGCGGGTTACGTTTCTGTGTTGCTCGGTTGTGGCGCTGGTGAGTGTGTTGTTGATTGTGCCGGTGAGGTTGCCGCGGTTGGGGAAGAGGTGAGACGATCATGACGAGGGCAGATTGGTTGGATGTCGCCGAGATTGGTGTAAGGGGTTTCAATATTAGAGCCCTGGTGTTGCTTGAGTGGGTACGGACTTTTATACACGGGCATATGTCACCTTTGTCGGTCGGTTGTTGGATGCGGTGCTTACCATATGAATGTATACAGTGGAGAGGCTGCTCGAGTTCCAGCTGGCAGAGCCGCAGGAGGCAACCTGGGAGATAGGCTCGAGATCCAGAGTCAGGTCTCAGCCTATCAAGAGTCCTGTCAGCCCTCCCATGCCAAACGTGGCCGCCGCGGTCAAGAAGCTCGAAATGGACATCAACGACAATCCGCTGATACCATGCCCCGAGGTACACCCGCCCGCCATCCTCGACCCGAAGACGATCATGAACCCACCAAGGACAGACCTTAGCGGGGAGACGGCCACGTCGGTAACCGGCCGCAGCGCCGGCACCGTCAACGACAACAACCACGCGCCGCCCACCAAGCCAACCGAAAACAGCACATTGGAATACTCCCTCACACCCCACACCCATCCGCCGAGCTCCTCAAACGCCGTTGATGCGCCCAGCAACGACCCCCTCAACACGATCGACACCAGCTGGGCTGCCGCGATGGCCAACCCCGCAAGATAAGGAGGTATCCCCCTCGCCCGGGCGGCGCTCGCATTTGTGTACTGTGTCGCGGCAATGAGTGCCAAAACAAGCACCGCCTCGAACAATACCACGAACACGCCCCTGCTGAATCCCAACGCCTCATAGACTGTCAATGCCTCCCCGCTCTCCTTGTTCTCCTCCTTCCGTTCACCAGCCTTACTCTTGTCCCGCATCCCCTCCTTCACAACAACAACAGATTGGGAACGGACTCGCCGTCGTCGCCTCCGCCCGATCCAAGACCAGACGACACCCGCCAGCACGGCACCAGCCATGGTATGCCACCCCGACTTGACGCCGACGCCGAGCTGGGCGAGGAGGGTACCGGGGCAGGCGCCGGAGAGGGCCATGCCTGCGCCGACGAGGGCGCCGCCTAGGATGTTGCCCTCGTGGCGTGTCCACCAGGAGGGTAGCGATGATGATGACGAAGAAAGCGAAAGGCCTAGGCCTAGAGTGGAGGGCCCCCTGGGTGGGAGATTGGTTAGGTTAAGGGTTTGGGAGGCTGTTACTAGGACTCTACACACGTGGTAAATTTTTTGGTTAGCAAGATTGGCTTTGGCGCTGGGCGTTGCTGGGGGTGCCATACGTGCTACCTGCTGCCGCGGTGAGGAAGGTCTGGAACATGGTGTAGTCGGTGAAGGTGAACTCTGTTTCGAGGATATGTTAGTCGTCAGAGTCTATCGAGGGGTGAGTCGGTAGTAAAAATTCGGGGATGGTTCTCAAGACAAATATGGATAACCGGCAGATTGGCATACGGGAGAGAATGATGTCTGGGGCGTAGACGCCTGCTGCGGTCAAGGCAGCGCCCATGGCAGCGCCGGTGAGAATGTTGTTCATATTTTCGAAAGATATCATACAGTTCGGGAACGATGGTCACCGGATGATGGACTGGGGCGGTTGAAGTTTGTTGTCTCCTTTATAGCTAGTCACATTGGCGGCGATTGGAGATGGTTCAAGGATGGCAAGTGAGAATCAAGTGTTGGTCAAAGCAACGATGTTCGGCCACTCTTCTTGCCCCGGGGTGGCGTCGCGTGCCATTCCTCTGGGATATTGCGAAATGGTCATGGGTACGGGTTCTTGGACTCGAGGTCCGAGGTTAGCGTGCCTGACGGTTTCGGCGATCATGGCCCGATATCCGAAAAGCAGTCACACTTTGACACCGGAAGTGCCGTTATGGACATTAAGGCGTTTGCTCGTGGCAGGCGACGTTCCGCAAGGGATCCAACGCTTTTATTCGCCGGGCACTCTGTGTCTCATGCGTTGGACACGAACTCAACTTCTTCGAAAGGCGGGGTTGTCGGCCCCAGAGGCCTGAGGCTGAGACACTGCTCAAGAGTAGCCGGCGACATTTCCACTCACTGATGCTGGCTCTGCTGTTCTCGGAGAGTTATGGATCCGATTTGGTCGGCGAATGCAGATCCCGATCGGGGTCCCGTTCATTCCACCGCCGAGATCCGAGGTCGAGTGGAGCCCGGCTCCGGGGACCCGCAGCTCCACGCCGGCCTACCCCGGCTGCGTCTCGGTGCACATCGCCGAGACCTGCATCCGACTACGGGTCGTTCCCGGATGACACGGCATGCGGCTACGTACGGCGACTATGACGTTGCCGATAGGGTTGGGAAACTTCCGAAACCTATCATCCCAAATGAATCCCTGAATAACCCCTCGGCGACTATGATGCTATGATACTGCCACTCACTTATTGACCAGACGGAGAAACAGGGACGAAGACTACTTAGGACGACTTAATGAATTATACGCAATATTCATTTTCAAGGGTGATACAAAGCGGCAATGCCGGCTCCTAATCCATCCACAGTTGTCTGCTTCGACGTCTTCGAGCCTCAGACCTCCACCTGGCAGTACATTGTAGTCGACCCGGCCACGAGAGTTGCCGTCATCATCGGGCCAGTCCTCGACTATGACCAAACCCGCAACACGGTCTGTACCAAGCACCTCAAGTCCGGCATGTCCGAGGGCGAGTTTGTGGCCTCTGGCGGACGGCCCGGGAGGCGACGCGGGCCGAGCCCAGGCTGATCCATTAGGCTCTGCAGGGCAATATCCGGGCGGGGACGCAGCCGCGAGATGGGCTCTGCGTGTACTTTGTTAGGGTGGAGGGGAACGAGTGATGAAATACGATCCCATACGGTTGAACTGGGTTATTGCCCGCGATGTCGGTAATACGGATTGAAAGGTGTAGAAGTTGGCAGCGCGAACACTTGCCACATCACTTATACAACACTTTCCTGACTTCCCGGTTATGGTTCAAACGTGGATAATGTCTAAGACTACAAGGTCGCGACGGACATAGTGAACCGGGACTTGTCGACCATTCTCGATGATTATGCACCCAGAACTTCACTTGCGGCCCCTCCCGTCTCCTCCCACATGCACATGCTCACAGCCTTGCCACATTCACATTCACCTGCTCCAACCCCGCCGGCAAACGAAATGAGAGTCCACCTTGCAAATCACAAAACTATTGACACACCCTGATGATCCTGCAGCTGGGCCCCTGAGCAAACATGCCTGGCAAACGTAGCACCAACAGCAGAACTACAGGGCTTGGCCATGTACGTAAACGCCATGGTAACCACACAGCACGACCTCACGTCAAAAAAGACGGAGATTTCTATCCGGTATTTAAATCCAGATTTGATCAACAAATTCTCATTTCGGACGCGTCTCTATCAGTGTCTGGTTAGATAGGGCATGGCCGCGGCACAGCTCCGGCAAAAAACAACCACGACACCACATCACATATCCGTACATCACTCCCTTCGATGTGAATCCGGAAACCCCCGCCTAGTACTGTCCTAACCTCAATTTCCACAGCCCTCATTCCCAAACCTGACGTAAACTCAACCAATCCATTTGGCCATTCCAGTCACCACCCTTCTCCCCGCATCTCGGACAATGTCCATCAGCAGCAAGGACTAACATTCCCATTCCCCTCACTTCCAACCAGAACTCTACGCAGTGATTCTCTTCATATATAAATGAACAAAAGGAGTGACATGTCCTATTACTCAAGCCATCACTTTACCTCACTGCAAGTGAGGTGAGTATAGAACGGGTATCTTGAACCAAAAAACAATGCCATCCCATAAAAGCCCAATCCAATTCAGTCCAATCCAAAACAGCGCCCCATAGCACAGGGGCATAAAAGACATTAACGTAATCGCGTAAGGACTGTCGTGAAAGCTTGTCCCGATGGAGTATAACCCATCTCCATCGTGTTGCCAAAAAAGTAAGGCAAATGAAGGAGCGTCGGCCATACCCACACAAGCCCCCAAATTCCCAACTCATCATGGCATAAACACAACCCATTAAACTATGTGCACTTTTGAAACCCTTGCCCTCAATAAAATCCTATCGTTCCATCATCCCATCATGTATCCAAAAGGTATAATCCAAACAGGGACTTTAATAAATTAAGAAATTAGCTCCGTTCCCAAAAAGGTATCGGTGCTGCTCTAGAAAAAGAAGAACAAGAGCGCCCCAAACGCCGCACCCAGCCAGTTCCCAGACGGGACCACCACCCTACCCGCCGCAGCAGTAGCAATGGACGTACTCGGCGCCCTACCCGTGGTGGACGTCCGCAGGGTAGACGTGCCTGTGCCTGTGCCTGTGCCTGTGCTGGTCCTGGTGCCAGGGGGTGTTGTTGTCCTGGACAAATTGGACGACGACGACGAGCTGGCCGGTGGTGTCTGCGACGAGCCCGATCCCGCGGTGGCCACTGTCGAGGTCGAGGACCAGATTGAGGTTGGTGAGGCGCTCGTTGCCGGGGGCGCGCTAGTCGAGGTGGAGCTTGGCTGGGGCGCCTGCGAGGTCGTGCCCCTGCTGGTGGTGCTGGTGCTGGGAATCGGCTCGGGCTCGGTGTTGGTGTTGGGCGGCTGCTGCGTGCTTGTCAGGATGGGCGGCTGCGAGGTGACCTGCGTCTGGGGCGGGAGGTTGGTGGTCGCGACCTGCGACTGTGGCGGCTGGATGTCGCAATAGCCCCAGAACTGCTCAAACGCCGGGCCGACGTACTCGCGCAGCGTAATCTTGAGGTCGGCCTTGTTGGCCCCGATGCACTTCTGGCAGTTGTCTGAGTACTCCCTGAAGGGAGACGAGTCTTCGCAGAGGTCCGAACTTAGGCCCACCCGCTGACCCTCGAGGAAGGCGTTGTTGCAGATGTCGTAGCAGATGGCCGGGGCGACCGTCTCGTCGCGCTTGGAGAGGCGGTGGCTCGGGATGCCGCGGCCGTAGTGCTTGAGCGTCGCCGAGGTCGGCTCCGGCGGGAAGTGCGTGATGTCCGTCTGCGAGACCCAGTTGCCCGTCGCGATAGTTGTCTTCTTGCCATTGATTTTGGTGACGACTTCGTGCACCTCGAAGATGTCGTAGCTCAAGCCGAACGCGTTGGGGTTCAGGTTGAAGTACCCTTCGGTCGGCGGGTAGTAGCCCGTCTTTCCCTCAGGCCAGTCCACGAGAGGGTAGTACGGTGCCGGGACGCAGTACCTGGGGTCGCACAAGAAATCGTTGCTCGGCGGACCGGCCCACAGGTTGCAGCCGCTGGGCTTCGGCATGTTGCAAACGAATCCAGGGTCGCAGCCCCAGAGCTGCCGCTGCGTGGTTTGAGGGCGCGAGACAGGAGCAGAGTTCGTCGGCGCAGGACACACACTGATATCGCGGGTTACTGTCGGGCCCGGAACGGTGATGGTAACAGGCGGGATAGTGGCCGTCGTCGTTTGTGTGACGGTCGGTCCGGGAATCGTCGTCGTAATCACCTCGCCATCCTCAGTAATGGTGACGGTGGTCGGAGGCAGGACTGTCGTGAACACCGAGGTAATGGTGGAAGCAGGAAGCGTCGAGAGCTGCGTAACCGTGGCCGTCAATGTGTTGGTGAGCTCCCTTGTGGAAGTGCTGACGGTGATGTAGGTCGAGACGGCCGTTGTGGTCACCACCGAGATCTCGGTCGTGTAGATGGTGGTGCTGTCGGTCACGGTGACCGGGTACGACGTGACCAAAGTCGAGACCAAGGTCACCGTGGTGGTGTTGGTCAGCGTGATGGGAATGCGTTCCGTGGTTGTGACTGTGTCGGTCAACGAAACCCTCACGGTCGTGGGGACTGTTGTTGGAACGGTCGTCGGGACCGTGGTCACGTAGGTAGAGACCACGGTCGTGGTGTCAGTTGTCCATGATGTGGTGCCTGAGATGACGGTGACCGGATAGCTGATAGTGGTTGTGTAAGTCGTGGTCTCGGTCGTCGACACCCTCACAGTAGTGGGGACGGTTGTCGGAACAGTTGTTGGGACTGTTGTTGGGACGGTGGTAGCCACCGTCGTGACGAATGTCGTCACGTAGGTGGAGACGACGGTCGTGGTGTCCGTCTTCCATTCTGTGGTGCCCGAGATAACCGTGACTGGGTAGCTGACCATGGTGGTGTAGGTGGTAGTCTGGGTGCTGGTCGCGGTCGTAGTTTGGGTGAGGGTGACGTTGTTGGTCACTATGGTCGACTGGACGATGGTGGTCGGAACCGTTGTCGGGATGGTCGTCCAATGGGTGGTTGGAATGGTCTCCCTGATGGTCTCGGTTGTGGTCGTCGTTTCCCACTTGGTTGTCGTACTAACCACGCATTCCCAAGGAGACGCCTCGTAATCGCCCTCGTGATATTCCCCGGAATACCCATTGCAAACTGTCGTGGTTTGGGTCACCGGGTACGACTGGGAGGGTTAGCTGGGTAATGGGCATGGGTCGGCCTGCTTACTGTTGTGTAAGTCGAGAACTGTGTCGTCGTAATGTACTCGGTGGTTCTGTTGTCGTCAGTGAGCTGGACTGGCAGGAGGTTGGTAGAACATACTGGACAGTTGCTGTGGCAGTCGCAGTCGCAGTGACGCTCACGCTGACCTCCCATATCTGGGTGTGGGTGCTCAACCAGCTCACAGTCGCCGTGGCCGTCTCATAGTCAGTGACCGTCGCCGTGTTTTGAATTGTGGCCGTTGCAGTATTGATGACCGTTGCAGTCGATGTGTCCGTGACTGTCACCGTATAGTTGTTTGTCACCGTGACCGTAGACGCTGACATTGTCGCCCTGCACTGCGGTTAGACGCGTCACACACTGGCAGCAGGGACTCATACGTTACGGTAGCACTATATCGCATGGTTAGCAGGTTTCATCACAATCTCCAAAGACACTCACGTGTGTGTTTGGAAAGCGGTCTCGGTGACCGTCTTCGTCTCCGTCTTCCAGCAGTGATCGTGACATTTAGAATCATGGTTGCTATCGTGACCACCTCCATGTTCCGTGTCATTTGTCCTCGGATACAGCGGATCCTCTGCGGCAAAGGCAGGACGAGCGAGGAACAGGAGCCCGAGGCCCTGTACCAGCTTCGAGAGAAGCATTGTGTCCCTACGCTAGGCCACAGGTGATGGCGAACGAATGAAGCAGCTCAACAAAAATGAGTGTGAGAACAGCGAGCGAAGCGGGCGAGGGCTGGTGTAAACAGGGTTGCGGCGCTGCCGGGCATATAAGCCGGCCCGGGGGGAGCTCTGAGCGGGAATGCCCAGCTGCGTGGAGGCTTGGCAGGCAGCAACTTCACAGCCTGACGAGCAAACAATTGCTGAGAAGCACAGCGTCGAAATGTTCAGTCAAGGCGAGAAGAGACCTCGGTGTTCTTGTCGACTGGCACAATATCGAGCTCGGCTGCCGCGCCCTGAGGAAAGAGGAGCAGCGACAACACAAGAGAAACAATGAAAGCGGGAGGCTCGAAAGCTCGAGAGACTCACTCACGCCTGCGAGAATACCTACATGCATGTCGCCTACCCTATCGTGGTAAGGAACACGACCAGGGTATGGGAGCTCTACCCCTGCTCATCGGGACGAGAAGCTCACCACCCACCTCCCCAACCCACCAGGGCTGCGCATCACGCCTGTCCGAGGGACGGGAAGCCAATAGGGCGGGGTGGTTCTCCCCGCCTCCGCATCCCTGATCAAGTCCGACAGGCGGTGCAGTGCCACATAAAGGCTGCTCTCGTAGGGCTCGTCATCCAAGGCGATGGCCTCTTGCTGCTGCCCTCTCTGGGAAGCCCAAAGCCTCTGTGGACATGCCGCGTGGCAGCGAGGGGGCAGGGCGTAACTATCCGTAAGCAGACGGGGTTCGGCGCAGCAACGGGCGATAATTGCTGCCTCCCACCGTCCACGACTCTTGAGCAGCATTCGGCGACTTGAGCGTTGCATCCTTGGCGGGGTTGGTGAGTGGGCCAGCGAGCGAAGGCCAGGCCGAAGGGCGGGAGGGATGCTAACTGGTCAGTTCTTGCCCCGAAAGGCTGAGCTGTCAGGTCCTCTGCCCCACCGACACTGATGGCGGTCCGGAAGCCACAGGAAGAAAGTCTTTTCCACACTGCGGTTGGACTTATAGATGCGAGCTTGGTTTTGAAGTTTCTTCCATCAGTGGGATTGACGGAGAAAAAGGACACGGCAAATGACGGTCGCACTGGAGAATTATACGATGCCCGTGTTCTTCAGCTTGGCCCCGAACTCATGCCACAGCAGCTGCTGTGGCTGTTGGTGGTTTGGTTGCCATGTTGATTACCAGCCACCATGGCAAAGGTCTCCCAGCAGCGGTGCCTTGCAGTAGTGCCACCTGATGCCTTCGGCGGCATTCGGTTGTCCAGAAGGAAAATTGCCGGTGAGCCAATTGCTACTCCGTAACGGAGTAGTGTTGGTGAGATGGCGGGACGGTGCGGCGTGATCGCAGCCACAGAGACGTGGCTCGATGTCCGATGGCAGCCACTCAGGGCTGTCATACGTGTGGTGGCTCAGACTCTCGTTTCTGCACACTTTCGGAATTTGCCCAGCTTGTCGCAAAGGGGAGAAGATATGGTGTCGCGTCGGAGGTAGTTGATTCTCAGAAAGTATCCGTATCCGTACATGTGTAGAGGCATCGACTCTCAAGTGTGGAACGGCGAGACAAGTAATCCGTAGGAAAAGCCAAGACTGCGGGGGGGCAGTTGGTTGAAGGGGGCCCGCTCCCGGTAGGAAGGAGCTTGAACAGTCGGCGATCAATCATTGGATGATCGGCAGGAATTGTTTCCAATTACAGCCTAGCCCTACAGGTATGGCGCAAAGTTGGAAGACCCACCGAGGCGGCCCGCCCTTACCATCGGGGTCCGTTATCATTTACCCCACTACAACCGTTCGATGGACTTCAATTCACGTTCTCATTCGAGTCCATGAACACTAATTACTACATGTAGTCAGGTTGAAATCCGCATAGAAAGAATTGTCAGCACCGCGAGCGAGACTTTGAGATTATGTTTACCACAGTGGTCCCTCCGATGCTGTCTGAACCGGACGAGCAGGCGCAGGATTAACCAGAATTTTTCCTGACTCGAGACATTGGGAAGCAAACAAATGCTTCCGGGATTCTGTCGGTGCAGTGAGCAAACAACATGAACCGAAGGGTCCGGAACGCCGATAGGCGACATCACCATTCTCAATCCTCCTTTCGATTTCGCGGCGGCTCCGGATATCCAAAGAATTGATGAGACACCCTACCGCAAACCCGGAGTAACAGCACCCGCCGCATCCGTCCATTCCGAATGGCACTCAGGGTAGCATTCATTGCGAACCACTCACCAACCGGAAGAATACGATGCCGATGCCACGCCACATTTCCAATGGTCTCCCATGGCACCCTTCGCTTTTGCTTTCCTGGGTTTTCAGCCTCAATCCGCTAGGTTCGACAGCTGGGAGTTGTGAATTGCAGGACCAGACCACAAGGCTGAGATGGGACGATTCTGCCTCAGTTTGCTCGGTTACCAGGACAACATCCTGGGCCAATACCTTTTCTTCCTGTGGCCCAGACTCGGCTCGGCTTCACTCTCCCGCCAAGGCCGGCAGAGAGGAAGTCTGATAGATTGTTCGCTGTGTCGACAGCACGTTAGAAGGTAGTTCCTTTCGGAGCGATCCATGTTGTGGCGTTAAGTTATGGGTCACGGCGAGGCCCGCCCGTCACTGGCTGTAATCGCACGGCAGACCAGACGGCGAAAGGCTTGGGGCGAAGGCCCGACTCGAACCTCTGCCATTCGCCGTCGCGTTTGTGTAACACGCCCTTCAAACTCGATTAAAAAGGTCGATAATATCAGTCTTCGTGCACGGCCTCGCCACAGTCCTTTCCATAGGTGTAATTGACTTGTTGGGCTAAGGAAGACTGTCTGAATAACTACCTATCAACCGTGCGAAACCTCTTCTTCGAGCTGTCTAAATCCTTTGGCAGTTTATGGAGAGACTCCCCGGACTAAGGTACCGATTGGCGTTCTGGGAACCAGGTCCTGACCTCTGTTTCTCGTCTTTTTTGGGCAGCAGCTCAAAGATTCCTTGTCCCGTGTTATGAGCTGAACGGAGTGATCCGCAGTCGATCACTGGGGGTCTTCAACTTTGTCAGTCCGCCGATTGCTGTGTGCTCAAGTCTGGGAGTCTTCTCCAACCCAACTGTGGCGGTGATCGGTCCATGGCCCTCTGCCACGGTGCTCACTGCAGCTCGCTTCCCTTGACTGCAACCCTGGCAGCCAAGCAAGATGCGGGCCAGCCCACCCAATAAGACAACGGCCCTCAACAGAACGATGGTTGACAGCAGCAAGACCAGTCAGCGCTCACCTGTGATCTGAAGGCTCCTCTCGCGGGGTCTGCCACTTGGGCCCCGATTCCCCCGTTTGGTCAGGTTCTTCCTCCTGGTCTTGTTCAGGTGGGTTGCACGCCACAAGACCCAAGCATGGGTCCGGCGATGTTTTTGGCTGGCTGTGAAAGAAACGGTTGCTTGACTACACCCTTCAAGGCGCGCATGTTCCCAAATTTCGAGGAGACTTGCAGGGAGGGGGTCTGATTTACTGTGCCTAACCCATCATCGTTTCTATCTGCCCAGATGTTGTCCCGACCCTGTTCCTAATCTCCCCTAGTATCTTCCGGCTCAACCTCAGCGTCGCCATGTTCGGGCCGGCGTTTCTCGCCGTTGCGACGGCTTCAGCCTCGCTCGTCCTGGCCGAAACAGCATGGCAACCCAGCCAGGTCAGCACGAGGATATGCCAATGGCAGCAGCTCCGAGGTGAGTTATGCCGACGACCCCATGCGTCTCACCTGCTAATCTTGCCCAGCGGCTGTCCTCCGGGACACAGTTTACCTGGACGGCGGGAATCTATGGTGGCAGCCGGGCTTCGCTGACGGCTCTGCTGGAAGCCCCGTCAATGACAGTGAGTATTCGCAAAAGCGTGCATTCAAACCATGACGTTGACTGGTTGTAGACAACCGGCTGGGCGTCATATACACGCTCAACTTCAGCATTCCATTCAATACGACACAGAACGTATCAGCCATCCTGAGCACGCTGAGCACTGGCGGCGGAGACACCAACAACCGCGCGCCAAACTACGAAGATGGCGCCCTGCTCGCCAACAACGAGCAGTTCTTCCTCTACGGCGGGCTACTGCAGCGGACGGCGAGTGTCTCCGACCCGCCGGGAGACTCTGTGCTTTGCTACGAAGGGTATCAGTATGGTTCGCCCAGGACCTTCAGCCCGAGCTTCATCAACAAGGAGCTCGGCGACAACGTGACGCGCTACGTTGCCTACGGCGGATCCGCGAGCGCCCCATCCGAGAATCTGGCCTGGTACTTCTCAGGGTTGCGCTCACCCAGCGGAGGTCCCATCTATACCAAGGGTGGCGCGACGGCAAGCACATCTGCCGTCAATGTGTCGAACTATCTCATCACGCTGGACATGGCTGAGCAGCGGGAAGAAACATTCACGAACGACACCCTGCCGGCCTACATTCCCGGACGCGCAAACCCCGAACTCGTCTGGGTTCCCGTTGGGTCCCGCGGCATCCTCGTTGCCATCGGAGGCGTTCTGCATCCCGACTTTATCACAGTCGAGGGCAATTCAACCGACCCAGAGGCCAGCGTAAGTTAGCCCTTGCTCACCCTCTCACAGCTGGCCCTAACCCGAACAGACGGCGCAAAGTCCCGAGTTCATCGCCACGGTCGATATTTACGACGTGGCTAGCAAAAACTGGTATCGCCAGAGAACGAGCGGCGGTCCCCCTCAGCGCACCCGCGGCTGCGCCGTTGTCGCCAGCGCACAGGATGGCTCGAGCTTCAATGTCTACTACTACGGCGGCTACGACGGTCTGACTCAGAATAGTGAGCCCTTTAGCGATGACGTCTGGGTTCTGTCGCTGCCATCCTTCACATGGGTCAAGCTGGCGTCGAGCAGCAATGAAGGACGCGCCGGGCACAAGTGCGTCATGCCGTACCCAGACCAGATGATGGTCATCGGAGGCTATCCTCACTTTGAGGGTTCCACCCTAGGCTGTCTCCGGGAGACGATCCGGGTCTTCAACCTATCGACCGGTCAGTGGTTGGATCGGTACGACCCTGCAGTCTACTCCAACTACACGGTCCCCAGCGCCGTGCAAGAGAAAATTGGTGGATCTGGCACGGGGGGCGCCACGGCGACAACCCCGAGTCCCTCGTGGGACGCGACCGAGCTCGCCAGCATCTTCGCCATTCAGTACCCGGCGAGCAAGATCACTACATACTACCCGTACGCCTCGGTCGGCCCGACCAACAACACCAACCCCCCGGCTCCGACAACTACCGTGGAGAGCTCAGGGGGTGGTCTCCCATCGTACCTCCCACCTGTGCTCGGCGTGGTGCTGGGCCTGGTCTTCCTCACCATGGTCGCTGTGCTGATCCTGCTCTGGCGGCGCCGCAGGCTCCTGCGGGGTGGCACCATGAGCGAGGCCGGTACCGAGGACACCAACGGCAACCGCATCGCCTCGTGGCTGCGTGGCCAGCCCACTGCCAGCGAGGTCAAGGCGCCGACCGTGACCAGCTCGTCTGACTATTCGCCGCTGAGCGCGACTGATGTCGACAGTGTCGGCGTGCCGCAGCGGTCCATCGCCGAGATGATGAACACTGAAGTGCCGTTGCCAGTCGAGTTGCCAGGTACGTCCCCCTCTAACGCTTTTCGTTTCCATACCTCACTCAGCCTTGACTAACCCGCCTCGCAGACACCTCCCCGCCAGCCGAGCTCCACTCCACCACAGCCACGCCCTCCTCGCTCAACAACGCAGCTCACTACCCAGCCACCCACCAAACCGACCACGCATCAGCCCAACCCCCCTCCCCGCTCATTGCCGGCCAGCACCAACCGCAGACATCGTCGTCCCCAGTCGAATCCCCGGTGTATTACCCGACGACCTCTTCCGCATTCACCTCCTCTCCGACAGGCACCTCCACCGTCGCCGGCACCTCCCCCCATAGCAGAGATTCCCACAAGGTCCTCTCAGGCATCTCCAACCTCTCGGAGCGAGACCGGGCCCACCTCCGACAAATTAGCGACACCACCGTGTCATCGGTCACTACAGCGCCCGGCTACTACTCTGGGTCTATCACTCTTGGCGGCGGGAACGGGAACGGCGGGAACGGCAATGGTGAAAGGGAAAGGGAGCGGGAGCGGGTGCTCAGTCTCAGCGGCGTGAGCACCTTCAGCGGGGGGGCCATCGTCGGGAGTCCGGCGCTGGTGTCGCCTCCTACGGCGACGACGGAGCCGGGGGAGGCGTTTGGAGGAGGGGCGGCAGGGGATTATTTGAGTGCCAGGCCGCTGCCTCAGCAGGGGCTGGGGCCTGGGAGTTCGGTGAGGAGGAGTGCGTTTTCAGAGGATATTAATGGGGACGGAGATGGAGATGGAGAGGGGGGAGTGGCGGAGGGGGGAGTGGCGGAGGGGAGTCGGGGGAGGTGAGATGAAATGTCTAACTGGCTGTCTTGCCCCCGGCCTGACTGAAGGGGAATGATAAGGGTCATCTAATGGGTTTGATTTATATGTATGGCGTGTGTTACACATGGGATGGGATCATGATAATGAGTGTCGGGCGTTGGCTGTTCCTCTTTCTTGGTTGATGTGGGCTTGGATCGGTCCTTTTGGCGTGCTGATGGCAATGTTATCTGGGTATAGCTGTCTGATTCAAATCCCTGTTAGCATAATCGGATATTGTGGCTGTAATCGGCTGTTAGCTACGCTCATCTGGTTGTTGTTCTGAAGACAAAGACAGGATAATGAGGTATTCATCTGCATTGCCAGTGGCCGCGCATCCTCAGAGCAGCGTTTTCCCCTCCTCTGAAGCAGCTCCCTTCTTCGCCGTCACCTCAATTTCGATCTTCATCACTTCCTCCATCAACCCCGCCTGAATCATGGTCGCCGCCGGCCGGACGTTGCCAAACCACTTTTGGAGGACGGGCCTGGACTGATTAGCTTTCCACCCTCTCTTCAACAGGTCATTCAACTACAGCAATACCAGGTACTTACCACGTCTTCTCGAAATCTCTCCTGTCCGGTAAGATATACCGCACACGCACAACATCGGCCACACTGGCCCCAGCCTCGGCCAGCGCCGCGGCAATGTTCTGCATGGTCTGCTCGGCCTGCGCGGCCACGTCTTCCGAGATGGCGCCCGTTTTGTAGTCGTAGCTAGTTTCTTGTCAGCCTGTGTGTCAGTGTCACTCACTCACTCACTCAATCTCTCTCTCTGTCTCTCTCTCTCTCTCTCTCTCTCTCTGTCTCTCTTTCTCTCTTTCTCTCTCACACACACATACACACACGCACACACAGACCCACAGATTTGTTGGACTAGTCCTGGAAGTAAAAAGCTTGGAACGGGGTACCGTACCCCGTGCACCCAGACACAAAGACCATGTCCCCCGAGACGACGGCGCGTGAGTAGCCGATTTTGGCCTCGAAGGCCGAACCAGAAGAGATGAGTTTGCGTGTGGCCATAGTAAGTCTGTGAAGATAATTTTGTGTGAAGTTCCTTTTACCATTCAAGGAGGCGAGATATTGCCTGAAAAGAGGGATTTATACCAGTAAGGAGGAGTGACTCATCGTTTGGGAGAGCCCGGGAGGTACGTATGAGATAGTGGGTATATTCTGGAGTCCTAACCTTTTTGAACAGGACGTTACCCCTATTTGATACTTCAAGTGACCTACTCTGGCAAACATCGCGATGATGAACAGAGAAAATTATCTCTGCTGAACCTCACCACTCTCAACGGCGCTCTGGTCTAGCGGTAGAGTCATGGCAGGGCTCCCTTGCATCAACCGTACATACCTCCATGTCCCTTAACATGGTACATACCGTTTGGCAACTGTTGGTTTGCCCAGCTAACGTCTCCCTCTCCGCTGAGAATGAGGAACATTACGCTTACCCATCGCTTCCGCCCGAGAAACGACTTTTACCCCCAAAACTCCAGAGACGCTGCAGATAGCCAATGCCTTTTCATCGAAAAATGTCGTTGGGCCAGCCCTGCTGCCGCCCCTTCCCATTTCCCTCCCTCTCCACATCCAACCCCAGCGTTCAGTCAAGTTTACCCCAGCATGGAATGCAACCGAATGCCCTTCGGCCCAAGTTCACTGTAGTCACTGTCAGCCTGATACTTCCTTACACAAAGATCACAGACCGTAATGAAATAGGGCAGAACAAGGGCCAGAGAACACTCACTTATAATCCACCCGACTTAGGCTCATCAGCCGCTGCGCCTCGAGGCCCTGCGCATCCAGGTTGTGGATGCAAAAAGCCAGCCGCGCGGCCACCTGCGACCCCAAGAACATTGCCTCCTCGAACCCGTGCTTGCTCCACTCGGTCAGGTACGCGGGCAACGGCGCCAGCCGGATGTGCGTCGGCGTCTGGCTGTGGAAGTGATGACTTGTCGTCCCCCCACCACCGGCGGCGTCGCCGGAGTTGAGACCGGCGGCATTCGCATTGCTGGGGACGCCCAGGCTGGCGGCGGTGGTGGCGGCCTGCAAGAGCGGGTTAACACCGCTGCTGGTGGTGGGCAGCTGGTGCGGCGGCCCGCCGGCGAAGGACGAGGTAGGCGTCTGGGAGCCGGTGCCCGAGGGCGTGCCCATGTTAGAGGGGAGCTCCGAGGTGAACATGGTGGCAGAGCTGGGCGAGACGAGGTGGCGCGCTTGGAGGGTTTGCATGATGTTGTCGCGCAGCCCGCGGATGCGCGCGCCGTTGCCGACAAAGACGACGTTCTCCCAGCAGCCGGGCCGCATGTACATGTCCTCGATGCCCTGCACGGCGTGGTACATAGCCGTGACGATACGGTCGATCACTTTGCGGTCGGCGAACTGGAAGCGCTCCAGGCCGACCTCAACTTCGCGGCGCACGCGCCGCGTTACCCGTTCGGTTGCTGTCGGGGCTGAGTCTGCTGATTGAGCGTCGCTGGGTTGTGGTTGCCCTCCAGCGGCTGGTGCAGCGTCTCCAGTCGAGCTTTCTGCTGCTGTTTCGGTCATGGTGACATCTGTGCTGCCGTTCTCCTTGGGCGGTGCCGCGACCGGGATATCTTCCGTCACCAGCTCCTCGTAATGGAACGTATTCCGCACCCGCTTGCAGTTGGGTAGCCTGGCGGCCTTTTGCGCCGCATCGGCAGCAGCCTCCTTGTCCTTCCCTTTCCGCGCCTTCGCCGCCCTCTCAGCCTTCTCCCTCTCCTTTTTGGCGAGGAACTCTCTCGTCTGCCCGCTGGCGACAATGTTGGCCACGTCCAGCACACCGTCCTCCTCCGCCTCCTTGACCTCCCCGTTTGCCCCAACCTCGTCATCCACCCCAACGGGCGCATAACTCCTCGCGGGCTCCACAACTTTGGGCGCCTCGGTAACTACCGCTCCCGCTGGCGCCGCCCCCGTCTCGGCCGGCAGATCCATCAGCTCCGGCCTCTCAGGCGCATACGGCAGCACCTCGCAGATAGGGCTCTTCTTGAGCTGCTCGGCCATATCGTAGTCAAACCCCTGCTTCTCTAGAAGCTTCAGCAGCCTCCGCGTAAATGCCTCCCCACCACTAACCTCGTCGTCGTGCAGGTGGGGGCCGACGTCCCTGTGCGAGACGACGCGCCCGTCGTAGATGCACGTGACGTCGACCTTCTCGAAGCCGACATCGACGACCGTCATGTTGGGCCACTTGAGGCCGTATTGGGTGGCGATACCGCTGTGGATGAGGCACAGGGCGGGCGTCTTAGTTTTCTCGAAGATGTAGCGGGCGATGGCCTCGCAGTCCGGGCGGGTCCACTGCGGCGAGGCCATCAGCATGATGGGCGTGTTATGATAGGTGGTTGTCAGCTGCGAGTGGACGTGCTCGAGGAAGGCGAGGAAGGCGTCCATGTGTGCGATGCGGCCGGCTGGGGACATCATCCATCAGTTAGCTACAAGTGCAATAGCTTTGCAGAGGCTTAGCAGATCAGAGCAAAGCATACCATGAATGGGATACACCGCGCCTTCCACCGAATCGGTGTCCTCGACATATTCCCACGCATCCTCGCCGTCGCCGTCGGCGGCGCTCTCCTTCTTGCGCTTGTACGTGTGATAGGGCCGCCAGTGGTCGTCCGAGTCCGGGTCCTTGAACATGCGCGTCGGGAAGCGGTGGGCGGGAGGGGTCAGCTCGTTGCAGCCGAGCTGGGCGAGGGTGGTCTGGCTGCCGGGGCAGATGACGAGGACCTGCTCCTCGCGCCACTTGCCCGTCTGGCTCGACATTGCGACGGGGCGCGCAGTGCACGCAGGTAGTCAATTGCTTGTGCTTTTGTATCTCGGGGTTGTTGGTCTTGCACCGCTTTCCAGCGGCTGTTGCGATTGGAAATTCAGAGGGTTAAATAGCACTGTTACGGTTGATACGTTTGGTAATTAGCTGCGATGTTGACAACTAGTACGGAGCAACAGCTCAATGAACAAGCTTCGCGATTCGGTTGAGGCGCGTACGCGCGTTGTTGGAGAAATGCATGGTGGGACCGAGATTTCGGCCTAGAAGCTGCTTACGTAATACAAGTTCCTCCTCAGAAATCGACAATCCGGCATACACATGCAACACAGGGCAACCTTCGATGCGATTGCTTCCGGTCTTCTTACAAATAATACAATGAAAGATACTACTACCGAGTATAGAGACTCGTCTCCCGGGTATCACCGTCCTACGCCCATGATGTAAATGCAAACCCGTATGTATGCCAACGCCCATCCGCCCCGAACGTTCATGGCCCTATCCCAACTAAACAAATGCCGTCTCCAGGATAAAATCGCATACCTCGGCCAAAGTCGGCAACCTTCCCTGCCGCAGCGCCTGGTCGACCCCTCGAGCCGTCGGCTGAGCCGCTAAGCCCGTCTTCAAGTACTCTACCTCGGCGCCCGTCAGCTCCCTCCGCTCCGTCTCGCTCCACTTGCGCTCGGCCTCCTCCTTGGCCTTGCGCAGCACCTCGTCCGTATCCTCGGCCTCCCACAGGTTGCACCTCGTACACTCGGTGCACTTCCTCGCGTCCCCGTGAGGGCGAAAGTGCTGGCAAAAGTGGCGGTACCCGACATCGGCCGCGTCGCCGGTGCCGCCAATGTTTTTGCGGCAGACGTAGCACATCTGGTAGCCGCAGGGGCACGCCAACTTGTTGCACCCCGACGTCTTGACAAACGACGTGTTGCAGCGCGGGCACACGCGCTTCACCGCCATGCTCATGGCCTGCTCGATTTGCGTGCGCAGCGCCACCAGCGACGACTCGTTGCACACGTGCACGTCGGTCCATGCCTTGTTACACGACAGGCACGACGCCCGCAGGCACTCGGGGCTTTGGCACTTGAATCGGAGACCGCGGCGCCTGCGGCGCCGGCGGACGATGGCCGCGCGGAACTCGCTTTGCAGGCGACTGCCCAGATTATACCGGGAGCCGAGGAGCAGAGTAACAAAGAAAATTAGCATGATAACACCGTATGACATGAGGATGAGAGGCACCAAAAGCGGCAGGCAGCAGACCGCAACAAAAATCAGGACGGCCGTGTTGATGCTGTCGGCCTTCAAGCGCAGGTCGACCTCGCTCACCGGCAGGTAGATCTCGTCGACCTCGGCATACGCGCAAAACGGGCAGCGTATGAGCGGGAGGTTGCTCGCGACTAGGCTGTGGTCCGCCAGGCGCTGCTCCAGCTTGTGCAAAATGTCGGCGCCTTTCTTCTCCTGAAGCATCGCCCGGTGCATATGGTCTTGGGGAATGCAGCCCTGGCACTCGGCACTCGAGACAACGGCGGGGCACCGAAGGGTCCCTGTCTCCTTGTTGATACTGCGCTGCCAGGCTTGCCCGAACAAGGCCTCGAAGATGCAGTGCTGCACGCACCGGAAGCACACCATGTGGCCGTCGGCATTGCACGACGTAAACTCTTCAAACGTCGACTCAGTGAAGCAGCAGGCGCACTCGATCATGCTGTCCGTCTGCTCTGCCTCGGCCGTGTTCAGCTCCATGGCCATCTTACAGTCCTTGGCCTCGCGCTCGACTCGGGCGCGCTCCGTTATCGGTATGATGAGGGCCGTAAAAAGCTCCCGATCGAGCTCGGCGTTGCCGGTCGATTTGAGCGTGGGCACTATCGAGCCCTGTCCCGTCGATCTCCATATCACCAGAGGGTGATTCTCAGCCTCGGTGGCCGACACGGGCTTCCGCCGTAGAAAGAGCGACGATATGGTGAAGCGCCAGGACTTGGATGACAGGTCGACCAGCGTCTGGCGGGCGTCGAGGTAAGAATAGTTGGTCTCGGCCAGGACGGCGTTGATGGCGGAGCGAGAGAGACCTTTGAATTCTTGCCATGCCAGGTTCTTGACGGCCTGCTTGTACTCCGGGCTCCGAAACGTCTCTTTCTTGGGAACCAAGGCCTCGGCGGTCTGGCCGTCTTTAGCGGCAACCCTCCAGCGACCCTTGACCCACGTGACGCGGTTCTTGAGCAGAGCGTCGGCAACCAGAGCCAGCCTCGACTCGCCGTCAAAGCTGGCGAACATGTCGCGGAACACCTCGATCTGGATGTCCGGGAAGACGGCGGCGAGGGCATCTAGGCACGCGTTGAGCTCGCGGAGGTCGGGCGGTTCCGGGTCGAGATGCATTAGATGCGTCTCGTCTGAGATATACTCTGGTGTCGTTGGCTCGAGAGAGGGAGCGGGCGCCGGCGCAGATGGAAGTGAAGCGGTGCTGGTCGAGGTTATGCTCTTTGCCTTTGTGGCCGTGCGGTCGCCCGACGCACCGAGCAGACCCGAGAAGCCCATGTTCCGTGGCATAGAGATGCAGCGTATTCTGATAATACCATGCTGGACGGAGGTGTTCCTGACGGGTTACCGTTGCGATTCGTGGTTGTTGTGGACCATGGTGCTGGCGTCGCCTGTTTCTGACGTTGATCGAGCGTCAGCTGGACGCTAGTATATTTGGGAACTGTCCGTCTCAGCCCTGGCGGTTCCCTCTCGGTGAAATCCGTGCCGCCCAGGTGTGTACCGTGCGGGGCTAGCCCCACCAACGCAGCTTCCATCAATGGAAGGTTCCGCCCCTTCCATCATGTCCATCATCATCCCCGCCGTTGACCAGCGCTTTTGGCTTGCAATCCAACTGGTGAGGCAATGTCACTATCATCTCGAAAATGGGGTGAGAAACGTGAAGGTCGTATCCAACCCAGATAAAACTCCTGCGAAATTCCGTTCAGTCCGAGTCGAATTACTTCTTAGATGCCCGCATCCATGCTGCCTCAGTCTGTCTCAGCAGTGAGCTCTGGGGATGGTCGAGGCGCGTAGTACCTCGAGGCACATAGCACCATTTGTCGCAACATCAACAGATTGTCTTTCCAGCTCCCGGTTGACGGTGTCTCCAGCTCAACTTTCCCGTCCCTAACGACCTCACCTGTCCTCTACCCAAACTCGGCAACCTTCCTGTGGTACGCGTCCCGGGCACCCGACTCTGCGGATGACTGGCATGGTTAATCAGTCGGTGTGCCTGCCCGACAAATGAAAAGAGCAAGCGGTCCCCAACATGAACATGGATTGGTTGATGTTGGCGAGAAAGGATTCGTCTGACACCCCATGTGGGGGCGCAGATCGGGTGCGCTGCCCGCCTTTCGAGATGATTTGTTCGGGGATGATCAATGCCTCATCTTCGCCATTTCGACGTCGTGCCTTCAGGGGCGAGAACAGGTTTTGTTCCCTTCTTGAAAGTCTCGTCTGTCACTGACATTGCTGACAAGTCATCGATTGCAGCTGGTGGATGATTCATTGCTATCCACCACAGTATCTAGCGTTACCTAGCGGTGCTACTCCATAGCACAGCTGAATCTCTCATCAGCATGCCCCTCAGTACCGCTTACGGAGTCCACCGAATTGGAAGCCTTCTCGAAGCCCCAAATCAAGGGCTACCCACGTCAAGGCCGCTTCACGTGTTGCTGTTGGGTACATCAGGACACTCCCAGAAATACTCCCTAGCGGCCGGGACAAACAAGCAGGGCATTCGGCTCATTGTCACACCTCCTTTCCGTCACACCAACAAAGGGCGGAGCCGTTCTCGCTCACCGCCCACCGCCAGTCCGCTCCTTCGGGACCCAGTGGGCCGCACAGCTTTCTGTGAATCCACCGGGACCCAGCAATTCCATGTGGCCCTGTCGTGGCTTGCAGATGTGTTCGAGCGGCGGGCCCTGCAACTGGCCGCTACAATCCAACCCTGGTTTGTTTATTAGCGTGGCACATCGCGGGCATTCGTCATGAATAGGATACTGGTGAAAGAAACCAAGGAACGTAAGAAAACAAGAAAGAGACGAAAGAACAATAGAATGTAAAGGTAGAAGTAAGATGAGGAGAAAGATAAAGAGGAAGAAGTTTAAGATAAAGAGGAATGAAAGAAAGAAACCGAAGAATAGGAAGAAAGAGAAAAGAAGGTCAAAGTGAAGGAAGATCAAGTGCAACACCTATGTACTGTACAAGTTCCGCACTAACAAACAACTAGGGGTTAATTGTAATGCACCCGCTCCCCTGTTTCTCCGGCACGCCTGTGCCCTGGGCGAATCCAGCTGCCGCCTGCGTCGTGGCCGGCCCCTGGTCTTGTCTTGAGCTCACCGACTTTGACTGTCTCTTGGGCTCCGATCCGGTCTCAACCCACCGACATGGCAACTTGCCTAGCGCAAGGGGCAGCGGGGCTTCCGACGATGTGTTTTCAGGTTCTGTATGCTGTTCTGCCCGCAAGCTGACGAATGTCCGTGCTGTGGCAACCTTGTGATTGGTTCCAACCTCTGTCAGACATAAGCTCTGCTTGGCGGTGTATAAGTCGGCCTCCTCACCCCATCCCATCTTCCCCATGTCATCGATCTTTCCCACGACCTCTGCTTTGTCCCCTCTCTCAATCCGATGGGCCCAGCTGGTCGTCTCTGGGTTTTTTTTATGGTGCTCGTGGTCCCAGCATGGACTTCCTCCCTGTCGAGCTGGTTCGACTTGTCTTCCAGTACTGCGATGCCCGAACCGTGAGGGCACTCCGACAGGTCTCGGGCAGGTACGCCGACGTGGGCTACGAGTTTCTTCTCGATCCTCACTTCACCGCCGTCGAGTGGAGAGACGATATCACGAGGCTGCGCTCCATCGCCGGTCATGACCGTCTGAGGGGCAGCATCCGATCTCTCACCTTCAACTTCTCCCAAGTCGACGAATACAATGCCCGCCACACCACCTTTTTCCAACACTGGCTCCAGGAGCCCGAGGAGCGCAGTGCGCTGCTCCAGGACGCATGGCTGCGGTATTACGAGCTGGAGGAGTCCGCCCGCAAGCTGCCGCCCTTCCATTCCCGCTCTACCGCCCTGGAAGAAGCCTTCAAGCGCCTCCCCAACCTCAAGGACCTCGAAATCACCCTCACCAAATGTCCTTACGACATACCCGTCCTCGAGGAAGTCTTCCAAGTCCGCAGGTGCCGCAAGCGCGACCGCCACCAGGCTTGCAAGAACATGAACGCCATCGTGTCGGCCATCCGCCACATCCGGCTCGCCTCGCTCTCCATCGACCAGCTGCCGCTCGAGATTTTCCGCCTCGCCGATGACCGCCGGCACTGGTTTGACTGCGCCCGCTCCTTCGCAAGCCTCTCCCGTCTGACCCTGGTCCTCGACCCGCCGCCCAACCTCCTACCCTCGGCCCGCTTCCGCGCCATCAACGGCCTCGGTCACGTCCTCCACTACAGCGTCAACCTGACCCATCTGACTCTAGCCTTCCACACCTACCACGCGCCCCTGGAAAAGTTCCACCTGTCCTTCCACGCGCTCTTTTGCGGCCAGGACTTTGTCTACCCCCGCCTGACCGACCTCAAGCTGGAAGGCGTCAGTTGCGCGGAGGAGGACCTGCGCGGGTTCTTGCTGAGGCACGGCGCCACGCTCGAGAGGCTGCGCCTTGGAGGGCGCGGGCTCGCAAGGCCGAGCGAGTGGAGCATTGGCGGTGTGCACCTGCATGAGGGCTCGTTCAGGGGCTTGTTTACGAGTTTGCAGGGCAAGATGTCCCGACTGAAGCGGTTCCATATGGAAGGGGATGCCGAGGCCGGGGACTTCATGACTAGCTCCAGGGAGGTCTATGTGTTTTTACCTATTACGGATGATGAGTGGGAGCCGGTGGCGAGTCAGGGCGGTGGGAAGAAGTGCGGGGGCTGGACGGCAGGGATGGCGTGCGTGAAGGTGGTGAATTGCTTGGGGCTGGAGAGGTTTCTGGTGGAAGGAGGTGAATATCCCCGGTTGGGGAAGAAGGATGATGCGAGCGATGAAGGGGAAATAACTGGTGGTTGATACCGGGTGTTCTTTCACGGACACGACTAATTTCAGATGTAGATATCACGATTTACACGACTCTTACGACTCTGTTCACTTCAAGAACGCATTAGACTTGGGGTCATGGCTAGGTACAGGGGGTGGGATGGAGTTGGCGACACATTAGACAGAATGCAAGCAATTGTCGGTTTATCACTTCATCTTTTCTCACACACGCCAGCGCGGACAATGCGCCGTGCTCTCTCTCAACATGACTTGCTTCTTGCGAGCGAGCCCTTCAAAAATTGTTTCGTGGTCTGGGTGATTGCTATTGGGGCAATCACAGGCATGAGCACAAGGCACCGAGCATAACGCAGGGGACAGATTGAAAGGCTGCTATGTAGGATGAATGGGCTGTGTCATAGGTAGGGAGACCAAGTGTAGGATTCGGGGGCTGCGATGCCATTCTCCCGTGTTAGATGTCAGGTATCTTCGATATTCAATCCCATGGTCGTGTGTGTTCAGCTCCATGCTTCAGCCGGCGAGCTCAGCCCCAGTTAGCCGCAGAGAGAGCCGCATGAACCTTCATCACCCTCTCTGGCTCTCGCTCTTCTCTCTGTCTCTCTGTCTCTCTCTCTCCTTCCTGCAGCCCAACCCCCCCCCCCCCCCCCGGGCCCCCCCCCCCCCCCCCCCCCCCCCCCCCCCCCCCCCCCCCCCCCCCCCCCCCGGGGGACCCCTCCTACTCTCCCTCTCTCTTCTCTCCCTCTGTCTCTGTCTGTCCCTCTGTCTTTTTGTCTTTGTTTGTCTCTCTGTCTGTTCTCTCTGTCTCTCTCTCTCTCTCTCTCTCTCTCTCTCTGTCTCTCTCTCTCTCTCTGTGTCCTCTCCCTCGCTCCCTCGCGCGCACTCTCGCTCGCGCGTTGATGCCCGCCCCAACCTCAGGAAAACTCACTACTTCATCCAAATGAATCTCATCTAAGATTTCCAACCAGACAACACCGAGTAAAATGCCGGCGACCCTCCCAAGATTGGGGCCCCTGCCCCTCTCGGCAAGCGGCATACAATTCTCCTCCGACCTCCTCAGCTCCCTCAGCAGCGGCGTGTTCCGCGCCTGCGTGCTGCTGTAGCTCTTCCCGCTCCGACTACCAAATCAGTTTCTAACTCTCGTTCACCTTCGTGTACTGGGGATGCATGCTCATCCCAAAATACACACAGTCCATAACTACGCAGAACGACCTGGGTGACGGAGGCCCACAAGCGGCGCACGAGGCGGCCGATGACTTGCACAAGACCGTGTCTCAGGCGGTTGGCTTCTTTTGCACATGGCTGGCCTTCGGACCGGCTCGTACGGTCGCGCACTGGATCTTGGTGTTCTTCCTCGGCCTTTGGGCCGGACAGTTCATCGTCATAGGCTTCGGGCTTGCCGTTGCATGGTTGGAGAAGCGGACCCCGTCATGGGCCATGGTAGCCGCCGTGAGAACAGGGCAACGGACAGCTCAATCTCTCATGGTACTCGGTCCTCATATTCATAAAGAGTACGATCCTGTTCGGGTTCGACAATACCTGGTCTCTGGTTCATACCTTGCGTGGCTTCACCTTGTCCTGGTGTCTGCGGAGAGGATGGGGGAGCGCTGGGAGGCGACATACCCGCCGCGCCAGTGGGAGGCTGCGGTGCAGGAGGCGTATGAGTACGAGAAGCTGGACTATACGAGGAGGCAGATCCGGCTGCTCCGCATCCCGCGCCAGCGACTCTTTTGCGGCCACTTGCGGTGCACCCTCGTCACGGGGTCGATGGACGAACTCCCCCCATTCGAAGCTCAATCTTACCGATAGGGCTTCGCGAATACGAATTAGGACGGTTATAATATTCGTCAACGGGCGGTCGATGATGATACCAAACTCTGCGTATCAGCTCCTGCACGCCTTGCAGCTCCATCTGAACTGACAGACTCGTTTGGGTCGACGCTATCTGCGTCAACCAGTCCGACGCCGAGGAGAAATCCCAACAGCTTCCGCTCATGCAAGACATCTACTCCAAGGCCAAGAAGGTCGTAGTCTGGCCGGGCGACGATATCGACCCGAACATGGTCGTCTGCACAATCGAGCTGGTCATCTCGGTATCTGTCAACTTCGAGGCTCCAGAGGAAGAAATACGCGAATTTTTCGACGACGAGTGGGACGGGCGAGCATGGAGGGCCATGACGAAGCTGTTTGAGAACCCCTACTTCGCACGCATGTGGGCGATTCAGGAAGTCGACCGCGGCGCCAACGTCGAGATTCACCACGGCGGCCGCTCTCTGCCCTGGGACTCCTTCTCGCTGGTCGCATTGCAGTGCATCCAAGCCCGTCGGCGGGCGATGCTCTACGGTCCAAAGCCAGCGTCTCTGGCTCGTGAGCAAGCTCTGCGTGATGCTATGGAGGGCATTAATCTCATGTCATTTTTTAGGATAGTTGCAGAAGACGGGATGCTCGGACGTCTCCATATGGGCACCTCCTTCTCGGGACAGTAAAGTCGCGAGCGTCAGACCCGAGAGACAAGGTCTTTGCTCTAAGCGGCTTGCTGGATGAGAAGAATTTCCTGCCGGCAAGCCTGCTGGACTACTCAAAGCCAGCTGCCGAAGTTTTCCTCGAGACTTCAATAATCTTGCTCGAGCAGGAGCGCGACCCCTTTGCCCTGCTTGGGTTGGCCGGTATTGGCTGAATGCCGGCTCAACCGGCTGGCCGTCCTGGGCTGTGGACTGGTCCAAGAAGGCATTGCCGATTCCCCTCTCTGGGGAAGCGTATCTCGTTCAAGGCCAGCGGGCGCCCGCACCGACAGCAAAGCGTCCAACCATACGGGTGCTCACAGCGGGCTCGCCTCGCCTGCTTGTACGTGGAGCAGTCATCGACAAAATTCACAAGCACATTGCCGCGGCCGTTGGGTCGTCAGCGACAGAGGTGACCACCAACCGTGTCCAGATCGCATGGGAGCGCAGTAGGTGGTATCTCGAGGCCGAGAAGCTCTTGCAATTCCAAGAGAGTCCATATCCCTACACGGGACAACACCTGAGGGAGGCATTTTGGCGGACCGTCGTCGTCGACAGGTCGAATGCACACGACCCGCTCCTGCTTACTTTGAAGACTGCGGCAAAATCTGCCGCCAACTCAGCGTGACCCGGCTGCAGGTATACTCGGGCAAGTCGCAGGAGCCGCCTTTGATAAGCGACCACCCCGAGTTGAGGGAGATATGACCGACAGAGCTCGACAAGGAGGCCGAGTTCTCCGAGTTCACGCTGGCGATCGGGAAGGCGCCCGAGAGCCGGGAATCATCGTCAGCGAGAGAGGCCTGCTGGGCTTGGCCCCACCGCGGAGCCAGCCTGGAGACCTGATCTGCCTCTTTTGACGGGGCGCCGACTCCTTTCCTGCTTCGTGAGCGGCAGAACAAACTTGGTACATCGGACAGAGCCTACTGTCTGATGGGTGAGCGCTACATTCATGGGCTTATGGAGGATGTGGAAGGTGTTCTCAACAGTCACGACTCGAGAAAATTCGCCATTGCGTGGTGTACCGTTGGGTGACCACCCGGTGAATTGTTGGCTGAGAACTGCCTGACCTCAACGTAGCCGCGGGCAAGATGCTCATGGATGAGTTGAGTTGCGTATGTGGAATGATTGGTCGACCACTGCGAATCTTACCGGGCTCCTGCAGGAGGCAGAAAGAAGCTGCTTTTGGACCAGCCCGCGTCGAGTGATACAAACATGAAGGGGCTCTGGTGGAGAAGGCAACGCGGGGCTCCATGTTTGCCTGTGCGGTGTTATGTTGTCGTGACGTTGGACAAGTGCTACAGAAGGCCTCCAGAGGGGCTGATATGATAATTCTGGCGGTTGTCCTCTGGGGCGAAAAATTCTTTTCCATAAAGGTCGGGGAACTATCATGGTCGCCTTGATTTCTGGGTCTCTTTGCTTCATGTCCTCGCTGGGTTTTCGTGCATGAGAGGAAAGAATTGAGACAGGGCCGATTAGCCTCCGCGTAGATGGCAGATCTTGTCGAAGCGGGCAGGCATGTTAAACCGTCCTGTGGTGCGCTTTTTAGATTTGACTTCTGCGGGCATGGTTGAGAGGAAGGTAGCCTCGAGGCATACGCCCGAGACATCGGAAAATGTCTTGGATCGGTTTTTTGTTGACGGCAAGCTGGTAAGCTCCTATGAGAGAGGCAAAAGCGAAAATACGTGTCACGAAAAAGGATCGAGTATTGGTGAGTGATGCAGACGCAATAATAACGCGGTGGAGGACGGGAGGGCGAGGATGAAGATGAGAATGGAGAAAGACCGTGACGACATGATGTCTGTTGGGCTGTGGCTCACCGGCAGGCTCGGTTAGCGGCAGGATGGCCCCCCAGAAACCGCAGTGCATGAACGAACTTGAAGGCTGCAACGGAGGTGAGAGTGGAGCTTGAGACTGATTATGAGGATATTGCTCGCCCATCATTCTTCTGGTGGGCAGTGACAATCACCATCATACCAAGGCCGAGAGATGAATATATAGTATAGACTTCACGGGACGAGAAGAACCAAAATCGGCGGAGAAATCAGCATGACGAAACCAAGGGTTCGTGTATACAATCAAGCTGTGCGAGGCTTAGCAAGCACCAAAGTTGATGAAATGATGTTGCTGACTCGCTGGAGCGGTGTTCTTCTTCAGATTATTCCACGACCGTGACTTCCTGTCATACCGTCAGCAAACCCCGGCTTTGACCCTCTTCCTCCGTTTCTGTCAATCCCCCTCTTGCGCAGCAGCCACCGCCCAAACCTGCGCTCGGCCTAAGTACAGTACATACCTTAACTACTAACTACAAAGGGGTGCATTCCAGGTTCTGATCGGCAGGACAGCGCGATCGGGCTCAGACCCGAGGATCCATCGCCTTGTCGATGCCCGTTTCGCTTATGATTATTGGGCGGATCCGTCTATGGACGCCGGTTCTCATTCCATCGACTGTCAGGCACACAGAAGCCACGAGACGAAAACGCCTGAGGTAGTCCCCATTGCGACTGTACCCTTCTGCTGTAACCCTGTTGCTGCATCTGCACTCGGTTACGTCGTCACTGCCGCGCGAACCTGAGGAGCGAGTGGGTGCCCTGACCCCTGTCCGGCTGCAACTGCGGCTTGCTTTTCGGCTGGGCTGGGCCTGCGCTGCTTGGCTGTTTTCCAGCGGGATCGCCGTTGGTGCCCACGTCACTAACCTGGTTCGAGAGACAGGCCTGCTCCTGTAAGGGATTGAAAACGTTGACGGCGCCCCGTTTGTCGGCCTCCCCTCCTCGCCTGGATTCCAAGCCAACACCAATCAATCTGCCCGATTGGGTTACTATACCAGCTGCTCGCGGCGTCGGGCAGTCGACCAGGCCGTCGCCATGCACCGCGTCTCGGCCCTGCTCCCCTCGTGGGACCGGTCGAGACAAAGCTCGCCGAGCACCCTGCGCAATCCGAGCACTCCGAGCACGCCCGCGCCTCCTCGAACGCCCGGCGCCCTCGACAAGGTCTTTGGATGGGCCGAGAAGATTGTGCCCACCAACCGAAACAGCACCACCAAGTCCACCTTGCCTCCCACCCGCTACGGCCGAGAGACGTACTGGCCCACGAGCCTCGACAAGGAGTGCGACAAGGCCGCAAGGATCATCAAGTCGTTCTGCTGTAAGTTTCTGCTTCGTGCTTCTCCAAGTCAAACGGGCGGGCTGACTCGAAGTCCAGTTGACGGCTTCCTCTCCCAAGAATCCGACAAGACCGAGACTGGTTCAACAGATCCAAATACACCAAAGTACATCACCAAGAAGATACCGCCACGAATAATACAGAATGCCGTCGGCCTTGCCGTCTTCTCGTGCATGCGATCCGGCCTGTGGATGTCCGGGTCTGGAGGCGCTGGCTTGATCACAGCACGCAAGGCTGACGGAACCTGGTCGCCACCCTCCGGAATCCTCCTACATACCGCTGCATTGCCCTTCGTCATTGGCGTGGACATCTACGACTGCCTTCTCGTCATCAACAGCGTGCAAACCCTCGAACTCTTCACCAGACCCAGGTTAATACTAGGCGCCGATGTCAGCTTAGCCGTCGGGCCGCTCGTCGCGGCTGGGGCGCAGGAGCCCGAGATCAAGTGGAGGGGGATCAGCGAGACCGTTTTGACATACGTCAAGGCTAGGGGAAAACACCAGGCGGTGCAGCTGGATGGCTCGCTCGTTACGGAGCGCGGGAACGAGAACGAGAGATTTTACTGCGCGGGCATCACCATTCTCGATATTCTGGCTGGCAGCACCCCTAAGAATGTACCCGAAATGCGCCCCCTGTACGAGGTCATTAAAGCTGCCGAGGGCCGTTCCGACTACGACAAGGCCTTGTTAGACTGGCTTGCCCAGCAGCCGGCGCCAGGCGATGCCGACATCGAGAGCCCCGGGGAGTCCGTTGCGTCGCCCACAAGGCAAGCTTTTGGCATCCCGGACGCCAACGACCCGGATCCGTTTGGTGTCATTGGCTTGGAAATGGCAGGCATCGAGATCCGGGAGGCCGGCACCAAGCTCCGACCCACGAGCACGCAGTTCGAGTTCCAGCCGAGCCCGACGAGTCCGCTGTACGGGAGGTTCAGTCGCCAGAGCATGGATACCTTTGTCTCGAGGAGCAACCGAGGCAGCTGCATGTCGGCTAAGACACAAGCTACGGCCACGACAGACGCCTTCACACAGACGGACGTCGCGAGCACCGCTGACACCACCTACAGCCGGGCTAACAGTGACGATGGAAAGGACACTGTGGACAGATTACCGACGGTTGTGGAGCCCGATGAGGTTGATTATACACAGATCGACACAAGTATTATCGAGCGGCTGAACCGGAGAACCATCGAACTCGCCCCCGGTGAGCTAGCGGTTCCTCTTATTGTGACCAAGGACGTCGAGGTTGCCAGCGTGGCCACAACCACCAGCAGATATGACGTCATCGAGGAGAGTCCCAGCACCGTCGACGAAATTATCGGTCCGGACACCCGGAGTGAAACCCCGAATCCCGTCACAGACGAGCAGGACCAGGACGCCGATGACGAAGATGACGAGGACGACTGTGATGGAGACGAGGACGATGAGCCCATCATCTGCGAGGTGGCCACCGCTTCAACGCAGCCGACACGGACATCAATACAGCGTCCTCAAGTAACTCAGGTGATCCACGCCAAGGGCGCCATCGTGACCATCCCGAAGAGGATACCCCCGCCCCTGCCTGCCCGCAGCCCTGCGCGTGCATCCCGAGGTAGCAAGAGCGAGTACGGCGACGTGTCGTCGCTCAGGAGTCCCGCCCGCAACTCCTTCCTTTCGGTCGATTCGCGGGCCGACAACGCTTCCATCGCCGGAAGAGCCTCCATCGACGAGGCATCTGCTCATGCGGAATATACCCACCGTAGATCCACCGACGGACAGACGCCAACGCACATGCAACGACCTGCCAACCCGCGCCACACAAAGAATTCATCTTCGGTCTCCACCGCCGTTGCAGTCAACCCCACCATAGACGAGACTCACGCGGAGCCAAGTTCAGGCCTGATTGAGATTGAGCCAAAGGAAAAGGTTCCGAAGCGCAGTATCTCGCCCCCTAGCACGGCCGGAAGCCCAGCCGATGCGGGACACGGGTCTTCGGCCGGGGACGACTCGGAACCCACGACGCCGCAGACGGCCGAGACCGAACTGAATACCATTGCTGAGCATCAGGCTGAGAGGCAGACCAAGGCCCAGGAGGAGGTGGTCATGATCGTGGGGTCGTTCCCAATGACACCGCATGCGGAGATTGCGGGTGAACAGAAGACGGCGCAATTAGCATGATTTGACTCCCTTCTACTTGGGTTAGGGAATCACGGGAACAAAAGGAAGGGGGTGACATGGATGACAAGGCGAGCATCTGACGGATTACTTCTTACTTGGCAATCGGGTTTTGGATACAGGTACGGATGATGAATCTCCAAATGGTATGACATTTTAAGGTGAAGAGTGGGCATTATTTACAGGTCAGGGGCGGCGACATGAAGGATGGTAGAGAGGGTGGCACCTCCTCAGGGCGTCCAATTCTTCTCATCCGGCAGGCTTTCTTGTTGCTCTTGGGGACTCTCGCGATGGGTTGGCGTTTCGAGTGTTGTTTTTTTTATGCTTAAGAGGATGGGGGCGAGGTTGCCTGTTATCCGTAATATCCGCTCAAGGCGCAAGGTTTTGTTTCAAGCAGGCTAATCTTTGTTTTGCCAAGACATTGGGAGGAAGGACATCACGTATGGCAATGGAAGGCGTATGGAGAGTGTGGTATGAGGGTCATGCAACTGGAGGTAGCAAAGCGCATATACGATGATACCCAATCGAATGGACGCAGCGGCCATGTTACGGGAAGCTATTCATACACATGCGAGTCTACCGTAGATTCCGTCAGGGGTCCAGTTGGTAGGGAGATATCCAATGTCCAGGACAACAGCGACGCCTAAACACGCCAATTCGCATTCGTCACACAGTCTTGTTACAACGCCCAAAAGACGACTGCAACTGACAACGCTAATCCTATAAACCGGGCCCGGACCGAGCAAACCGTCCTACAAATCATGCCCCATCCTACGATCTCCAGATGCAATAAAGCCCCACAGCCTGGACGTTTGATAGCTCCGTTCGCTTAGTCTGAGAATCTCCCTTTGATTCCATCCCTGTTGGTAACCCCTTGCTACCGCCTCCGCCGACATTCTCCAACCCGCCATAACGGTTCAACAAACCGTGACCTCCGGAGAGGGAAGAAAAGCCTAAACCAACTCGGCCGCAGCACCACCAATAGCCAACTTGCCCGTCTCTTTCACCTTGGTCTGGAACACGATCTTCTTGGGCCCCTCCCTCCACATCTCGGTAACGAGCGTCTGGCCCGAGTTGACCGTCCCCGCGAAGCGTACCTTGATATTTTTGAAGGGCCCAAACTTTTCGTAGACGGCCTTGCCCGCGATACCAAAGAAGCAGAGGCCGTGCAGGATGGGCTCCTTGAAGCCACCCATCTTGGCAAAGGCCGGGTCGACGTGCAGCGGGCTGTTGTTTCATGTCAGCACAACTGGACTTGATAGGGAAAACTGATAAATGGAACATACTTGTAATCGCCACTGAGCCGATACAGCGCCGCCTGCTCCGCGATCGTCTTTTCCTCCACGACAACATCCGGCGCCCGCGCAGGCGGCTTATTCACCGCCGTGCTCGCCCCGCGATCAGCGGGTTTCTTCTGCCCTCCAAACCCGCCGCACCCGCGCAGAAACACAGTCATCTCGTTGTAGAACAGCTCCTCGTCCGTCTCGGCATTGACCGTCGTCACGCCCGACTTGACGATGGCGGCGTTGCCCTTGTCGATGACCTCAAGCAGCCTCGCCTTGGAGACCAGCCGGCCCGAGGTGGGGATGGGGTATTTCTTGACCTCGAGGTACTGCTCGCCGTGGAGGAGCATCATGGGCGAGTAGTTGGGAACCAGGTCGTCCAGGTTGTATGGGCTCTCGGCGTTGAAGGGCGGGATCACGCCAAACGTGGGGAGAACCTGGAAGTCTTCGTTGCTCTCACTGCGCGGCGTTAGCCACTGTGTGGCAGAGAATGAATGGAGAGAGAGCATCTTACAAGACATAGCGCAGGTCGGTCCGCTTAGCGCCAATGCCAAGGTTATATAGAATCACGTCGCGCTCGGTGTACGTGTACTCGGTGCCCTTGCCCTCGGCCTTGAGCGCCTCCTGGATGGCGTCGAGGTACTTGTTACCGCCCGCAGTCTACAGAAACAGACGCGTTAACATATCATGAATTCTACATAGGATATAATCGTAATACTATACTACATGGAAACAGAACGGCGCAGCCACATGAGATTTCTGGATCATACCTTGCCTTCGCCGCTCCGGTTCTCCGCGTTTGCCATGATCTTTTGGATGCTGTCCTGCGTCTTCTCCGGGTGATCAGCCCGCTCGTCGAAGGTAACAATGGCCTTCCACTGCTTGACGACCGCCTCAGGCGTGAGGGGCACGTCCACCGGGAAACCGTAGCCACCGGAGCGCTGCCACCTGGTCTGGCCGCACCAGCCGCTGCCGACCTCGTACAGGCCGCCGGTCGGGTTGGGCACCTTGTCGCTGCAGAGCGCCAGGACAAGGGGAGCAATGTATTCGGGCTTGAAGGCCTGGACGAGCTCCTCGGGCAGGATGGTCTTGGTCATGGCAGTGCCGGCGTTAGGGGCGATGGTGTTAACGAGGATGTTGTACTTGGCACCCTCTAGGGCGAGAGCGCGCGAGAAGCCGAGAATGGCGCATTTCTATCAAGATTAGCACTAGAATTTCCGTTCGGAGTCAGAGTCACGTACCGCTGCAGCGTAGTTGGCCTGGCCGAAGTTGCCATAGATACCACTGGTCGAGGTCGTGTTGACCACACGGCCGTACTTCTGCTTGAGGAAGTAGGGCCAGGCAGCCTTGGTCACCTTGTAGGTGCCACGAGCGTGGACGTTCATGACGGGGTCCCACAGGTTGTCGTCCATATTAGTGAAGGCCTTGTCCCTGAGGATACCAGCGTTGTTGATGACAATGTCGATCCGGCCAAATGCATCAATGGCGGTCTTGACGACGGCATCGCCGTCCTCAGCCGAGAATTTGGCGCCCACGGCCTTGCCGCCCATCTTCTTGATCTCGCTGACCACGTCGTCAGGGTTGACAAGGTCGTTGACAACCACAGCAGCGCCGGCCTTGGCGAACGCCAAGCAGTAGGCACGGCCGATACCAGCGCCGCCACCCGTCACGAGGGCAACCCGGCCGGTAAAGTCAATCCTCTCTCCCTGCTCGTTAGGGCCCAGCTTCTGCGATTCCTCGAGGAGCGTCAGGAAGTCGTTGGGGCCACTTGGGTACTGTGGATTCGAGAAGTCGGTCACGCGATCCCACTTCTTGAGGATGGCGCCCGGGGTGTAGGTTTCGTCGCACTTGCACAGCAGACCGTTGGACCGCTCCCACCGCAGCTTAGCGATATGCCCACCGCCGACCTCGAAGATGGATCCCGACTCGGAAGTGTTGTTCTTGTGTACCAGAACGGCCACGAGGGGCACGACCCACTCAGGCTTCATGAGGGCGAGGACGTCTGGCGGCATGATGGTTTCGGTCATGCGGCTGGCGGCGACCGGAGCAATAACGTTGCAGATGATGTTGTACTTGGCGCCCTCTTTGGCGAGGGTCTCGGTGAAGCCAACCATGGCGAGCTTGGCAGCTGAGTAGTTGGCCTGGCCAAAGTTACCGAATAGGCCGGCGGCCGAGGCCGTGTTGATGATGCGGCCGTACTTTTGCTTGCGGAAGTAGGGCCAGGCGGCGCGGGCGCACTTGTAGCTGCCCTTAACGTGTACCTTCATGATCAAGTCCCAGTCCTGGTCCTTCATGTTCTTGAAGCTGACATCGCGCAGAATGCCTGCGTTGTTGATGAGCACGTCAATGCGGCCGAAGGCCTTGATGGCCGTGTCGATGATTTTGTCGCCGTTTTCGACGCTGTCGTAGTTGGCGACGGCCTTGCCGCCAGAGGCCTTGATCTCGTTGACCACGACATCGGCGGCCTGTGGGAGTCAGCCATGAGGCGTGATATGCACGACACAAGCCTGAGACATACCTTGGTGTCGTTGCCCTCGCCCTTGAATGACCCACCGAGGTCGTTGACCACGACGCTGGCGCCGCGCGACGCAAAAAAGGTGGCATAGGCCTTGCCGAGACCGCCGCCAGCGCCGGTGACGACGACGACCTGGCCGTCGAACCTCAATTGATCCGCCATGTTGGTAGTCTGGAAGATGCGTGGGGAATGCGACGAGAAGGAACAAGAAACAATGGAAATGGCAAGAGTGAGAGTGTCGCAATGAAGCTTACTCTAGGTTGCTTTAGGTTTGGAGAAAGAATACAGCGTGATGGAAGCCACGAGACGGAAGCGTTGAGTCTCTTAAGGAATCCCTTTGACGCCGGCAAATGTGCCATTGCTGAGAGCCGGGCACGTTAAGCCGAGGCAATACGGTTGGACTCCAGGCTGGCACATTCCATCTCCACTGTTAGCCATCATTGCCGAGAGCGGGGAGCAGCCGAAGACAGGGGCCAGGGGGCCGCACCGTTTCGCCGAGATTTTTCACATGCAATTGCCCGGCCTCCTTCCGTCGATCCCCGGTCAGGACACTGGCCAATCAGTCAAGTGCAGCGTTGCGGGTGACGTTTTCCCCGTTGCAGCTCGGCTCAAGATTGTTGGTGGTTTTTATCCATCTCTTTTCTCCTATATTGGAAAGAACGAAATGGAGCCAACAAAATGATATTGAAGTAGATGTAGTTGATAAGTCTCACCCGGTACCACGAGCATCCCTTCGAGTCCGTATCGCGCAGACTCGATTCTTTCTCAATGTCGGCCATGGAGAGGTCGTGGAGGAGACCGAGGCGAACTGCCCAAGCATCGCTCTCACCGTCACCTGGCAAGGTCTGTCACATGAGTCGGATATCCTGGTATCGAAAAGGACTTACCACAAGGATGCATCGCCGGATCTGCCGTATCACCACCTGTATACCCACGACAAGACTACCCAGACGACCAACTTGTAGAGTCCACCGCCGACGTCCCAGGTCGTTCGCAGCCATGATTTCCGAGTTTTCAATGCTCCCCCACGCTGCGAGCCCACGTTCCCCACACCCCGCAAATGAACCGCTAAGCCGGTCCCTCTTTCGTCATCGCAGTCCGAGGAACGGGCGAGGCTGCAGTAGCAACGACTGGCTGGGACAACCACCGCTGCCTCATGCTTGAGTGCCCAACTGCGACGCCTCAATTGCCGGTTGCAGACTTAGCACGTTCAAGCATGGCTGCCCCCAATGCGCCCCTGCAGACGCGCATGGTCGACGACAAATCGCCGATCTGCATCCCCTTCATCCTGTCACGCCTGGCCGAGTACCGGGCCCAGCAGGATGGCGAGACCCATCCGCGGCCGTTCATCGTAGGGCTGAACGGGGTGCAGGGCGTGGGCAAAACGACGCTGGTGCGTGCCCTGGCGGAGACGCTGCAGGAGCGCGAGGGCCTGCCAACGCTGGTTGTCAGCATCGACGACTTTTACCTCACCCACGCCGACCAGCTCGCACTGGCTGCTGCGCACCCAGACAACGCGTTGGTGCAGTATCGCGGCGAGCCGGGTCTGTCCTTCATTCTTGCCATCCACATCACATGAAGCCTATATCTAGCTAACCAGACGATTCTCCCCCAGGGACCCACGACCTATCTCTCCTCACCCAATTCCTCACCTCCCTCACCACCAACCCAACCAAGCTCACTCCAATCCCCCAATATGACAAATCCGCCTTCTCCGGCCAAGGCGACCGCCTCCCGCCGTCCACCTGGCCCACCACCGACCCAACCAACCCGCCACAAGTGTTAATCCTCGAAGGCTGGTGCGTCGGCTTCCGGCCCCTCTCCCCACCCCTCCTCGTCGAGTCCAAATGGAAATCCGCCGGCTCTCGCACGCTGCACAACCACAAGCTGGACCACCTCCTCTTCATCAACTCGAAGTTGGAAGACTATGACCGCGTCATCAACAGCGCGCTGGACGCCTTTATCCACATCGACGCCGAGGATACCGAGTACGTGTACGCGTGGCGGGCGGAGCAGGAGGCGCAGTTAAGGAGGGAAAGGGGCGCGGGTATGAGCGAGGAGCAGGTGATCAAGTTTGTGGATGCGTACTATCCCGCGTACGAGCTGTTTGCGGAAGGGGTAAGAGGAGGGGTCTTTCGTGGGAAAGAGGGGAGGAAGGGGTGTCAGTTGAGGTTGGTTGTTGGACGGGACAGGACGGTGAAGGAGAATATGGTGATATGACAAGGAGTGAATAACAGAACAGTCAATAATATTTTTGCTGGTGACGAAGCGAATCTAACAGATTAGATACATACCGGAGTAGTCATCTATGTAAACGCAGCGCATCCCATGTGTTTTGAGCAACAATACGTGCAGCCCAGCCTTCTTCCAGGCAGCGTCAACCGCCAAGTAGCCCTGCTGTCTGACTATATCCCGTCCGTCCCTGTCGTCGATCATCAATCATGGTTCGTAAGTCGTCAGTCGTTACTCATCAAGTGTTGTTGTTCTTGGTCGTTAGCTCGTTAATCATAAATGCCAGCTGAGTTGGGAAAGAAATAAGAGGAAAAGTAAATAGGAAACAGCCACAACGCCCAGCCCCATAGCAAAGGGAATCGCTCGTATACATCCCAACCATGAAGCAAATCTTGCCCAGTTCTGCCCCTGCCATGTCATTAGGCCACCCCATGGTCCAATGCTACATCCCTCCCATCACACGCACACAAAAGACATCCACCCGCAACTCAGAACTCAGAACTCAGCATCGACATCCTTCCCCTCCATCATGTTCTTCCCCTCCTCCTTCAACTCTTGAAGCGTGCGCTCAATCCCCTCCACCTTGCCCCGGATCGCCTCCTCCCGCACAGAAATCTCGTCCTCGAACCGCTGCACCAGCTGCCGCTTCGCTCTGCGCGCCGCCTTGAGCCGGCCCACGACGGCGCCAAACTGCGCCAGGAACCAGTCGCCCGCCTCGTCCCACTCGTCGACCGACACGCGCGCAAAAAACTCGTGCTGGTCCATGCTGCCCTTGCGCTTGTAGTGCTCCAACCGTTCCTCGATGGTGCCCCCCGCGGGCGGCGCGGAAGATTGCTGGAGGGCGGCGGTTTGGGGGTCAAAGTCGAAGGCTTGCGTGCGCAGTTCCGAGTAGCTCATGGCGTGCAGCTCGGCGTCGTTGTAGTCGAGGCTTTGGCGGCGCTTGCGGGAGGAGGCGGAGGCGATGGGGCCTGGCTCCTTGGGAGGTTCTTTCTGCCTCCGACTGGCTGTCCGCCCGAGCGGGGGCTGCGGTGGGAAGAGCTGGGGTTGTTGCGGCGGTAGTTGTTGGCGGTTTGCCCGCGGGGTGCGCTGCAGAGCCTCCTTGAGCGCCTCCGGGTCCACGCCCGTGCTGGGCGCGATGACTGCTGCCTTGGTGTCGTTGAAGTCCGGGAGGTCGTCGAACTCGAGCGGCGTCAAATTCTCGAACACGGTCGACCGCTTGTGTAGGAGTTCGTGCTCCTGTGCGCGCACTCGTTCCCTCTCTCGTTCCCTCTCGCGTTCCCTCTCCCGTTCCCTCTCCCGCTCCCTCTCTCTCTCACTCTCGCGCTCCCTCTCGCGCTCGCGTTCCCGTTGCCGCTCGCGGTCACGCGCCAGCCGCTCTTGTAACCGGATCTTGTCGATGTGGCCGCCTGCCTCGGTCTGCCGCTCCGGTGACAGGTTCAGACTCTGAGACTCAGGTGAGTGTCCTGGGCCGGTCCGTTCCGACGATGCGTTGCTGCGGTTGTCTCGGTATGCCAGCTTGGTGCGCCTCAGCCCGCTGGCTCTGGTGGGTGTCTCATAGAGCTGCCGAGCTTCATGATATGCGCCTTCCTGTTTGACACTCTGGTCGTCAAAGATGTCACCCGGCGTCGCGGCATTGATGGCCAAGGGAGCTGTGTCGGGCACCTTCTGAATGCTGGGCGGCGGGATGACCTTGAGAATTCCGTTCTCGCCAATAACAAACGGCAGGTTCTCGTCGTGCTTAGGCCGGATGCGAGTGGGCGGGAGAGGGAGGGCCCTCTGCGGAGCATCGCTGCTATGGCGCGCGTGGCCTGCTTGGGGCACACGAAGCCTTTCCGACGCAGCTCTGCTCTCGTTGTCTCCACCAAACATGGAGGCGACTGTCGAGTCCTCCCACCCGTTGGTGCCCCGTTGGGGTTCGCGTGCCGTGTCTGAGGCAGACGTCCTGGTCCGCTGCATAGGGTGGAAATGCTGCGGCGCCGGGAGACTCATTGTCGCGGTTGGCTGAGAAACGGCCGTGTGTCGGCCAGCTCGGGGCACTGGTATTGACCTGGCAGTTGCCGGCGTATCAGGTTGCTGCTGCTGCTGCTGTTGTTGTTGTGGTCGTTCTTGCCGCGCCTCCTGCCTCGCAGCAATGATTTCTGGTGGGGGCTGCAGCTGAGGAAGCTGCGACCCATGCGAATGGCTCGTCGGCACAGGCGTTGCGGGAAGGCCCACTCCGCCTGCCCTGGGACTTGCCCCGGGACCACTCACGGCGCCGTCGGCCTGTCGCATGAACAGACCGATCGACCCCAGCTTCTTCTTTGTTGTTGGCATCATACTCAATCGCATGGACGCGGTTGCAAAACTGCAAAACGGCGTGGCGGCTAGGAGAGGAACGACTGGCGACCAGCGTCATGCGGTTGATTGTTTACTTGTTTACGTGTAGACTGGAGGTGCGACAGCGCGCGTTCATTGGATTGTCAGAATATTGGATGCAGCTTGACAGATGTCGAGCCGCGAGCTCGAAACCCCGCGGAACGAGATGCGACTCGGGTTATTATGTGCTTCAGACGACGTTCAGTTCTCGCCCATGATTTGACAGGATCTGAGCTGGGGTCAACGGTGCAGCAGCGGGCGCGGGGAGCCGGCAGAGCTCTGGCTCATGTCCAGAGCGTGGGAGTTCGCCATGTCAACGGGAGGTGCGTGGTTCCAATGGCAACGGCCGGCAGCGCTCTTTGAATGGGGCCTGCGCCTGCATAGATGGGCCGCTAGCGCGGCGCGCTAAATCTCTCGTCGCTCACGCTGTCAGGTGAGCGCTCGATGCAGGGTCCGCCGAAACTTTTACAAGACGTGCCACTCAGCTTCGCTAATTTCTTCGTCCTGCATCGCCGCGACTTCTGACAGGCCGCCCCGTTCTTCTGCCGGCTGCACCTCGAATGGATGGGATGTGCACTACTCCCGCGACCTTTGCTTCTGGAGCATTGACGAATTACCCAGTGTCTACCTATTACCGTTGCATTTTCACCCGCCGCATCTGCACCCTCCTTGTCGATGAGTACCCAACGGTCCCCGCAATCGAACGCAACATGGACACCCAACGATTAGCACACCCTCTGCGTAGCGACTTGCTGCAATATGGCTGGCCTGGCGGAGTGTTGATGCCCAATCATGACTCGAGCGCAAACACGGCGGTGTTCCTCGAGTATCCTCGCCCCAGGACTCGGGGGTCAGGGCGGAATCGCTGGTCTTCCTACCCGACCCTACGACAGGTTCACGATGAGACTAGACAATACATCTCTCCGATTTAGGACACAGCAGGCCGGATGGAGCCGTATGAGTATGCGTGCATGGTGAAGCGAGCACAAACCACCATTCATTTCTCCCGTCACTGGTCTCGTGGCCTCATCAAAGCCCGTCGACCGCCCCAGGAATGCGGATGCGTAGGGGGAGAGTTGTGGAAATCAATCCCTCCCTGAACAATCCTGTGACCTGCGGATTCGGCAGGTCTCTGCCTGCAAGAAGAGATTTCATACGGCTGCGATCTCGTCTCTCTGGGTCCGCTCTCTGATGCTCTCTCTCCTCCCCCCCCCTCGCCCTGTGCTTTGAAACCGTCAGCTCGGCACGGTTTGCTGTCTCCGTTGTGCTTTATTCTTTCCAGATGTTCTCGTCCACCATCTTGCAAATGGCGCGGAACAAGGAGCAGTATTTCCTCGCTGATCAAGGTCACACGGTAGCTACAGACATGCATCGTCGGCAATTCAGGTTTTCCCTACTCCACGGAGCGCCGCAATGCCGCTTTAAGGTCTGTACCGTCGGCCCGCTGGGTCGGAGACGTGGGGTGTTGTCCGTGATCGGCGAGAAGCGCAACTGTCCAACCCACGTCTGCTTCGATAAGATAAGCCCCACCATAACCTCGCCCATCTTGAGGCGGCGATTTCTAAGCCAACCTCGACACCAACAAACCTTCACCATCCCGCCACATTGGGCGTCAACATTGTCGTCCTCACCATGGCGCCATCATTAGAAGCCCCCGAGCCCGTCGAGGACGTTCTCGCGAACCCACTCAAACAGAAACCGCAGCTCGTCGCCCCCGAACCAGAACACTGTCCCGGACCGGAATCCGAACAGGCCGGCACCGCCGACTCGTGCGCCGGTTGCCCGAATCAAAAGATCTGCGCCTCCGCCCCCAAGGGGCCAGACCCCGACATTCCCCTCATAACATCCCGGCTTGCGGGCGTCAAACACAAGATTCTCGTCCTCAGCGGCAAAGGCGGCGTGGGCAAAAGCACGCTCACGTCGCAGCTGGCGCAGGCGCTCGCCACCAACCCAGAGACAACAGTAGGCGTCATGGACACGGACATTTGCGGGCCTTCCATCCCCAAAATGCTCGGGGTCGAGGCCGAGACGATTCACGTCAGCGCCTCGGGCTGGTCGCCCGTCTGGGCCATGGACAACCTGGCCGTCATGTCCATCCAGTTCATGCTGCCCAACCGGGACGACGCCATCATCTGGCGGGGCCCCAAGAAGAACGGGTTGATCAAGCAGTTCCTGAAGGACGTGGAGTGGGGGGAGATGGACTTCCTGCTGGTCGATACGCCTCCCGGCACGAGCGATGAGCACTTGAGTGTGAATACTTTTCTCAAGGGGAGCGGGATCGAGGGTGCCGTGGTGGTGACCACGCCGCAGGAGGTGTCGTTACTGGATGTGAGGAAAGAGATCGATTTTTGCCGGAAGGCAGGGATACAGATCTTGGGCTTGGTGGAGAACATGTCGCTGTTTGTGTGTCCCAAGTGCACCCACGCAACCGAGATCTTTCGGGCGACGACGGGCGGCGGCAGGGCGCTGGCCGAGGAGATGGGGATTCCATTTCTGGGGTCCGTGCCGCTGGACCCGCGGCTGGGCATGGCGTGCGACTTTGGCGAGAGCTTCTTTGACTCGTTCCCGGATAGCCCCGCGTGTGTGGCGCTCAAGGGTGTGGTGAGGGGGATGGCGGAGCAGATTGGGCTGGATCCGGAGAAGGTCGTGCCGGAAGGTTAGATTCAATGATACCACTTGCGGAATAGATAGATGATGAATGGCTGTATAGAAAGATATACAGTCTCGTAATGTCCACGACACCCCCTTTGTCCTTTACGTCCTCAAGCGGCCGCCAGTTTGGCAGGAACCTCCTCCAGCTCCTCAGGGCTCTCCAGATCGATGATCCGCGTCACCTCGCTCGTGTTCCGCATCAGCTCCTTGGCCCCGGCGTACAGCATGCGCATCTCGCTGTTGCATGTCGTGGGCAGGTAGTAGAGCATGACGTAGGGAACCGAGAGCCGGCCCGAGGGCTGACACCACCGCTATTGGTTAGCTTCGGGAATGCTTGAACCGAGGTGGCCAAGTCAGAAAATGGGAAGAGTGGAGTGACGGACCAGCGTCAACGGATAGCTCAACAGGATAAAGCGGGGCGAGTGGTCGGGTAGGTCGTCGGCGAGCTCCTCGAGCGATTTGTAGACTGTCTCGTCCTCATCCCGTCGGATTTCCTTGGTTTGCTTATCGATCATGTCTGGGCATCACCGAGGATCAGGGGAGTTACGGTTAGCATGCTGTACCGCGCGGAGACAAAGAGGGTTCAGTGTTTGAGACTAAGCGGGCTCCTGTCTACAACAGAAAGATATACATACAGATGACTGCTTGTGGATCGTTGGCCCGCGATGTCCCCAGACGGAACTTACGCAGGTGGTCCTTTGTCTCTTGCGAAAAAGTGTATAGACGTGCTTCGGAGGTCTGTGCCATGGGGAGGGTTTTGTTAGACAGGGCTTTGTGAGGGGCGCAGAAGGATGTGTCGTACCATGGCGTCGATCCTTGTCTTTTACAATGTAGCTTCCTCGATATCAATGGCACAGACAGCCTTCACTATACCGAGCATTTGGGATCTAGGTCGGGTTGATGTCGAGGCAAGGTGGGGTCGGGTGTTCGTGAGAGTGCCCCGCAGCCCTGGAGTGGCCCTAGGAAGGCAAGGGTGGGTCATGGGGAAGCTTTTGATCCCGGGGTTCGGGTTGGTGCGTTCTATGATTCCCTTCCATCGTCACTTCCTTGGGACCAGAAAGTCCAAACAGTTTCATCTGTGGCGTGTTGTTCATCCTTTTTTCAGATTTCCTGTACTGAGCGTAAAGCTCACTTAGACCATCTCATGCTCTCTCGTCTGTCACAAGTAGCCCGTCATTTGTCCCGACCGCTGCCCAACATCGCGTACGTATCGGCTGCGTCGGTAAGGGGATCAAAAGCATTGAACAGCACAATGACGACGAGCACCACGGCGAGTGAGCGTGCCTCGAGAAAAATTCACACGGCAGCCTGCTTGATTATTGGCGATGAGGTTCTGGGCGGAAAGGCAGGTCAGGAGTTGGCGCGTCGTGCATGTGCGTCGTGAGACCAGAGCTGACTGGAGCTGCATGATAGACCAAAGATGTGAGCTACTCCGAACATTTAAGTCCAGCTACCCCCTGCATGCAGGAGTTGACAGTAGGGACAGACAAATTCACATTACTTTGCCAAATGGTGTTTTGGTCTAGGAATCGTATGTCCCTTCCCCTAGTCTTCCAAGCCCTGGTACTTACACAGTCCTCCAAGATTCTGAAGCGAATCGAAGTCATTGCCGACGATGAAGCCGGGATTATCGAGGCCGTGCGCCGCATGAGCGAGCGCTACGACTTCGTAGTAACAAGGTCTGCCTCCATCGCAGCTCTCCCCAATAATGCACTCTCAAACTGACACTGGAACCTCAGCGGCGGCATAGGCCCAACGTAAGTTCCGTCTCCCCATCCCCAATCTCTAACCCCCCAAAGGACTGGTAGGGATATTTCCCAAACCCATGGTTAACAACGCTCAGCCACGACGACATCACATACAAGTCCATCGCCAAAGCCTTCAACCTGCCCCTGGTCCTGCACAAGCCGGCCCACGCCCTGATGAGGAAGCTCTCCAAGCCGCACCCGAACCAGCCCGCCTTCCGCTGGGACGAGGACTCGCCCGCGCTGCGCGCCAAGCTGCGCATGGTTGAGCTGCCTACCGACGTCAGCCGCCCCCTCGAAGAGCAGACCCTGTTCCCCTGCGCCGACCTGTGGGTTCCCGTTGCGGTCGTCAATGGGAACGTGCATATCCTGCCGGGTGTGCCTCGGTTGTGTAGGTTTTCCCTCCCTCTCGATTTGCTTTCTTGTCACAAGGATCAATGCTGAATGGTTGGTGGTGAACGTTGTGGCGGTTTAGTTGAGAAACTGCTCCAAGGGCTGACGGCGTTCATTTTGCCGCGCCTGACCGATCCTGAGGGCAAAGGGATTGTACGGGTTACCATCTCGACGCCGCTTCCCGAGAGCGAGGTGGCTGGGTATCTGGCTGAGCTTGCCGAGAGGGTCGAGCAAAAGGGAGTCAAGGTCGGGAGTTACCCCAGGTGGGGGAAGAAGAGGAATACTGTGACGCTAGTTGGGAGGTATGTCGACCTGTCCCTGGGTTTGTCAGGACTTTCAAGACAGACATTGAGCTGACCTGTTGTGTAGGGACAAGGAGTTCCTCGAGACCATAACTCCGGAGGTGATTCACTATGTTCAGGGGAGGCTAGTCACGGTTGAAGGGGAGGACGACGACGCTGATGCTGAGACGAAGGAATGAGTGATCGATCGATCTAAGTCGAGCTATCCGCTTATTGAGGCAGCATTGTCGGGTCACAGTTTGTTGACGGCATCCTGTCAGATCCCACAGTGCGCGGTTGCAAGCGAGGACGATGGGGAAATTAACTTGATGTTAGTCACAGGTGTGAATGACGGATAAGGCTATGGTTTGTGCCATCCCTTTCCTGATCTGGCCGGTCCCATGCTGGGAAGCGTGGGTACTACAGTCGCAATCTTTCTGGATCGTTTCCATAAGGGCTTCGAAGCGGATAAGGGGCAAGTCACCGCCACCATGATGCTTGTCTGCTGGGATTCCGGGTCCTGCTCACTGAAAGTCCAACAAACGAGGTTGTCGGGAAATGAACTCATTGATGGTTATGCTGCCATGACGTGGTCGCGGCCCCGTTGACGAAGGTGAGTTTCATCTGTGAGTGCCAAGAGCTCAGGGGAAGTTACCAACAATTCGAACCCCTGTTCTGTCCGTTAGGGTAGCACTTTGCGGGGTCCTAATTATAGACCTAGATCTGAGGGGGAGCTCGAGAACGAGAGAAGGGACGAAGAACATAAAATAGCAGGACTTCGAGCAAAAGAGAGGAAAGGAAAGAAGAAGAAAGCGAGAGACGAAAGAAAAGTAAGGAAGAGGACGAAGAATACCATCCGTGTATCGTGCCTGACATTCTCATTGAAGCACTACAGATTAAAGGCATCTCGATATGTCACAAGCTACAGAAGAACAGCAACCAAGGTTGGTCTGTCCGCTGAACAGCTAAGGTAGCTCAAGGTAGTTAGCTCCGCCTTATCCGACCAGTTGAAGCCGCCGTTTGTTCCATCTGGAGACATGGATTTTTCCGTGGCATTGGTGGCAAGAATGGCGTGTTCAATAGAGCACTCCGAATTCTGCTTGACTTTGAGTTTGGTGTTTGTTCTAGGGGGTTAAGGCAGAAAGTGCAAAGCTCTGGGATGTGCTAATATCTGATCAGATCGTGGGTTCCTGTAAGTATAAGGTAAACTAAGGTTATCTCACTGCTGACCTCAAGCCGATGTTTCTCAACCAAGAGGGCCTTCCCACCTGGCCCGTGATATGGCCACCGTTGGTGTAGACCGTGATCCAAGCCTAATCCTGGACCTGGGAAGACATGACGGGGTTGTCCGTAGACCTGGGGCTGCTTCGGGTTTTTGCTGTAACCTGGAAGCTCAGATGTAATCTGCTCGGTCCAGAGATGTTGTGAAGTCAGGAAAGACAGAAAGCCAAGCACAGAACAAAATGGCAGCAAATCTAAAATGAAGTTGGTCACCTCATCACGGAATTTCCGATAGCACTATGCAAGTGATCTGTGATCAGCGATCAGTTACCTTATGTTAGTTCGGCCATCACACGTGCTCTGGATGGAGCCGACCCTGTATCGATCATCGCAACACTAGAGCGCTGATCAACCCTGCCGGATTGGCGGGCGAGGTTCGAATCGGTAGGTGGAATTGGTTAGCCGCCCTGATGCGAGCAATCCCGTCTGTGATCACGATTGGATCATGTTCCAGTGCTCCGCTCACTTGGAAATCATCAGTCCGGGGTATCCGCAGCCAGCACCCAGAGGTCCTCTATCCCAATGCAATGGCAGTAGCGATGAGTTACAGGTTGGGGCGTTTGACATACAACTCAAGACCTGGTCTCTGTTCTACCTCAGCTGCGGCACGGATTCCTCCTGGAAAGTCAACGGCTGGTTGCATTTTGGACTGATAGGTGAGTCCGTCGGGATTGCTTGCATGGGAGTGCCGTCATCCGGCTTGTGTATCCTGAAGTACTGAGTCAAGAGTAAGCGTCCCGCCGATCCATCCATCCAAGAGGCTAACCCTGCGTCCAATGGCCTCCCGTCTTCTCATCAGGCGATGAGGCTGTCGTCAGCCTTGTCCACCGCCGTGCATCGAACGCGCAGTGTGCTTTGTCCATACTTTCTGGATCATCCATCTTGGCTCGGCTCGCCTCTGGTTGCGTCTCCACGCGGCTAGCCGTGCACAAAACGTGCCCTTCCTGCAGAAAGGCGGGGCCAGGACCGCTTGTGCATCGGTGCCTGGCATGCCTAGTTAAGGGCAAACTGAGTCGGGCCTCCGGATCGGCATCGCAAACGGCGTCTTTGATTCCGGCAGATTTGGCCTCCCATGTTGTGACAGAGTCAGGCATGCAAGGTATGTTTATCTCGGTCGTGTGAAATCCCGCTCTGCAAATCCTCGTGATGTCCACGGAAGGGATGTGCTTGCTTTCTTCCTATCGAGCTTCCACATCAAGCACGGCAGGGATTGGCGAGTTGAGCCGGAAACGTGGGGAGGTTAAGCTCGGGAGCTGCAGGAGGGACTGCGGGTGAATGTGTGTCCCGACAGAGCTCGCCGGTTGTCCGTGTTTGCGCTGCCTTCCGTCTCCTGGCATCGCTTGTACATTGACAATGTCAAATACCAAAGAAAGCTACTAGTAGAGAAGTCCAGTCCGGACTGGATCAGACAACTTTTCATTCGAATGATATCTGCCGCAAACCGACGGTGCGAAAGACACTGTGTGGACAGCCAACCTGAGCCATCACCCCCAAAGCGGATAAGGCCCACTACGATGGGGGCCATCGGTACGTGGGACCTTTGTTCTTCACCGTCTAGCGCCACGCATTCGCCAATCAGAAATGGGAAGTCCTTAGCCCACAGTTGCCCCCGGAATGGCACACGGACCCCTTTTCAACCCAGGCCATTGTGCTTTCTTCTCTCATTGCGCTCCTGCCTTCGAAACTGACCTTCCCTGGCCAGCCGACTCACAGCGTTCTCGAAGCTCTCCTTCTTGAACTTCTTCTGTTGAGCTGTACTTCTTCCTCCTCCAACCTCGGCGTATTGACTTTGTCGGGGGTCACAACACGTCGCTCGCCCCAGTACTCAACACCCAACCATAATCCCCTGCGACCCTCGCAAACCAGAGCAAGCAAGCCAGCCCCCCGGGCGGTTCCAGAGAAATTCGGCCGCCGATCCCCACACGTCCCAAAGAGGTGTTCCCTTGCCGTTCAAACCAGGTCGTCGACTCGTCGCGCAAAACCACCTCCTTCATCCAGACGAGTATCCTCACCATCACCACCTCCGGGATCCCCCCTTCTACCGATCAACGAGCCAACATTGACCGGACGGCTCCTTGTGCACGGTTGCCGAGCGACCCCGAGAACTCGTCATCCTAGGGAGCTGTTCTCCTTTTCCAGGGGGAACTCACAGCTTCAATCACGGCTGGCCTGACAGCTGTGGTCTGACCGACGGTTCAATCGTTCTTTCTCCACCCTTCCCTCCTTGTCAGTTCACAGTCCCAAGATGGCGGCCAAGGTATGTTGCGTCTGTTTTGTTCACCCGACAACCCAACCAACCAATTCACCTGCTGGCCGTGACAATGCTACACGGGTCGGTTCTCGCGCGCCCCTGCGCGACGTCCCTCTTCCGATGGAACTTCCTGACTGACGGGTGCGCTTGACCGCGTTGTAGTTTACGAGAGAATACAAGCTGGTGGTGGTTGGCGGTGGCGGCGTCGGCAAGTCGTGCCTCACAATCCAGCTGATCCAGTCGCACTTCGTCGACGAATATGACCCCACAATCGAGGGTGCGCATCCCCTTTCGACGTTCCTTGCGCATGCTTCTGCATAGCAACCTGACTGACCCCGTTCGTCCCATACAGACTCGTACAGGAAGCAGTGCATTGTCGACGACGAGGTGGCGCTGCTTGATGTCCTAGATACCGCTGGCCAGGAGGAGTACTCGGCGATGCGGGAGCAGTACATGCGCACGGGCGAGGGTTTCCTCCTCGTCTACTCGATCACGTCGCGAGAGAGCTTTGAAGAGATAAGGACCTTCCAACAGCAGATTCTGCGCGTCAAGGACAAGGACGTGTTCCCCATGGTTGTTGTGGGTAACAAGCTCGATTTAGCACACGAGCGTAAGGTCTCGGTCGAAGGTATGTCGGAGCCAAACAATGCATGTTTGATTCATTGGTTGACCATAGTGGTATCTGCAGAGGGCCAAATGCTGGCGGAGGAGTTCAAGTGCAAGTTTCTGGAGACGTCGGCCAAGACCAACACAAACGTCGAGCAGGCTTTCTATGAGGTCGTCCGGGCGATCAGGAAGTACAACCGAGAAATCCAGGGCGGGCCATCCCCTGGGAGCCATCTTTCGCACAACGGCGCCGGCATGAACAAGCTCGACATGGGTCCTGACGACGACACGCAGGCGGGCTGCTGCTCCAAGTGCGTCCTGATGTGAGGGGCTTGAGCGACAATCTTGCTCAGGACGGCCTCTTGTTGACGGGATCAGGGATGAGGGGTGGTGTGTATGTGGAGGGGCTCGTGCGGCGCTTGGAATCGGCTGTGGTTTGGGCGCATACGAGGCATTCAGGGACATGCTGCATTGGTCGGGAGTTGAGTTGCTACCTGAGCCTGGAGTGGGCACGCTGATTGCGGGGGATCCTGGGAATGTCCTCGGGCAAGCAGGATGGCCCAACCGGCTTCAGTTGCTCTCTGGCAGGTCATGCAGTTTTTACTTGGGCGATGCCAGAGGGTGGCAGTAGCTGCCCATTCGCTTTCCCGCATCTGGGTCTTCTTTTGGGGATTTGTTCAATTAACATGGGATTCGCTACAGTTGCTCTCATGCTTGTAATTCTTGTTCCGTCTGTTCAACGGCCACTTTGCTCTGGTGTCTGGTACTGTTGGTGCATATACGCGCCAGGCTTGGTTACTCCTTGCCGACGGCACTCACTTCATCGACCGGTCGTCTGAGTGTTGTGCAGGCCTGGTGATGATTCCCCTGCTCTGATGTCGACGCGCGCAAGGCTTGCTCGGCGGTGACATGACTGTGGTGGTGAGATGTCAAGCGGGGGGTCGTGCTTACACGGCGTAACAGCGTCTCAGATACCTCCGAGATTCGCATCCAAATAGGGCAGGTAGAGCGAAACCAGGAAAAGGTTTCGGGTCCATTGTTAACAGCTCTCACGGAACCTGACATCGCCCCCTGGCCTGTTTGCGGCGAGGCTTGCATGAGTGCTGCCGTACGGACGTACTGTTCCATGAATTGACCTTCTAGAAACCTGGAAATATCTACGCAGATTTCTCCGGGTGGGCGAGTTACACAGAGTCTCGGCCGAGCAATCACCTTGCATTTCATTGGCTTGTTCTTGTGCGACAGAACAATCATCGGAATTAGAGCTGGCATGTACGGATTAAGTTAGGACCGAACCCGCCAATCCACGGGAATGGCGATGTTTCTGTACTCTGCATGAGCCACTTCCCTGGTCAGGCTGACTGTGCTTCTGGCCCCTAAGAAATGTCTCTTATCATACATGCCCGTTCTATCACGTCCGAGTCCTGTTGAATGCACGTGGTCCGAGCCGCGTTGCGGTTTACCTGAACCCTGCAGGTGCGGAGGTCGCGACAAGGTTGATGACGCAACGGCCACATGGCGCGTTGTTTTTGTCAATGTGAAGAGGGATGGAGATGGCAAATTCAATCCAACACGGGGACAGATCCTTCCCGGGCCGAGTTAAATCGGTAAGCCGGCATCCGGGCTCCACCCCGGCCGATCGGATTCGATGGGCCGGGCCGGCGAGGCGGCTAAACGCGGATCGATGCCCGGCTTCGGCAGCCCCAACTCAATTTCAACTTCACAATCCCAATCCTCTCTGTCAGCATGAGTTGTTTCGTTCGTACCCCAATCACAGTCGGCGCCATATCCGAACTCCCCACCCAGTCCACAGCCAGCTTTAATCCCATCCCCATAAGGCACCTTCAACTCACCAAACCGAACTCAGCCAATTTTCCTCCCTCACTACCACTGGACGAACTACAAATCGCACAACCCATCCAGCATAAGGTAATCGAAAACCTTTCCCACCAACGCCGAAAAAAAAAATGAGCCTCCCCGCGCGCGTATCCGAAGCAACAGACATCCTCCAAGACCCCTCCAAGTCCGCCCTCCCGCGCTACGCCGCGTACCGCCGCGCCCGCGCCCGCTTCTGGGAGGCCTTTCCTGACGGAGTGTACGCGCGCCTGCCTACACCAGGCACGAACCTTGAGTGCGGCTTCTATGCGCTAATTCTGTCCATGCGGCACCAGCTGCCGGCGGGGAGCCGGATTGCCACGATGGAGGAGCTGAGGGCTGTTTTTGGCGGGGTTGAGGTTAGCGAGGAGGGGGGGAGTGTTGGTGTGGATTTGGGGAATCTTAATTCCAATTTTCGTTCGAATGGGTATCGGACTGGGACGGCGGCGGCAGGCTGGTTCACTGCGGATCAGCTGGCGGCTGCGTTTGCTGCGTGGGGAAGGCGGTATCTGAATCCGGATGGCCCTGGGCAACGGCACGGGCAGGGGCAAGGTAGGGTGAGGTGTCAGCTTGGGTGGGTCATGGATCGGGATGAGAACGAGGGCGAGGAGGGGTGGCCGGTTATGATGAACACGCCTGAGGTCGATACAGCTGAGGTTGGCGAGGGGATCGTGCGGGTGTGGGTGTGGAATGACGGGGCTTCGTTAAGAGGTGGGGTGGGACATTTCGAGGGTGTCAGGAGGCCGACGGAAGGGGAGATGGAGGGGATGGAGTGAGGCTGTTGGAGGCTGGGGCTGGTGAATCAGACATGTGGTTTCGGTCGGGTTTTAGCGCGGCACACGTCTGCCGGAAGCATCATGATAGTCGGATGGCACACGGCAAGCCTCGAGCATCAGCAGCCAAAAGCTCAGTAGGTTTTGGCAACGAGACTTAGGAGTAGGAAAATACAAAAAGCTCACCACCGAGCCCTTTGCGGAGGGAAATGGCTACGAAACCCCCCAGTGGGATTTTACTTCGATGGGACGACGGTTCGGTTGGGGATCGAACCGGCGAGCTCCGGGAAGTTCATGGCGGTCGTAAGCAGGGCAAATATCCGCCTCACAACCCTCCCACTTGGCCATGGCTAAGTGGGAGCGGCCGATAACTGGACGAATGTAGACCTAATACATATAGGGCGGCTGTGAGCCTGGAAAGAACGGTGGCAGGTAATTAGTTGGGATGAAAGACGGGTCACGGCCGGGTCATTGTAGGTAGGCCGCTCCTCTTGACATTATATTGACTGCTGAGCCTCTCAACCAAGGGGCGACCTCCAGACCATCAAGACGGCATACCTCGTCCAACCCCGCAGGCCTGCCCCTCGGGCCTCATACCGCATGTTACTCTCGTGTTCCAGTACGTCTAGGGCACCATATTCACCGAATTCCTTGCTCCGCACAGGTGGCGTCTACTGCCAACTTCGATGCAGTAGCGGCAGAGGCAAGGCTAGTCCAGAACCTGGTGCGGCCACCCTGTCGCATGAATAAAACAGACACACTTACCAGACAGCTTTTCTGTCGCCGGTCGGAGACAAGTTGGCTGCTACCTGGAACGGCGAGATGCTGAGTGCTCTCGGGTCTCTGCTGTGAACGACACGCGAGATCGTGTGGAGATGGACAGCATGCAGCCCCGGGACCAAGCTTGCTGGCTGTTACGGCGAGACTTCACGCGGCTCAAAGTCCAGGTGGCGCGTCCGAGTTCGACCTGATTACTCGACTATCTCTGTCGGATACTGGAGGAGATGATTCCGTGACCATGGAATCAGAGGATTTGCCTGGCTTGGACGAGCACTGACGAGAAGGGGGCTTTGACTGCTTGGTAGATCAGCATTTCCCGTTCTTCATACCTAATCCCTCAGTAGCCATTCTGAACTCGGCCCAACTGCCGCGCGTGCCTACAACTTGGAGGACGAATCCGCCTCGGCATCAATCTGAATCACAAGCTTGCCAAACTGCCGCCCAGCCTTCATATCCTCAAACAGGCTCTCGATCTCCTCGAGATTATCCAGCCCCCTGACCACACGGCTCACTACCGGCCGAATCTTGTGCTCCCTCACGAATTCAACCATCTCTTTGAATTCCTTCTTGGACCCCATCGTCGTGCCTCTCAGCTCCACGTTATTCAGCGTCGCCTGTATCACCCAGTCCATCTTGGGTCCGACTGTCATGCCATAACACGAGATCACCCCCCCCGGCTTCAGCAACCTCACCGTCTTGCTCACCACCTCCCCACCGGCCCCATCAATCACCGCATCCAAACACGGCCTCTCCGGAGGTAACATTCCCTTCAACTTCTTCTCCCACCCAGCCTCCCTATAATTCACCCCACCTACCGCCCCCAACCGAACCGCCCTCTCAATCTTACCCTCATCCCCGCTCGTCACAAAAACCCTGCACCCCCTCGCAACAGCAAACAGTAGCACCATGACCGCTACCCCTCCCCCAATTCCCGTAACCAGCAAATTCCTCCCTGCCTCCGCATTCCCGCTCTTGCCCACCAGCGCTCGCCACGCAGTAACACCCACAAGCGGCAGCGCAGCGCCCTCGGCAGGACCTAGATGCTCCGGCGCGGGCACGATCTCGTCCTCGCCGACAACAACCCACTCCTGACCCGTGCCAACCTCGGTACCCGCCGACGCGCCGAGGATGCAGAAGTCCTTGGCTAGGTTCTCGGGCCCCTCGGGGGCGGAATCCCATCCGCGGGTAGGGTTAAGCAGCACCGGTTTGTTGAGTAGGGCGTGGGTAAATGGGGAGCAGGATGGGCCCAGGGAAGTGACGATGCCGTAGCCGTCAGCGAATAAAGGGTTGGTGAAGGAGATGCCTGGGTAGAGATACTGACGGATGAACAGGTCGCGGTGGTTGAGGGCGGCAGCGGAGAGTTTGATGAGCAGCTGGTTTGGGCCGGGGGTAGGGAGGGGGATGGTGTTGAGTTGGAGGCTGCAAAGGCGTTGTTAATTAATGAAGTGAAGGTTACACATTCAGGGATTTGGGAGAGCTCACGGGTAGTAAACTTGGCCGGGCTTGCCCTCGGTCTTTTTCACTGTGATCGAGTACGGCATGGTGATGGGTTGTGATCTGGTATTGGCTTGATTCCGCTATATGGCTCCAGTAATATGTCGTATGTTCATAAACTTGTCGACAGCCAGCTATTTATAACACTGGTGAAGCTGAGAAGGGCTCAGTTGCTGAGTATGGCTGTTGACCGGAACCGCCCCGCCTCCCCGCACGAGCGGAGGCCGATGACGCTCGTGCCTCGGCCCATCCGCCGGCACGGCGTGCCCATTAATAATCCACCGATCCATTTCCGGGTCAATCTGAACCCCTGCCCAGCTCCGGCCCAGCATCGCGGCGGAATAGGCCATGCCGGACGCCTTGCACTGCACCGGGTCAAACATTTGCCTGACCTGGGTATCACGATTGCAAGACCGAAATTGGCGGGTACTCCTCTTGTCCAGCACCACCATCTACGCCACCTCAGTCGTGCGTCGTCTTCCTCTTCTTGGACTTGCCCGCGCTTTCCTCTGGCGGCACGTACTCGCGCTCGCGCTCCCGCTTCTTCTCCTCCTTCTTCTGCTTGGCCTTCTCGGCGCGCTCCGCCTCGGCGGCCCGCTGCTTGGCCTCCTTGCCCAGAAAGTACTCGCCGCTCTCGATCTGCATGTCCACCTTGCTCTTCTCGGGCGCCGGCGGGAACGGCGTGTACGGCTTCTTGGACTTGTCCGTGACCTTGTACGGCGTCCGCCGCTTGGACAGCGTCCGCTTCTTGAAGTTGGGCAGGTATCGGCTCCAATCTTCGTGTGCCAGCGCCGGGTCCTTGGCGAGCTCCCGTTTGATCCTGCTCCGTGTCAGCGGCTTGCCCATTAACAAGCCGAGCAATTTGCACTCACATCAGCTCCTTGATCATGTAGATCGGGTGGACGTTCTGCATCGTGTCCTCGACCACCCTTCTGACCTCCTTTAGCCCCTTGTACGGCCCCATTACCGACACTGTGTTGCCGTGAACCAAGATGTAGGTTTGAGTGAGCAACTCGAGCGCTTTCAGTGCTGTTTCCCGTTAGCCGCTGGCGTTGTACTGGCCAAGAAATGCCGACTCACTTGTGCCATTCTGCCCCAATATCCGTTGCCGCCTCTTGACGAACCGCTCCTTGTTCCGCACCATGTTCCGGATCTTGATGATGTCGCACGCCATGCCGTCCTCCAGGATTTTGATGGCCTGCGGTGCTGGTACCGACCGAGCCAGCAACTTGATCAGGTCGCGTGCATTGAGGATCGCCGCGGGGTCGAATGTCTACGACAGGGAATCAGCAGCCGCGGCGATCGGACCTGTGGGACGAGCGCATACCTTTCTTGTTGTCTTGACCGTCATGGATCCCTCAACGAGATCCAACGTAGCAGAGATGCCGTGCTTATCGAGAGCTTTGGTGACGAGAGGCCATGAGTCCTTGAGGTAGCGCTCGCGATACTTCGGGAAGAGGGTCATAAAGGAGGATTCTTCAAGGAATGGCCCCGAGGACTCTTCCTTCTTGAAAGGTTCGATCTTCCACTTGTCGATGTCGTCCGTGTCCCACGGCTTCTCCTTTTTGTGTGTTGACGGCATTATAGCTTTTCGGCAACGTGTCTATGCTTGTTGGAAGGTGATGGGTATGTGACTTGTCCAGTTATTGCTGGATTCCAGGTCTCGTGAGTAGCGTAGGTTTGATCCTCTCTTGTCGATGCTGCAGCACCTGAGGCTTTCTGGAAATTTTTGGAGAGCAGCACCTTGCAGGCTACCCAGAGAAGTGGGGCGCTTATCACATCTTGCGATAAATGCTGAGGTTACTGTGTACTAACGTCTTTCTTACATGCCTGGCTCATTCTTGATTGCACGCAAATGGTGTTTCTTCCTGAACTTAGGTGCCTAGTTTATAGTCGATTCAATTGTCCGTTCACTCTCGTTCAGGCCTTGCTCATACCTATGCAGCACTTTCAAGAGGCAAGGGATGTTTCAATGGTGTCGCTGTTGTCATTCGACTAACGTGATGCAACGCATCGTACTGACCAATCGGAACTTGGCATGCTGGCCCACTTAAAACTTTGGCAGTACGTACCTCCTACTCAGCTTGAACTTCTTCCTCGCGCCAGCTCGCTCAGGTTTGTCTTCCTCTTACCCATCACATTTGAACGCCAAGGGCATTTGACCTTTCCAGTTCTTTCCTCCAAAGAGCACATCAATTTTGCGGCTGCGCGTGGCTTGCAGAAGTTGGCGGTTAATCTTTACATTGTGTTAGGCCCTAGGGAGGAATCCGCCTGCTCTTTGTTCGGGTCCTGCCCTCCACTTTCGAATCGCTTGTTTCCGCCGAACGATCAACTACCCTCGTTTCTTGCGCCATTGAATCATTCGCACTATTCCGCTCCGCGATCGAATCGGCTGAACATTGGTGCTAACCTCGTTCAATTTCCGACACGTTTGCGCTCCGACTGTGCTTGGCCGACCGCGTCTCTGCCACCGTAGTAGTCGCCATCCTTCACCATACTCTGTCGCGCCATCAAACTGGCTCCAATACAATCGCCCGATCTTCCTCAGGCCGAGGCAGCGTTGACGCTGCACGGCGATTTTACTATGGGGGAACCGAAGATGGAGGACGATCCTCAAGTGCTTTCAATGGCGACGACACTTGAAGCCGAGTCCCTCTCCAGAGACAGCTCAGAAGCGACTCAGACTTCAACAGCTCAGAACCTCGCACATTCTCTAGCCGGCATCTCGGCGGTTTCTGCTGGTAGCCCATCATCGGACCCACAACAATCAAGGTCAGTGCCGGCTTTCCCAATCGATGCTTGAGAGGCAGGTAGAACGAATGCGCAAAATACCCTAGGTCACCGCTCGATGATTCCCCTGACCGGGCTTGGGCTTCTTGCGCTTGTCCTAGTCATGCGAATACGCTGTGGCTCGACCTTTAGCCATGCACTCCGGACTCTCGACCTGTTCTCGACTGACGTCTCATAGGCCTATCGCTATCGCGCCCGCTATGTATCCTGCGTCGGGGACGTCACATGCAAGTACCGCGCCTGCACCTGGCGGAAATTTGGTACGTGAGCATCCCGATCTTCCGTTCTCTGCCTCAACCCATTGCAAGAACTCGTCGAGTCCGACACGACAAGTGCCCGGTGGCTGCGACTTGACAGACACCTTGCTTGCTTCCAATTGGTCCTTGGCTCGCTGGCTCTGAACAAGTCTGGTGGGGCCGTTCACTCACAGGCCGCATTACTGGCCTGAGCCCCACGTCCTTCCTAAAATTCTCTGATCTATCCTGTTATCATGGCGCCAGTCGTTCGTGCGTTATCGAGATAAGATTTCATCCTAATCTCTCGGCTTCACTTACATTGAGCATACGGCCACTCTGCGACACATCGCAGCACGACACAATGGCAACGATGGCTAACCATGATCGTGCGACTTCGCAGCCCACCTGTCAGAACTGTGGTACACACACCACTCCGCTATGGCGACGTGACGAGACGGGCGCCGTCCTCTGCAACGCCTGCGGCCTCTTCCTCAAGCTCCATGGCCGTCCGAGGCCGATCTCGCTCAAGACAGATGTCATCAAGAGCCGCAATCGCGTGAAGACTATGAGGCCAGATCTTGCCAAGCAGAAAAAGGTGGGCTTTTTCAATCCGGATACTTGCGCTGCAGAGCTAATGGCACCCAGGCGCAGGCCCAGCAACACCCTGGCCTTTCGCAGACGGGAGATTTGAACGGCGCAGACCTTGGGGCTCTCAATGGGGCAGCTGGAGCCCGTAGGACCTCGCAAAAATCCGCCAACGGCGCCATGGACGACACCAACTCCCCCATCTCGCGAACCGGCACGCCCAATCTGTATGCTTCGCATTTGGCTCCCATATACCAAAACATCGACGACCAATTCCAGGCCCAACAGCTGTCTGGTTTTGGCGGACCGGATGGTCGCGCTCCATCCCCGTTGAACGGCGACCGACTCGACATGCCGCAGACCCACGAGCAGCTGCTCGCTACCAACGCAAGCCTGAAGACGCGGGTCAGTGAGCTGGAAGTGATCCAGGAACTGTACAGGGGTAGGATCCAGCAGCTCGAGCAAGAGGAGGTGAACAGGCAGGCACAAGAACAGAGCAAGTCGGAGGCTGAGGAGCAGCTACGGGCTCAGTTGAGTGCCTTGACCGAGTCGCAAGCGCACCTTCAGAAGGAGCTTGAAGAGAGCCACCGGAGAGAGAACATGCTCAAAAGGCGCCTGGACGAGCTCGAAGTCGAGCTGAAAGAAGCCAAAGAGTCCCTGGAAGCCGACGAGAGCCGCCGCTCCAAAAGGCCCCGTACCGACGAGGCTGCTCAGATCCTGGACGAGGCGGCATCAACTTCTCAGTCGGCGTCATAGTGGCTTTTCCGGGGCACTGAGGCCGAAGGGTTTGTCTATCCCCGATAGGTCGGCTATACATGCTGGCCACGGCTCGCTTTCTTGATGCCCTGGTACTTCTTTTCGGTCGGTTTGATAGGCCCATTCTTGCCCGGGGGTTCGCGCTCCGAGGAAGCCAACGCCAGTTGACAAGATCATGAGCGAGCGATGGATTTTCTTGCTAGTATCCCGCCGTGGTGTGATATTCAACGACAGGCCTAAGGGCCTTCCGTTTAATGTTTCCTGTTGGGTGTTTTGTCCACGTTGCATCGCCTCACCTCAGAAATTCTCAGCTCCTCAGCTGGAGAGAGGCGTCGGACAACTTGTGCAATTGCTAGTTGCCGATCTATAGAGGCTCACGGCGGCACGGGGACTTGGTGGGCTGGTCTAACACATGGGTTGGGTCTGGGAGTTGTTGGAGTACGGCGAGCATGCAGCTCAATGGGATGAGAACAATGGCGGGATAAACGGATAGGTAAACCAAAAGTCAGCCCATTGACTGGCGATACCTATTACTCTTTCAATTGAGTATCCGACGTTTTACTGGCGAGCCTGACATCGCCCTAATCGTCTGACAGGCGACAACAGAGACGTCCAGGCACTCTTGATCCAAGTCATCAATTGCTCTGATGAGAGACTATTTCAAATTAAGTGCTTGTTATCATCACCAACGATCTCTGGCCTAGGTTCGAGATGCAAGTACTCAATACATTCGATGGATATCTTACCTGAGCTCACAGTCGTGCAAGTGCTCCATCATGCAGGCAGCTCATACCCAGGCCCGTCGTAGCTGGAAGGAACAAGTACTGATGTGTGACGGTTGGTGTTGTCGTGTAATTGCTGGAACAAGACGGGCCATCTTGTGTGACCAAATCGAGATATCCGCCGTAATCCGTACAAAGTCTACAACTCGCTTCAATCTCTTGGTGTAGTCGTCCGAGGTACCTCACCTCCGTTACGGAGTATGGCAGCAATCTCCCCCTTTTGTCTGACAGACACAACACAATCAGCAACCATCCGAAGAGCAACATGAAGAGGTATGGCTGGTGGCGGTTTGAGGCCCGCCTCGTCACAGTTGCATATTCGGGTCGTTGTACATTCCTCGCGGTGGCGCGGGACTTGCACCTGTGCCCGTTTCACCCTCCGTGCCAACTGCTTACGGCTGAGACTAGCACACAAAATAAGAAGATCCTCTTCAGCATATTCAAGCCCCCAGAACTAATTGTAGATAGGTCCCGCACGCGGTGCCCTGATCCTAAACCACCTCCCAGGTACGCGCACCCAGCAACAAGCCAACAATGGCCCCCTTCACCACACCACAGCCGGTACAACACCAGCTAGAAAACCGGCGCTACACCCCGCTCACCCCGTCTCCTCTCAACCCAAACACGCCTTCCATTCATCTCCGAACCACCCAGCGCCACCACCGGCCCAGGACGACAGCGGCAGCAGTACCACCGCCGCCCAGCAACACCACTAACAACAGAATAAGACCAACGCTCCTCAAACCCAGCAGCAGCCCCGCCAACAGGACCCAGCAGCGATACGCGCGGCTCCTCGCCCACGACAGCCCGACGCAGCGGCTACTGCGCCAGAAAGCAGCCACGGCATGGCGGAGGTCCGAGGTGCTGCGGCTGCAGGAGCGAGAGCAACACCATCATTACCATCATTGTGACCGCAGCTTTCCCGACTTCCGATACCTACCCGAACAACATCAGCAGCCACATCTTGACGCCGCTAGAGGGGCAGCAGCAGGAGGAGCAATAGCAGACTGTAGTCATCAACCTCTTAATAGAAAGGGGGATAGCGGCACCAGCAGCGGTGATGTTGATAACGGTCGGTGGGAAGCCGACCTCACCATCACCAACCCCCTGGCAGACACAGACGCAGAGTATGGAGGGCCGGGCGGGGATGAAACCGGAACTGAAGCTGGAGACGAAGAAGTTGGGGGGAGGGATAGCGCCTTGCTCATGATGGACAACCGGAAGGGAAGCGGATCGAAATTCGGTCCAGCGATGCTAGACTGGCAAGGGACCGGAGAACGTGGTAGGGGTGACACTGCTTGGGCCGGTGCCGGCTGCGGGTTTGATAGCTTTGAAGAGGGCCGTTTGGAGGCTCGTCTGGATCCAGTCCAGTTGCGAGAGGATAGGGCGTGGCGGGCTCAGGGTTCCGGTGGTGGTACCCTGCGGCGGATGCTTGTTGTCGTGGTGGTGGTTGTGGGCCTGGGGCTGGCCCATGGGCTCGTTAGTGCCTTCGGGAGCTGGGCCGGTGGTGGTGTAGCGGGTGGGAGGCCGCTGGCGGGAAGGTGATGGTGGATGACTCTCCTTCGGCTTGGGCAGCGGGGTAACTTTGCGGAGCGGTCACGGTGGTGGGGAGCGGAGGGGCGACAAGGAAACTTGTTTCTGTGCGGGTTGAGTGAGTCGAGCCCAATCGAATGAGTCTAAGCCGCCCGCTATCCGCCGCGCCGAAGGAAGGAAAACCAGAGAACACCGTCCCATCTATCGCTGCCCGTCTCCTGTAGGTTCCCAAAACTCGTTATCATACATCGTTCATCGTTGGGTTCATTGCGACTTTTCTTCGTCGTCGCTGGGCGTTTGCTGCGCAGCCTTGGCAGCCACCTCGGCATTGCGCTTCTTGATGGCCGTCTCAACCTGCCATATGGCCCGCTCGAGCTCAACCTCGAGTTGGGGCAGGTCTAGTGCCTGGGTCATCTCCTTGCCCTTGGCCTGCGACAGCAGCATTGTCTCGCCGTCTGGATTCTGCGCGCCGTTCGGCGAGTTGAGGGGGTCGGAGTCGGTGACGACTTTCTCATTTGAGTCCATTATTGTCGGTTTCGGACTGGAAGGCAGGAGCTCTTTCTGTTGGGCATACACCTCGTCAAGGACGGGGGACGGGGCCAGGGCGAGGAGGTTGTTGTCGAGAAGAAACTGTATGTGTTTCCCGCCGGATAGCGCTCGCCAGTGCGACCAGGCGCGGTAAACCAAGTAAAAGAAGGGTATATTGGGAACGCTTCACGCCAGACATGTTAGCCCATAGCCCGTCAATATGTTGGAATCGCGGACGTACACAGGGAGGAGCGCAACGGGCGCCGTGATAGGCATGCCAATAAAACACCAGACCAGTCTCCTCTTGTGTAGCGCCTGCCTCTCGGTCGCCAGCAAGCGCAGTAGCTTGGGCACCCTGTCCATGGCCAGCAGGGTCTTGGGGTAGACAACCTCGACCTTCTCATTGCCGTTCAGCTCGACCTGCATGCGGCGCTGCGACAGCGGGGGCACCGATTTGAGCCCCCATTCCTCGTAGGGAATTCGGCGCAGCACCTGGTTACCGTAGCTGACTACCTGCTTCTGCCAGCCAGACTCCTTCTTCTCCCAGCCGGACCATGTGCGGGCGGCCTTGGCCTGGAGCCAGTCGGACCAGGTCTGCTTTCCCGAGGTCGGCGCGTCGAGCCGCTGGCAGTAGAGAAGGGTGCGCCTCGTTGAGATGGGCAAGAGATAGAGGCGCATGGTGCTGTGTTGCAGGAGGCCTCGGCTGCCTCTGTGCGTACCGAGTTCGGGTACGGATTGATGGGAGATGAACAGCAGTGTCGTATTTTTCAAGAGCGGAGAGGCAAGATAGAAGCAGAGCGTCGCTGGAAAGAGGGCGAGCAAAAAGAGAGGAATCCCACGCTATCTACTTCCACAATCCGAGGCTGCGACAGCGCATCTTGTAGATTGGCGTTCGGTGTTCTGGGGAGCAGAATTGTTGACTGGTGGGGCCGAGCGACCACGCGTTCGCAGCTCTCGCAGAATTGAGCTTGCTGGGATGTGAACCTTGAGCAAGCAATGACGCAGATGGAATTGCCATGTGCTTGGTATGATTGGCGAAAAGAGGCACTCGGCTTGAGAGCCCCTTGTCAACAGCTCCATTAGCCCCTGTTGCCGTTCCAGCCCGCCCTGAGTGGACATGAAGCTGGATCCGTTCTTGACGCGAGGAGGGCCTGCAAGGCAGATGGAAGCGGGCGCTTGGCAACGAATGCCATATCCGCGTTGAATTGGTAAGCTGTTGGTTTACGGTGTCTTGGAGAGAAACTACCGGGCTGGGATGAGCCGCTTGCTCTAAGTGCCTTGCATAGGTTCCAACAAGCAATCTAGATGCGTGTACGGATCCGTACACTACATATATGGGACTCCGAAGGGCGGCTGCTCTGCGATCCCCGTGCACTTCGCAATGGATCATGGCAAGACTGATAACCGGATCGTGAAACCTGGAATAGCACGCAGGCGCAGGTGATATTCACGACTTCAAGATCCATTTCAGTACTGAACCTTGAGGCCAGAGCCGGCATGGTAGAAATCTAACCAGCTGTTTCAGTGTTTCTCATTTTCCGCAAGCCGTGCATCATTGCATTGGGATGGAACCCACTGTCGTCATCCCTCGATGCAGCCTCGCCAAGCTTGTGGGTGGTCGAGAGTGGGTTCTGGTCCGAGCGTGTCGACAAGCAACGAGTGTAAGCGCGCAAATATGATGTCCGGCGCAGAGCCAACACTGCCCCAACCACCTGACTGGGAGACTGGCTCGACTGGCCATGTTCGACAACCAACTCTGTCACCCAACACAATGTACTCGAAACGCCGCGCATACACGTCTGACCCATAATTCCGTCACGGACTGCACCATGCAGGAACAGATTCGGGTTTTGCCCAACCTTATTCCGCCGCGTTAAAAGACACCCCGTCCACCGCTAACCCATGACCGACGAATGCGACGCTTGGTCTGACTCCGAATGCTCCGTGTTACCGCTGCTTGAGCAGTCCTTTTGCGTCCCTGGGCTGCCGGGCGTCCTCGGCCTCACAAATGGCGGCTCCAGGCCAGCCGCCGTCAAGCTCCCATCATTCCGAGCCACGCCCGTCCATAAGATCCCCGAGCAGCGCCGGCCGCTCGTTGTCCACCCAACACAGCGCGACACGAACACTTCCTCGTACGTACTCACAGAGCTTTATTCTTGCTGGGATGACTGTGGTGTACTGACATGTGCCCGGCAGCATGGATTGACTCGTACGAAACCCGATATGGCAGGCCGTCAGAGGACCAGCTGCGTGCGCTCACCTCGCCGCCGCCCCGTTTGCTCCCCGCCCAACACAACCACTCGCCAAGCGAAGCCCAGCGCAGAGTGTCAAGAGACGGCTTTGTCTACGAGAACCCCGCCTTTCTGGGGCTCGAGGCGGCGCGGACTTCGAGAGCGAGGCTGCGCAAGTTCCTGACGCGCAAAGATGGTTCTGAGAGGGGTAGGAAATGGGACCACTTGCGGTCGGCCGAACCCGTCATCGTGCCGCGCTTCAGCCGGGCCACGCAGGAATCGCCATGGCGAAGCTACGTCTCGTCTTCGCGATACGGCCGCCTGCCAAACGAGGAGGCGCAGGTTATCGACCCTGAAGTGCTGGATAAGCTGCAGCCCGGCCTCATCGGCCCCGTCGACGTGCCCGACCTCAACGGCGCCATGGCACGGAAACCGACACGGACAAGGGTGCTCTACAAGCGACTGTGGCGCATCATCCTGCGACATCCGCTCGTCCCGCTTGCCTTCCGGCTGACCGTCTTGCTCACGTCCATCGTGGCCCTGGCCCTCGGTGTGAAAATATACCAACTAGAACACAAAAGCGGCGAGAATGACGGCTCGTCGGAACTCGCGCAAGCCATCGTAGCCATCGTCGTTGACACGGTCGCCATCCCCTATATAGGCTACATGACGTGGGACGAGTACACAGGCAAGCCGCTGGGGCTGCGGCCAACCACGCAGAAAATCTCGCTGGTTCTCATGGACCTGTTCTTTATAATCTTCAAATCTGCGAGCACCGCCCTCGCCTTTGAAGCTTTGATCTACCATAATTCGGGAGACCGGGAGACGAGGCAGTACAGCCAGGCACTGGCCTCTTTTCAGATTATCGGCTTGATGGCATGGAGTCTCACGTTGTCGGTGAGCGTCTTCCGCTTGGTGCAGAAACTTGCCGGAGGTGATGACGGCAGGTGAAGGCGTTTGGGTGGTATTAAAGGCCCTGACAAACAAGGAATGGATGGCTCTTGGGTTAAATGGATCTCTTTCTGGGGCTGTAATTCCTTTTGTACTTTTATTTGGCTTGGATTGGTATACCCGCAGTGTTACAGACGACAGTTTATCATGTGTGGGTATGTGCATTGTTGTATATGACTATGAGGTACTTCTCTTTGAGGTATTTCTCTTATAAACGATATCAAAGCAAGAGTTCCACTGTGCCGTGACTCGCTGAAGAAACATCTGAGATGCTCATGTGGATCACATGTTGATTGTGGGCAATCTCACGCTTTAGCGCTCGCTTGTCGCTTAATTGTGCATGATAGCCGCTCCCCAGGCCCAACCAGCGGGCCTTCCTGCCTGGGCCTGAACCAACCTGGAAATCGAAGCGGATAGGCAGGCAGTGACTGGAAGTTCACTTTTCATCTGACAACCTGCAACTTCTTGCCTTCATCGATCTGCCTCACATTCACAGGATCGTCCAGTCTTTTCATACAACAAGCCCTTGTAGACCGATCACAGTATCATACCATTTAGCGACGCCCTTTAAGAACACGAATTCTAAGGTTGGCTGTCCGTCTTCCACCGCCCCGCCACTCTCGTTCCCCACACTTGATCTGCTGGCGCGAGCCTCAAGGCTTGCCTCTTCTTCCACGCCAGCTTTGGGTAGGTCCTCACTTCAACCCCGTCCAATTTATTCCTTCATCAACCCAGCCTTCGCCATAGCCTTGGAGCGCGGCCTTCCAGGTGCGGCGATTCCCCGGCCCAAGCTGACTTGACTGCGTTGCCCCAGTGACTGGTGACGACGCCCAGCATCACCGCCACCCAACGGAGCCGTCCCCAGTCCTCGATCGCTTTCCGTATCATCATCGACCTGCAACTCGATCTTGTCCCACAGAATGCCTCCCGCCGCGCCGATGGGCATGCCCCCCCAGCCCGTCAAAGATGACATCGAGACAACGTGCGTTCTCAAACCCGTTCGACGTAGGAGGAATCAGACAGGGCACTGACGCGCAACAGATGGAACTACTTGCAACAAGGCGTTACCAGGATTATGATGAGTCTGCAGGAGGGTATCGACCTCCAGACTGTGCGTGTACCCCTGCAGCTTCTGCTTCCTCCATAGCGATTGTCACTGACACCCCGCACAGTACATGGGCATCTACACGTTAGTTTCGGTCTCCCAGACGGTGAGGAACTCGCTGCGAATAGCTGACCTTTCCCAGAGCCGTCCATAACTTCTGCACATCTCAAAAAGCCGTTGGCTTTGCCTTCCAGAGTCAGGCTATTGGCCAGTCTCATCGTGGTGGTATGTCTTGCTGCCTCGGCCCACCTCGCAAGCGCTGACATACTCGTGAAGCCCACCTCCTCGGCGAAGACCTCTACAAGAAGCTGACGGAGTATCTATCCGAACATCTGAGGGGCTTGGTGGCGGAGTCGAGGGCGCACGCGGATGAGGCGCTGTTGGCATTCTATATCAGGGAATGGCAACGCTACACCAATGCCGCCAAATACGTTCATCACTTATTCCGCTACCTCAACCGCCACTGGGTTAAGCGCGAGATCGACGAAGGGAAGAAGAACGTCTACGACGTCTACACGCTGCACCTGGTGCAGTGGCGCGATGTGCTGTTCCACCACATTTCGACCAAGGTCATGGAGGCCGTGCTGAAACTCGTCGAGAAGCAGCGTAACGGCGAGACCATTGAGCACAACCAGATCAAGCAGGTGGTCGACTCGTTCGTGTCGCTGGGTTTGGATGACGGCGACTCCTCCAAGACAACTCTCGACGTTTACCGGTTCCACTTTGAGAAACCGTTCCTCGAAGCCACCAAGGTCTTCTACCAGAACGAGAGCAAGCAGTTCGTTGCCGAGAACAGCGTTGTCGAGTACATGAAGAAGGCCGAAACGCGCCTGAACGAGGAAGAGGAGCGCGTCAAGCTCTATCTGCATCCGGACATAGCGATTCCGCTAAAAAAGGCGTGCAACCAGGTCTTGATCGCCGACCACTCCAACATCCTGCGCGACGAGTTTCAGGTCCTGCTAGACAACGACCGGGAGGAGGACATGGCGCGCATGTACAGCCTCCTCTCACGCATCCCGGACGGTCTTGACCCCCTCCGGACCAAGTTTGAGACACACGTCCGGAACGCCGGCTTGGCTGCCGTCGCCAAGGTGGCTTCTGGCGCAGGGGACAAGCTGGAGCCCAAGGTTTATGTCGACGCCTTGCTCGAGATCCACACCCAGTACCAAGGACTCGTCAAGCGCGCGTTCAACGATGAGCCTGAGTTCACGCGGTCACTCGACAATGCCTGCCGAGAGTTTGTGAATCGGAACGAGGTATGCAAGTCTGGTTCCAACAAGTCGCCCGAGCTGCTGGCCAAGTACACCGACGTTCTCCTCCGAAAGGGCAGCACGGCCATTGAGGACGCAGAGCTGGAGAACACGCTCGTCCAGCTCATGACGGTGTTCAAGTACATCGAGGACAAGGATGTTTTCCAAAAGTTCTACTCGCGTATGCTGGCCCGTCGCTTGGTGCACAGCAACTCGGCCTCAGAAGACGCCGAGACCAGCATGATCAGCAAGCTCAAGGAGGCCTGCGGGTTCGAGTACACGAATAAGCTGCAGCGCATGTTCCAGGACATGCAGGTCTCCAAGGATCTTAACGCCGGGTTCCGGGAACACATGCAGGGGCTCGGCACCAAGGGCCTCGACTCAACGTATTCGATCCTGGGCACCGGCTTCTGGCCGCTACAGGCGCCGGGGACCAACTTCAATCCACCCGAAGAGGTGGCATCCGACTGCGAGCGGTTCGCCCGCTTCTACAAGAACAAGCACGAGGGCCGCAAGCTCACCTGGCTGTGGCAGCTGTGCAAGGGCGAGGTCAAGGCCAACTACATCAAAAACGCCAAGATGCCCTACACGTTCCAGGTCTCGGTCTACCAGATGGCCATTTTGCTGCTATTCAATGAGAAGGATCAGAACACGTACGACGAGATTTCGTCGACGACGCAGCTCAACGCCGAGGCGCTCGATCCTTCGCTGGGCATCCTTCTCAAGGCGAAAGTGCTCAACCTCGACCCCGGGAGCGCAAAGGTCGGCTCCGGCGCCAGCTTCTCGCTCAACTATGACTTCAAGAATAAGAAGTACCGGGTCAATCTCAACGTCGGCATGAAGTCGGAGACGAAGCAGGAGGAGGCCGAGACCAACAAGACGATTGAGGAGGATCGCAAGCTTTTGTTGCAGGTGCGTAACTGTTACTCCTCCCTTCTCCTCCCTTTCCAATTATTGCCTGTGTTTTTCCTGCAATGAAATGTTGCTGACCTTGCTTGTGTTAATAAACAGTCGGCCATTGTGCGCATCATGAAGGCGCGGAAGCGCATGAAACACCAGCAGCTCGTCAGCGAGACCATCAACCAGATCCGTGCTCGCTTTGTGCCCAAGGTCAGCGACATCAAGAAGTGCATCGAGATTCTGCTCGACAAGGAGTACTTAGAGCGCCTCGAGGATGATGATATCGGGTATCTGGCCTGAGCTGTCCGAGCTGGGAAAAACTCGTGAAGGGGGGGGGGGGGGGGTTGGACTGGAGTTTAGATTGAGCTTCCTTTGGCGTCGTCCGATCGAGTCTCTTGGGGCGGATCATCGTGGTTTTTCAGGATGGCTGGTTGGGAGGTTGGCCGTTCGGGAAAGACGTGCAAGGGCCTAGACGGACGCATAACGGGGAACCCAGGTGACAAATCACAGTGAGGTAGCGACTGAGTACACAGGTAGCGATGGTGGTGATGGGGGCTAAGCGACTGATATGGGAGTTCGGGCATCCAAGGGGGTTCATAAATATGTATGAGTACAACAAACCCAACTTTGTGAATGGCATGGCGCCGCTGCCGGTTGGTCCCCCTTATATTCGTACCTACCTTCTTTCCCAAGGGTTAATTGCACTGGGCTTGGAAACTCACAGCTGGTATGTATCATCCACACCATGATCGAGTGTGAGAGTCAGGTATTGAAGCTTGGCGCAGTTGGGGTGCGGTTGCGTTGGGTTGGGTTGGTGATGATCACACTTGACTGCCGGGCTGGGATGGTCATCGTTGACCCGCCGTTGATGAAGGTATCGTACAGTACCTTTGTGTAAAGTTATTGACGGTTGCGGATTGGGTCGCACCGTCTCGCCAACACCAATGCTGTGGGTGTTGGCCGGCCTTGTGGTACTCAAGGCCGTTAACGTCCAGAATAAAGGTCAACCTGAGGTCGGGTATTCGCCATTTTGAGAGGTCCCGTCAGTTCAAGCGGGGCCAATTTGGATAACTAGTTCGCCGAACTTCCGTACGGCACTTTAGCTTAAGGTAAACTGATGGGTGTGAGGTCTAAGGAAAACGGGAGAAAGTTGCGACTTTGTTCAAGTGATCAATCTCATGCAGACTGGCATTTCTGGGGAAAGGCTACGGTTGGCCCCCTGAGACCCCGCAGTGATCAAAGTCCAGATCTTTTGTTGTCGAGGACCGGGCTAGTGCGGTAAAGCTGCAGGTGCAATGGGAAACGGAGTTTGTTGCGGACTGCGGAGGGCAACCCCCGAAGTGAGTCAAGGGACTTTTGACCTCATATGTGCCACTTTGTACAGTTTTGCTATTTCTTTCGTGAAGCATTTTGCTAATAAGTCTGTGATTCTGTAATTGGATGTGCGTCCCGTTTCAAAAGCGTACCGAACGTCATGCGTCATACGGACAGCCCTACCTCACTACTGTTTTGAGGAGAGAGGAAGGATCGTAGGCGACTTTGTCGCTTGGAAAGTTGAACTACTGAGCGCACTTGATTGGTTCGCATTTGAGTCTGGTCTGCTGGCGTCTGTTGGGACCAACCATCTTTGGGTGGCTTCTAACCGGTTTGGAGGACTGGGGGACGACCTCTCCATTTCGGGGAGCAACTGCCGCTTCGCGCAATCCTTGTTGAGTCCATTTTGCGGTGGGTTTGCTTTTGCTCAGCGTTCGGTGTGCGTGTGCCGATCAATCGGGGCGTATCACGATGGTCGGCTTTCAACTCACCGGGGCCGTCATCAGCCTCTGTGAGCCCGGCGTCAGAAGGTGCCCTGAGATGACGGAGTCGGCATCTTTCGCGTTCGTCTCTTACGCATTGTGAGTGGTGGGCGCGAACAGGGCCGCCGGCCCCTGACCGCTATCTGTGAGCTCAAGCGGGCGGACCGATCATGTTGAGATTTCCCGGGCTCCGGGCTGAAGACACGTGGTTGTCGGGGATTCAGTGCCCGGTGATCAACGGGACTTTCGATTGGGTTAGGTACCGTAAGTACGAAGAACCTCCGTAGCTCGGCACCGCGCAAGACTGAGAAACCTTACCTGTAGCTTCGTATGCTCGAGTACCAATACTTGGGAGCTCTTGGCAGTCTTGCGCAGGCGCCCTACAATCCGACCCTGGTTTGTTTGGTAGCGTAGCACATGGCGGCCCAGTTGGAAAAGGGAAAGGTGAGAGAAAAGAAGAAAAAAGGAAAAAGAGAAAGGAGTTTATAGAAGAAAAGAAAGTAATAAAAAAGAGAAGAAAAGTACAGGAATAATTAGCGCTGCCGGGCTGTGATTCCGCCGGCTGCTTGCGTCGCGGCTGAAGCTAGTTAACGTTAGCGCCTGCATGAGAGCATTTTTCTTCTGCCTTCCTCTCCAAACTACTGGTATTTCATCTCAGAAAGGAGGGCCAGGGGCTGGCCATGGTTCATGAACTGAGGCTCTTGAAGTGCTGAGGAAACTCTTCCAACACAGCTAAGGTTTGAAGCATCTTGCAAACTGAGATTGAATTCGCGTCTGATGGAGGCGAGATTCAGAAAGCCAGAAAGGCGCAGCCCAAGATCGCGCGGTCTGTGTGCTGCTGCCTCCATTCACCTTCTTGGGGTGCATGCCCTGGCTGCATGCATCGTTGTATTTACCTGCGCCGTTACAGCACCGTCGAACTGAACTGTTTGATATTGGTGCTTTGACTTGTACACTACCGTGCTTGCTATCTTTCAGAGAAATGTCTTCTCATTCTGTCACTTACTTCAGGCTTATACCGAACAATCAAGAGGGTGGCCCCCGGTCGTTAGAACGAGCACCATCCGACTTTACCGTGTGATGATTGAGGTTTTATGACAACCGTACAGTAATTTGTAATTCACAACCCCGGCTGCTCGTCGGTGGGGCATGGAGTCGAGGGCCTGACCCTTGTCTCGACAAGAGTTTCGAAGCTCCCGCCCCCAGCTTTCGGAGCCGGGGCCAGCCCTTGAACTCGACAAAGGGACGACGGCCTGGAGCTGTTTTTCTCCTCCCGTCGAGTTTACACAGCGTTCATGCACGCCCTGACCTGCAAGTCATCTCAAGTCGAAACAGGCCTCTGCCGCGCGCTGGCAACACCAGATCCGACCTAGATTTCAACTTCGCACGTCGAGTCCATCCTGCCTACCTGACCTGGTGCCGTTCTAATCTACAGATACCCAGAACAACTCCACGTTACCGTTGCATCTCTGGACGGATTACGCCGCCTCTCCCGCTTCACAGTTCCCATCATCGGCCAAAACTAGGGTTTCCTGCGCCGATTGACCCGACATCAGAAGGGACTTGTCCAGTTCGGTCCCAGAGGTCGGCAAAGGCTACGATTTCCGACTTTCGCAGGGCGCAGGTCTTTTGTTGCAGCATCCCAGCATCCCAGCATCCCGTCATTGCTACCTGTTTCAATTGACTCGAGACCACCTCCTCGGCCCACCAAGACAGCCACCATCCAGTCACCGGGTCACGCCCCGACATCCCTTCGAAATATCTTGGGAGTTGTTCCCTCGCCGCTTTAGTCGGCCCATTCGACTGCATCGAATATCGTTCACGTCTCTCATGGTAGTGTAAGAGGCATTTTGGCAACGACTTTGCAGGGGCCGGTTTCGCCCGATTCACGACGTCTTGTGCCGTCCCCGCATAAGCGACGCAATCGGAGATTGACACTCCCATCACCAAAGTGTTGGCCAGCGAACACGCTCATGGTCGTCATGGGGACGTGCATGAGTACTGGAGGGGCCGAGTCGGACTCGAGGAAACGGAGCAACAAGATTGACAAGGAGCTGGAGGAGGACTCCAAAAAGCTACGGAAAGAATGCAAGATCCTGCTGCTGGGTATGTCGCTGCCCGCCGGCTGCGGGGGGTTTCTGATTGCCTTGCGGCACCCCTGACACTTCGGCCGTCCTAACGGTGCACAGGCTCCGGCGAGAGCGGGAAGTCGACAATCGTGAAGCAGATGAAGATCATCCACCTCAAAGGCTATTCGCAGGACGAACTCGCCAGCTACCGCCCGACTGTCTACAAGAACCTTTTGGAGTGTGCCAAGGCGCTCTGCAGCGCCATGCGCCAGTTCGACATCGAGCCGGTCATATTCGAGAACCGGGCACACTGCGACTTTCTGCTCGACTACTCACTGGATACGAATCCGCAAGCGAGGATTGATCCTAAAGTGGGTGTCGCCGTCGAGTCGGTATGGAACGACCCGGCAAAGGAACAGCTGATGGAGAGACAAACCGAGTTCTACCTGATGGACTCGGCCGAATAGTCGGTTGCCGGTTTTATCTCCCGCCGCCAGAGTAGTCATATGGCTAACCCGACGCAGCTTCTTCCAAGAGGCCAGCCGTATCGTATCACCCACCTATCTTCCCACCGAGACGGACGTGTTACGGGCTAGAACCAAGACGACTGGTATCTACGAGACGAGGTTCAAGATGGGACAGCTGAGCATTCAGTGAGTGTGCAGCGCCAGTTTCCTCCATGATGGAGGCACCGATTGACAGTTGCTCTTGCAGCATGTTTGACGTGGGCGGGCAAAGAAGCGAGCGGAAGAAGTGGATCCACTGCTTCGAGAACGTCACATCGATCATCTTCTGTGTGGCGTTGAGCGAGTACGACCAGGTATTGCTCGAAGAGAGCAGTCAGGTAAGGCGTGCCGAACAGCACCTGACTCGGGGAGTTACCGCTGACCCGCGTTTGGCAGAACCGCATGATGGAGAGTCTGCTGTTGTTCGATTCGGTTGTCAACTCGAGGTGGTTCGTTAGGACGAGCATCATCCTGTTCCTCAACAAGGTCGACATCTTCAAGCAGAAGCTTGGGCGGTCGCCGTTGGGCAATTACTTCCCAGATTACTCAGGCGGGAACGACGTCAACAAGGCGGCCAAGTACCTACTCTGGAGGTTCAATCAGGTCAACCGAGCCCATCTTAACCTTTATCCACAGTAAGTGTCATGGCCCAATCAGTTTTCGGTCGCATACGTGCTGAACACTTGAACACTTTGCAGTTTGACCCAAGCCACCGACACCTCCAACATCCGATTGGTGTTCGCCGCAGTCAAAGAGACGATCCTGAACAACGCCCTCAAGGACTCGGGCATTCTCTGATAACCGGACAACTTCTTCGGCTCATTTACCGATATCCCACTCGATTTGGAAACTCCACGTTTTCCGATATTCTCTCAGGCCCTGCTGCACAACCGATCTCCGAAAGCTGGCGATATACATGACACGGCGTTGGGGCGGCACTCTTTATTTCGACGACTGTTGATAAGGACTCGAACGGACGACCAACATGGAGCATCCATTACAGCTCTTCATAGTCCTACCATGTCCTACACGGCGGTGGGTCGCGAATCGGCTGCGACCACACCTGTTTCTACCTCCATTCTCCTCGTGCGTTGTTTTTGGGGGGGCATCATTCATGACACTGCTGGCGCTGCTCGGATAGCGTTGATTTACACATATACTGATTTCGTAACGGACTTATACCATCATGGCCACGGGCTCCCATACCATGGCCACGTATGGGATGTGGTTCTAGAGGGTCTGAAATCGCGATACTAGGCCATTGATGGAGTTTTCAGGGGCATGGTAGGCAGGTCAGGATTCCACGACGATGCAGATTGGAAGGGCAGCCGACTTTGAAAGGGCCAAGGTCGATTGGCATGCTTGGCTGAACCATAACGTTAGCCACCTCGGCCGTTCGAGTGCCGCAGCAGAGATATATAGCCTAAGTGGCAGAGCCGAATGGCTGGCCAAAGGTAATGAGACGTTTGCATCTGCGACCCATTCTGTGGCCGAAGTCAACGACTACTCAAGCCCTTAGCAGAACCACTCGTAGATCTGCTTCGATCGTCAGGAACTCCCAGCCCAACGCACCGTTAAACAGTACTAGGGGTACACTACCCCTGGGCCACGATCGAACAAGCAGCTCTATGGCCCAGCAAGTATAGGGGCCACCTACCCTCTTTCCATGACCGCCTTAATGCCGGGCCGCCATGACGATCGATAAGATGACATCTGGTCCATTGACGGATGCCGATATTTGTTCTCGCTGCGGTCGGGCTGCACTTGCATATGTCGACATTGTTCGATGATGTCAGTCAGTGGGGCCTGGTTGCGGTGGGGTTTTGACAGGGCCCACTCACGGCAGGGTTCCTCTCAGGCCAGAACCTTCCGCAGCGGGGCACCGCACCGGGGAAGAGGAGAGCTTCGATGCGTCAACCCAGGCCTGTTTTCACGTCTTTCTAACGACTACGCAGTAGTACCGCGCCGCAGAGGCAGCGGCACCTCAGACTAGATAGGCTTCGCCTCTAATGGAAACAAATGTGGTTTCCTCTCCTGTCCACGCTTCAGAAGGCAGGAGATGCGGCGGCACGGTTGGCATGTTGGGTCTCGGGTGTTGCAAGCCAACCCCGACCTGTCTGTACTCCTGCCCTGCTGCATCCGAGGAGAGCTGCGTGCCTGCCAGAAGCGTTGCAGAACGCCAACTGCAACCGGGAGCTTACCCGGGTGAAGAACAAGAAGGTCAGTTTGCATATGCAGGCGATTCGAGAGCCAATCAGCACAGCTCGCAGGCCAGTGCGAAGAGCGAGACCGTTCTCGAGGTTGTCTGTACCCTGCCGTGTATCTCGATACGACAGTTCAGCTTGCATTCTGGATGGAAGTGGCGGCCAGGCCATCTTACCTTACCTTATCCTGCTTGGCCCGGCCTGGTAAGGGGCAAAGGAAGTGGATGTTGGCGGTAACACCGCAGAAAGAGACACCACAGGGCGTAATTGCAGATTGTTGGCTGTTACATGTAGTTCATGGCATGTTGCTAAGTTTGGCTACCACCGGCTGCGAGACTTTCCACAGGATTCATATACCTTACAGGATACTGCCTACATGTGGATCATCTCGCACTGAACATTTGTTGTTGGCTCCGCTCTGACAATCCGATTTCCATATTTTTCTCCCGTCTGTTGCTTTTCAGCAGGGTGCTTGTAGCTGGGGTACCAATTTCGAACTGAATCTGTAGGCCAGAGCAGCAGCATTTCTTGATTTTCCATTCCTACACCCTACCACACAGCCAACAACAGCGACACTCGAGCCATCCCCTGCACAGCCGTTCCGCGGAAGAGCCGCAACTCCTAGTCATCACTAAGGTACCTGATCGAATTAAGATTGGCGAGGGTACCTTCCTTGAAGTGGTCTACACTCCACCCAGCAAGAACCAAGCTCAGTGAGAATAACTACCCCACTCCCCGCTGAGCTCATTCCTATCATCCATCAATCCATCCGATTGCCAGGACAACTGCTTCTCCTCTTCCAGCTTCATCTCTCGCCCTATCACCTACACTCTGAACTCCTAGAGCGTCGTTACAGATCCAACACACCAGGTTCAGTCCCAACGAAGCCAATTGAAGCCGACAGCATGGCGACCACGACGGACAAGATTCCGCACAGGGAGCGGCGGCCGTCGATGGGAGCTCCCATTGTCGACATTCAGGGCGCGGTTGGCCCCGCGGGCATCTCTCGGCCCAAGCACAAGCGCACACTTACCGGCTTTGGTGCTGGAGAGATCAAGGCTGTTGAAGGTATGTATTCTATGGCAACCTGTGTTCTTCTCTCTTGGTTCGAATTGAACTGGCCGGTCTATCTATTTACTGGTGGCCGAGGGGAAGCTTGCCTGACAGCTCCCCACCACTCACATCCATGCCCCTCACCACCAACGCCAAGGCTGGGAGACACAGCACACCACACTTGACGAGAATATTGCAGCTAAAAAGCAACACCTGTTCCCAGCCTCCATTCCCGAACCCCAGCGCGAGGCCTGGCTTAAGCACCAGGTCAGCGGCTTCAAGGACAAGGATGGCTTCGAGCGCGAGGTGGTGCGCCACGTCGAGACGACATTGGCCCGAAGCCTGTTCAACTGCGACGAGTCGGCCGCCTACGCCGCTTGCGCCCTCGCCCTCCGCGACCGCCTGATCCTCGAATGGAACCGCACCCAGCAGCGCCAGACGTTTGCCGACTCCAAGCGCGTGTATTATCTAAGTCTCGAGTTTTTGATGGGCAGGGCGTTGGACAATGCCATGTTGAATGTCGGGCAGAAGGACCTGGCCAAGGGTGAGTTGTTCTTCGCTAAAGGGATCTGGGTAGATTCGTTGCTGACACAAGCGGTGGCGCGGTTGTGTAGCTGGCCTTGCTGAGCTTGGCTTCCGCATCGAGGACGTCATCCAGCAAGAGCACGACGCTGCCCTGGGTAATGGCGGTCTGGGTCGTCTTGCTGCTTGCTTCCTTGACAGCCTCGCCAGTCTGAACTTCCCCGCCTGGGGTTATGGGTTACGTTATCGCTATGGTATCTTCAAGCAGGAGATCATCGATGGTTACCAAGTCGAGGTGCCCGACTACTGGCTTGACTTCAACCCCTGGGAGTTCCCCAGGCACGATGTGACAGTTGATGTGAGTGCTATCATTCAAAAACGCCGTCTAAATCTAGCCCAGGCTGACCCTGCAGATCCAATTCTATGGCAATGTCCGCAAGTCGACAGACGAATTCGGCAAGACTGTCTGCCACTGGGAGGGAGGCGAGATGGTCAAGGCCGTCGCCTACGACGTGCCCATCCCCGGTTATGGCACCCCAACCACCAACAACCTGCGTCTGTGGTCCAGCAAGGCCGCCAGCGGCGAGTTCGACTTTCAAAAGTTCAACAGCGGAGATTACGAGAGCTCCGTCGCCGAACAGCAGCGCGCCGAGACCATCAGTGCCGTCCTCTACCCCAACGACAATCTCGACCGCGGTAAGGAGCTGCGTCTGAAGCAGCAATACTTTTGGGTTGCTGCTTCGCTGTACGATATTGTCCGCCGGTTCAAGAAGACGAAGCGCTCCTGGAAGGAGTTCCCCGAGCAGGTCGCCATCCAGCTGAACGACACGCACCCGACCTTGGCCATCGTTGAGCTCCAGCGCATCCTGATCGACCTGGAGGGTCTTGAGTGGGACGAGGCGTGGAACATTGTCGTCAACACCTTTGGCTACACCAACCACACCGTGCTTCCTGAGGCGCTCGAGAAATGGTCGGTCCCTCTGATTCAGCACCTCCTTCCGCGCCATCTCCAGATCATCTACGAGATCAACCTGTATTTCCTGCAGGACGTTGAGCGCAAGTTCCCCGGTGATCGGGAGCTGCTGCGCGACGTTTCCATCATTGAGGAGTCTCAGCCCAAGATGGTCCGCATGGCGTTCCTTGCCATTGTCGGCTCCCACAAGGTGAATGGCGTCGCCGAGCTGCACTCGGATCTTATCAAGACTACCATCTTCAAGGACTTCGTCAAGATCTTTGGCCCCGACAAGTTCACCAACGTGACTAACGGCATCACCCCTCGCCGCTGGCTCCACCAAGCCAATCCGCGCCTGTCGGAGCTAATTGCGAGCAAGACGGGCGACCACGGATTCCTGACAGACCTGACGAAGCTCAACCAGCTCGAGCACTACATAAACGACAAGGAGTTCCGCAAGGAGTGGGCCGAGATCAAGTACGCCAACAAGGTGCGCCTGGCTAAGCACATCAAGGCCACCACTGGTGTGACGGTCAACCCGTCGGCACTCTTCGACGTGCAGGTCAAGCGCATCCACGAGTACAAGCGCCAGCAGATGAACATTTTCGGTGTCATCCACCGCTACCTGACACTCAAGGCTATGACACCCGAGGAGCGCCAGAAGCAGTTGCCGCGCGTTTCCATCTTTGGCGGCAAGGCCGCGCCGGGGTATTGGATGGCCAAGCAGATTATTCACCTCATCAACAGTGTTGGCGCCGTCGTCAACAATGATAAGGACATTGGTGACCTGCTCAAGGTGGTGTTCCTCGAGGACTACAATGTCAGCAAGGCCGAGATAATTATTCCGGCGTCGGACATCAGCGAGCACATCTCGACTGCCGGCACTGAGTAAGTTTTTCGGTGTTACTTGTAACGGAAGCATGAGCTGACGGACTACAGGGCGTCGGGAACCAGCAACATGAAGTTTGTGCTCAACGGCGGCCTCATCATCGGAACCTGCGACGGCGCCAACGTATGTGCCTTCTTCTTCTCACAGACATCCGTATCAATTTGCTGGACTAACCTTGTACCTCCAGATCGAGATCACGCGCGAAATTGGCGAGCAAAACATTTTCCTCTTTGGCCACCTCGCCGAAGAAGTCGAAGACCTGCGACACGCGCACGTTTATGAGAAGCAGCACAACATCGACCCGGACCTTGCGCGCGTGTTCGAAGAGATCGAGAAGGGCACGTTTGGCAATCCGCAGGACTTTGCGGGCATGATCTCGGCCGTGCGCGACCACGGCGATTACTACCTGGTGAGCGACGACTTCCAGAGCTATGTCGACACGCAGAAGCTGGTGGACAATGCGTATCGGAACCAGGAGGAGTGGGTTACCAAGTGCATTGAGAGCGTCGCACGGATGGGCTTTTTCAGCTCGGATCGGTGTATCAATGAGTACGCGGAGGAGATTTGGAATATTGAGCCATTGAAGGTGGAGGCGGATCAAGCGGCCGCGGCTTCTTCTTAGAATGGAAGAGGGGTAAGAGGGGGTAGAGGGAGGAGAGGGAGAGGAGGGGAAGAGCCGGTAAGAGGGGGAGGGAGAGAGCCGGCAAGAGGAAGTCGGTTGTGGTTGATTGGGACGGGTTGGGTAGAGGAGTGTAGGGGGGAGAAAGAGCCGGTAAAAGGGGGTCGGCTGTGGTTGATCGGAAAGGGCTGGATAGAGGAGAGTTTTCTGGATGCCAGAGAAGGGTTGGTGAGGAGTGCGGTGGCGGGTGAACGATTCGGTGAGGGTTTGAGTGATACTGACAGTCGTAGCGAAACGAGGGGTTGTAGTAGCGATGAGAATCGGTAGGGAAGTTCAAGTCGGGATGGGTTTGGGGAGACTGTCAAGCGGATAATGCTATTGCTGCTTTGGCCAGTCGATGATCGAGGGGGCACAAGGTAGGATATTCAGAGAAGAAGACTAGCAACATCAGCAGTGTTAGATGCAAATTTTGAGCGAAAGAACATTATTCAATGACGGTAACTTTGGAGCCGTGAGTGTTGGGAGGTGACGAGACTGACCTCAGAACCGTTAGGATCAGTTCCTGGCAGACTTGACTGTTGCAGTCCCGGCCTGTTGCAGGGTGACCGTCCTGGAGAGTCTATGGCGGCAGACACTGAAGCAGCCGCCGTCCGATTCTGACGGACAGCCACTCCCACGAGCCTCGACAAAATGTCGCCTCGGACGACGCCGCCATTGGCGTGTTGGACGTCGTCTGGGGGGGTTGGCTATGGACGTGGACAAGGCGCGGTAGCAGGCTGCAACTTTCTCCTCGGTCGACATCAAGATGCTAGATAGGTACGGTCGAGTGTTGGCAGCAGCGGCTTGCGGAGGGATGTCAACAAGGGGTTTGCTTGACGGTGATACTCCTCATTCAACCTTTCCTGATCCTTTCTAGGGAGGCATTCGATAAAGTGACCAATGCTGCTGAGGGGAAAGAACGAGGAGCAATACAGGACGCTATCATGGTATCAAAGAACTTGGAATAGACACTTCTCCGGTATTCTTCTCAAGGCTCAAATGCTTCTCGAGCCCTACCCATTCTTTGCCTCCAGTCTACAGGCTGAGCAATCCAATACCTCTAGTCATGTGAGCTACAAATCCGAGACAACCTGGAAGTTCACTCGGTGTCTCGCTGACGAATAAAGGGCTGGCATCATATCACCAATTTCTATGACATTTCCCTATGTTATATCATTGTCTTGGGAGTCTAACCGAGCCTTCTGTCGTTGACATTGTGGCCGATCGTTTTGACACTACCGATGATGTTCTCGAGGGACTCCGCTCGAAAGGATGGTTACCCCAGGGTTCGTATCTTCTGCTCTTGACACACCAATCACCGAGACCAGGTAAGCTCTAGAGATCATGAAACAGTTCATCATACGTTATAGTTTCAGTGTCTCAAGATTGAAATATCAATTGGTAACTTTGTGCTATACTTTGATGTGCGCTATACTTTGGTGTGCACTGTCCTCACTGTCGTGTATGGCTATATAAGCTGTTGGAGTCGGGACCCCTTCAGCTTGCTTGGCTGAAGAGGGTAAAACTTGTAGCTCATGACGTCATTGTGCATAGAAAGCTGATTTCCCGTTGCGGACACCTCGTCCCTCAGCGATGTGTTCCCAGCTGCTGCGCTCTGTCGTCATCACGACGGGGATCGAGCCTCTTGGACTTTGCACATGATCGATCAGGGTCCTGCTAGGTGGAAACATTGCAGGTCGCTTTTTAGCGTGGTACGGCTGGCAGGCGTCAATCTGTTGTTGCTTGGTGTGTAAGTGTAGGCGAGGTAGTGAGCTAGCAGAAAGGTGAGGTATGCAGATGCAGTATATGGTCTTGCGCGTCGCGGCAAAAGCAGCTTATTTTGACTTTACTCATGGAGTCTTCTTGCCACCCCCTGATGATCTAGCGGTCCCGCCACTCGGCATGTAGCGCGCGTGGCATCAAATGTCGCTGGAGTTTCGAGATAGGTATAATGTGAAGCAGGAGGGAACCGTTTCTCTCTCTACGGATCCGTACAAATGGACTGCTCTGATGTGGTGGTCCCTGAAGATATCCACCCAATTGTAAGGGTCCAAATTCCGGAGACTCTTCTCCGCGTTTCTCCTGCAAACTTCTGGGCACATCCCTTGCACAGCAAATGGTTTTTTGGGCGGAAAGGATTCGATGACTGAAGCCAGTTGCGGAGAGAGGGGGATCGGAACTGATGCTTGACCGCGTTGGCTTTGTGCTGCGACAGGGGCATGGATGGGAGGCCCCACTTCACAACCTCCAACCCGACGTCATCGCGCTGAAGCCCAACGATGGATCGTGCACGTTAGACGAGGGCCCCCGGCGTTGCTGCAGGCTTGTGGAGACATCCACTGCTATGTGATTGTTGCTGTCTCTGTTTGAGATAGGACTTTTTTCGAGGTTTTGTGTAGAATGCCCTCAAGGTAGCTGAGGGAGTCCTGTGCAGCAGTATCGGACGAGGGAATGCTGTCAGGTACCCAAGTGGCCACGCGATCACGGAGATGCTCGGCCGTCGTAGCAGGTCGAGACTCGAACAATCTGGCCATATCAATCCGATCCTCTCGAGTGCGTGGACAGACACTTAGCACCATCCAAAAACGGCCAGCTAAAAGGGTTTGTGCTGCATTTACCAACTTGGTGGGTACCGCTCTCGGCGGGACGGGAATGGCGGGAATGCCATGGATTTGGGGCCACTTCAGACATGCAGTTTCTCCAACCGGGCCCCGCGTCGCACTCTAGGCCGGTCATGCCAACCCGCTATCCCAGCTTTTATGTGGGCAGCGTGCCCGAATTCTTGAAATGCCTCTGCAACCGGCCATGACCTTCATAATTGCTTGACCGCTGCTAAATCTCACACGCCTACCTCTTTCCCCTTTTCACGTTCTTGATGAGAGGGAACGAAACGAAAGAAACAGCTCCTGTCGGACGACGGTTCACTCAGCGGGTGAGTATACACCAGTTGAACTATATTTAGCTGCTACTGCTGCGCAATGGTAGACCGAGCCCTCTAACCCTGCTAGCTGGACAGCGCACAATCGGCGACACGGCAGGTACAGGCATCTCCAAGAGAGCAATTCGTGCCATACCGCTCGAGAAGATCACAGAGGAAGGAAACAGCACGGGAACGGGTACACTTGCCAAGTCCTGCCTGCGTCTCCAAAGCCAAAACGGCTGCCAGTGCAATCCACCCAGCTTCTCACCAACAACGGGCTCGGCATCAAGGTGCAAGATTGCGTTGTTCTTGCTGAGGGTTAGAGGTTGCTGAAACTGTGCAGTAAGCAGCCCTCATCTTCACCTTATCTTTGTGGCTTCTATTGTGTCTTCACCGGCGCGCAAAGATTCTGATCCGGACACTGAGCTAACGGAATCCTGTCGATTTGCCTCCAGGGCCCCGCTCAGAAGCACCCGAACCCCGCTGTTACACCTGTTCCAAAACTCTCCCTTGTCTTCGGCCCTGGCAGTTAACGAACAATCGCTGGAATTCTTACCCGGACCGTTATTACCCATTGATTGCTGCCCGCGATAGATCTTTTCTGCCTTCCGTCCCCTACAGTCGTTCAGAAGTCGCACTTTCGAGCCTCAATTTGGAACCCCCCGCGCATTCGATTGTGCCCCGCATCTACATAATTCATCCGCTTTTTGACGCACAGCGAATCGCACACCATGGCCGAATTCGTCCGCGCCCAGATCTTTGGGACTACCTTCGAGATCACCTCGAGGTACAATGCTTGGACGCGGAATTGAGGAAAAGTAGTTTGCTGACTCGCGACAGGTACTCCGACCTCCAGCCGGTTGGCATGGGCGCTTTCGGGCTGGTTTGGTAAGTACTGGGTCTCAGTCCGGCTAATGCTGCACGAATTGGGTACTGACGAGGGACGCTCTCAACAGCTCGGCGAAGGACCAGCTTACCAACCAGAATGTCGCGATCAAGAAGATCATGAAGCCTTTTAGCACTCCGGTGCTCGCCAAGAGGACATACCGCGAACTCAAGCTGCTCAAGCATCTCAAGCACGAGAACGTGGGTTTCCCAGCCGATACACGACTTGACCTGACAATAGCTGACGGTCGTCTTCCGCGCAGGTCATTTCTCTCAGTGATATCTTCATCTCACCCCTCGAGGATATGTAGGTGATCGCCTGCACATTTAATAGGTGGTCCCGGCTGACCCGCCCCAGCTACTTTGTCACCGAGCTGCTGGGTACAGATTTGCATAGGTTACTCACCTCAAGGCCCCTGGAGAAGCAGTTCATTCAGTACTTCCTTTACCAGATCATGGTGCGTCCCGGTACCTGACGGGCTGTCGACGGACACAGCTAACAGTACATAGCGCGGTCTGAAATACGTACACTCGGCTGGCGTGGTCCATCGCGACCTCAAGCCTAGCAACATCTTGGTCAATGAGAACTGCGACTTGAAGATCTGCGACTTTGGCCTGGCGCGTATCCAGGATCCCCAAATGACGGGCTATGTCTCCACGCGATACTACCGGGCGCCCGAGATTATGCTCACCTGGCAGAAGTACGACGTCGAGGTTGACATCTGGAGCGCCGGCTGCATCTTTGCCGAGATGCTTGAGGGTAAGCCGCTCTTCCCCGGCAAGGACCACGTCAACCAGTTCTCGATCATCACGGAGCTCCTGGGGACGCCGCCGGACGATGTGATCAACACCATTGCTAGCGAGAATGTGAGTGACTGCTGAAGCCTTTCGCATGAAGAAGTTGAGAGCTTACTGTATGCCCAGACGCTGCGCTTCGTCAAGTCGCTCCCCAGGCGTGAGAGGCAACCGCTTAAAAACAAGTTCAAGAACGCCGATCCGCCGGGTATGCCGCCCTAGATTCATATCTGCTGAATTCGCATACTGACGTGCAGCAGCCATCGACCTTCTGGAGCGCATGCTCGTCTTCGACCCCAAAAAGCGAATAACAGCAGCCGAGGCGCTGGCCCACGAGTACCTGGCCCCCTACCACGACCCGACTGACGAGCCGGTCGCCGAGGAGAAATTTGACTGGAGCTTCAACGACGCCGACCTGCCAGTTGACACATGGAAGATCATGATGTGAGTCTACAAAGAAGCCGTCGAAGCTCACTCAAACCGTTTGCTGACCGCGTTGGGTAACAGGTACTCGGAGATTTTGGACTACCATAACGTGGAGGCCGCCAGCGTCGCGGCACAGGATCCGCAGTTCCTCGCGCAATAAAGGCCGAGCGAGTCATCGATAACATATATGGGCGTCGGGATGGACATGGCGTGAAAGATCGATATTGGCTTGTTTATAGGCGTTTGGAAGAGGGAAGAGCTTTGTCGTGCAGGGTTTCCTTTTCCTTCATCTGTCAGGAGACGGATATGAGGCAGGGAAAACAGGGCCGTTGTTAGCAGGGGCCGAGGGTAGACCCAAGGGTGATGGTCGACTTGGCTGTTGCTGGTTTTGCCTGGGGTAGATTGGGACGGAGCCCTGGGATGGCTCTGTGATTCTCATGTATGACATGACGGCGGCGGTTAGTACACCAAAGCCGTGAATGACCGTTAAGGCGATAGATGGGGCTGGGTTGGATTGGATTTCCCATGTTGGCTTGCCTGTATGCCACAAACGAACGCATCTGTATGGCTTTTGCTATCCACTACGCGGAACCAGGCGTTGAGTGGTAGTATACTGTATTCCGTATCCGCATCTTTTTCTATGAACCACGGGGCATTCGACCTGCGAACCAAGGACTATAACGGACTAGAGAGTTAGTGCAATCTCTTGTAATAGAGGAAGCTACAAGGACTATTTCAGCTTAGAAAGCCCAAGACGAAGACTCTTTAGGTTCGAATTCAAGATGACAAGCTCCGAAACAAAGGATTCTCAAGGGACCCTTTAAAACTCCACACAGTTTGTCCGCCTCCGACGAGATCGTCGCGGTAAAGTGCCGCATTAGCGTCGAGATAGCCCTCTCAACCTCGAGCGATTCTCCTTACCGACTACTTCCTCAAGTCGGAGCTGCTGCGAGAGCGCTTCCGTCCCCATTGGGCGCGAAACGCCAACAAAACCTCCCGGGCTTGACGAGACGGGCTCGATCTGCCGCGGTCTTGATCTTTGTCTTTGTCTCTGCTGGGAGCCCTCGCTAACTGAGGAGATCGACGCCCGTCTGATATACGCAAACATCCAGTGTCTCTCTCTGCGTCGTGGAAGATAGTATCTGCTTTGTCTCGGGACAGCCTGCGACGACGGCTATGTGGAATGCAGGTGCAAGGCCAACCACCGGCCTTGGATCGTGTGCCATAGGAGCTGGCATTACCACCCGTAGCAGCGCGATTGCCTCTGAGGTCGTCGTCCAAGAAGTCCTCGACGTTGGGGTTTGATGTGCTGGTGTTGGCGGATCTGTTGCGTTGGCCCGTTCCCTTCTTAACAGTTGATCGTCAGACACCACAACCAGTGAAGTTCGTCGCCGCCAATTGAGGAACCACAAATTGCCAAGCAACCAGTCAAGGTTTTGCACGTCACCATGCACCCTGCTTTGGTCATTGGCGGCCTGTTTCGGCCTGGGCCAGCCGACCTTCGTTGAACAGCCTGTGCCAAGCATCCGAGCGCCTTGACGATTCTGAGGCCGACAGCTGACCCCGCGAGATTTACAGATTGACTTGACGATTTTGTCTGCAAACTCTTTGCCAATTACCTGTAGTTAGGTATCTCAATCCCACGGTTCTTTGTTCTTGATTGAAGCAGATGCCCTTCAGTTGATCGTTTTGGTGCCCCTCTCTAGGTGGGCCCCTGCTGTCCACGACCCCTGTCAAACGTTATTTTGGGACGTCGACTCGACACCCCGCCAAGGTTCCTGTTTCTCGAGGTCGAAGTTGACGTTGAAATCCGCTAGGACGAGCGCATCGGTTCTGAGAAGACAGGAACACCGCCAACTGCTCGCGACGCAAGCTTGATGACAACACTGTCATAGCAGCTTGACTCGGACCCGGACTCGGAACCGACAGGGAGATTGCACGGGGACTTGAGGGAGGAGGAAAGCAAGGCGACGGCAAGGGGAGAAAGAATAAAAGAGAAAATAGGAATATCTCACTCAGCCATGTCTGTTCCCCCGACGCCGACGGCGGAAATGGGCGCCGGGTTAGCTTTTATCCCGCTCGTCTGCGTCGTCGACTTCCACCATGCGCGCGGTCCCGAGGTAGAACGATGGTTTGGTGTCGACGAGGGCCGCGATCCGGCGGCCGAATACGACTGGACCCTGCTGCCCTTCATGGCCCTAAGCGACGGCGCACATGCGTATGTTCTTTTCTCCGGAACACCGAGTGTATAGCTCAAACCATTAACTAAACCAAAACCCCTGCCCAGGCTCACCGAAGACTTCTCCTACTTCACCCTCCTGCGCCCGGCGACCGACTCGGCGCGCGCGACATCCCTCTTCGGCATCTCGTGCACGCGGCAGATGGACGCCGCGCAGCTGCTCAACCGGCCCGCCGACGTGACGCGCTCGACCGTGCAGAAGGCCGTGGTGGTCATCGCCGATAGCCCACAGTACTTTGGCATGCTGCGCGAGCGCCTGAGCGTCGTGACCAAGGCCTGGTTCTCGCAGCGCGAGTTTTCCGATGTCGATATTCTCAGGCGCTTTCAGGAGAGCCTGGCCGACGAGAAGCGCAGGGGTCTGATGCACGAGGACCAGGACAGGGACCAGTACCTCGGCCTGAGCCTGCGCGAGCTGGTGCGCGAGTTCAGATGGCAGACGCTGTTACTGCTCAAGTGCTGTCTGCTGCAGCCGAAGGTGGGTAGCAACCTAGTCAAGCGGTGCCTCTCGATATGTGTATGTGTGGTTGCTGATTGTGTGTTTGGGTCGTCTGTAGATGCTCTTTTTTGGCACGCGCTGCGAGCGCCTGTGTCTGACCCAGTTCTCCCTAGTATCGTTAATACCCGGGCTCCTGCGCAACCTGCAGGACTCGGCCGGCCCGGAGTTGGATAGCTATGAGAAGAGCCTTACCATGCCAACGAGCTTGCGGACGAGTGACCGAAACTCACTGCTCTCCTACATGGGCTTGCCGTTGCAAATATTCGGCAAGGTATGCATGGCCTGGCCGCCTAACGCCACTTCTGCCCCCTGAAACGGATCGAGGCTCACATAACGCTGATGCAGGGAAGCTTGTTCGGGCCATACACCCCCTTGCAGCAACTCGACATCCTCGCCGACTTTGGCACCAAGTCGTACATCGTCGGCAGCACCAACTCGCTCCTCCTCCAGCAAAAAGATCGCTACAGCGACATCCTAATCAACCTCGACGAGGGCACCATTAACGTCACTTCACCCTCCCTCAAGGCCGCCCTGCAGCTCTCCACCCCCGACCGCCGCTGGATCGACTTCATCACCCAAAACGTCAACGACACGTGGGACGAGTCAAACCCCAGCCGGCCCAAGACCATGGGCTACGTTGGCAGCGAGGAGTTCATCCGCGTGCAGTTCGAGGAATACCTCCTCTCGCTCATCTCAGCCGTCAAGTACCGCGCCCACCTCGCCCGGCACGCCCAGAACCCGCGCATTATGCTGCTCCCCGAGGTTGACGGCGACCCGTCGCTCGACTTTGGCGCCGACTTCATCGAAGCCTGGTCGCGCACCGAGAACTACCGCATCTGGAACGCAAACACCGATTCGCACCTATTTGACATTGTCGAGCCGAAGCACCCGTGCGCGGGCGGGCTCACCATCGACGACATTCAGCGGCGCATCACACAGCAGGTGCAGGACCTGCACTGGGACGAGCGGTTTGCGCAGGGCAGGGAGGTGCTCGGGCGGAATCTGGCTGCTGGCCGCGAGAAGGCCAGTACCCTGTTTAATAAGCTGTATACCGATATGGAGGCGCTGAGGGAAGCGCAGAGGAAGAGGAACGAGGAGGCTAGGGCGCAGCAGCAACAGCAGCAGCAACAACCGTCAGGGAGCAGCGGTGGAGGGAGTGAGAAGAATGGCGGGACAGCAGTTGATCTCGCCAAGGCGCAGCAGACGATGCAAGCCGTGGGGAGCAAAGCCGGTGCGTTTGTCAACAGCTGGGCGGCCTGGGCCGGGGAGAAGCGGCGCGCGGCGTGGGGTGCCAAGTCTCCTACTGCTGGCAGCAATGATAGCAACCACAGCACCAGCAGCTCTCCCACTACCAGCACTGGCGGCGGCGCCGGCGGGGGGTGGGGTTCGGGTTGGGTCAAGATCAACAACAACAAGAACCGAGCTTCCCAACCGCCGACTTCCCAGACGCGGACCAGCGGATCGGACAACGGCAACCACCCGCCGAATACAGTACAGACGCCAACTTCGTCTGGGGGCGGCAGGAGGACGGAGAGTGCCGGCGGTGCGGACGAGCAGCAGCCGCTGAATAGGAGGGGGTCGGTGAGCGGCGAATCGATGCTCGATGGCGCCGAGTCGGACAGTGTGCTGTCATCGCCTGGGAAGGGGAGGACGCTGCCGGCGCCGGAGCCGGCGGCATCAGCAGCGAACGGGGAGTCGGGATCAGTACCTGTGCCGGGCGAGGAGACAAATAAAGATGGGAATGGGGTCGCGGATTCCCACCCAAGGCCAACTCCGGCCCCTCCGACGGGGTCAAGAAGGAAGAATGAAGGTGATTATGGTGATGGTGATCCAGAGACGCAGTCGGAGCCGTCACGGAAGTTGGCTGACCCGGCTAAGATGGCCCACTTGCAGGGGACTTGGAATAATAAGAGGACCGTGGGCCGAAGGGTGGATTGAGGATAGTTTTGCTTTAAGCTGGTGTGGCGGCGCATCCGTGACGGTTATGAGGTACCGGGATGGGGCCATGTACGAGAGGAAGATTGGCATCATGTTGGGCGAGGCAGGGCGAGGCGGGTTGCTGGATTGATTCATTGACTGTCTGGGCGAATTGGTTTTGGAGATACACACGAATGCATGGCGGCAGGGGAATGGGATCCATGTGCCTTTATCTCTATCTTCATTTTCCCATTCCCTCTATTTCACCTTCTTGAAACCAATTTTCTGTTTTCTATGTCCTGCTATGTGCCACGCTATGTAACAATCAAACCCGGGTTGGATTGTAGGTTTCCGTGGTCTCGACCGACACATCGCTGTTTCAGCAGCCAGTGCCACTCAGCAAGCGTGGCGCGTCTGCATTCTGAAAGAGGCATTGCTTGCCGGACGACGAAGGATGCGAAGCGAATGTTCCTTCGGACGGACTTCGTTGCCCACTTCGACCAGGCACTGGAGGCTGCAAACAAGAAAAAATGCGGGGTTGGACTTGGGAGCCTTCTCTTGGTCACGTCGGGGAACTTTGCGGCGAGGTGAGTATCGATTCCTAAATCGCTTATTGGACGGAATGTGGGCGGGATCAACGTTTGGGCTGATGTGAGATGACGAGTGATAAAGACAGGAAGGATCAGAACCCCGGCTCACCTCCTGGTTTGTGAGTACTATAGTAGCTCAGCCTGATCGCCGCCCGCTTCGTTTTCAAACAAGTACGGAGTAGTAAGCAAACCAATTCTAAACATCCATCATGTCACAATCACGCGCCGACACTCTCCAGGCCCATTTCAGCTCTGCCGATGGCGCCCCTCGCCCCATCCTCACATCGCTCAACGGCGACCACTCATGGCTGATATCATTTCCTCGCCCGGCGGCCGAACGGGCCCGCACTGGCAGCAAGGCCTACTTCCATGTCGTGTCCGAGCCCTGGTTGACCGGACGTGCAAGTGTCGGTAACCCCTGGATCATGGAGATACGCACCGAGACGCCAGCCGCCATCCCCTCTGGTACCGCCGTCGAAGCCGTCATAGGCGAGATCGAAAAGGCAGCCGCCTCGGCAAACCTCATCACCCCTAATACTGCTCCTACTCACGAGGCCGCCACCGACGAAGCGTCGTCGCCCATCGACGCAATCTTCCTCAACTTCCACTACCCAGACCACCTCGACGAGGCGACGCTGCGCACCTTTGACGGCGCAATTCCCGTTTTCGCCACGCCCGAGGCCGCTGCCATCGCCCGACGCTGGGGCCACTTCTCCCGCATCACCGAAACGCGCGACCTCGACTCGGCCGCCCCGACAGACAGCTGGCCGTCGCTCCATCCGGGCGGCAGTCTCCCCGAGTGGCTGAGCGTGTTCCGCGTGCCGGGCCACCGCGAACTCAACTTTGCCACGGCCGTCGTTTACTCCCACCAGGATAATGGGGACAAGACGAGAAATAAAATGCAGCACGAGTTGCTACTCTACTCGCCGCACGGCATCAAGGCGGACCAGCCGACACTGCGGGCGTTGCTGGCGAATGTAGTCACGGACTCTTCTTCCTCTCCAGACGACGACTCGGATGCAAGCATGATGAGCGTGCTGGCGATCTTGCACGGGCTCAAGGAGAGCTTCTCGTTTGGCCGCGCGACGGTGCTGGGCGTGGCCGGCGGGCTGGCGCTCGAGCGCGTGGCCGGGCCGCGGTACTGGGTCAAGTCGCATGATGCGCGGCTTGGGTACACGGGCGTGCTGCCGTTCCTGGCGCGGACCAACGATGTCAGAAGGACGATGCAGTCTGGGTTGGAAGAGGAGGAGGATAAACTAAAGCTTGAAGGGGAGGGGGATGTCAATGGTGGTGGTGGTGGTGGAGAGGGGAGGAGGGAGCCGAATTTTGTCGAGGTGGAGAACGGGTCGTGTTTTGTTTTACTGTAGAAGGAGGGTTGTTTAACAGCCTAGAGGTAAGTGATCTCGTGTTCGAGTTGCGTGGTATGTGAGCTCAAGACGCGCTGTGTTGATGAGATGATGCTTTCCTGTCAGTAAGTGGAAACCAGATAATTGCCTTGCCTTGTATAAGCTTTGGATACCTCTCAAGCACCAGATCGTAGCTGTGTAATGAGGGCGTTTGATACATCATAATAGGAGTCGGACTTGAAAAGCCCGAGAATCCGGTGACCGGTGCCAGAACACAGAATAAATGCGCCGCACGACTTGGGCCAACAACCCTCAGGCCGGTCTCATGATTCCGATATTGCTATTGCCCCGTTTTAAAACCATGCCATGCTTCATCTCTCCTGTCGGCAGTCAAGCTGCGGTCCAATCCAATTTTGTCGACTCTTAACTGGAAGGCAAGACACCAGACATAAAACCGCTTGCTGCGAACAATGGCCCAACCTGCCCATGGCCTCAACGGCAACCTGGACGACGCCCTTCTTTCGCGTACGTTCTTTTTCAGCCAACCCACGTAGCATCAAGGCAGAGAATTAACATCAAATATCCAAGTCCAAGATCTCTCCAAAGGCGGAAAAGTGGTCAGGGTCCACCAGCTTCGTTTGAGCGATTGGTGCGACACTACGAGATACAACGTCGAACTGCCAGATGGCACTCTTGAGAGCTTCTTCGAAAAGGTGGGAATTGGCCGCGTTCTGCACTGTGTATTTCCGGACTGCAAAGAGAGTGTGTGACTGTATGGCTGACTTGGGTGCGCGCACCGCAGAGGGCCTTTGGAGAAGATGGCGCCGACTTAATTCAGGCCCACTGGCACTCCGAGAGCAGCATCTTCAAGTTCATCCCCGAGTTCGTCCCTAGGCCCATTGCCTCTGGCACCTACCGGTCCAACCCCGACGCCCACTATATTCTCATGGAGTTTGAGGACATGGACAACGACACCGTCCCGGGACCGGAGGAGTACATGGCCGCATCGGCTGCCCTGCAACTCAGAAGTCTGGGCCAGTCCCCAACAGGAAAGTTTGGCTTTCCCGTCGCCACTCTCTTCGGCCATCTGAAGCACCCGAACGGTTGGCAGTCGTCGTGGCAGGTGTGGTGGACGAACCATATGAGGTTCATTTTGGAGCGCGAGGAAGAGATCCGGGAACAACACACGGAACAGAACGCCAGGTTGGTCGACGACTGCATGTCCAAAGTCCTCCCCCGTTACTTGGGTCCGTGGGAGAGCGGGGGGCGCTCTATTCAACCGGCCTTGTGTCACACAGTTCTGTGGCCAGGGAACGTCAAGTTCAAAACCGTCGGCGGTTCTGTCATCGTTTTTGACGCCAATTCCTTGTGGGCTCACGGTGAGGGTACCTAAAAATAGCTCTTGCCTTGGATATGAAGTCCCTGCTAACGTTAATGAAACTTCTAGTTAACGCTTGACAGTGGAGCTAGGAATCATTCGAAACCCGACATCTCGGTTGGGAGACGCTTCGTGAACGCCTACCTGAGAAGAATGCCCATATCGGAGCCCAGAGAGGACTTCGACAGCCGCGTCATCATGTACATGATCAGGCACGAAGTGTGTCGAGCGAGCATATACCCAGACGACCCTCTGCTCCGTGATGTGTAAGTCGCAGTCGCAAGTTCGGTCTTCTCTCTAGGCCACTCCAGAGCTTGCAATTCAGCAGCTGATGTCTCGCTCTCGCACAGTTTCCTGAACAGCATGAAGGTCCTCGTCGACAGGGTAAGCGCAGAGGAGAGCCAGAGACACGCCGAAGATGATGTGAAGAAAGCTGCGTCCACCACTCACGTTCGTTTGGTTGAGAATCTTAGCTGGACCGATCGAGGTCAGCCCAGCACTATGGCCCATTTGTAGCCGTGCTGGGGCCCGGTGTCAGGGGCGGGAATAGAGCGGACGGACAGGACAAGTTGGCGGAGGACAAGAGTATATTTCGGCCTATACTGGAGAGAAAGGGTGCGGAGGAGGGAAGTTAGACCGTGGTTGGGATCGAGGGGGTCGACCAGATCCAGATGTGGGGGGAATGACCATGGGGTATCTGCCTATCTATCTGTCTAGAGTTCGAGATACTGTCCAGAACTGCAAATTCAGATGAAGACGGGGGTTGCACTTCACCCAGCACTCCAACCCGCTGCAACGCACGATAATTCTGACGGAGGGAGTGACAGAATACTTAAGATTCGTATGCTCACGAGATCGTGAATCTCATGGTACCTATACCCATGACCGCATCGGTCGCTCTTTTGATCGTTTGTACGTCTTTAGCCTACTACGGATCTCGCTATCGTGACCCAGGTGACTGAACTCTCATAACAAGAGTCGGACTGCTATGTAGAACCGGTGACCTGGGGCGAAATTGCGTTCATTCCACTGCAGTGATCCGTATTTAAACGAACCTCTGCCCTGCAGCCTCATTTCCAGCTCCTTTTCCAGTGCGACACACTAGGCCTCCTTTGCAGGCTGGCTCTGTTTCCGTCATGTCCGCGCCACAACCTCCACCTAATAGGTGGCAAACTTGCATCACCCACGGCCACGCTGGCTCGGTCAACCCTAGTGCTGCTATAGACGTTCATGTTTCCTCATCCGGAATACACATCCGGCCCTTCCCAGCAACACCGCCGACGTCCGCCTCTCGGTGTATTATGCGCTACCAACAATCATCCCTTTGCACGATGACTACGGCGTCACCAAAGTTATCGGCCCCATCCAGGTCCGCTTTGAGACGGGGCGGAAGTCGAAAATAGCAAGGTTGACCTTTTGGGATGGCCAGTTCAAAATTGTTGACAAACCGAACCTCGACTGGAGCGGGTCCGGATCGCCGACCGCTGAAAGGGTGGAATGGATTCATGATCTCGGCTCGGCGAACCTAGTGTTCGAGTGTGGACTCGGAATGTCCTTTTCATTCAATATAGAAGGCTCGAGTGACCTGAATAATCTTTATGAGCGCTACGTGGCGATCCATTCGGCGGGAGTCACGCTCATGCATTAGGGCATTGCCCGAGGCAAGCAGCACAGGGTCAAGATGTTTGGCGGGGTCGGCATTGGTGCTTCTGTTTGATGATTGATATCATAGGTTCTTCTATGTTAATTAGTTGAGGTATTCAAGGCCCTTAGTGTTGGTTTTTTTCCCTTTGGGTTTTCCCAACACCTTCTCATGAATGTGGTGGGAGACACAATTCTGCATCTAGTTGAATCATCGTCACATCAGGTCCATCCATTGATCTATCCCTGGCATAGTCTAGATAGTTCGATTGTTTTGAAAACAGACAATGGATTTTCTTTTGGTTCTTGAGACACGAAATCTGCTGGGCACTACAATCGTGGTTGGCTAGGTCTTGCACAGGGTGGTGTTCCCCCTTAATCTGGCAATAATTGTCTCTTACGTACGGGCGTTTGGGGCTTGCCGTGTGAAGTCCGATGTCTCTCCTTATTAAAAGATACCGCGATGAAGACAAAGACACTACCTAGTAATGTCTTCTGAGTCCTGAGTCCACCGAGGAGGATCATGATGATGATCTCAACTACCATATCACGTCACGTTGTCGACTCTCGGTTGATGGCCAGGGCAGTCTTCTGTGGGTTTGGTTTTATCTGCCTGGCAGATTGAAGCTCACAGGACGAATAAAGAAGACCATGGCTGAAACTTGCTGCGACTACTATCGGTGGTCTAGTTGGGTTGCGAGAGTTCTGGCTCTAGGGAGGGCGGGATGCTACCTGGGTTTTGGGCCACTATTGCCGAAAGGTCAACACTCTGCCATGCTCTGATATGTACACACACACTCAATGTGTCTAAAGCAAGACATCACTGCCAAGAAATGAGTTGCCCCCTCAGGGGCCATTCCCCTTCTACCCGGCCCCTGCCATAATGTGAATCCAACCCCGGGACTCAGCAGCAGCAGCCACTGCTACTGTGCACCTACTACTCGTACATCTACACAACTAATCAACAGACGCCGGCATCAACATCCATATCCGTGCTCTCCCCAGCGGGAGCCACCACGCCATCGGGCCCCTCGCCCTGAATCACCTTGCCACCCTCATACGTAACCCTCCGCCAGCCACACTCCTCGCTGGGGTCCTTGATGAGCTCCATGGTGGGGAAGTAGTGCTCGTTCTTCTTCATGGTCACCACCCACGGCACGTTGTCAAACGTCACGGCGCGGAGACGGAAGTCTGTTGTGTCACACCGTCAGTATTCTGCACAGATAATGTAAATATGACCGGGGGGAGAAACTCACAAGTATTATCCGGAATTTTCACCACCTCTCTCAGAAAAGCCTCCAAATCCGGCGTCGGCTTGCCGTTCACATGAGTAATAAAATTCGTCGGCGCCAGCCCGTACTGGTACGCGGGCGAACCCCTAGTCCGCGCCGAGACGTACACTTCGCTGAACAGCTTACTAATTTGCTGGCGGACGGCATGGTGCGGAGCATGGAAGATAGCTCCGCAGAAAGACACGGCGCGCGTTGTCTCGACGTCGTGCGCTGCCACGGTGGGCAGCTTCAAGCTCAGCTCCTTGCAATCCCGCACCACAACAGCGTCGAGCTCCTCGTTTGAGTACATGACGTCGAGGTCTGAGATCTTGGTGACGATCTTACCGTTAAGGCTCAGCAACACGTCGCCCTCGAGGAGCGCGGGCCCATCTTGGGTCTCGTTGCGCTCAAACGTGCGCTTGGTCACCATGAAGAGCTGGTGGTGCGACGTGTTGGCCAGCGAGACCTGGTGGATCCAGTCATCCGACACGCCCATCAGCCGCGCCTGCGACATCTGGATGGCGCGGAACTCGACCGAAAGCATGCGCAATTTCGGGTCGATTCCCTGCTGGATCTGCTTGACCACGGGAAGCAGCGTCGGCGTGGCGAGACCCAGGTGATACTCTTCGTCCCTGTGGGTTGACGGGTTGCGCTCGCCAAGGTATGTGAGCCAGAGGGCTTGGACTGTACCGTCCTGCGCGACAAGCACACCGCTGCCGCACTGCCCGCTGAGGCTCGTGTCGACCGTGATGGCGTCCACGTTGACGGCGCGGTACCGGGGCGCCCCCGAGTTGGCAGGTATTGTGACGGCAAAGATCTCGGTCACGGTCGTCGCAGCGTGGACAATGCGCCCGATCCGGTTGTAGCCGATAAAGTACGTCGAAGCACCCTGCGTGATTTCCTCGGAGCTCAGCTTGGCACTGAGGACGGGTGCGTCAACGAGCTTCGGATCGTACTGAATGATGGCGTAGTTTTGAAGCGGGTGGAGGAACACGACTTTGCCCTCGACCACGATGGAATCGGCAATCGTGATGCTAATGTCGCAGAGATCGTACGGGACGATTGCTCTTGATATTACCACAAGACCTTTGTCCGCGTCAATCACGAGTCCCATGCCCCACTTCCTGTTCTTCGGGAAGCCATCGAGCTTAACCGGCATCGTGCAGCTGACGTGGACAAAGCTGCGGACCAGATCGGCAACGGCCGGGTGGGATGTGTGCTCGAGCTGGATAAAGGCAGCCTTCCGCGGGACGGGCGGGACGGGTGGGAGGGGGTCGGCAAGGTTTGAGAAGTCCCACAGCCCGGTCTCGTCGTTCCGGACGGCCAGTTTCATCTTCTTGGACCAGTGTCTGTCCATGTAGATGATGGTCGTGTTGAGGGTATGCAAGTCGCGCAGGTGCTTGTAGGTCACCACGACGCGGGCCTTATCTGGGATGTTCTTGACAACCTCGATGAACGTCTCGAGATCGGGCGTCTTCTTGTGGTCGACAGTCTGAATCAGCCAGCCGTTTTCGGAGTTATCGAAACGCCAGGAGCCGCCAGCCTCGCACACATAGACGCCCTTGCAGGCCACGCCGTACAGCCGCGCTTGCTGGTAGGAAAGGCTATGGAAGCTACCGCCGGCGACGGAGACGAAGCGGTCGGGAGTGATCTTGTGCAGGTCGCCAACCTCGATCTCCACCTCGACGTCCTCTCCGCCGCGTTGCAGCAGGAGTCTGACGGTCTGGCCGACGCTCGAGTCCAGGACATCGTCCAGGCGGATGAACTGGGTCAGCAGCTCGCCATTCACCTTGATCAAGACGTCGCCCTCCTCGATCTTGTGATGCGAGGGGCCTTCTGGCAAGACGATCTCCGCAACCAGCATGTTGGTCTCTTTTGGGAAAGCCTTCCGGACCTGAGCCTCCCACTCGGGATTCAGGCCGAGTCTGCGGCACTCGTCGAAGGGCTTGAGCAGGAATTGGCACTGGATGTCACCCCGGGTAATCGGCTTGCCCTCCTGCAAGCACTTCAGCGCTCGGAGCGGTCGATCCAGCGGCAGGAAGTAATCGGTGGCAGCGCCGTCTGCCCTACCACCAGCTTGCAGCGCGACCGCGTAGCCGTCGATGTTGACGACCGGAGAACCGGAACTGCCCCCGCTGGCAGCCGCGCTAGCCTGGTAGTAGCACGTGTTGAAGTCGCTGTACCCCTCGCCATATTCGGGCGCGTTGCGGTCCAGCCTGCTGATGACGCCTGATAAAATGCTGAGCTTCTCGCCTGCGTCGTTGCCAACCACCCTAATCTCGACGCCGACCTTGGCCAGGTCCGGCCGCAGGGGTAGAGCGGCCACGGGCATGTACCTGATGGCCTTGGGGTCGAACTTGAGGATGCCGAAATCGTGGACGGGATCTCGGTAGACCGGGTAGGCGTCGACCTCCTCGTGGTTGTCAAAGATGCAGTAGCCCCAGAAAGGGCCCGAGCCAACGACGTGGCGGTTTGTTAGAATGTATCTAAACAGATCCAAATCAGTTACACGTCAAATCAATTCATTGCAGCACAGAACAGCCCTACCCCCTCTCGGCATCGACAACGAACCCCGTTGCCTCGCTTGTTAAAGCCGGGTCGGTATCAAACGAGCACGTCTGGCAGAAGCGGATCGACACCACGTTCCGAACCACGTTCTGGATGGTGGCCTGCCACTCGGCCGTGTCCGGGCCGGTCGGCAGGAGGGCGGTCAGTCTGGGGTCCTCGTATTCCTCATAGTCGCCCTCGAAGTCGTCGTGCCGATCGGGGGTATGGTCACCGGCAGAGGACAGGTCGCCGTTGGGACGGTGGTGTTTTGGATGGCGGCCACCGACAGAAAGAGGCGGCTCCTTGCGCTTGGAGCGGGACGCCGAGCTCGTGCCGTTCATGCTGTCTGATGAGCTTGATAGGCAGTGGCTGTGGGAGTTGTCCGCAGGCGCAGATGTTGAGGCCGTCGGGGAGGAAGTGGGAGAGGCGGAGCGGGCTGAGGCGGCAGAGTGTAATTGGGCTGCGAGCGAAGGTAGTTTGAAGAAGTGTACGAGGGCGTGGTTGCGCAGCGACAGCGAAGGGTGTTGTGATGCGAAATTCAGGGTCCTGTTGGTGGTCGTCGTCTTCAACTTTGCGGCAAGGGAGGAGCTGCTGATTGGACTGGTGCGCAATCTCCTGCAGAGCAAAACCGCTAGCCGCATTCACGATGCAGGTCGCAGACTGGGCCGCTGTACTGCTTTATGGGCTCGAATGCGAAAGGCAAGGGATGGGAGGCTTCCGTCCCAAGTTATCCGGGGCCAAAGAAACTCGACGAATTCGTGCTGTCTTGCAACTCTCGTTTCGCTTCAAAGTCAGCGAACCGGGTCGCTGACCCGATTGGTGGGGACAGACAGGGGAAATTCATTTAACAAGGCTAGATATGCATATAGCGGTACTGGGTCCACCACTTTAATTTTCTCGGTTCTGTGGCATATCACGTTTCAACATCCACAGCTCACATCAGTCAGGCATAACAACACCACCACAGCAATGATGAAAGAAGCCTTTCGGAGGTATTTGACCAGTTTCTTCTATTCGCATGTAATCGGGCACGATGAGGGTCAGACCGTACCAGCTGTCATGGCTCAGCATCAAATGGTCGATCGAGAGAAGCGTGTGAACAAAGAACCAATCCAACCCGCCGAGCCTACACTTCAGCTGCTGCACTTAGCGGGACTCCTGCAAGTATTCACGTGGCGTAAGTCAACGGAGGTCAGTGATGTTGCTACCCAATGTCGCTCAAATGCCCGAAGCTACTCATGTACGGATTGATATATGGAGACAGCACGCACCGCCGAAGAACTCGTGGAAGGTGTTGAGCATCCCCATTTTCCGGCCGCTATGTATCTCTTTGAGACTGAGATTTTCGGAGAGCCGTGTGTATGGTTCGACGATGGCCATCCGTCCTCATGGCGACGATGTTTCTCGTTGGATTCGCCACTCGACTTCAAGGCGCTTGTCTGTCAGTCATGCTCCGTGGTAATCATGGCAATCATCAGTGCCCTGCAAAACGAAGAGTCTGAGCATAACCTGAAGCTTGAGGAGTCAAGCATCTTGACGGGGAGGTGACGTCGCTGCTTCAGTCGGCCACCATTTGCCGTGCGTGCCCGTGCTTCGTGGCGAAAGTCCTTCCTAGCCCGGGGGAGCCGGACCCCGAAGACCACCGCTACGCCATTTATGTTTTACAACATAGGTCGCAAAGCGTTCAGGCTGGTCCTAAACCACAAGCGCTTGCGTAATTGGTTCATCTCTCTCGATCTCGATCTATGCCAACGGTCCGGACTCCCTCTCCCGGGCGAGGCGGAAAATGCCATATACGGGCAATAGTCTCAGGGGGAAGTTGCTTTCAAGGCCTGCTTCGGAAGACTATCCTGCATCCCCCAAGCATATTGGATTGGCGAACATATGGATGGACAGACGCCGGAAGCATAGTCGCTGCAACGACGCACGGGCATCTGTAGCGCTGCCGCTCCCCAAGCGAGTTCTCGACATCCAAACCACCCATCGTTTATCTGTACGAGCCGCAGCCGGGCGAGTTCGCTCCGCACGCAACTCAGCTATTGCTGGGAGAGGGCGTGCCCATCGGACGACGACGGAAATCCTGGCGCACCACCACGCAGGCATCCCTCTGTCCACATTCCCCTTGACCTCTGGGAGTCCGTCACGCTGGCAAGCTGCTCGGGAGTCCGCTACCTCTGTATTGACGCACTCTGTATCATCCAGGATGATCACGTGGACTGGACCGACCAGGCGGCTAAGATGATGTCGATATATTGGGGTTGCTCTTTAAATATTTGCCATCGCTGACGCTGAGAGCTGCGAGCGGAAGTCGCTCCCATCATCGACGACATCTCTGTTCTCGTTGCCTCTTGCGGGCCTCTGGACAAGTGCAGGGACATCCGCTTGACTGCTACCTTCCACAGTCACACCCCGCGCCGGTTGAGGCACTCGCTGTTGTCGCGCGGGTGGACCTTCCAGGAGACTTTGATTTCGATCGCGACATTGTTCGTCGGGTGGGATGGACTGTCCTGGCAATGCTGCTCGGCAATGCATCCCCATACCTCGGATGACGATTACATGCCGCCTAGGAGCCGGGCGGGGGGGGGGGCGCCCTTCCTTTACTCAACAAAGTCGGAACTGGCATCCTGCCGCCTGAAGAACTGGTACGACTGGGTGGCGGACTATTCAAGGAGAGCGCTCCCCAAGGGCGAGTGATAAGCTGCCGGCTGTGGCCGGTATCGCGGCATACTTCGGTGATGCCTTGGGCTTGACCTACGCGGCGTGCATCTGGCGAGAGGACCTTCATTTGGGTCTCATATGGTCTGCAGTTGAACCGGAGAACTCTGGTTCGGCATAAAGGCCGGGCCCCTGTTGGAACTGGGCTTCTGTCGACGGTGCCGTCGAGTATCCCGATTGGTTAAGCGTCACCAGATACGAAGTCAGAATGAGAACGACTGGTTGTCAAGACCTGACAGTCCTCAGCGTATCCATCAGCGAAGACTATTTGGGCAGCTTCAACCTGCGGTCCTCAAAGCCCTCCAACAATTCCGTCAACATGACAGCCGCACTCGACGTCGAGAAAGCCAACCGCAATAAGCAAAGGAACGGCGACTTCTGGCAAGGGTATCGAAGCAATCGCCACGCTCTATCAAGTGACGATGTACCGGGACCCTGAGGTCGAACGCCCCGGGCCGCGTTTTCTTCTGTGTGATCTGGGCGGGCGGACCGAGCTGTCTCTAGACTGCATTCACGAAGAGGCCCAGAAGGTCAAAGAAACGCTGGCACAACACGCGCTGGCTAGCTCGAGTGTGTGCTATTACGTTGGTTGGGTCTCGCCACGCTGATTACAACTTCTAATCTTATTCTGGAGGATATTGATGATGGCATGTCCAGCTTTCGTCGAATTGGGCTTGCTCGGGGATGCGTCGACTCGTTTGGAACAAAGCTAGTACCTGGCAATCGGAGGGAGATAACCATTCTTTAGCAGAGACTGAAGCGTTCACTGTCTGGGGCATAACTGCAGCTCACAACACGCGCGGCGTGCGACACCACAATGACTGCAGTCATGGTGGATAACTACCTTACCTAGGGAACCAGTTGGTCAACATGATTTAGTTAATATCGCTGCGGCTATAGTAAACTTGAGGATTGTTGTCAACCCCAACAAGGGAAGCGTCACGGGGTCAGGGTCAACACCTCGGCCTTGACAACCCGCAGAAAGCGAACAATCCCCAGTGCCCCAGCTCCAGAGGCAAAACACCAACCCAAGGCTAAAGTGCTGCAGAAGTCCGCGCATATTCTCCCACCTGCAATCTTCGGTGGGGTCCGCTTGGGAAGAGGTGTCACATTTTAGTCGAGGCCGCCTTCGATGGGGATAACAACGCAGCCGCATAGTAACTAAAGGGAGGAGGGAGGATCCGGTGTGGCAGGTGGGTGTCAAACTAAGGTTCAGTGGCCTGTTTCTGTGATATGACGACGGAAGAGAAGAGACACGAGGCGCGGCCATGTGTATTGTGATCAAGATATGTCCAGGTCTATGATTCACAGAGACAACAACTCCCTGCGATCACCATCGCTCTCCATACCGTAAAATAATTTATCTATATACCAATGAATACCTCTCCCCGCAGATATGAAACCGCAAAACGCCATCTCACATGCCATCCTCCCTCTAATTCCCTTTATCTCTGGGTATCAGATACACAAACCTAACCCCAACCCACCAAGCCTAACTTCCGTAACAAAAAGCGGAGAGAGAGAGATTGTCAGTGCCCATGCCCAAGCCAAATACCAAGCCGGAGAACCAAGCTGGGAAGGACGCAAAGAAGGAAACGAACAACACGACAACCATACAAACACATCCCCCATCTGCGTTCCCGGCCACTTTCTCCTCCCTACCCTGTAACAGTCGAGCTCCCTTCCGAGACCAAACACTTCCTGTTCAGGTGATTGGGCTGAAAAAAACCAACCTGGAAACACGATGGACTCCCACACCCATGGTCATTCCCAGCGTCACCCCTCTAATCCCAACCCTCACGCCCGATCCCATACTCTTCACTAACGCCCCAAAACCTTCTCCCTAACCCCCATAAACTCCCTAAAATGCAACTCATGCGCATCACAAGCCGCCATCCACCTTTGCCTGACAATCCGATCCTCCTCCAGCGCTCGTAGATACTCCTGCACCCCACCATCCCCCGCGGCATTCAACCACACCCCAATCTCACTCTTCTCATTCAACTTTTGCCTCGCGGCAAAGTGGTCCGTCACCTTGCGATTAAATTCGAGCCACGCACGCAGATAAGCCTCGAACTCGCGCACATACCCCACCCACGCCTGCGAGGACGCCGCTTTGGGACCCGGTATGCACAGGCTCGCCGGAGCGCGGGGCGCCGTCGGCGGGGTCGGGATGTTGAGCTGCTTGGGTGCAATCTCGTGCTCCATTGAGAGGGGAATCTTGACCGACGGACGGCTCGGGAAGGGCAGGTTGGTGCTGAGGTCGGCAAACGAATTTAGGCCTGAGGCCCTTTGGGCGAATGGCTCGACGTTGTGGAATTCAGGGAAGATGGGACGTATGAAGTCTTCTGTGTCTTCGGAGCCCGCTGCGTTGGGGTTGAGGGTGGGAATCTTCAAGCCGGCGCCTAGCTTAGGTTCGACGTTGTTGCCGTTGGTATCGGCATTGCCAGCGCGCCACTCGGGGTTGGTGGGCTCGACGGGGATGTTGCGGACCCCGTTGGCTTGCCCGGCCCCAGCGGCGGGCTCAGGCGGCGGAGTATCGATGTCCATGGCGTTCGGGCTCCTAGAACCGTGGATGCCGCTCGCTGGCGTCCTCAGTTTGGCTTTGTCCTCTCCGCTGGTCTCATCATCGTCCACCATACCTGCTGTCCCTGCAGTGATCCGGACCGGCCGCGGCTTCTTAATCGGTCGGATGGGCCGTGTGGGTGAAGTTGATGGTTTGCCCGGCTGTGGTGGCTCGAAAATGTGCGGCCCAAAGGCCTCCTTCCACTCTTCGGCGACGAAATCTCCCTGTTTCTTGCCGGCTTCGGCCTGTTGAGTACCGTTGACCGGCTCGGCCGACGCGATAAACTCGTTCCTAAGGGGCGATGCGTGTCCGCGCGCGCGCTGCTTCGCCCTGAGAAAGTCATCGTCTGCCGAGCCTGCTGGCCCCGCACTGAACTGGAAGTTAGCACCGCCCCTCTCCTCCGCGACGAACCGAGTGTTGATATTATCGGCACTGTTTCGGGTGAAGCGGGCATGATGAGCCGGCAAGTTCGCCTCGTCGTCGGGGACCGAGAAGCTGTTAGTGTAAGGGTTGTTAGTGTATTTGCTGGTCCAGCTTCCTGTCTTTCTCGGCGGCAGATTGTTGCTGGAGGGCGACGGCACAGACCGCTCGTAGGTCTGCGCTCGTGCTCCGCCCAAGAGGTGCTGCAACTGCGCTTGCAATTTTGTCTCGAAAGAATTGGCGCCAGGACTTGGTCTGCCTCCACTGGGAGCCGGACTGGCGTTCTCTTGAGAGTTGTAGGCGGGGAAGGCGAACTTCCTTGTATGAGTCGAGCCCACACCGGCACGACCACTCGTGTGCGGTGTGTGGCTATAACAGCAACTATGATAAGGATTGGGAAACGGAGACTCGTACACTTTGGCGCCGTTCGTTCCTTGTTCCGCAGCATCTCTGTTCACCGTTGCTGTTGTGTCTCATCAGCAAAGCGATTCGCCAGGAACCAAAGGCCAGGAAGCCTACCATTCGCACTGCTATTCATCGTTGAGGCCGAACTCTGGCCGGGGAAGGTCGCTGTGGGTGGTGCTGAGCTTGTGTCAGGTCCGCGAGGGCTGTACCGTGCGCTTGCCCGTGATTGAAAGTTTGGCTTCGTGCTGGAATTGTTGAACACTGGGTTTTCGTTCGTCGACTTCTTGAGGTTCTCGGAGCCGGTACTAGCGCTCCGTTGACGAGACGGCGGGGTGGGCGCGTCTCCAGTGCCATCCTGAAACCTCTTGGCGCCGTCTCGCGTGCTCTTAGACCGGTTGACATTGAGCGGTTCAAACGGGTTCGTCTTTTCGCCGACATTAGCGGCATAGGGCGTCCGCTGACGGGGGTCCAGGAAAGTCTCGCTGAACTGTTCGCTCAATGGGTCGACGAAAGCAGAGGCCGGCGTGGGCTTACTCGGTTCTGTGGTGTGAGCAGTCGTATTGTAGTGTTGGTTCCTCACTGGCGGCTCATCACCCATGGGCGACGCCGGGGCATACCCGGCCTTCTTGGTCCCGAACGCTGCTTCCTGTCGCCGGGCCTGCGATGCAGTCCGCGGGGTTGGTGGCTCCCTGTGCTTAGAAGGACTCGCACCGGGCCCATAAGCCGCACCGCTCGGCTGAGACGGCTTGGGTTGCGGCCGTGCTCGATCCCATGCGTCCATATTCGCCTTTGTATTTCCCGTCTTCGCTTTCTCTTTTGCCCAGCCCCAATGTGCCGTTGAAGCAGCTGTCGGCGCAGGCGGGCGGGTTGGCATCTGGGGCCGTCTCGGGGGAGCGCCGAACTTCTGGTTCACCTCATATGCCGTGTATTGCCAAGGGTTACCCTTGACACCAGAAGCTCCTGGGTACCTCGACGTTCGCTGGCGGTAGGCATCGAGCTTGGATTTGGTGACTGGATCCGTCAGGATCTCGTGGGCGGCTTGGATAACCAGGAATTTCTCCTTGGCTTCATCTTCCTTGCCCGGATTGCGGTCGGGGTGCCATTTGAGCGCTGGAGCTGTGGTCAGTAATAAGACAGGGCCTCAGCAACTGAGAACTACACTTACCTAGTTTCTTGAACTGTTTTTTGACTTCAGCTGCATCTGCCGTGGGTGGCAGTTCGAGATCTGCATAGTAGTCTCGGTCGTAGTCTAGCTTCACCATCTTGACTCGGTTGCGAGATCAACGGGTGGAGAAGCAAGAAAGAACGTGGCAGCGACAGCAGGGCGAATTATCTCATCAGCCGCTGGTTTTGTGAAGTCTACTCTCTGAAGATTCGACGTCGAGAGAAAGAGTGGACAGAAAATTGGAAGCCTTATGTCCAGTCCGCCTTGTTGCGGGGCGCCGGCCGAGGATGCTGGCGGAGAATCGAAGCCAGAAGAATACCCAAGCTGCGACGAGAGCTAACAAGGGCACGCGACCTCCGAAAAAGAAGGCAAGACTGGTAGTTCGAGGGATCTCGTGTCGTCGCGGGACTAGGCGGTCAGGCATGAATCGGTTAGTGCCGTGCAAGATCTTATGTCGTTGGGACAAGAGCAGGCGCCGATGCGGGGCAGACCGAGTGATGAAAAATGCAGCAAAGATCAGAGGGAGCGGTTTATCGAATGAGAGATCTGGTTGTTGACAAAGTCAAGACGCGAAGCGGCCGGTCAAGAGCTGTCTGCGGTTTGACGACGATGTTGTCAGCAACGGGTGCACATGGATGCAGGTGAGGGTTCTGGCGCAGCAGCTTGCTGTGGCTGACAGTGCAGACAGAAGACCCAAGGCGGCCGTCGGCTGCGAGGCACAGCAAACGACAGGTATTTTAGTAATAAGACAAGTAATTCAGGGAGACTCACCAATAAGATTTGAACTACTCCAGCCAGAGACAGTCATGCACGATTTCCATGCGTCGAGAACTCCGTCTGCATCTATCGAGATATAGAAAAGAAGTTGCGAGTGAACGAAAAGAAAACAGATTGTGGATCCCTTCAGCTGTCATGGGCAACTCAAGTCTGCGGTTTAGTTAACGCCCCCCACACAAGCCTGGCCCCGATCTGCCGGTATGACGTACCAACTGGGAGCGGCTGCCTCCAGCAGCTCGTCACCTGAGAAGAAACAGCATTGAAATGAATCACATTTCTCCTGGCCATAACCACCTCAACTAGCGTCACTGCCTACAGGTAGTTGGAGTTATCCCAACCTAAGGTAACGTATCCGTCTGTAAAGGGGGTGAGACTCGTTTGGCATCCCACCGCAACGAAGACACTTAACTATTCAACCCGGTTCCCTCGTGGGTTCACGAAGCTGAGATCTGGCTGCACAACATGAACCTTACCGTCACTAAGGGAAAGTACCCTCATCTTACTTTGTACACGGGAACCCGTGTCCAACCACACTGAGTTCACACACACCCACAGAGTAGCGGTACCAACCATGAAGATCGGTGTGCATACTTTCCCAACACAGCCCAAAAAATCCCCCAATCAATGTACGGGTCTTGGGATCTCCATTAAGCAAGGACAGGCCTCTATCGCCTTAGGTCGACCCAGTCATCCTTCTCTGTGAATGTAAAGCGGTCGAGAAACAGGCCTTCGTCCTCGCTTCCGGTCCACTGCATGACCTTGACCCGACACTGTAAGCCTCGAGTTTCCCGAAGCTGCACCCGCGGTACACTGTTACCAACCCACGTGCAGAGACTTGTGTCGTCGATGCAGGTGACAGTGCTGATCTCAACCAAACACTGTACTACAGCATGCTGACATGCAGTTGATGCACCACCTCAAGTTAGAACCCAAGTGAATGACCCGGGTCTCTATTATCGATCCGACAAATAATGGATGTTCAGCCCTTCCAGATAACGCTACCATCCAAACCAGATGGATATGCATGCCAACAAACAAGCTCCCTGCCTCAGCCAAGTCCAAGCGAACCAACGCCCAGAGAGACAATAGTCCTTTCCCCAACAAGAAGTCTATCCTACAGTACCCTCCGACCCAAACCCGAACAACCTCAGCCTGAAAATAATACTCCAACAACCCCTAAATTCATCAACCAACCAAACAGCCCCTGATACCAACTTCAAGACACCTCCTTACTCAACTCATAAGACCAGCCCCCATCCCTCCTCATCCGATCCCTCGCCGCAAGATCCTTCCTCATTTCCTCTTCTGTCAACCGATCGGCCCCGCTCCAGTTAGCACTGCTGGTCCTCGCCCTAAACTTGTTCCATCTGTCCTTGGTCTTGTTGAATACCTCCTCCATGTTGAGCGGCGCCGGCGGCCCAAAGACCTGCATGGGGTCGACCCGCTCCTGCGCGAGCAGCGCCGCCTTGAGGGCAGGCGAGTCCGCCCACGGAGCGATGGGCGCGTGCCCGTCATCGTCATCGTCGCTATCGTCGTCGGTTTGAATGTCCGGCAGCTCGATTGCCTCGCCGTTCTGGAAGCGCGGCGACGAGCGGGCTACCGGTTTGGCTGATTTGGGGGGGATGGCGGCTCCCCCCGGTCGCACGGGTGTGTGGTGGGACAGCCCAGGGTTAGGTTGTGGCGCGAACGGGATAGTTCCCTTGGAGAACTTCGCCATGTCGAGCGGGTGCTGAACAGCCTGGTTGTGCTGCGCTCTGACGGTGTCCTTGAAGAAGTCCCTGCTGGCGCTTGACGACGGGGGGTTGGTGTAGCCGTTGCCGTACATGGGCTTCGGCACGTCCTGCATCGACGAGTTAACATTCTGGTCTGAGACGGTCCGAATCCGGCTTGCTTACCTTCTTGAACCCTGTGGAGGGCCTGATAGGAGGGCCCTTGATGATCCGAGGGTTGTGAGTCTCCATCATATCGATATCCTCATCGAACTCCACGCTCATCCGCATGCGTTTTTCCTCCTTGCTGGGAAACGATGTCAAAGCCCGCTGTTGCTGTGGCGCCCTGGAGCTTTCCTCGCCCGCTTCCTGCGGCAGTGGCCGCTTTGAGGGCCCTTTTGTGCCGCTCGACAGGTCTGTGTTCACGAGTCGGCTTCCCTGGTGCATCATTGAACCCAGCCGCGACGGTGGCCTGGCGGTTGCCTTCTCGGATAGGTTGTACTGCGGAGGGCCGTTCGGCTGCGACCTGGTAGCAGGAGGAGGCGCCTTGGTCTGCTTGGCCTTCTCAATGTCGGCCTTCCTCTGAGCCGCCTTCCGCTCTTCTTCCCGCTGACGCTCCGCTTCGAGTTTGCGCTGCTGCTCTTGCCTGCGCTCCTCTGCCTGGGCGGCCCGCTTGCGCTCCAACTCAAGTTTGGCGTCACGCTTGCGCTGTGCCTCGCGCTTCTCTTGTTGCTTTAGTTTGGCTGCCATATCCAACGCTCTGGGCCGGTTCGTTGATGATGAAGCAGAGCTTTTGAAGCTCTGGTCAGACGCCTTTCCATGTAGAGAGGTTTGGCTCGCTTTGCCGTTGAGTGGCTTGGCAGAACCAGGGTGTGGCCCCAATGTGTCTTGCAAGGTGGTGGCAATAATACTGTTTGATGAGTGAACCTGCTGCGAGGCCGTGGTATTGACTAGGATCATTTTTGGAGCTTGCTTTGGCTTAACAAGGGGATCCTTCGTCGGCTTAAGAGGCCTCTTTGTGCCCTGTCTCATCGAGGAGGCCGTTGCGGGGCGGGAGATGGATTGGGGTGGTATTGCCGTCGTGGCCTCCGTCATCTCCATGTCAAGTTCATCCGGAGCTCCCTTATCAGCCTGCTCCGTCTGCCCTTTAATCCTGCGCGGCGTAGCTGTTGGTTTAGCTGGGCTTCTGAGGGCGTTCTTGGGCCCCGGCCCGGAAGTCCGGATATCGTGCGGTCGCGGCTGTGCTGGACGTTGTGCGGCCTTCTCCTGCTCCTTCCGAGCGGCAATTCGCTTTTCCATGGCCGCAATCCTTTCTTGCTCCTCGCTGAAGACCCGAGCCTTCTCCCGTTCCTCCTCCCGAACTCTTTCAAGCTTGTCCATCTGCTCAGCCAGACGCTTTGCCTCCTTCATCTCCTTCTCCTTTTCCCTTTCTCGCTCTTTTTCGTGCCTCTCCCGCTCCTTCGCTTCCAACCTCTCTCGCTCAGCTGAAGCTCGTGTCCTCCGCGAGCTATTACTGCGCGATGGGCTTAGCGGGGCTGAAGTGGCAGAAATCTGCCGCGAGAGGTCGGGGTAGACAACGGCTGAGTCTGTCTCGAAGGACTCGACTGAGGGACTAGGATGATAGCCCAGTTTTGTCATCGAGGGAGACTGCAACAGCGATAACTTGGCCTCGGCACTGATTGCTGCGCTGCCCGCCATCAAGACCTTGGAGCCTTTGATGAGAGAAGTCACCTTATTCTTGATCTGCTTCAATGGGCTATCCCTGAAACTACGTGTGGGAGACTTCGGAGGCGAGGGCGCCAAGTCATCCTCGGCCACCGTCGAGAGAGTTGGGTTCGAGATTGAGACAATCTTTTTCAAGGCAACGTCTTGCATGTCCGCATCGAGCTGCACCATGGTTGGCAAAGTGGGGACAGAAGCAGACTTGCCATGCTTCGATGTACGTTCTGGCATAAAGGCGGTCTTTGCTGGCGAGCCCGGCCCGCTCTTAGGAAGCCCGAATTCAGACTCGCCCGCTTTGCTCTTGGCTGATGCATCCTCCACAGGATCCGAAGGGCGATCGTCCAGGGGAGCGTACTTGGGACTCGCAGGCGCCACAGCGTTGTTGGGGGACCTAATCCACTCGTCTTCGTCATCATCCTCTGGGAAAGCCCCGGGGGCTGGGACGGAGTGTTTCGACCTGGGCGACGGTTTTCTTGCCGCTGGGGCAGGCGCCAGTTGTGACTGCAGCTGTGTAGTTGATACACTTTGTTGCGCTGGCAGCAGAATCGCAAGGGACTTCGACGGCCTGGGTCCAGTTGACTGTGCTTTCCCAAGCATGCTGATTTGGTCTTGGAGCATCTGTGTGTATGATCTGCTGTGGGAGGCGGCATCTTCCTTCTGGCTTGTAATCGCCTCGTCCACGTCCATGTCGTCATGCTCGTCCTCGGAAGACCCCTGCCGGATCGCGCTACCCAGGCTCTTACCCTCGGTCTGACGGCTGGGGTAACTCTGGCGGGAGAGACCCAGGTGACTGGTCCTTGACACGCGGGCTCCGCCCAGGCTCTTGTTGGAAGCGAGCGGCTCGCGAGGCGGCAGAGAAGCGAAGTTCATGCTGCTCTTACGTACAATTGGCCTGATGGGGCTTGAGGCATCGGATGGCGATCTGACTTCATCGGCGTCAGCCACACCGTCGCCCTCGTCGATGCCCTTGTTGGCGCTCTCCCCGAATACTTCTGTAGGCTTTGACAATCCTCTTCCTGGGCTAGAAGCTCTCTTCTCAGGTGAAAAGGATGAGTTTCGTGGCGAAGTCAGCTTTAGCGGGGAAGACGACTTTTGAGGCGATTGCGGAACTGGAGAGGCCGTCTCTTTCGGCGGAGGGGATCGTGGAGACATGATCGGTAAGCGGGTCCTCGCGGCAAACGGGCTGCCCGGTTGTACCATGGCAGACAAAGGTATTGGCGCAGAGTTTGCTGTCACGTAAGCTGTCGCCTGTGTCGTCTGGTTCTCGTCTATCGATCGATATATTTCATTGACAGAGCCAGCTGAGGGGCTTCTCAGCTCTGCTGGGTCGCTGGGATGCGGGAGTGGCGGGTCCGAGGTGTGCAGGTCTCGCTGAGGACTGTCCGACATTTCGATGTCCTTGTCGAAGCAGTCAAATGGGATTGTATCCTGTGACTGGCTGCCATGGTAGCCAGAGTCTGCAAGCGAAACGGGAGCCCGGGCCTCCACCCGGTGGGGAGGATGAACAACAGCGGGTTTGGCAGGGCTTTCGATATGGCAAACGGGGGGCTCGGCTTTATCCTCGGCTACCTGGATCGGGGGGCTTCGCGGCTGGGGCAGGCTTGACATGGCGAAGGGGTTTGGCGCCCCCTTTGGTGTGGCGGGGAACATGTTAGAGAGAGGCTGGGCGCACTGGTCAGCACGGCGACGCGTCCTCCCTGTTGTTTCTGCAGGCTTACCTTTCGCAGGCTGCTATGCTCGGCCTTCCTTGCTGTCCGCGGCGTCTTCCCACGCAACTTCCCGGGAGTTTTGAACAATTCCGCGACGTTCCTGTGAGGATTTGTCAGCCATGGCCTGGCAATCCTCGAGACGGCAGCGCGCACATCTGGTTATCCGAAAAGATCTCGGCCATGTGCTCGTTCAGCCAGTCGATTTCGTTGCGCGCAGAAAACGAGAACTCCTCAATCTCTGACCGAGCAATGCTCAAGGCTGATTCCCTCTCTTCGGCAATCCAGGCGGCCGAGCCGACCTGGAGACGGGGCCCTCCTCTCATCGCCATCGTCGCGTTTTGTGTCCGTCTAGGAGGCGAAGTAAACAATGGAAAAGTGCGCGACCACACAGCAAATGGCAAAGGGGGAGAAAAATGAAGGTCGGTGGAGGATGCTGCTCAACCTAACACGCCATGGAAAAAAGGATGATCAATTGCGAACGAAAGCTGGTTCCAGAAGAGGGCACAGCTGCCCTGTTTGCGAGGGAAGTTGAGTTGTGGGTTGTGTCAAGAAGGCCGCCTGGATTCGGTTAGGCTTTGTTTTGATTCTCTCCCAAAACGGAATGGTCCAGGCTGAAGCGCCCGGTGGGATCTCGATGCAACCTTTTGACGCCAGTTCACGTGCATTTGATTACGTCAGATTAAGATACAGTAACAACTTGCCTGGGAACACTGTGTTGACACTGTGGCCTTCCTCTTCCCGTCGCGCTTGGAAGAGGGTGTCGCGTCGTCCTTTTCGCTTCACTACTTGTCAGTACAGATGTTTGAATCTTTTGGACACGAACAACAACATGCCCTTCCCTTAATTGAAGCTTTCACATCTGCCTCGCATCCACACCCATACATTCCCCCCTCCTTTTCCTGGCAAAAATGGAATCCTGCAACGCCGAGGCCTTCGATGTGCCCGACTCGACCGACTGGATCGGCACCCCGCTTGCAGGCCTCATGGAGGTTGAGCAGGCCTTCCGCTGCCACGTCTGCAAGGACTTCTACAACTCGCCCATGATTACCTCGTGCAACCACACATTCTGTTCCATATGCATCCGGCGCTGTCTGTCCGTCGACGGCAAATGCCCCTTGTGTCGAGCACTCGACCAGGAGTCCAAGCTGCGGGGCAACTGGGCGCTGAGGGAGGCTGTCGACGCCTTCGTCAAATCTCGGGATACGATGTTGCGGTTCGCGAAGACTCCCGCCACCGTTGCCACACCGAGATCACCCAAGCGGAAAGCGGAGGAGTTGGAAGGGCTAGGACAAGAAGAGCGGAGGAACAAGAGACCGAGGATGACGACGCGGTCAAGCAAGGCGAAAGCGGTGGAGGCTACTGCTGCCATCATGTGCGAAGAGGTTGATGTGCCAGAAAGCGAGGACACAGCAGATTATGGGCCTGAGCCTGGTGCGTTGGTCCCGTCTTATATCGAACTGAACTGCTTGACTAACTGGTTTCCGTAGACGATGGACTTGTTGCATGTCCAATCTGTTGGACACGAATGAAGCCGTGGCAAGTTGACAGACACATCGACACGTCATGCCCGGGGTCCCCTCAACCACAGAAGGCGCAGCCATCGACAGCAAGCGACCGGGGAGGGAACTGCACGAGCATGCCCCGAAACCCATTCCAGAACCCGCCCACACCAACAAAGGCGCCAGAACGCCTCCCAGCACTCGCATACTCCATGCTCAAAGACACTGCGCTTCGCAAGAAGATGTCCGAACTAGGGCTTTCGACGGCCGGGTCACGACAAATGCTCGAGAGGCGACACCAGGAGTGGGTCACGATATGGAACGCTAACTGCGACTCGGCAAGGCCCAAACGGCGCGCCGAGCTGCTGCACGACCTGGATCTGTGGGAGAGGACGGTGGGCAGCCGCGCGCCGGCCATGTCACGCGCAGCAAACACGGGAGCGCAGATCAAGGACAAAGACTTCGACGGGGCGGCCTGGGCGGCGAAGCACGGCAATTCCTTCAAGGATCTCATCGCGAAAGCGCGTAGCTCGAGGAGCAAGGCCACCCAGAAGGTAGAGGAGGGCAATGCGGCCGAAGAGCCAGGAACAGCGCAAAGTGACGGGGGAGGGCCGAATGGAACGGTACCAAAGGCGCCGCCGTTAGTGGCCGATGTGGACTTGACAATGCCGCCATCAAGTCAGCCAGAGCCGCCCGACTCGCCATCTAAAGGGGGCAATGGTCCTCTCCTGGGGGGCCAAGTTGGCATTCTAGGAGGTTCAGGGAGTTTTTTTGGGAACGAGGTGCTCTATCCTCAAGCAGACAGCATATCCACGTGCAGCCCATCCAGGGAGTCAGAGGGGGCGCCCTTTTGAGCATGGCTTCCTTAAAAAAACAGACGATCGGTTTGACCTTCGTTATGGCCGTGCCAAGCGACGACTCCAGCCCGAATCATGACTATTTTACCCTATCTCATGCATACCTTGGCCAAAACGCCAGTAGCCGCCCTACAAGTAGAAAACCGTTTCTCCCATCATGCAAACGCCAGTAGTGCTCAGGATGTGCTGTTCGAATGGTTCGTTACACTAGAGAGGGAGAACTGAATTAGCCTCTGTATCTCTGCTTGCACAACAAGCAGAGGAGGGAACCAGTCAGGTAGCCTGCCGATCCGGAGTCTCCGTCAGGGACATCCTACTCATCAAGTCCTCCGCCGCCCGCATTTCCTTCTCCCCCGCCAACTGGCCCTCGTCCTTCCCCTTGACAGCAACAGACACCTCCCCAGCGGCCTCCAGCTTGGCCCTCACCTCCTCTGCCTCCTTCCTCTCTTCAGCTTCCTTCCTCTCCCGTTCCACTTCTTCCACCTTCCTCCTCTCCTCGCCCTCCATCGCCGCCAGTTCATCATCAATCTCCCGTTCATCCAAGACAACCGTACCCGCCGACTCGGCCAATATACTGCCCACCTCGTCCACAGCCGCCATCTGCTCCCTCAACTTGTCCACCACCTCCTCCACCCTCTCGACCCCACCAACCTGCGCCTGCAGACTCTGCAGCGCGGCGCTCGACGACTCCATCACCTTTACGAGCTGCACGTTATCCGCCGCCTGCTCAATCTGCGCCGCGACCTGCTCGAGCTGGTGGACGGTATCGAAGCGGCGGGCGAGGGTCGATTCAACGAGTTTCTTAGAGCGCAGGGCGGCTAGCGCGGCGACGCGGTTGTTCTTGGACACGGCCTGCTTCGTTTGGTCTGTGAGGTGCTCGATTCGGTGGGCTAGGAGGGCGGTTTGGTGGGTCAGGGAGGCGAGGAGTTCTTTGAGCTGGGCTATGGAGGTGTCTTCGGGGGTGATTTGTTGGTCGTCTTGGAGGTTGTTGTTGCTGGACTGGGTGCTTTTAATCTTAACGGTGATGCCGTCGTAGAAGATGGAGGATTTGTCACGGGAGAGAAAGCGTAACAGGACTTCAAGGTCGGTTTCAGAGAGGTGTTTGCCGTCGACCAACTGGTCGTTGAAGGTGCGGTGGAAGTGGGCTTTGGAAAAGGTGCGCTCGAACCGGCTTTGGGCGGGTTCGTTGGCGGCGTTGAGGTCGCTGAAGGTTTTGCTGGCCTCTTCCACATTGGCGACAACCACGAACTGCCCTGATGGCAGAGAGTCTTTTTTCAGGATGTCTGCAACACCGAGCTGCTTCATGGTCCACGCCGCGAGGTTCCATACCGACCACGGCCGGTGGTAGATGCTATCCTTTGCGTCCAGAAACTCCCGCAGAGGGATAAGGTCCTTGGCCGCCAGGGCCTCGCGGATGACCGCGCCCAGAGCGAGTGGCCTGCCGTACTGTTTCGATTCGAGAGCGCGGAGGAGCTGTTCATCGGAGTGGAGGACAAAGAGGTTTGGGGCTGCCGCACGACCGGCTGGGGCCAGTCCCGAGCGGGCAATATGGGCGAGGGCCTTGCGCCATGCTGAGACGTTTGCTTGGTAGCCGTCTGGGTTGAGGGTCCGTTGGGTCTGGAAGTCGGAGTAGAGGGCGGGAAGGCGGGCTCTGGGGTTATCTGTGAGTTGCTACGCCTTGACCAACGGATGAAAATGAATCTGAGCGAACAGGAGCATACTTTCTGAACGCCGGCTCGTTCTCCACGAGATAGTCAAGAAGTGATTGGCTCATGCTGTCGAGAACGGAAATTTGCTGCGAAGGGACTTGATGAAGCCTCTTGGAGAACGTAGGTGGAGATGCAGGATCGTGTTTTGCTGAATGGCCGGGCAACCGCCGAGGTCTATGGGTGTATGCCCTATCGCGGTCGCGGAACAGCCAGGAATATCGGCTCGACAAAACATTCAGAAGACCGCGACGCCAGGCAGCCGTGACACGGTCCTAGACCCCCAAGCACGCGCTCCAGCCAAGTTGAAGAGTGTGGATGACGACAATCAGTGGTTCAAACAATGACGTCCAGGCATCACAAGCAGGCAGCAGGCGTCACCCGTCCTATCTTATCTAGCTATGAAATAGTGGGGCATTGCCCTTCAAGGTGTTCGGACCGAGCTTCCCGGTCGAGTCTGAGGACAGAACATGAAAACAGGTCCAAGAGACGACGGGATGGTTCGAAGACACCGTGAACCATGTGCGATGTCTTCTTGTTAATTTCAACCGGCATCATCGATAAACAACAGCCCAGATGACCCGACGCCAGCTCATGCATCCTACCCTCGACGTTGTCTACTGGTGCCTCTATCCGTCCGTCTGGTGTTAACCGAACCCATCGTCTGGGAAAGTACTCCCTTCGTTCTCCGGCAGACTGGCCGGATCTGTATTGTTCAACGGCGCTGTCTCCAGCCCACCGCCCCCTCCAACACGCGTAATCAAGCTGGTCCTCCTGGATCGCCTATTCCCGAGCGTCTCGCTCTCCTCATCAACCTCGCCCTCTCCTTGCTCCTCTTCTGCCTGCTCCGCGCCCCGCCCCCTGTCCGCCCTTAACACGCCCTTGACCTGGTCATTCAGATGCGCAAGAAAATCGCTGGCCACGGCAAACTTCTGCACGCCGCACTCGCCGGGGAGCAGCGCATACATCCTGCGCGCCGCGTTCAGGCACTTCTGCGCCTGCACGTACTTGGCCTGGGCCATCCACGCCTCGGCGCCGAGCACGCTCCACAGGGCCGACTTGCGGCGCCGGCTGCCCCACTCTTGCGAGCCCGTGCCCGACTTCGAGGCGTAGTATACCGCCATGCGCTCTCTGAGGAGGGCGTCGCCGACGGTGCCCATCAGCCGGGACTCCAGCACCCTGATGTCCCACCGGACAGCCTCGTCTAAACCAGCGCCACCGCGAAGCCGCAGGAGCTCGAGGGCTAGCAGTGTGCACCGCGTTGCTCCGTAAAGGGAGTTGCAGCGGGTATGGTAGGAGTAGAATGCCTGCTCGATCATCTGGCTGATAGTCTCGATGCGGGTTTTTGAGGACATGTTCGGCGGCATGATGAGGAGGGCGAGGGCGGCCATTTCGTTGGCCGAGGCGTGGTACTTCCACGCCTTGTCGTTTTGAAAATCGCCGCGCAGCAGTTCGTATGTCGACATGGCCAGCTTCCAGTCACGCAGCATGAAGGCGAAATCCGCGAGCCGTCGCATGATGGCCTCAGGGCTGTCCGCCCGGTAGAATCCAAGCACGTCGTAGTTGCTCGATGAGCTGGAGCCGGAGCTGGAAGAGCTACGCCCTGAGCTGCCGAAAGTGAACCTCTTTGACAAGCTCATGAAGCGCCCGCTGATACCACGCCTCCTTGACGCCACCTGGTCGTTCCAGACCGAGACATTCCTTTCCATGGTAGGAATTACGGACTGCGTCACCATCTCGCGCACAAATGTCCTTATTGCTGTCGCGTCTGACTCGAAGATGTACCTCGTGGGGTCCTCAAAATCTTCCCTCATGTCGCTCTCCTCGATATCGGCCAGTTCCTCGGCGGCCGTCATCCAGTCGCTCCGTGGAAGGGGTATGCTGTCGTCGTCCGTCTCAGCGCTCTGGGTACTGCGTAACCTCAGCAGATGACAGTGCAGCCCAAAGTTCCGCTTCATCTGCTCAAACAGCGCCATCGACTTGGCGATATCGCCATTCTCCTCGTCATGTACCAGGATGTAGTACCGCAGGTAGTCCTGGTCCACCCAAGGCGGCAACCTGCGCTCGCCCTGGCTCGTCTCCTGGTACAGCGTCTGCAGGGCCTCGATCGGCGCCGTATTCCTCGAGCTGATGGCCATGACGCACGCCACGGGATGTGCAAACGTCTCATGACACGCCAGTGGTATCCCAGACAGCAACCGCCGCAGATACAGCGCATAGTACGGCGACGTCGCATCCACAGCATCCAAGTCCACATCCTCCTCATCTGCATGCGCACCCGCACTATACGCCTCCTCGGCAAAACGCAAATGCCTCTCAACAACCTTCTCCACCGTCCCAATCACTTCCTCCCTGCCACCCTTCCCACCCTCACTTAACCCGTTCACATTCCCGGTCACCCCCCCCTTTTCCCCCTCAGGAGGCTCCACCCCCTCCCCAAACCTCACAAACCGTACCGCAAAATTCTCCCACGCCTTCGCCGCCCCGTTGCTATCCCTCACCGTCACCTTCCCCTGCACCCTCTCCCCAAAAGGCCGCAGCAGCTCCCACAGGCCCCCCACAAACCCCTTTTCCCGCACGAGCGCATCCACATCCTCTGACGCGTGGATCGCCACATGCGGGACGAAGCTGCGCAGCAGGAGATAGAGCGGATCGGACGGGTCATCCGCTGCTTCCGTGTCCAGCAGCGATAGTTGTTGCTGCTGTTGATTCTGCTGCTGTGTTTGTCGCAGTCCGCCGGCGCCGAACACCGACCCCGTCATCGTCGTGGTGGACGAGGTCATTGACCTTGCCGGGGAGCGGGGCAATATTGACGACGCTGCGGGCGAGGCGGAGCGGGAGGCGGGCGGGGAGAGGGTGGAGCGGAAGAGGGAGGCTGCTGCTGCGCCGGACGGGGTGGTGGAGTGGCGGTCGCGGCGGAGGAGGGGGAAGGGGGATTCGGACTGGGCGAGCGGGTGCGAATCGGAGGAGGAGGTCGGAAGGGATTGCCGGGTTTTGGGAGGTGGGCGCGTCATGGCGGCTGAGGCGGGTTGGGGGAGGGGGTGGATGGGTTGTGGAAGTTGGACATTGTCCGGGGGCTGCATGTGGTTGTTCGTGTTCGGGTGGGTGATCGTTGAAGATGCGATTAAGGGTTTTTTGAGGGTTCCTTGAAGGTGTTCGGTTCAGAAGGCCGTCTTAATCTGCATTGAGTTGTAAGTTGAAGAACCGGTAGGTATCGTAATTGTTCAGGCAATGAGCCAAACAATCAAGGTGTTGCCGGCTTTCAGTGTGTTGTCCCTTGCAGCTTCGATGTTTGGAAGTGGTTGCGATGGACGCTCCGATGTGCAGCGGGAGTGGGGCTGCATGTGCCCGCTGTCCGCTGCCGCTGCCGCGGCCCGGGTCCGTAGAGTCGGCCAATCACGGAGCATGCTTAACATGAGAGTCCCACTCTGCTTCCTCTGGGGAGTCGGCGCTCGGCTTTCAAGGAAGTTCTGGGTTGACTCGGAAACTCAAGTGTGAACTCAGATCATCAGATTCTTTAGATCCACTTTCTAAAGAGGCCCCCAGTATACCAATCCGTTTGCCATCTACCGCCGTCTCACGCATAACCCTGTCCATGGCGTACAAATGGAACCAATTTCACCAAGCCCGTCGCTGGTCATGGAGTCTTGGAGTGCATCGAGTGGCCCGCAACTGTTTTGCGCGAGAAGCAGCGACTACATGCCCTGCAAAGGCGCGGTCGGTTTGAGGTGGGCTCTACGACAGCTCAAGCGAATCTAGGACTAGGGTCAGGCATTGAAACCATCCGCTCACCTTGGTTCGAGATTGGTGGCCAAACCTGCTCCCCAAGAAACTTCGTCGACACGCAACCTGAGTTATGGCAACCCGCCTTTGACTATGGGGAGATTGCAAAAAATACGCAGGTAATTGTGAACGATTAACAGGCCAGGGGACAGCCCCAAACGGGTCTATCACCCATGCCACCCAGTCGAGCCAGTGTATCCAGAACTCCGAGGACCATCATGGATCGTTACCCGCACCATTAGCCACTCCGGCTGAATGCCGCATCTTGTCCATGGCATGGAGGTAACGTTGAAGCGGGACACGTTATTTCAGCTTCGGTACACGAGTTGGAACCACAGTTGCATTGTGGGATCGCTGCAGCCTATCTTACTTCAGCGTTTACCTCACCAGCGAACCTATCTTCCAACCCCATCACTATTGACTTCTGCTAGCAGTTTTGGAGGCTCATAATTACACCGGCCGCTGCTTCTTCATCAACTCAAGGTGGGCTCAGCAAGCCAGGTTCACGACAGACACAACGTATGGCGGATTACATGGCCAAGTCACCGAGCTTGCCGTCGACTTGCATCAAAAGTTCCAGGGATAGGAGACTTGCCTTCAACATCCCGGACTGTACGGATTACCCTAGCTCCTTGGCAGGGCCGGATCTGCAAGCTAAGCTTCGGCTATGGCTGCCGAATCCCACACCTGTCGGCCTTTCCTTGCTCACTTCCTCCCTTCTTGGTTCAAGGGGCATAGACGACGACGAAGCAAGGGCTCAAGTTACCTATGCGCTTCCAGCAGAGCGTTCGAGGCGGCTCGGGCCACGATGGTGCGGATATGCCTTACAAACACAGAGGGCTTCCTTGTTGAGATTCCCGTCTTCGCATCCCTGGCGGTGTTACCGTGATTCGCGGACCACTGAGGTCACGTCGGCCGTGTGCTGGCCGTGGCCGGGAATTTATCCTCGGTTTCACCCGCTGCTATTAATTACGGCTCGGCAGGGCAATGGCATCGCATGGCGTAAGCTTTATAACCGCTCCCACCTACCGTTCCACTTCACGTTGCTGGCCGAACACAGCTTTCCAGTTCTCTCTCTCGCTTCTCGGAGCCATATTGGTGGTCGGCCGGTCAAGGGACGACCCGGATCGATATGAGTTGCCTGTTACCGTGGGACGCACATCATATATGCCGTCAACTGAGCTATCAATTGCCGGCTGCCTCCAGCTAGAGCTGCACAATATATATATTTCGCTCTTTCGGCACTCTTGCACTACCTTGGGGCTCTTTCCCATGCTCCGGAATACTGTTGGTTGTCCGTCATGTTGCTTGACCGCCATCTTGTAACCGGCTTGGTAGGCCTTTGGAGTGCCTCCAAGACCTATGCTGCGTGCTCATCCAATCTCCTGATTGACAACTTCACAACATGGATCAACGGCGTCAATAACCTGGACTGGCCGAATGGAGGTTGGTCTCCCCTGTCCAGGCTTTAAGGGACTCGCTGACAGACAATCGCAGATGACGGGAGCATGACGGCCATTGCCGGGTCAGCCGGTCAGGTTGTGTTCATCCCCAAGGACGAGAATTCGTACTTCTACGAGTCGTTCGAGTGCCAGCAGCCCGTTACCAACGGCTATGGCGCCATCCAGTTTACGCTTCAGGGGCCAGCCGGCGGCTCGTTCGCCTTCGAGTTGCAGACGACGGAGAGATGTAATAACTACAACGGAAGCTACGGAAGCTCTTACAACATTGTGAGCGACCTCACCGGCCAGCGTCAGACTGTTACTCTCCCTCTCGAGGGCTTCGACAATGACCCCAACTACGATGCAGTCGTCGGCCTGGTGTGGTCCACCTTCTCTCAGAACGGGGTGCAATGGTCGGTTGGCAACATCACCTTCGTCTGCGGGTCGGGGTCTGGCTCCCAGGTAACAACAAGTATGCCTTGCTCTGCTGGAGCCCTTAGGAGTGAACCAACCAACTAACATGGAGAAGCGGTACCGACAAGGTCAACAGTTTTGCCCGCAACCACTACTCGGAGGTCAACAGTTCTGTCCACAGCCACGAGATCCACGATATCTCCAGTCGTCACGTCCCAGCCGGCAACGTGTTCCAACCTCCTGATTGACGACTGGGAATCGCAATCTCGTCTGACCTTCCTGGGCTACAACGCCATGGGACAGGCCTCGAGTGATGACAGAACCATGTCTTCTATCATTGTCAGCGGCCGGAGAGTCATGCTGAACCCAAAGGACGCCGACTCCTACTTCTACAGCCAGTTTGGCTGTCTCAACGCCGCCAACAGGTATGGCGGCATCTCGTTTCGCATCCGAGCAGCACGCGGCACAAGCTTCGCCGTAACGCTAGGGTACGCCCAGACATGCGGCGCCACCAATGATCAGACCGTCACCTTGACGACGGCGCAGTTGAAGTGGACCTTTGACGGCACCGAGAGGCTCTACTCGTTCCCATTTTCGGCCTTCACCGGTGTCGACACCACAAAACTGACCGTGATCAATTTCTCCAACTTCAACGCTGCCGCCGTCTTCGGGCCCATGTTTTTCTACTGCGGCTCGACAGCCAGCGAATACACCATCCCGTCCACATCACCCACATCGCCGCCCGTTACCCGCTCCACAACCGCGGCCCCGGCCCCGGCCCCGGCGAAAGTCCTTGTGATCGACAGTTTTGCCAGCTCCGGCACGAACGCCCTAGGAGAGTGGCATGGCGCCGACGAGGGCGGCATGACACTGACGTTTGGAAACAACGTCATGACAATCCGCACCAACGACTCGGACTTGGCCTGGTACACACAGTTGACCAACCAGTGCGCGGACCTGCGCAGCTACGCCGGGGGATACCTCCATATCGCCTACTCGGGCAGCAACAAGTTCAGCGTCGCGCTGCAGCAGCACAACGTCCAGTGCAACCCCGACATCAAGCCCTATCCCGAGACGTGGGACTCCCTCGAGGCCGCCCGCTACGGCACCGCCACCGACATCTACATGCCCCTGAACCACTTCAACGTCAACCTCACGCGCGCCATCGGCTTCGCCCTCAAGGGCTTCTACAGCACCGAGCCAACGACCTTTTCCAAAATCGAGATCGTCCCCTCCCTTCCATCCGGCTGGAAGTTGCCGACCAAGCTCGCGTCCGGCAACCTCGTCTTCGCCTGCACGCGCCCCAACTCCTTCGCCTTCGCCATCGACGACGGCGACCCCAAGTACGCCCAGCGCGTCATGGACATCATCAACCAGGCCGACATCCCCGTGACCTTCTTCACCGTCGGCCTCCCCTTACTCGACAAATCCAACGGCTTGGCCGACATGTACAAGGAGATGGCCGCGCGGGGCCACCAGATCGCGCTGCACTCGTATACCCATCCCAAGATGGAAGGTCTGCCGGATACGGCGGCCATTGACTGGGAGTACAACAACGACATTGGCGCGGTGAGGCAGGTTTTTGGGGATGGTATCATCCATACCAACTACTTCCGCCCGCCGTTTGGGACCGAAGGAGCGCGCATGCGGCAACGGCTGGCGGCGGCGCTGCAGGATGCGAATCCGTATATTGTGCAGTGGAGCATTGACGTCGAGGACTGGATCTGGGCTGAGAGCGATACGCCGGTTAAGCAGCTGGATGCGTTCAAGCGGGATCTGGCCATGGGTGGGAACTTGTTGGTGATGCATTATCTGTATAACTCGACCGTGGAGCTGTTGCCCGAATTTATTAGGCTGGCAAGGGCCACGGGGAAGACATTGATGCGGGTGGATCAGTGTATGGGGGATCCGAAGGCGCCGCCTCTTTGAGGGCGGAAGACGGAGGGGTCTGATGGGTTTGTTTCTCAATGTGCGAACTTTTCTTGGAAAACTTTTGAGTTTGAGTAAATACTGGTTGGCGGTCTCAGACACAGGGGACACAACATTTGGAGTCCGCGACAGTGCCGACGGACCCTACATGGGGCAGACTGACCGCCTGACTTCTGGTGTCAACATGAAAGGCTCCCACCAGTCACCAGTCCACAGTTCCTTCTACTGTCCTCACTTCCAACTGTTGCAGACCCAGCAAGAGTGAAGTTTGGGCGGCCCTCCATGGTTCGGATGGAACCTCACGGAGCCTGTGGGGCCCAGCCAGTGCTTCATGTAGAAGGTCCGCGTTCCCCAACTTCAACAATCACCGCCAGTGACTTAACGATCACTGGCGGTGGTCCTCCCGGGTTTGTGATGGTATGTCTCTCGGTTACGACCGAGATGTCACCAGTTCGACCCAAGCCCGGGTCGTCGCCCCCCGTCCCTGTGCGAAGTAAACTCTCCTGATGGTTTCATAGCCGGCTACCTCTCTTTCTTTGCTTGTAAAGAGGGCTAGCTGGTGAGCTTTTGCTCTTTCTTTTGTCCCCCTCTTGCCACACCGTAGTTCATGTTCTCTCGTCCGTGAATCAACTCCCATTGCATGCCTCACACTCGAGGAACCTCGACAAAATGGGAGATGGTTGATGACCAGTACACGCCTTATTTTTCAACCACAACATGAAATCTCATCCCATTCACCCATCCCATTGATATCTGCCATTCCGAACCAGCCATGTTACACGCAACCACTGCAAACTCCAAACGCCCGCCCATGTTTGACCCGAAATCTGTCCATGTAATGACTTGTCCTGAATAGCACTATTATACCACCAGCTAGACCTCCTCGACGGCACAGTTGGGGTGCAGCACATAGACAATTTGGGCCGCCTGGGTCGAGCTGCCCTCGCCAGCGCCGTCCCCATCCGTCATGCCCTGGCCGCGGATCGCCATGAGCACATTATCCTGTCAAGAGTTAACATCTGCATCTGACGATTCAGGATTGACAGAGGAAACAAACCTTGACCAGTTTCCTTAACACCTTCTTAGCCAGGGCCCTCTCGTGGTTATAGTCCTCCTCGCTCTGCAACTCCTCCTCCTTCTGCTCCAGATACCACGTCAGTAGCGCCTCGCCTTCGATCCCATCCCCACCCTCACCCCTCTCCTCCTCCACCACCTTCTGCACCAGCATATTCCGCATGCTGACAAACTTATCATACGCAATCGTCAACCCCCGGCCCTGCCCAGCAGCAGCAGCAGCAGCGGGAACCGACGCCTGCCTGTCGCCGTCGGCCATGGCCTCGTCCCCATCCGCATCCGCAGCCGCCGCACCAGCAGCCGCGTCGGCCGCCAGCCTCAGCACACCAGCATCCTCTTCCTCATCATCCACCTCCACATCGTCGTGCTCCACTGAGATGATACTCTGCCGCAGGAGGCTATACGCCTCATTGACAAAATCAGGCGTGATATCCTCGACACAATTCGCCTTGGCAATCGCCTCGGACAACCGAATCATACTCTCGAGCTGGCGCACCGTAATCCGGTAGCTATTCCGCCCGATCCCACCCTGAGCATCGTCCGCGCGCAGGTCCTTGTACCGCTGCACCAGCACCTCTTTCGCCTCGTCAGTGAATTCGGGCCGGAAGGTTCGCGCGAACCGGATGTATCGCTGCAGCTGCTCGGTCGAGAACTCTGGGGTAACGGCCGCGTCGCGGTTTTCGTGGATGCCGACAATGTGCTCGGCCAGGTGGCGGTCGACTTGCTCGTTGCACTCGTCAAGGATGACAAAGAAGAGATCGAAGCGGGACATGATGGGCGCCGACATGTTGATGTTTGCGCGGAGGGTGGTTTTGCGGTTGTACCGCCCGCCGACCGGGTTGGCGGCGGCGAGGATCGAGGTGCGCGCGTTGAGCGTCGCCTGTATGCCCGCTTTGGCGATCGAGATGGTCTGCTGTTCCATGGCTTCGTGGATGGCCACCTGGTCGGCGATGTCCATCTTGTCGAACTCGTCGATGCAGCAGACGCCGTTGTCGGCGAGCATGAGCGCGCCGGCTTCGATGGTGAATTCGCCCGTCTCTTCGTCCTTGACGACCGCCGCGGTGAGACCGGCGGCTGAGGAGGCCTTGCCCGAGGTGTAGACGGCGCGGGGCGCGAAATTGCAGACGTATTTGAGGAACTGGGATTTGGAGGTGGACGGGTCGCCGACGATGCAGATGTTGATGTCGCCGCGAAGTTGCATGCCCTCGGCGGTGCTCTTGTGCACGCCAGACAGCAGCTGCAGAAGGATGCCCTTTTTGACGATCTCGTGGCCGTAGACCATGGGTGCCAGTGACTGCACCAGCCGGCTGTAAATGTGACTGCTGTGCACCATGGCGCGGAGGTCGGCAATCTCTTCTTGTGTGTAAGACGCGAGAACGGCCTCCTGAAGCTCCTCGAGCGTCTCGGCGGTCTCAAGCTTGGCGCTTCCCGTCAAAGAGCCGACAACGTCGACGATCTGTGCTTCGCCAGACCCGCCGATGGAAGACACATCCGAGCTCACCATGCAGGCGAGGAAGGCTAGACGGTACGTTAGGTCGCGGACACCAAGAGATTTCAGCCCGCTCACACCGCTGCCGCCCGCATCAGCGCTGCGATCATCACGGACGGCCACCCTCTTCAGGCCCGGCAGACCCAGTTGGCTGACGTCGGGAACCACAATCAGGGCACCAGTGAAGATGCACTTCTCGCCGGCCTTGGCCCGGTCAACCATCTCACCGCGCAGAATGACATCCATCGTGCGGGGCATGCTCCCCGTGGGGATCTCGCTGCTGTTCTCCTGCACGCGCACCTTTTGCCAGTCGACAAACGTACTCTGCCGGATATCCAGCCTCCACGCCACCCTGTTCTGGCACGTCTGGTTCGGACACTGGGTTGGCTCGGTGTATCGGAACGTCTGCTCCACGTCCGGCACGACACTCCGGCAGGCCTCGCAGACAAAAGTGGCCAGAGCCAGCTCCGGGCGGACCTCGGACGTGCGGGTGACGGTGCCGCTGATGGAGAGCAGCTGGCCGATGTTGCGGGCGCGCAGGGCGCGCACGCGCGAGACGAGCGGCAGGTGGTAAAAGGCGATAGAGAAGAGCTTGTCAGTTTGCTGGTTGGCCGTCTTGCTGCCCAGCTCGCTCTGGCTGGCTGAGCCCACGGTGCTGGCGCCCGACGTGTGCTGCTGGCTCGAGGCAGTCGGCTGACGGTGCTCGCGGAAGTACTGCGGCTCGTACTTGGCGATCATGTTATGTAGCGCGGCCGTCAGGAAAGGGAGGAAGCGGTAGTAGGCTTCCATGATGCCGTTGGCCAGCGCGCCGCTGTGCCAGCTCTCGAGGTGCTTCCAGTCGACGTAGAAGGTGGATAGTTGGTAGGTGCGCATGCCGTGGATCTGGGCGACATAGTACTTGTCGGTGGTGACGGCGCTCGAGGTGGGTTGTCCGGAGGGTCTGGGGGTTTCTGTGTATCTGTGTAATCTCCGTCAGAAAGTGTGGATAGTTGTCGTATGTCAGCCCTACGCACCCCTCAATGAAGGCCTCAAAGGTCTCTTGAATGATGAGGCCGATCTTGTCTTCTACCCGAGGGATGTTGGCGGGATCTGTTGGCCTTGCGCGCACTGGTAACTGGTCGTCGGCAAGACCCTCGCCCTCGCCATCACTAAGTGCGCCGATGCTCTCGGAGGGAGGGGCTGCAGGTCTGCCGCTTGAAGAACCGGGAAGTCGCCCTGCACGTGGGGTCCTCGAGATGCCATCCGATGTCATGAACCCAGCATCGCTGGAGGCCACTGTTGGTGTCGCCATTGTAAATTAATGCGCCTCTCAAGCCTGTGGTGCGAGACGGTGGTGTTGAGGGGCAAGTTTGGATACGGATTGTGATCGGTTTGTTGAGCAGGGAGTGTCGAGGTCAGACATTGGCCGAGTGTCAATAAAACGCGACAAAACGCGAAACCAAATGGGCAGACACGGCAGGCTACGCGAACAAGGTGGGCCGAGTTTGATTGCTTCACTAAGCGAATAACAACCGCTTAAGCCAAGTACATCATCTAAGTGGGTATATGTAATTTATGCATAGCGACCACAGCCGTACCCAAACACCACCCCTAACACGCAACCAAACCTTGACAAATTTATAGGGCAGTCTACCATCCCCACGTCCTGCTGGCCGCAGTAAACACTGGCGGCTTCCACTGGATCCTCTGCGGATCGATCTGGCGCTTCTGCTTGGCCCTGGACTTTGCCCGCTGCTCCACGAGTTTGTCGGGGATCACAATCTTGTGCTCCCCCTTGTGGTACACCTGCATCTTGAGCGCCTGCAGTGTGTGCTCGACGTCTTGCGTCGTCATGGCGAGTCTGGTGGCAATCTCCTCGATTGTGATTTTTTCTCCGCTCTCGCTCTTGGTCAGCAGCAGGTCAATGATATTCTCGGACCAGTACTGCCGGTAGCTCAGCAGACCTAAATCCGATAGCGGTTTCTCGGGCGACCCGAGCTTGCCCTCGATCTTGGAAAGCTCGTACGAGAACTGAATCAGGAGCCGGCCGTACCCCTTTCGCTGGTACTGTGGCATGGTCAGAATACACGCCACGTTGTATCCGTCGGCGCTCTCTTTTTCTTTGGAGAAGTAACCGATGAGATGCGATCCCCGGTCGTCCCTCGTTGTCATGACGTAGAATAAAAACGGGTCTACGTCGTAATACAGCGTCTTGTGGTCGAGAAACATCTTCGAGAGCAGACACAAATTGCGACACCACGTCCGTTGCCGCCTTCCGTCAATTTCGAAGAAGGATACAAAGTCGTCGCGGTAAATCTCGTTCCCCGGGGGGTGCTGCAGTGTGCACTTCATGCGGTGCCGCGTAAACGACTTGAAATCGCCGTAGTAGCTGAGGCAGAACTCGCAGATGTAGATGCAGTCTTCCTGGCTGAAGGCCTCCGGGTACGGCGAGAAGTACCAAGGGAAGAGCACATATCTCCCAAACTCAACCTTTGAGATGTTCCGGATGCGCGAGATCTCGGCTGGGTTCTGCGTCATAGAGCCGGATGTCCGCAGCTTTTCAATTTCCTGCTCTCGGCTGAACGACTGCGTGTGCTCCTTCTTAGCAGCACTGGCCGGCGTTTCGTCCTCGTCCAGCTCCATCTCATCAGGCCCAATATTAGGCGTCGCCCCAACCTCCAAACTCGCATTTGCCTTGTCCTCTCCATCTGCCTTGCTTTGTGACTCGACAAACTCGGTCCATGGATGTGGTGTCTGCCCTTCAGATGCGACCGACTGTTCCCTCTTCCCGACCCTTTTCTGTGTCTTTTTGGACGGCTGCGACTTCTTGGACACTGTTGTCGTCTTCTTCGTCTTGGTGTCCTTCTGCTTATCCTTGTCCGGGTTAGGCCACTCAACATCCTGGTCGAAGTCGATTCTAGAAACGGGAACCCATTCGTCCAGGCGCTTGTTGAAGTTGTCAAAATTGCAGTAGAACTGCCGTCCGCTCTTGGTTTCTTTGATGCTGAGAATCTCGGCGCGTCGCAAGTGCCCGTCTTTTGTGACCAAGGCGATGCATCCGACCCTAGGACATATTAGCGAGCGTTGCAACGTTTGCGATGAAGGCGTTACGGTCTAACCTACTGAAGGGTGTCGGGCGTCGCCTTGCCCTTTTGCCTCGGCCCATCCGAGCCGACCTCGGCCTCCCCGTTTGCGCCGTTAGGACTCATGGTGAATGCTGATGGCGTGCGTGTGATCGGTGATGGAATCAGTATCGCTAGAGATCGAGGCTTGGGATGTTCTGCTTTAGAGGGGAAAGAGAAAGTGGATACTAAATTGAGTGGACTTGGCTGCTGCATCAGGGGCAGTCTGAAGCATCCATCTGGGCTGCAAATTCATCAAACGAAGGCTTTATGTCACGAACCAACCATATATCGAGGCCTGGTGGGGCGGCAAACAACAGGGGAAGGGGAGATAGGGCCTGCAAGAAGGATCACCGGGATCTTGAGCACACTGGTGAGCGCGGCTTACTAGGATCACTACCAAAAATTGATCGGTAAAAGCGGCTCGTTAGGATTACCGCCAAGGAGGTAATCTCTGTGATCTATGGTATAGAAGTACTGTGTACAGGACTTAAGAGAGGAAATTGTATGTAAACTACGAATTCTAGGCCTATAATGTCACAAATGAACCAACGAGAGCCAACAGCGGCGGCTTAGTTGCAGAAACCAGTGGGGAACGTAGGACGTTCCGAGCCAATCACTTAGGACCAATCGGAACGAGCCCTGGAGGTGCTCCAGAGAGCACCAGTGCAAGGCCAATCAGAGGACGCTCTAAGAGGCTCTGAAGAGCACCGTAGAGCATTTTCTCTAGGTGGCTCTAGAGAGCATGAGAGAGCAACCAAATGTATCTAGTATATAGTCACTCGTTCTAGAGGACTCTGGGAATTCTCTAGTGAGCAACTTAAGTGCAGGATTGTCAGTACCCTTGGACATTGCTTGTTGTGAACCCTTTGGCTTCACCGAACCTCACCCCGTTGTCAAGTATAACCTTCAGGAGTCCCTTTCAGAAGTTGGGGCTTTGAGATTCGTCACAGGTAGTATATTGCAACTAGCTGATGACGACTTTACGAGTACACTGAACTTGGGGAATGAAAGAAGAGATGTGAGACTCTGGTAGCTCGAGAGCCAATTTATCCTCGCAGGTGTGCGCTGCTAGAAGGCTCGACACTGTGGGTCAAGTGGGAATAGCTTCATCCAGGGGGTTGGTGGACCGTGCTTATACGAGAGCTGGCCGAGGATCATCGAGGCCCATCTCGGGCCCAGCCCGTTACAGTTATGTCATATGCTTGCGGTTATGCATACGTCATGGGATCTGATCATACGTCTATGGTCATGGTTACGCATAGGCCTCTGCTCCAGTACTTAAGGTCTGGTTGCACGCCCATTCCTGTTATCTAGCTCTTGCTCTCGTTGTAGCAATATCGATCTTGTATGTGCGAGCTGACCAGACCTTGGGTGGTGCCCGTCACACAAGGCGAGGGACCTGTCGGAACGAAGCCGCCTTGATGGCTGCATTCAACGGACCTCGGTGGTTGATTGGTGCCAGCACCGCAACCCCTCTTCCTTACATACTTAGTCCTCTCCCATGCCCATCAACAGCATGGTCAATCAATCACTTTTATCACCTTAAAGATTCAATCCACTGCTTTGACTGGGAATAGCTTCTTCCAGCGCATATCACAGCGGTCGTCGCCCTGCAGGTTCCAACAGGACCCTCTCATTCTACCTAGGAGGGAGAGTACCATCGGATCCGAAGATATAGTCGCTAGATTTGAAAGCAGTCCGGGCAATGGTCGAGTATACAATGGCGATAGGGAGATTGGATCTTGACGAGGAACGACGAAGATTAGGGCAATTACAGTAGGGGAGTGTCACCGCGATTGCGCCGGGTGGAACCCGGCATGTGGAAAGCACGGGCCCCTGTGGGTTAAATATTCTGCACCTCGCTGCCGCGAGATCTGTTCGTAGCTCCTCGAGCTACGTCTTGACAATCAAGCCTGCCCGTACCTGACGGAATAGAGCTTAGACTGTAGTTTAGCCCGAATACATTTGTCATTGGATTGTCCGCCTGTCCCGCCGTGACAGGGAGCTCCATTAACACTATACAGCCTCAACCAGCAGATCTCGCTTTAGCTGCTAAAGATAGGACGCTGAACACTTGGAGAATGCAGCCCCAAAGCCAATCTGCTAAAAACCAAGTCAAGAGGCAACAGTTAGTGGCGTGAGAAAGGGGAAAAGAGTAGAGGGCTTGTACGAGTTGACGGCCGAAGGTCAACGAATCAGATATAGTTAGCGTGCCAAGGCCCTATAGGTTTCGTGCCTCCGGGCGAAATAAATTCCATCCATCCATCCGCACTTTCCACCGCTGCTCCATCACACTACAAAACACCATGTCTATGCAAACCCGAGGAACCAGAATCGTCCTTGCCATAGAGGTGTGGGAAGATCAACAGCCACGATTCCACGGTAAGTGATCCCCTTGATCCTAACTCCTCGAGTGCTGTTGACCAGGTGTTCAAGAGCTCCAGGTCTAGGATGGCCGAGGCGTAGATGCCAGAGATATGCTTCCGCCTTGCGCGGGCGCCTCTGTATCCACGAATTGAACTGGTTACGGCGTGTGAAGAACGCGGCGCGCCCAGATCTTCTGGGATGTATTCGAGCACAAATTGGTCGTAGTGATCTTCCACGATTCCAAGCATGGTGCCGTCTGGGTTTCTGAGGAGCGTTGTTCGAGGCCGTGTATCCCACTGGATACCTGCTCTCGAAGTCTTCTGAGCGACGCGACGTTTGTGGCGAACTCAGGAACGTATGCTACACTCTTCAAGGTGAAGCAATTGCTTGCCGCCGAATGGGATCTTTAAACAAATGTCGATGTCGCCGAGTCCTTGAATGCGGAGCCTTCCTTTTCCTACCCAGAGGTGCTGCTCGTTGTGAGCAGTATGGAAGTGGTTGAAGCGGCTGATCTGGTTGCAAACGTGGATTAGCACCCAAGTCGAGAATTGTAGAGTTCTTGAGAGGGTAGTCGCTGCCTGCGAATGCCGTTGCGATGGTCAGGAGGCAGGCGCTAACCTTTGCTGGCGTCTCGGCTAGTCAATGTTCTTCTCTAGAGCGTAATTGCGAGTCACTCTCCTTAAGGGCGCTTTTAGCAGGTGCTTTGGAGCCCAAATCCTCCCTCTTGACGCGCTTCCGTAGCCGTTCAACCTGCTTGCGGAGTTCTGAGTCGTGCTTTACACGCTCTTGAGCGCGTGCTTCAGCAGTCCGAGACGGAAATCGATGATTGGGTCGAATCTCGGGGCGGGCTGCCCAGCATTCCTCGAGGCTGTGTTTATTATCGCATGCAGGGCAGGCAGATGTTGAACTATCGCTATTCCGGCGCTTCTTGAATCGTGCAGGTGGGCTGTACCTCCTTAATCGGTGAGGAGGGTTCGGATCGTGGTCGTCCGGCTCATCGGAGCTCCGCTCGGTGAACGTCACAAACGCGCCTTTAGCAATAGAAGGTGGCTTGGGATCATCGCTCCGTCTGAGGCGATCGCTAAAATCGTACAACAGCTTCTGGAGCGTGAGTTTGTTATTGTTGATAGCGTCTTGGTTGCTGTTGTAGTACGAGTCGCACCATCCGTCATATCCAAGACCTCGTACAGTATTGTCGAACTTGAGCCACCAGATCTTTGGCTCGTTTGTACCTGGCACTTTAGCCTCTTGTGCCCTAAGGAGTGCTAGCTCCCAGCTCTTGAGCCAGTCAAGCATGTCTTTTGGCTTGCGCGAGAGCGCCTTATTGGCGGTTTCCCACACTTCTATCGCTCGTCGGAGCTCCTGAAGGTCGTTGGTGCCTACCCGTTCCTTGAGGGCGGCGTACCACTCGTGGATCTTCTTCTCGGGGTTGCAGGTTGTATCGAACAAGCTGGCGGCCACAGTCTTGGTAGTCCAGGAGCATAGGAAGGTGATATTCTGGAGCTCCTTCTCGTAGTCGCCCTTCTCTTCGCGGTATTCGGAAAGGTCAATCTTGTATGCATCACGCCCTGCTGCGGTCATCTCGGCTGCGTTCTTTGGTTTGCCGGGTGCGACCACTTGGGAACTGCCGCTTGCAGGCGTATTGCCGCGTGTATTGCTGGCGGGTGCATCGAGGCGCTTCTCGTAGTTGGCGACGTCGGGTTTGATGGGCGTGGTTTTGTAGGCTCCTTTGGAAGCGCTGGTAGGGTTGATGAGCTCCCAGAGCCCGCAGTTGGTCGCCTCGGTGGTGAAGCGCGCATTCCACGCCTTCCAGCTCTCTGAGCCGGTGAGCTTGACGATTTCTTCTATGGAGCTCATGGTTACGGTTGTTGAACACTTGAACTGATGTTTATAGCTGTCGCTTCGGATCTTGTTGTTTGGGAACCTTTGTTGCGAGCCGGGCTCATAACTGTTGGAAGACCAACAGCCACGATTCCACGGTAATACGCTTTATAGGAGCCTTTTAAACAGTGAACTTTTCGAGTGCTTAGGACCAGCCCAGAATCTGTCAATTGAGTTCTCTTTTCCTCAAGTTACCTGGGTATCTCCCAGACCTTATGTAACAGCCGTGTACTGCATTACCCCTGACAGGGTACGACACCGGCAACCCAGTTTCCGAGTTTCAAGTGTCATCACTTCCAACAACTGCCCTCTACGCGCTGCTTTTAAAGCTCTTATGCCGGCTACCCCTTAGCCCTGACAAGCCTTATAACCTGATCTATAACAACAACCTTCCGTATAGAGAAGAGTTGTCTCCTCGTCACCTGGAATCGACGTATGACCGTGTTCCGGATCGCTCGTCTAAACAGTGTCGCCATGCTGATCATGGTGCGGGGAGGGGGACGGAGGATTAGGGGGACGGAGCCATGAATGTTTTTATCAAGAAACAGCCGACGTCGCGGTCGAGCATCCGGTACTTGTAGCCTCTGGTCGAGGAGACAAAGTGGGGTAACGCAGCGGGACCCTGATTGGAGTAGTGTAGAGTGGTGGGCCAAGTGGGGCGGGCGGAGCAATCAGAAAACTGCATGGCTCTCCCCGAGACACGGTTTTCATGCAATGCTTCGCTTCATTCAGTTTCGGTCTCCATGAAACTTTAAACTTGAACCCAACAACAAACCTGCCTTAACACTGTACAGGATGCAACGCATTGAAAACCACAACAAACAGTAAGCCAGCCATGGCTGAACTCTCTTCAAACTGGAAAAGGCTGCAAGCCAAAATCAAGGCCGAGTCGGCGTCCAAGCCAGCAGCGCCCAAACGAAAGGCACCCGACGGTGGGCTCGATGAACCGACCCATGAACTCTCAAGAAAGAAGCAGAAGCAGCAACGAACTCAGATACGAAAGCCTACTTCATCATCAAAAGCAAGCCAAAAACCAATCTCCAAACTCCCTCAAACAGCAAAAGCCAAACCCTCCATGGGCAACACTCAATCCTCCAAAATCGACCCCGTCCCGCCCAATTCCAAGCACGGCGTCTCACCCTCCCTCGCCGTCTGGGCAGCAGACAACGACATTTCCCCAGAATCCCTAGCCGAGGCCTATGGTCTAGGCCTTCAAGCCAAATCGCTTCTCTCCACCGACAATCCGGGCCGGCCCAACGAAGGGCTCGCTCCCGGTGTGGAGTTGGGGAAGTACGTGGCCATTGACTGCGAGATGGTGGGCGTGGGCGAGGGCGGGCGGGACGACGCGCTTGCGCGCGTCAGCGTGGTGGATTTCCACGGGCGGCAGGTGTATGACTCGTTTGTGAAGCCCAGGGAGCGGGTGGTGGATTGGCGGACGCATGTCAGTGGGGTTGCGCCGCGGCATATGGCGGCGGCCAGGGGGTTTGAGGAGGTGCATGGCCAGGTGGCGGAGCTATTGAAGGGGAGGATTGTGGTTGGGCATGATGTCAAGCATGATTTGAGGGTGTTGGAGCTGGATCATCCCGGGAAGATGATACGGGATACGGCCAAGTTTTCGGGGTTTAGGAAATATGGGAATGGGCCGAAGCCTGCGCTGAAGGTGCTGGCGAGGGAAATTCTGGGGTTCGAGATCCAGACGGGACAGCATTCGAGCATTGAGGATGCGAGGGTGGCGATGTTGTTGTTCAGGAAGCACAAGCCGGCCTTTGACGTGGAGCACGCGAATCGGTATCCGGACGAGGCGAAGACGAAACCGAGAAAAGCCGGCAAGGGGAAGAAGACAAAGAAGCGATGACATCGAGGTCAGTGTTCAGGCGCGCCATCGGAGACCCCAGGTCTCGATTGTAGGTATGGTAGAGTGAGCCTCAACTACGCTACTCCACCTCTCATCTCATGCCTCCGTGCCTGTTGCCTCAAAGGCACCTCGAGCCCTTTCATCCTCCCCACCCAGTCGCCCCATGGAAGAACCGAATAGGACAAGACCACGCCCAGCACCGGCAGGCTCGTGGCAAAGTACACCCAGAACCGTTCACGTCCCGGGGACAACTCGTCCGACGTGCTGAACAGACTGGTCACCCACGACAGCGGCACAACTACCAGCGCAATCAGCGTCAGCCGGCTGACGTTGGCCATCATCGCGCATGACGCGCTGCGAATCAATCAGCTGGACCATGGGCGTCGCCGCGGGTATCATCTGCTCCAGCGAGCAGCTGTAGTCGTCGAGCTGCGAGAGCACGTCGTTGACATCCTTGCGGACAAGGTCCCAGGGCTGTTTTCCGGCTTCGTTTGCGTCCCGCGCAGCCAGTGGTCGATAAAGGCTACCTACCAGGAGTTTCATTTTCCGCTGACTCTGCATGCTGCGTCGCCGCCAGCGTTGCAGGTCGGATATGTCGCTGTCGTGGAGCCGGTTTTGGATCTCGTGCAGGTTGTATTCGTAGTGCTTGAAGTAACGGCTCATCAGGTGAATGTAAATGGCCCATTCGGCTAGGAAGATGCGAGTTGGGTAGTACGCCAGGCTTAGGATGCCCGGTTCGGAGAGCTAAGGTTGAACCCGGGAGGTGGCTGGTGACAGAAGTAGTGGTGCAGGCTGCTGAGCATCGAGCTCTTGTCCCATGATTCGAGTTTGTCACTCGGATTGCTCGAGTCGAAGGATGAGAAAAAGATTAGCGATGCAAAGTTTTCGGAACCTCCGTGCAGAGGCCTGCTTGGGTATGTCTTCCGTGCCCCCTGACTCTGATGTTTCGACTACTGTCCTTACCGGGGGGTCTACCAGGACCAAGCATATCGACATCATGGTCAGAACACACCTCAGCTGTTAGGCATGGGCATGCTTTTCTGGTAAAACTTACAAATCCACGAATCATTGATGCTTTTCAGGACCATCGAGCAGCAGACTCGCGCTAGAGCAAGCTGTCGCCTAGATAAAGGAGGTAGGTGCCGGACATTGCGAGGAATGTTCGAGTCCGTCTTGAGTGCATCTGGTGGATGCTGGAATGCTTCTGAGGTGCCCAAATCAAGTACTTTCAGGAAGTAGAGGTGAAGATAGCCCCTCTCTGCGACCTGAAACGGAAACAAAGCAAGTGAAGGAGGAGCCGGGCCTCTCAATGTTCACAAGACCGGTGGTCGTCTGGCTGGCAAAGAAGATACAATCCAGGTCGAAGATCTCACCCAGGAGACTGATCAGGGTGCGTTGGATATTCTCAGCAAGCAGGATTCGGCCGTAGACCGCAGAAGCATCAACGAACGGCTTGGACAGATCGGTCTCGGCCACTGTAAAGGGAAACGGTGTCGATGGCCCGTGCCGGGAGTAGTCAATTGTGACGATCGTGGATGGATTCGTGAGACCGCCATCGAAATGTCGGACCCAGCTGGTGACGCAGGAGCTGGTTTGACTTCGAAACTGCGCAAAGTCTTCATAGGATCCTACTTTGGGGCTCATGCTTTTGTTTCGTCTCCTTGGGGCCTGTTCAGAAATGAGGGCGTGCTGTCTGAACTAATCATGGGAATTGCCAAGCGGGACAATGAGGCTCAGAGCCTGAGATTTGGATCAGAATCGTACATGTGAGAACCCTCCCAGTTGGTTTGAGACTCTGTTGTGGCCGCGACTTGACCCTAGGAAGCTAAAGCGCAGCGATACTGCCGGCTGCCTGCATGGCATTGCCTGGTTTGTGGTCTGTCGCACTGCACGTCCTCAACACCCGGTACCTCACAAAGGATGAAGTGACAAGTCGGAGGCCACTGACAGCTAGCCATGGGTGCCGCGTCCGCAACCCTCATCGCCCTCACCTAGTTCGGTTAATTGGTTCCCAATGGCCAACAACAGAAACTTGAAGTGTCGGAAACAAAGTGTGAAGCGAAGGAATCTGCAGCATCCCCCGTGCTTTGGGCCCAAATTGAACTTAAAACCCGATAACCCGAGGCCCTCAGGCCTGCTGTCCTCGTCTTGCTCTGTGTCGCCGTTTTCCAAGTCACTGGTGCACATTGCCTGTTGACCGTCAACCTACACCTCATGACCGCTGTGCGGCAATTAAAACATGAGCTACGAATTCACAATGGCTTCCTCGAGCAAACGCCACAAAGTTATCCATCGAGCCAACCCGGAAGACGTTGTAAGGTATCACCCTCTCCGGGTGGAAAATCGAGCATTTCATCCGTGACACTTGAACCTTGGATCCCAAGCCCGTGTTCATCGAATACATGTGGTCGGCGCTGCAAAGCGAATACGAAGCGATGTTGAATGCCCTGAAAGAGTTCTGCGAAAATCTGTTGAAGCAGAGAGGTATCGCTTGTCAAGTGGGAAGAACCAAAGCCCCGGATTCCATCAGAAGCTCGATCGACCGGCGGGAGAAGCATCTCCAAAGACAAAACCAGAAGGAACTTGAAAGTGTTGCTCATTATTCCGCGAGATGCACGATCTTGCCGGACTCCCGGCCGTGTTGGATAGTCCGGACGACATGGAGACAGTTGCCCGTCTCATTCAGGAGGTGTTCCAAGGAGAGAAGGAACCCCGCTGTGTTCACTAGGGACCGGGAAGTCGGCAAATCCTGGAAACCGTGGTTCGGCGCATTCCAAACCCGGAATCACTACGTCAGCCTGAAACCTGACAGATTTGACGGAGACGATGGAGAGCTTTAACGATATGTCGGCGTCATGTTCGAAGTGCAGGTCACGACCATCGCCGAGAGCCAATACAACAAACTGGCACACGCTATCCTGTACAAGGGTTCCTCTGGACCGCAAACTCGTCAAGACGAGATAGTGGTCGACTTGTCGCACGGTGTATCTCTCTGCTTTGCGCTCTGACTGATGTACATCAAGGAGAGCTTAGAGAAGGTCGAGCACAGGGACGAATTGACTGTGGCACTTGAAGTCCTCAAGGAATCGAAAGAAGCGCAAGGCCTTTTTTTGAGGGCCTAAAGAGAAGCACCCACTTCGATGCCGCAGCAGCATCTCTGCCCCTGGATTATCAGACAAGCTTGACTCCGCCCAGTATCTGCACCACCATCGACGATTTCAAGGAATGGCTGGGCACCAAGGTTGAAGTATGTCACCTGCTTCTATATGACTCATCTTGTCTTCGCAGCTCTGTGCTGACTTCAGGTACTTCGCGATAGCGCTATCTTAGCCGAGATGCGTTTTTCCTCGGCTTGTGCAAGATAATAGTGCCATGATCATCTCTTCCATGCCGTTTGTCGTGTCGTACGGCAGCAATCTCGACTTTGTTGGGCGAGTTGAGATTCTGGAGCAGCTGAAAAAAGAACTTGGCCCCGGGCAGCCCTTGACCACATGACAGCCTAGAGCAGCGCTCTACGGCCTAGGCGGCATTGGGTACGTATGTACTTGGATAATTACGCCCTTCTTCCAGCTGTGGATTATGCTGACCCAGAAACAGAGAAACACAGATTGCACTTGCTTACGTGTATTGGTTGCGGGAGATGCACCCTGGGGTTTCGATTTCTGGGCACGCCAGCAATATCGAACGGTTCCGTCAAGCGTTTGCTTCAATCGCGCGAGAGTGCCAGGTATCCGGCCATCATGACGCCCGGACAGAGGTGTTGACGCTGATCAAGGCGTGGCTAGAGAGAAAGAACTGTAGCCGGTGGCTCATGGTGCTGGACGATGCCGACGACACAGAGCTTCTTCTTCGGCCAGGAAGGGGGAATGCTTGGGCGATATCTCCCCGAGTGCTCGCGCGGTTCTGTTCTGATCACAACCAGAAACAAGCAAGCGGGACTCGGATTGCTGCAGCTCAAGGGCAAACACCTGATTGAGGTGTGATGGGCTGAGCCCATGATGGCCTCGGCAACCCTCGGCCGTGGTATCATGATCACGTCATCCTGAGGCAGGCAGTGTCTGTGTGTTCCGGAGCATATAATAGCTGCCCTCTCTTCCTGTCATCTAGTTCTCTCTTTTCTTCTTCTCTCTCCATTCGAGACAAACTCGTAGAGTCGTCACCAGCTAGGTGGAATATACTCCTGGGACCGTTACAGAGGTCGGGAAGATGGATGACAATGGGACGGCGCAACTTCTTTCCACGCGGCTTGACTGATTGAGTACCAGTTCCAGCGAAAAATGTGGCCCTGTCATCTCGGCTAGAGCACCTTCCGCTCGCCCACGTCCAAACAGCAGCAGCATTCATCCAGAAGAACAGCATCACGATCATCAAGTACCTTCAGCTGCTGGAGGAGAGCGACAAATTCGTCGTCCGCATGCTCAGCTCGGCATTTGAGACGGCTGGGGGAGACTCGGGAGTGCCTCGTGCAGTGGTAGAGTCGTGGGTTCTCTCATTCGAGCAGATCCAACGGCAGAATATGTTCGCCTGCGAACTCCTCTCGCTCATGAGTCTTTTCGACCGGCAGGCTATTACATTGGAGTTTCTATTCCGCTATTGCGGAATGCGACGCCAGGGAGAACTTGCGCTTACCAAGGTTTTGGGTATCTTCAATGCGTTTTCGTTCATTACCGAGGCCAATACTCAGGGATTGGACATGCACCGACTAGTCCAGTCGGTGACCCAGAAGTAACTGCCTAGGAACGATAAACTACGCAAATCTGAGAAGCAAGCGATTCTGGCGGGGAGGTGGGCCTACCCAAAGCCCTGGCATGAGAATAGGGCGGCATGCAGCGCGTATCTCCCACACGCATACGCCGTGCTGAGGCATCACAGCACTGGGTCGAAAATGGAGAGGCTGGCGAGGGCATCGCTTTTTTAGAAAGGTTGCCGAATTCTTCCTAGACCAAGGTAAAGGGAAGGATGCAGGGCAGTTTGCATCATGCGCCGGCTTTGGTTTTGGAAGTGCTGGGAAATGAGCATCCCGGCACCTTGTTCACCTTGACCGTCTCTTGACCGTCTTGGCGAGCTCATACCGGACCCAAGGGAGGCTGGAGGAGGTCGAGGAGCTTTCATATGAAAGTCCTCGACGTAGGAAACGGGTACTGGGAGATGAGCATCCCGGTACGTTTTTAAAGCATCCACGAGCTATCCTCAATCTACTTGTGTCAAGGCCGATGTAACGAGGCCGAGGAGCTCTACGCTCAAGTCTTCGAGACGCAAAAGCGAATACTAGGAGAGGAACACCCTTGTACGTTTGGGACGGACCATGAGCAACCTCGCGTTGATGTATTACAAGCAAGGCCCATGAAAGGAAACCGAGGAACTCTACTCACAAGCGGAGAGGACACGAGCTAGGATTTTCGGAGGAGGAGCATTTTAAGACGCTGAGGGCCATGGGCAACTTGGCGTCGACGTACAGGAAGCAAGGCCGATTGGAGGAGGCCGAGGAGCTCTATGTGCAAGTGGTGGAGACACAAAAGAGAATACTAGGAGAGGAGGATCCCAATTTGCTTGAGTCCATGAGCGGTCTGGCGAGGACGTACCAGAACCAGGGGCAAATGGAAGAGGCTGGGGCGCTTGAAAGACAGTAATGGATGCGAGATAGAGGGTACTGGGGTGGGAGGACCTTCATAGTTCTGCAAACCATGCTCAATCTCGCAACGATCTGGAAGAATCTGAGCCGTCCTAACGATGCTCTGGGCTTGCCGTGATTCAGGAATGCCTCCGTCTGAGGCAGCGAGTGCTTAAGTTGGCGCGGATCATCCTGACACTCAATGGATCCCCAAAGTTCTAACCAAGTGGCGAAATTAAACAGGCGATGGGGACAGTCACATAGTGTAAGACTGAAAGAATACAATGTGACATGCAGCTGTAGTATAATTGGGTTGAATTGAGGCTGTGGCAGAGACGGCTGGGTCATTCGTTCTGTTAGGAACGCCTTGTTAAGGTAATGTAACTGCAATCCCAGATGACGGCTCTTATCATGATGCTTGCCTCCCTCTATCTGACTATTACCGTCCCATGTTGATCACATCACTCTTGTACTAATGAACCAGCATGTGCCATCAGTCACAAGAGTTGCAGAACTCAAGTAGTGAAGCGAAGCTGCAAGCCCCGTACTTTTCTGGCGTGACTCGGAACCCATGCGCCCCCCAAAAAGTTACCTTAGGCTATTGTCGAAACCCACTGCATTAGAGCGGAATGCCTTCCATCAGGTCCATAGCGCCCTCTCTACCAACGCTGATGATGACGTCTCCAAGAACCTTGGTCAGGAAACCGGCCTCGCAGTAGGCAAAGTAGTACTAGGCTGTTAGCGTTGGGCAATGCAACGAGTGGACCGAACCTACCTGCCACTTCCTCCGAAACACCTTCACGTCTGCCTCTTGCACATTGGTATGCTTCTTCAAGAGAGCCGGACAGATCTTGTCCTCAAAGTTGGCGAGGAACTTCTCCCTCCACAGCCGCAGGGTCCGGACGTAGTGGGCCCCAACATTCTCGACCTTCTCCACAATGAACGTGCCTTGGGACTCGGCCGCAATGTGGTTAAGCAGCTGGGTAATGGACGGAAGATAGCCGCCGGGAAAAATGCAGTAGTTGATGAAGCTAAAGTCATTGCCAGGTCAGCACGGTTCTTCTGCCCCAATACTTGACGCCTATCGGGGGTCAACCTACTCCTTCCTCTTCTCATACGCCGCATGCCTCCCCTCTGGCATCGTGATACACTGGAACACCGCAATCCCTCCATCCCTCTTCAGCACCTTGTCCACCCGGGCAAAGTACGTCCCCAGGAACTCCCTCCCGACCGCCTCCAACATCTCAATCGACACAACCTTGTCAAATCCGCCCTCGGGCACTGGCAGCGCCTCATCCCGGTAGTCCATCAACAACACTTTGACCCTGTCAGCCAACCCTTCCCTGGCAACCCTCTCCTCCGCAAAACGCTTCTGCTGCCGGGATAGCGTAAGCGTCGTCACCCGACAACCAGTCGTCTTGACCGCCTCGATAGCGAACGAGCCCCAGCCGGTGCCAATCTCGAGAACGTGGTCAGAGGATTTGATGCGCGCCGCCGAGATGATGTGATGCAGTTTGCGCAGCTGTGCCGATTCCAGCGACTCACCATCGCCAGCAGAGTCCTGTCCAGGTGGGGGGCCTTGGACGGTTTCCCAAATGGGACACGAATAGGTCATGTCGGGCGAGAGAAAGGCGGCGAAAATATCGTTGCCTAAGTCGTAGTGCGCGGCGATGTTGACTGCGGCGCCTTCCATGGTGTTTTTGTTTCCTACTGCGGCGGTTGTGGGCTGATCGATGAGGAGGAGGTTGGACAGGGCACTGGTCAGTAGTTTTTGGGTTGGGCTCAGCCAGCCGACTAAGCTTTGAGCAGAGCCTGTGCTGCTGTTGATGACGAATCCGTTGTTAAGGGCGTCGCGGTTGAGGATGAACAACCGGAAGAAGGCCGTCAAGTCTGAGCACGAGACTTGGTGGAGCATGTAGGCCGCCGCGAAGCCCATGTCTGAGTGGAGCAGTACACGGAGGTAGAACTGCGGCGAGTGGATCGTGAGGGTGACGACGCAGGGGGGGTTGCCGGTCGGCGGATAGGGTTGGCCAAAGACGTGGCACTCGCCGCTGGTCTCATCGATGAGGGTCAGGGTGCCGATGTGGATGCGGGAGAGCAGCGACAGGATGACTGGCTTTGCGAGGGCGGAGGCATGACCACTGGCCAAGGTGCCGACCTTGTCGCGGAAGTAGGCCATGGTGTGGGTGATGGCCACGCCGATGGCCGAGAAATTGGGACGGGACATTGATAATGTGATGCAGTGTGCTGGGCTCTGTTGATACTACATGTGGGTGATGAAAGAAGATGCTGCGGCTGCTAGAAATGGGATCGCTGATGAAACATTCCTCAGATATATAAAGGCATAGCGGTCAGAGCAAAGAGAGGGCAGTGATGAGCGATAAAGACCATGGTACGATAACCCTTGGTGGTTACAGGCCGACGTGTGCTACTTAGACAAGTGGAAACAAGGCCGGGTTTGGTAGATTGGGGTACGAAGACGTGTCGCAGCACCATCTTGGTGATGCAGTCGGATGAGTAAAGAGATTTCCGCCTGGGAGAGATAAAGTGATGACATCGTGGGCTAGACAAATGGACAGAGGCAGCTGTGTGAAGAGCCATTACCGGTACATGCTTGTTCAGTCTCATGTGCAGTTAGTGAAAGGGGCGATGAAAAGAAGAAGAGTCACCACCCCCATGGGCCGACAAAGAGACAACCTTAGATACTTTGTCGTTATTCCAAGATCAAGGTAGCTATGGTAGTGAAAAGCATCTTGTTGAGGAAGGATTGGATCATGTGGTCAACGCAATAGGCCTGCAGCAAGCCTGGCTTTATGTTCATGTAGGGTGATAAGGTAACCTCAAACACATCAAACCTATCTAAACATAGCCGGAGACGATAGAGAACCTGAGTAAAACACCGCGCACGTCAAACGGACGGCTGGGATGCACCGAAAGTAATGTTGAGCGTGTGGCAGAGGGTAGTGCTGCTGTCCCGGCTGAGGTCCCGTTTGATAATAATACTCGTAAGACCGGGGAACGTCGTATTGTCCCCTCTCAGCTGATTGCTGGTGAGCAGGCCGGGTCATTGGACACAAGCTCCGATGCTGGTGGGAACTTGGGGTAGCTGTTGCTGCTGCTGTTTCCAACCTCTTGATTCCAGGCGGTTGATTGTGGTAGTCGCTTTATTTGCGCCTACTCCCGCCACTTCTAGCTCCGGCTTTCCTTCATAAGGCTCAGGTGGCCAATGAGTGGTGCTGGCCACGCGCTTTCTGGCAGCGTATCGATGGCCCAGGACGAAGGCAAGTAGGATCAGGGCGATGCCTCCGACTGAGCCCACGACGGCGCCAACGATGGCATTGACAGGCGTACCCAAGCCGTCGCCCCCCTGTGCTGGAATTGGGCGACTGCGACGCCTCTGAAGTACCACTTTACGTCTCGCCGGTACTTCGGATCGGGCTGGACGTGCTCGCTGTTGACCTCCTTGGGCTAAGTGATCTCGTCACCGAGCCCGGCGCCGGGCTCATACCGCTGGGAAGCTCGGCATACACGGTCCGCGCTTCAGGAAGCAGGCCGATTTGTTCCGGGCAGCCTATGAAAATAGAGAGAGGACGAGGGCGATGGCGACGCCGCGAATACAGTGATTGTCGTGCATGAGAGATTCACTGAAGACACACTAGCATTCATCGGTGTCTGCTTAGAAGCGTGCTGAGACTTGCCATCCAAAGCTGACGGTGACAGTGGCGGTCCGGTATTCAGCACTCGCGATGTAACAGCACGAACCGATATCCGGTCGCAGGTCTCGCCTTGGATGTAACGGGCTGGGCCCGAGATGGATGGAATTTATTTCGCCCGGAGGCACGAAGCCTAAAGGGCCTGGCCCGAGATGGGCCTCGATGACCCTCTGCCAGCTCTCGTATAAGCACGGTCCACCAAACCCCCTGGATGAAGCTATTCCCACTCGACCCACAGTGTCGAACCTTCTAGCAGCGCACACCTGTGAGGATATATTGGCTCTCGAGCTACCGGAGTCTCACATCTCTTCTTTCCTTCTTCAAGTTCAGTGTACTGGTAGAGTCGTCATCAGCTAGTTGCAATATACTACCTGAGACCGTTACATTGGAAGTAACCCGTTGTCATGGTGCCGGAACTGTCCGTGTCGCCTAGCTTCCACGCATACGCCAATGCTTTTCACCCTGCCGCCGACGCTTTCACGCTGTTCCAGCGTTCCGATACTGTCTGTGGTCATGACTTCGCACGAAGCCACCAAGGCTTCTTCGTGGGAGGTTTTAGCACTGCTCAAGACCGAACAGCCGTGAGTCTATGCTCACCTGTCTCGCCAGAGGACACATAATAGCCGATTTGTTCATTTCCATGCACCGAAACTAGCGAGTTAAGCGGCAAGAAGCCACAGCAGCAATGCAACGAAAGGCGGGGGCCGCGGTCTCCAGTTCATGAGAGTCGAGGTTGATCTTGACTGGTGGTAGCTTTATGAGATTGTGCACAAGCTGGGAAACATACTGCGTGTGTAGTTGCAAAGAGGATTGGATGTGAGAAGAGCTCCCATTCTTGAAGCCAGGGCAAGCTGAGCTTCATACAACGGAGGTACGGAGTATTGTATTCCGTATTGCGCCGGCCCCGTACCCCTCTTGCCCCCTCCAATGTGCATGGATGGATGGATGGAATTTATTTCGCCCGGAGGCACGAAGCCTAAAGGGCCTCCAATGTACAGGAGACTCGTTACCGGCATACCGCAACGGCATACCTGATTGGGAGGCGCCCCATTTGATTGGCGATCGATGCTACGGTATTTGAGGTTCCGAGCCTGCGGATGGGATTGCCGTTTGGCTCGTATAGCATGGGCCGAGCAACCCGAATCTTGAAGTACAGTAGTGATGCATGTCAACGTCTCGAGACGGATGCGTTTGTCGTTGCCGCAATCCAGGAAGAGCCGGTTATCGGAAATCGGTGCCATCGTTTTACTCCGTACGTTGGAAGGGCAAATACGGAGTAACTTTAGCGGCCCCACTAATCTGTCTGAGGATCCACAGACGCGTCGAACCGCGTTCTCACTTTAAACCTTCCAGTTTCCGTCTCACCACGCAACCCAGCACTGTAACCACCTTGATTGAAGATATCATCATGTCGAAGCCCGTACTGGCCCTGGAACTGGGCAAGCTGTCAAAGGAAACCCCAAAGGCTACACCGCACCTTCTCCCGTGTCGGATTCACCACAACGGGCCCGTCGAGCCTGTGCAGTCCTTCTGGGCCCCAAAGGTCGGCAATGGTAAAGGCTCTCAAAACTTATCTCTTCTTACTTACCACCACCATCCTTGCTAATATTAGTTCAGACCGCAGCGGCACAGCCTACTTCCGGGGCCGCAAGCTTCAGGGCACTGCCGTGAAGCTGCCAGACGGCTACCGCGGTGTTGTCGCGGTCACCTCTGCGCCTGAGGAACAGTCTCCACGGCTAGAGGAAGCCGAGGTCATTGACCTTGAGGCCGGGATGCCCCAGGGATCGCTGACGATGCAAGCCGAGTTTGACGAGATGGTTGTTTGGAACCACGAGTCGGCTGTGGATGCTTCTGCCGACCCGTACCTGCGAGCCGCCGAGGAGTGGCTCGCCCTTGCCGAGAAGGTAAGCTTATCTATGCATATTCATTTTCTCGAGGTCGCTGCTTGCGGGTTCCCAAATTCCGCTACTGAGATCTTCCAACGAGGTCTGCACGCGCCATTTCGCACGGATAATCGCATGAAACTCGGTGAAACGCATCCGTACTGCGATAACTCCCTTGCTCTGCATGTGTGGCGCATCATTCACCAATGTGAAGCTGACACTGATGCACCAGGTCCATACGTATCCCACGCCGAGTGCCCAAGACAAGTGAAGACAAGCAGTACCAAAGCTGCCACACAGCATCTGCACAATCGAGGGTTCAAGCAAGGCTTGCCGCCATCTTCATCGACCCTCGACCTGCCGCGGACAGCTGAGCTGATTGACCGCCGAGAAACCAAGAGGAACCTTGGGTGGAACCCACACAATACGCCAGTCTATTCCCGTAACGCCAACGCTCCGCGGTGCAGCGAAGCAGCACCGCCCTACTCCATCGGAACGGTTTCGGGGGCCCGTTCGGGACTGAAGGCGTTGGTCAGACCGTGGAGAAACGGCGGATGTTCGGTACTCTGTCCTGTCGGTAGATTGGGTTCGGGACTTGCTGCAGTACGGTATCACACAGAATGATGACCAACCTCTTACCCAGGTCCCACGGGAAGGGGGTGAATCAAGACGGGCAGCTTGACCTGGAGGTCACACATCTAGCACCCTTCTAGGTATGCAATCACTTGAACGCTTGTGCCTCTCCCTCAGCCGCGTTCCTTTCGACCATGTCTGGTTCCACGCCGCCCAGCATTCTTTTCAACACCCTCCCCAACCTCTTTACCCCCTCCACAATATCCTCCTCATCCACCCAAGAGAAGCTCAGCCTCACATTCTGCGGAAACCTCGCCGCCTCCTCATCCCCAGCAACCTCAAAGATCCTTCCAGGTGCGACCACCAACTCCTCCTCCGCCCTTGCCCGTCGCGCAACCACCTCGGCATTCATCTCCTCAGGGAGCGTCAACCAGACAAAATACCCACCATACACCTCCAACTCATCCGGTCCCAGTTTACCGCCAGCCTGATGAGCCCCATCAACCCCATTCCCGCCCCAAACCTTCACCCCAAGCGGCGCCAGCTCCCTGGCGATCTCCCTGAGCATGATCCCATGCCTCCTCCTCAAAGCAGGCCTCACCGTCCCATCCACCCACTCCTCAATCTCGCCCGTGCTCAGCGCCCGCCAGACCACAGCCGCCGCGAACTGGCTCGCCGCCCCGCCGCTGCGGTTCGTGCCCGTGACGGAGAAGCCGTGCGCGAAGTCGGCCGTGCCGTGGATCCAGCCTGTTCGAATTCCGGGTCCGACTAGTTTGGAGAAGGAGGCGTTGGAGATTGCGTGGGAGAAGTTCTTGCCGGGCGGGTTGTGACGGGAGGGCGGGAGGGAGGCGTCGATTTGGGAGAGTAGAGGGAGAGGGGTTTGCGGGGGTAAGGGCGATGGGGAGACTAGTGAGGTGGGAGGAGGGGAGGAAGTGACAGGCCATTGGAGCAGGTCGTAGACGTCGTCGCTTATGATTAATGCGTCGTGTTCTCGGGCGAGGTGGATGAGCGCCGTGCGGCGGGCGATGGAGAGGGTCTTGCCGGAGGGGTTGGCGCTGGTCGCGACGAGGTAGATGATGTGGCGGTAGAGTTTGCGGTGGGGTGAAGGGGATTTGGAGGGCCGGTGCTGGGGAGGTTAGCCTTCTTCGTTGCTTCCTCTTGTCCAACGCTTTCTTCTCTGAGTCGGAGAGACAGGCGGGAGAACTCACCCCCCATTTCTCGGCATCGCACTTCCGGATCAACTCCTCTAACACCGTCACATCCACACCCCCTTCATCCTCCGGCACAGCCCTCAGCCGCCTGCGGAACCCGTTGTCCTCAAAGATGGCGCATCCCATGAAATAGCACGGCGCCGCCACCCACACCGCCCGCGTATAGCCGGGGTCGGTGAACGACTGCAACACGCAAGCCAGGGCCTGGCTGGCACCGCCCGTGATGGTGATTTCATTTGCTTTGATGCTGCCCTTACGCTCAGGTTGGCGAGAAGGAGGATCTGAAGGCGGGTGGTACTGATAGATTCCGCTCAACCACCTCGCGATCTCCTCCCGCAGCGGCTGATATCCCGGGTCGATACCGTACTGCAACACGGGGACCGAGATGGCCGGGTCGGACAGCACATATTCGGCTGCCGATTTCAGCTGGGATGCGGGCAAGAGGGCAGGCGCGGGCCAGCCGCGGAGGAGGTTGATCAACTTCTTTGTTGGCGGATTCGCATGTGCGTCTGGTTTAGCTTCGTTGATAAGAGCATCGAGGGGGGATGCGTTGATGGTGGTGTTCGCCATGCTGATGGAGTGAAATGATACCCGAGGTGTGTTCCGTGGGGAGCGGCCGGGAATGAGAAGGATGGGAAACGATGCCAAGTGAAGCCGAAGCAGACGTTGACGAAAGAACACTCGGCAGGGATACAGAGAATTCATGCCCGTGCCAATGTTCCGGTAAGTGAACAACCTAGGATAAGCTTGCCTAGTCGAGCTTGCCTTCCCGATTCATCGGCCGTTTCCCGTTTCTTTAGGTGGAACTCCACTCAAGAGGGGTAACATTCCCCTCAACAACCGAAGAGTAGTTAGCTTTAATTGTACGGGGTCATCAACCTAATTGTACGGGGTCCGCACAGACCCCCTGAATTCCGCCACACCTGTTTCGGGCTGAGCCTCTGCAACCCTCGTCCAACCCTAACCCTCGTTGAGAAAACCCCTTCATGGGAGCTTCCCTGAGTGTGTGTGTGTGTGTGAGCAACGGCCCCATCACGGTTGCCCCTTTTACCTATCGTCCCAACTTAGACAGTGAGAATCCATTACCGCTTGTCGGCTACTTCTTTGCAATAGGAGGTACAAAGGTTCACCCCTCTCCACCACCACTACCTGACGTGGACAGGGGTCGCGGATCCAGGGGACCATAGGAAGACGGGGAAGAGGTCAGAGACAGGAAAGAGGTCGTGGACAGGGAAGAGGTCAGGGACAGGACGAGATCGTGGGCAGGGACGAGGCCAGCAAAATAGAGGAGAGCCAAGGAGGAACAGGTCCTGCGTCTAGCGCAGCCATACAGCTCGGGACGCCAGGGCCGGACACCCCCTAGGTATCTTTATTGTAAGGGGTCATCAACCTAGTTGTACGGGGTCCGCACAGAACCCCTGAGTTCCGCCACACCTGTGCCGGGCTGAGCCTCGGAAAAAAAAGGGAAAAAAAAGAAACAAAACTCCAGAGCAAAAAGATCGGTTTGAGCGATTTGGTGATAATAAGGATTCTGGCTTTGGGGACCTATCGCAGGGAAATCAGGCATCCATTCCTATATGTCAACTAGCATTTTGCCAGACCACGAGGATGATGATGGCTTCGGGAGCAGATCAGGGATTGCTGGGTTCATGTTTTAACTTTCTTTCCAACTGAATTCATACCGAACACAGATTACATCATTTTAATGACAAATTGACAATACAGATTACCATCCCGTTTATGATACAAAGTGCGCCCGTGATTCGAATTCCGGCTTGGTTGTTTTGTCGCGGGTGACCACGTGACCCCATGGATTCCCTACTCCAACCCTCTCCTGATTGAATCAAGCTATAACTAGAGTCTTGAAATTGAAGATGTTGAAGATTTCATGGAAAAAGGATGCAGGTTGGCTAGGGTTAGGGGAATATATGGGGGAATATATGGAGAGGTCAATTCGGACTGGTCCAAACTGCAGTTCGCAGTTCAGTTACGGTTCGACCCTCTGCAAACCCAGCTTAGTTTAACCAGAGGTCTTGAACTAAACTGAATTGGACTAGTTGCGAAGGCTGCCTGATTGGGCCAGCCGGAGCTGCTGTACATACGTGTCGTATGAACAGATTGCGTCCTCCCCTTCCCTTCAAAGTTGCATAGCTTAACCTTGAGGTGCCCAACCCTTGTGACGCCTAAGCCATCCCTCTTCCTCCCACCAACCGAATTCGAACCTGACGCCGCACGCTCTCACAGTCATCACGACGCGTTCGCAGCCCACCATGACCAGCAACGGCGAGTATGACGAGTACACAATTGTTCGCCATCAATACCAGTAGTTGCCCCTAAGAGTGAAGCGCGTCATTGAGTCGGGAACCAGTGCATGTATTGGTGAGGTGGACAATTCCACCGTCTTGAAGTATCCCCTGACCGCCGGCGATGACCTAGAGCGTCAGGAGGCCGAGAGAAAGATTCTGGAAGCCATTCCCCCGCATAAGAACGTCTTGGGTTTCAAATGCTCTACCGACGCGGGAATCTATTTGGGACGCGCCCCGAACGGCACTGTCGCGGAATACATCCTCAAGTCAGGTAAGCGGCTCTCCCTCCAGCAGCGGCTGGCCTGGTGCCGCGAGACCGCCGAGGCAGTCGCCTGGACCCACGCTTACCGCGTCCTCTCCTGCGACATCCAGCCCATCATCCTGCTCCTCGACAGTGCCCTGCATGTCAAGCTCTCCAATTTCCAGTGCAAGCTTTTGGCTGACGATGGTACAGTGTTCGTCGACGGCTATAGTATGGAGCTCTACCCCTTCTCGCTACCCGGGGACGACTTCCGCGCCGACGTTAAGACGGACCTGTTCGCGCTGGGTTGCACGATCTATTCCATCCTGCTGGGCCACACCATCTTCCCAGAGATCGGCGATAGGGATGAGGAGACTTGGGAGAAGGTGGAAGAGAGGCTCGGAAAGAAGGAGTGGCCTCGGGAACCGCATATATGCAGTGCCATCACCGTGAAATGCTGGGAGCAGCAGTACGAATTCAGGGGAGAGGTGGTTTGGGATCTCGAGGCTATCGGACCGGGAACACGGGGCGTCGTCTGCCGCGTCGATGCCGAGCTCGGGGTTTGGCGAGCTGGCAGGCAGGAGACAACAAGCTGGCAGATGGACCACAGTAGTCTCAAGTCGACACTGTGGTTTGTCTGACAATCTATATGGTGGGGCAGAAGTAGGTTGTTGACTTGAGAAGGCCGCAGACCGACTCACACTCAATGGACATGTCCGTGACAGCCTTGCTCCAGCGAGGGCGGTGGCTAAGGATCTGCCAACAGCAGCCCGTCGCCTTTCACGATTCGTGCATCGTTCTGCATCCTCTATCGATTTGCACCTTGTTCTTGACAACGGCCCGACAAAGATGCGTGCAGCAACGAAGAGGGTGCTCACGGCGGTGACGGCACAGATCGAGGCCAGGATCTGCGGGCCTTTCGTCGGCCGCAAGATAGAGGTGGTCGTCCGGATAGTCGGGGACCTGCCGATGCCATCCTGTCGACGCCTTTCAAGTTTCCCAAGTCGCAGTTAGCGTCAAGTGTTGGCAAGTCCTGCAGTCCCCGGTCGGGTAATCAGTCGATAACAGCTGTCTGGCTCCGCGGATGACAACTGGAGAAAAGCTAGAAGACGACACGGGTATCATAGTTGGAAAAACACAAGCTGGTGGTCATGCAGATACAGCGAGAGAGCAAATCACTATTGAAGAAACCTGAAAAAGGGGCCCAACCCGGCCGTCAACAGAAGGAAACCATGTGGCGCACCTCAACTAGGACGGGCAATGGCGATCAGGTTTTAGCTATTGCACTATCGTAAAAGAAACTACACCGGTGGAAGGAGATACGTACTGGAAAACAGGAAGAAGCTATCCTAGCAGAGATGCCGGGCCCGGCCCTTGTGCAGTGTCCAACGGTTGTTTGCAAGCAAAGTTGTCAGTTACGGATATTTAGGATGCAGATCACCAACGGTCAACATAGGGCCACACCGTATCCCTGTGACATCAAATGATATTCCCGTGCCTAAGGTGGTAGTGTGCCCCGTGGCTTGCTCTGCGGTTTTCTGCCTGTCCGGCACGAGCCTTGTCTTCAACGTCCATCAGGTTAATGTAAGAGAGCCCGTGCGCTCAGGGTTGCTGCTCAACCAATGCTCTCAAAGATAGGAGTCGAAGAACCAGGAGAACAGACCGCTGTCCAAAAGGGTGGCATGGACTCGGTGTTTTTCTGCAGAAGGATCGGCGGTTGGAAGTCAATCATCTGCGAGTCTGTGGCCAGGGTAGGAAACAAACTCGACGCCGCTTCGCCGCTAGGCCAGCTTTAAACAGCCACCAGCAGTGCCCCGCGGGTGACGAGGTCTCGGCAAAGACACCAAGTCAATCTTGAAGTGGGGGCCGTGCAGGAGTCTTGACCGGACGGGGAAGACACCATGTTCATCGGAGCCCATCTTTCCCTACTTCATCGAGTCTCCGCGCTGCGCCGCAGTGAATCATGTTGCATACTATCCAGTCCAGTACGTGGAACATGGGGCCCAAGGACCCAGTTGAGACCATGATTTGCCACTGCTGGGCCGAGAACAGCCTGTTTGCCGTCCTCTCACTCGGCATCGAGGCCGGGGTGTGGGCGCACCTCAGCAGCGATGAACAGCCCAGGACGGTGGTCGCCATTGCCGACGCCACGGGCATGGAGGAAGCTATGCTCGCCCGGTTGCTGAAGCATGTCGCCGCCATGGGGTTCCTCTTCGAGACGGCTGGGACGAGTACAAGCCGACCAACTTCATCAGGTCGTTGACCATCCCCCATTATCGCTGCTGGATATCCCGTCTTGTAAATCACGGTTTGCCGCCAGTCGTGTTAAACTTCAACTAATCCAGACGTCTCACAGCACCAGCGCCGGCAACACGGGCGGCCTGGGCCGATGCGTGCTTGCGCTGCCCTCATATCTGCGAAAGACCAACTACACAAGCCCAACCTCCATGACAGACGGCAACCTGCAGTACGACCACGACATCAAATTCAACTGTTCGAGTGGCTACACGCCAATGAGCGCGGCATGGCCTTCAACCAGCACATGGGCGGCATACTCGCACGGCCGACCCAAATGGACCGACGCTGGCTTCTACCCGGTCCAGGAGCGCCTCCTCGACGACTTCGACGCCTCCTGCCCAGACGCCGCCTTCCTCGTCGACATCGGCGGCAACCTAGGCCACAACCTGCAAAGCTTCCTCGACCGCTTCCCGACCGCCCCAGGCCGTCTGGTCCTGCAAGACCTGGAACACGTCATCTCGGCTATCCCGCCGGACTCCGAGTCGTCCCTCTCCCCGCGCATCGAGCGCACCGTCTACGACTTCCACACGCCGCAGCCCGTGAAAGGGGCGCGCGCCTACTACATGCACTCGATCCTGCACAACTGGCCTGACGAGGTGTGCTGTGCCATCTTGCGTAACGTCAAGGCGGCCATGTGCCCAGGCTACTCGCGGCTGCTGATCAACGAGAATGTGATCCCCAACACGGGCGCCCAGTGGGAGGCCACGGCGCTGGACGTGCTCATGCTCGCGCTGCTGTCGTCCAAGAAGAGGACGCGGGTCAAGTGCGTTAGGTTGTTGGAGGAGAAGGCCGGGTTGAAGGTTAATGAAATTGATACTTTCGCGAATGGGGTCGAGAGCTTGATTGAGTTGGTTGTGCCGGAGTGAGGTGTTTTGGAATGAAGGGGTTGATAATAGGGAGGCGATTGGAAGGGGTCAGTATAATTAAGTGGCATTGGGAGGGAATCGATGCTTTGTTTCTCTGCCTTGCAACGTACAGTTCGTGATCCAGTATACGACATCGTGGGCGTCTATACAATTATCAAGCCGTGGCACCCGTAAGATTTGAGAATTCTGAGTTGGTGACGAAATACAGTTCTGCAAATTCCAGCTCTGATAAGAAATGGACGAAAGGTTAGGAGCCCGCTGAGGATCTTTAGCCTGACGCGGGCTGCTGCCTAATCAGGTAACTTAGCGCTTCAGCCGCACAATGCCAAGAAGAACTTGAACCTCGAAACTCTTAAACCCAAGTTTCCGACTTTGTTAATTGCGCGCGTCTCCGCTGACGCTGGTCCTATGTCAATCCTCGACTTCATCATCATGGCTGCCTCAACGACAAAGCAATTCCCCGGGCTTGGCCTGCCGATCGACCATGAGGGCAAAGGCCTCACCACGTTTCCGCTCGCCGTCGGCAGCAGACCGTGGACCAGCAACGGGGTCACCCTCCGCGAACAGCGCATGCTCGAATTCATCAGCAAGATTACCGACAAGCCCAATTGGGAAGTGAAGGTCTTTGATGAAGACATTGTGTCCCGCTGGTGTGCCGAAGCCGACGTCCGGCCCGAGGCCCTGGACGGGGACGTCTACCTCTCCCAGCAGATGTTTGACTTTGTGATTCTCTCTCAAAAGCCCTCTGCAACTTGAAATCTTACTTACCAGCTCGGACAGTGTATCGCCGAGTTGCGGGACAAGAGCGAGCAGTTCAAGCTGACTGGATTCGTCAGGGTCATGGATTCGGAGCTGACCGTCGTCAAGTCGGACCGTGCCATCTCCAGGGAGATACAAGATGAGCTCCGAGCCGGTGTCAAGCCGCTTGAGGATGTCCCCGACCATAAGAAAGACTGGCATCCTTACCAAGAGGACACGGTTCTCGATCTTGTCCACCCCTCTCTTTTCCCCGTGGTTTGGGGGCTCACTCGCGCGCTGGAGGAGGGCACCGTCCCGCTCGATAGCTGCGTCACCTACACAGGCAAGGGTGTCGTCCTACCCACTTACACCCCACCACCACGTCCCTCAGGATGGGACGCATCACCACCCAGGTTGTGGGGTTCTTTCCAGTGGCTACCGGCCCAGGTCGAGGTGGCAGCCGATGGGAGTGCCAAGATCACCAGCTACATCAACAACCTGCACCCTGTCGAGCATAAAGCACTGTACGCCACTTTGGAGCGCATCGTCGCCGCCACCGTTCCCCTTTGGGAGGACGCGCTGAGCGGCTTTGTCGACGGCCGTCGCTTTGATATTTCATACACTGGGTCCGAAGATTACACATTCCCGCCGGGGCTCAAATACCGCATCCCCGGACGCGAAGGTCCCAGGTCAGTGTGGGATCCCATCAATGGAACTTACGATGACGCCGGCGACGACGACGACGCCATGGACGATGACGAGGAGTGGCAATGGGAGAATCATTTCTACGACTGGAAGCGCGACAATCGCGTCCTCCTGTACCGCGAGCCACGGGCCTACATACCCCAGGCCGAACTGCTCGCCAAGCGCAAGAGCAGCATCAGCCTGCGTGACGACTTCCCAGACGGCCTGCAGGTCATCATCAAGCTGGCCAACATCCACCTGACGCCCGAAAATGCGGCCTACGAAGGTGGCTCGTGGCACGTCGAGGGCACGCTGAACGAGATGATCTGCGCCTCGGCCATCTACTACTACGACCAGGACAACATCACCGACAGCCACCTGGCCTTCCGCCAGGCCTTGGACCACGAGGAGATCATTATGATCCCCGAGCAGAGCGAGTACGATTCGCTCGAGAACTACCTCGGCGTGCAGCAGGACGAGTCGGCCGTACAGGACCTGGGCCAGGTGCTGACGCGCGAGGGGAGGCTACTCGTGTTCCCCAACTGCCTGCAGCACCAGGTCCAGCCGTTTGAGCTGCAGGACAAGACGCGGCCCGGCCATCGCAAGATCCTCGCAATGTTCCTCGTCAACCCCCACCGCCCCATCCTCTCGTCCGCTCACGTGCCTCCACAGCGCCGCGACTGGTGGGCCGACGAGGTTCGCAAGCAGGGGTCCCTGTCTGCGCTGCCGAACGAGCTCGTTGATATGACCATCGACATGGTCGACGAGTTCCCCGTCTCGTGGGACCGGGCCGTGCAGCTTCGGGAGGAGCTGATGGACGAGCGGGGCGGTTTCAACGCGGAGCTGACCCACTACTTTAATTCGGTAGGTGGCTGAGTACCTGGTTCTTGCTTGTAAAGGGGAAATTGAGCTAACGGGCACTCTCCAGCAAACATTCAGCTTCTGCGAACATTGATCGCACTACAGGGACTTGGTCGGCTGGAATGACAAATACCTCAGGCCAGGCGTGCGACAATTTGATTTGTATCGAGGGTTCGATGTCCGTCAAATACATTAGATCCTTCCTTCTAGGGGTTGAGGAGTGGTTGGCTGAGCGGGATACCTGATTGAGCGAACCACAATCATGCTCTAGATGTGATTAGAGAGACTTTGTGCATGCATTGCAGCAAGTTGATGGATGATATTCTAGAACCCTCCGCTGTTGAGACTCCCGAGTCTTCTCGTCGTGAAAATCTAGCAATAAGTGTTGAGTGGAGTCGGTCTCACACAAGGCCGCCTAGGCGTCTGTAATCTTCCCTTGCAAGCGGGCATGGAGACCTCCATGATGTCGTAAGCTGGAAGAATGCCGCAACTGTCCCTGACGAATAATACATCCGATTGTAACGGTTACATAGCGGCAGCCTGCGTTGCTGGCAGAGAACTACAGTACCAAAGTTACACTTACTACAGTACCTTAGGCAACATGACCCTGGTAACCACAGAAACTCAAGTCTATTTCCCAGGTGGGTTTTCGAGCTATTGGTCCATGTAGAACCATTCACTACTCACACTCCGAACAAGTCTCACTGAAAGAGGTTTCGGCATTTAATATAGGGACTTACAATGTTGCAGACACGTCCGTGTCCCGACACGATTTCAGTGTCAAAGTACCCAAGGTGGTCAGGCAGAACACCCCTCAATCTGAAGTCATCAGAGACTCGACCACACTGAATAATGGATATGTTTCTGTCCTCCGGGAGAGACTGCAGAGTCACTATAACTGTGGATAGGCGAATGTGCGCAGAGTCATCAGCCACCTCCCTGTCCAGGCTGTCCTCTCCTTCACCTCCTATTTTTCTTGCCCCATCCGCCCCATTCCTCGCATCCATCATCGGCTTCACTATGAGAAGCCTGGCATCCTTCTGCGTTCACGGGAGACCTCGGCGTGCCCCCGATCCAGTAAATCGCTAGTCCATGCGTGCCCAGCCGCCGCAGCAAAATCACGAGTCAACAAGGAAATCTTCCTCGCCCTTGCCCTGCTCTGTCCCATCTCATTCGTCGTCCCATTCCCGTCCCATCTGCCAATCGCATTGATCATGACCCTCCTCCCATTAAGTACGGGAAGTCTGCGCTGCCTGGCATGTTTTCCAGACCGCGCCACGCCTTTGCGGATAAGTAAGACTGCCTGGAAGCAGACTCAGCCTCCATATGCCTGCACCTCGCGCATGTAATCTCCTTGGATGGAGGATGAGACAGACCAGGCTTTGCCGCATGCGACGGGAGGCGGCGATGCCACCCAAGAAAAAAGAGGAAAAGAGACGGGAAAATATTCGAGATGGTACACTCACTGCTGCTGGCTTCCTTCCGAGCAGCGGTATGGAGATAAGATAGCTTCGTAGTCTGAAAGTTATCGTCACTCCGCAGGCTCGATGCGTTTCCGTTCACAAGACGCTGCCGCTGGGGCAATAACGGTCGAATGCGTCTAATAACCCAGACAACCCCCCCCCCCCAACTCATGTCCTTAGCAACAAGACAGACTGGTCCGCTTATCGCAAACCACATCAAGTCTGGATCTGCGCCGTCGCGTTGCGTGACCAATTGTCGTTGCGACCTCGGTAGCCGCCCCGGGAGTTTCTCCCGTGTGAGGAACCGGATCCTGAGGCGTTGCTGCCGCCCTGCTCTGCCGAGTACGAAGACGATGCCTCACGGCCTTTGCCCGGCCTATGCTGGGTCGACGATGCATGCCGCCCACCACGCGGTCCTCCGCCACGACGCGGGTTGCTGCGCGTTCGGCCAAACGGGATCGTGATGCTCTTGCTCTCGGTGCCGGGGATTCTGACGCGCCATACCGTCCCAGCCCCCGAAACGTCGACAGGAAAGCTGATAGGATCCCGGCTGACTACGACGGGGTAGAGCTTTTTGTGCAGCGGCTTCGGTGGCGGGCTAGGCTGCCAAGCCATCTCCGGTATCGTCTTGGGCAGCCTGATAGGCGGTGTCGACCCCATCTCCTGCTCCTCGAAGCACTCCTCGTCCATCACCTTCGATGTGACCGACTCATCGGTTCTCGGGTGGACAGTTTGCGGGACAGGCGAAGGGGCCTCGTGGTTGTGATGAGAAACGCGGCTGTCGGGCCCGGCAGCCCTGGACGGATGTACCTTCCGCCCGCCCAGCAGGCTGTCGATCTTGGCTTGCCACGTGCTGTCCGTTTTTTGAGCCGCTGCCCTCGGCCCATTGTCTGGCTCCCTGTAGGCCGCTTGCGCTGCCCAAGCAAAGCTTGGCCCCTGCGACCTCGACTGACCGGGAGGAGCTTTACCGGCATCTGCCTGCGTCTCCTTCCCTACCGAAGGAGGGAGCCGAACGACCGGATGCGGCCGCGGCAACGAGACATGTGGGTGGGTAGCGTCGCCATCGAAGGCGGGATGGCCATCCATATCGGGTGGAGGGGGAGAGGGAGATGTGTACCGCAACACTTCTGAGCTTGCTTCTGTCCGGACATCACGTCCCGCTTCTTGGCGGGCGTCTCTGGACGGGAAGAAGCGCGAGCCCCTGCCTTGTTGCGCTGTCGCCGTCTTTGCGCCAAGCATGGACGCCGATGCCAGGTCGCGAGTGGGCACTGCGCCTTGAGGAAGTTGGCTGTATTCGGACGTTGCACCGCTCGACACCGAAGGCGTTTGCTGCGGCGGTACGGATTTTGACTCGACGGCAGCCGCCCATGGGTTTTCCTGGCCAATCTGCAGGGTCTGCTTCGTGGCAGCCTCGGTGCGTACACCATTATCATCGAGCTTGACTGGGCGCCATGTCTCTCTGATGGCAGGCTGGATATCCGTCAGCGAGCGACCTTCCGCTTGCATACGACGCTGGCGGTCCTCGTATTCAGTGTTGAGCATCTCGGCGAACTTGTCGTCGTTGAGTCGCACAGCTGCGGCCCACGCAGTGTCCTTCATCTCACGGTCGCGCTCCGCCGAACCCCTAGAGGGTTGTCTCGGAGGACCAATCGGCGGCTGCCATGCGGGCGGTCCAGCACGAGCGCTGCTCGGCGGAGCAATAGGCCCTGGTCCGGTTGGAAGCTGTGGTGCCCCAATGTCGGCGGCGAAGGTGCCGTTCCCTAGGCTCCGGTTACTAATCGGCGCGGCCCAAACGTTCTTTGAAGGCTGCAAGCCCCAGCCCGCCGACTGCCGATCGGGTGGCCGCGCCGCCGGCGCCCAAGAGTGGCTATGGCTGCTGCCGCTGGGTTGTTGAGATCGAGGTTCGACACCGTCGAGCTGTGGCAGGGGTTGTGCTGGCGGTCCGTTCGACGGCGGGGTTGGCTTGGCCGGCTCAGACATAACTGCCGCCGCAGGCACATCCCTCTTAGCCACGTGCGATTCGGCTGGCGTAGACTTCTCGGAAGTTCCCTTTTCACGGGACTGGATTTGTGTGGGCGTCGCCGGTTGCTCTTTCGCTGCCGCTTTCTTGGCGCTGTTAGACTCGGGAGGAGGACCCAGTGCCTCCAGCTTCAGGCGGATCCGTTCCCTGCGCGCCGCCTCTTCTCGCGCTTCTTCCTCCTGACGGCGCCTCATGGCGAGCTCCCGGCGCTCACGCATCAGTCTCTTCTGCAACTCGAACTCATCTTCGGTAACGGCAACGCTGGATGGCGGCTGAGCGGGAGGCGGCATGCTACGCCCATCTGGAGCTGGGCCTCCCGTCTGAAAGGGAGTCGCGTGAATTGTGCCGGGGGAAGGCCTGGGCTGCCATGGCTGGCCCTGACGCGGTCCGCCTTGGACACCGGACGGGGAGAAATTCCTGGGCGAAGCGGGGCTGTCGCTTCCGCCGGTCTGGGATGCGCGACGAGCATTGATGAGCTCCGGAGGAGGGAGAGGGTGCTCGAGACTTTTAAGTCGCTGCCAGCTACCGCTTCCACCACTAACATTGGAAGATCCGCGTCTCCGCCCATAGGAACCCTGCTGCTCGTTGTTCCTCCCGGCCTGGGAAGCGCCCGGTGGCTCAATCGGCCCTTGTTGCTCATGGGGCAACCCTCGTTGCAAGAGGGCCGGCTGTCTGCCGTGCGCCGATGGCTCGTGGCGCATCGGACCGCGGCGGTCAAACACCGGCTCATAGCGGCCAGATTGCGAGTTGAAAAGCTCCCTGTTGGCGCCCGGGGCACCATCCCGCCAAGCGGCTCCTCGGCTGAAGTCGTCTGCCGCGATCTCCTTGGGGGGCGGTGCGGCATAAGTTTGTTGTTGAGTCGGGGCGTTCTTCGAAGGGAAAATTGGTCCAGCTTGGGTCGGCGCATCCACCGCCACCGGGGAGACTTTATCAATCTTGGGGAGGGGTGCCCACGGTGATTTCGTTGGCGCAGGCGGCGGCGGCGGTTTGGCAACCAGGGTTGGCTTCTCAGGCGCTCCCTTCAGGACAAGCCCCTTTCCGGAGGCAAGGACGCCGGGTTTGACGGCTGGGGAGGGCCCGGGAGCCGGCGGCTTCGCTTTCTCTGCCGGCTCGTTCTCCTTGGCTGTCGGAGGTGCGGCGGGTTCTGGCGCGGGCGCCGGGTGCTCTTCGGCGGGGGCAATGGCGATCTTGGTTCCGTCCTTCCACGTGATCGTATCTGGGACCCAGTCCTCGTCGTCGTCATCTATGTCGGCCCAGTTGGACTGGCTCGCTTTTGGGTCGTCGGTTTGAAGCCGCGTCGCCATGTGTATGCCGTACTTCTTGAGCTCCTCGTCGGTGTATTTTTTGGGTTCCGGGGGAGGAGCAGCTGTGGAGAACGTCAGCTTTCGGCAACGCAGTAGACATGAGACAGTGCAGCAGCGGTTGATTGCTCACGTCTATTCTTGTTCCAGACGGCGTTCCCGTCAGGAGCCGACTTCCCGCCGTTCGCTCCGGACCCCTTGGCAACCAGGCCGCTGCCGGCCTTGGCAACTAGCCTGGGTCGGGTAGATGTCGCCGCACCGGTGGAAGCGGCGGGTGCCCCAGTGGTGGTTGGGCCCGCCTTCTCTGGCGGTTTTGACTGCGCTCCGGGAGCCGAGGCCTTGGCCGTGAGGAAGGTCTTGTTGACATTGATGGGCTTGAACGAGGCGGGCTTCTTCAAACCCGAGGAAGCCCGGCTCTTCGCGTCATCCTTGGTCTTGGAAGCATCGGATTTGGCGGCCTCGTTGTCGGATCCTCCACTAATGCTAACTTCTGTCGAGTTCACCAGATCGTCAACGATGTCGGTAATGTGCTTGTTCTCGAACTCGTCCGTGGCGGAAGCGGAAGCATCGCCGTTTATGTGCGGTCGGTTGGAGTCGACATATTTCGAGTCGGTGTCGATGCTGATGTTCTGTGGGCGGGGCGCGACATCTGCGGTCAGCGAGAAGGAACGCGAGGCGGGCCAAAGATGAGAGAAGCGCAGAAGATGCTCACGAGCTCGGTTGCTGAAGTCAGAGTAGCTTCATCGGATCGCTCTTTGGGTGACTCAGTTGCCATCCTACGGTTTCGGGTCTCGTTGGTGATCGAATGGCGAGGTTTTGACCGATTGCGCGTCACCGAGTCGTGGGGTATCAGGGAGGTAACCGTGATAAATTCTAGTGTAAACTTGCAGTATCCAGTCAGCAACCTCTACTTACGACGAGGAAGCGCAGAAACGAGAAAAAAAAAGGCAGAGGTGTGAATGCTGATTCTCGTCTGGAAGAATGTCGATGGCTGGCGCAGACTTGGCTGTGCAACGCGCGAAAAGTGGATCATCTTACTTACCTCCTTCTCCCTTGATTATGATGCAGGGACCGAGGTTTAGATTACCTCTAGGTCTAGTTCCGGTGTTGCGGGAGGGATAAGGGAAAGGGCGGCCTTTCGAAAATTGGGATGGGGAAGAGGTTGTGAGCAGTGCGAGAGTCTGAGGCGATTGCGGCTGGCTGGCTTGTTCTCTTTTCGCCGACTGACTGACGACTCGGAAACGGGTTGGCACTTGGCAAGGGTCACAGCTGGTGAATAGACCGTTTTGGGCTTAGGTTGCCGCATCGGTTCCACACAACCCTCGCTGCTAACTGCTTGCAGTCGAACCCCCAAGTCTCATCGTGAATGGAACTGGAGAAAGGCAGAGCAAACGGGGGCAAAGAGCTTAAACGGTTTAGACCGTATTTGGTTTCAAGATTAGGGCACCTTTATGGATAGCAAACCAGCACCACTGGGCAATAACTCGTCGCTTACGGAGCACCTGTGTTTGGTCGTTTGGTGCGCGGTACCCGAGTCCGGCCTTGGGATGACCCTGAGGTCAACTTGTTTCGAGGAACCAGCTTAGTGTTGATTCATTTGTTTCGGCATCAAAAGCTCAATTTACCAAGTCAGGATGAAGGCGCCGTCCCAATGTTCTTCCCAGAGCTCGGCAGCGCCTCACATCAAACTGTCCATTGCTGAGCTTAAAGCATAATGTTGCGAGACTCGGAATGGCTGTGACGAGATATCCGCCCCGCAAGCTGGGATTCCATTGAGGAGCGACAAAGAGAACTCTGTTGCAGTGCGTGCTAGGCGCCCTGTCTATTGGAAACAGTTTATGTACACGCCCATGTTTTTACCAGTCAAGGACGCTCTCCCTCCGGCCCCTCCTAGTGGGCATGGTTCTTGTGATGGCCTGAGATACCAGTCAGCAACCCATTATCGCTCGCCTGTTGGTTTACAACTTACGGAGATGGAAGTAGTAGTTCTGAGCGTAGCCGACAACGAGGAGGAAGACGATGGCGTGGACAATAGCTGTAGCAGAGTCAGCAGTGATGTCCCTCGCATCCGGGCCTCAAAATGGGGTCGGTCACATACGCTTCGCCGTCGGGTTCTTGCCAAAGTGCTTGGCCTGGTATCTGCCGAGAATGCCGGTGGGCTTGACCTCGGGAGCCGGGCCCCGGGGAAGCTTCTCGTAGAAGTTGACAACGCGCTGCATGCGGAGAGCATCGGGGGCAGCCCCAATGGCCTGCGTTCTGTAGTTAGCCCGGCAGCTCCTCCCAATAATATCCTCCCAGCACTAATTCTCCGCCACTGGAAGCAGGCCTATCCTCCCATCCTCCCGCGCCATGCAAGAATGTAGAAGCTCCAATGCTCCTCCAGGTTCGGCTAGCCGGCGGACTAATTAACGGGGATAATCGACCACAGACACGTACCTTCGGGGAAGCGACCTAAAAACAACAGTCAGCCGTTATCCAAGCCCTCTCCTCACGCTCATAACGGCATACCTTGGGCGGGATGAGCGTCGAAAGCGCCCTGCGTGTGACGTAGCTCATTTTGGTAAAGTGCGTCGCGCGCTCGCAAACTCGTCGAGGGGTCAAAAAGAACGAGGAGAAACAGAGCAGATGGAGCTCCAGCTACTCAATTCGCAAGTCCAACTCAATTGGGGCGGCGGTCGTTTAAGAGAATTGAGCTGTTAAGTCGGGACTCGATTGAGCGGGAAAACCGCAGAGGTTGAACTTCCTGCGCGGTTGTTCCCGGCGAGCCAATCAAAAGCGTGTAGTGGGACCCACCGGCAATTGGACAACTCCGTCCTAGTGCATGTCGAATTGAATCGCTTCACCAAGAACAAGGCAGCCTTGGTGCAGCTGCCCTGATTCACAATCGCCAATTCCTATCAACCTTCACTTTCAATATCCGGAGGAGGTGTGAACAGCCATGTCCCAACTACGACCATTCGCCTCAGCAGCGCGGCTGCTGCGCAGTGCGTCGCACGCCCGCGCAACCAGCATCCTCCCCGCCGCACGTCGCTATGTGTACGACAGCTCGAGCGCAAAGACGACCGAAGTGTCGGCCAAGGGAGAGCAGGCGAAGAAGGAGCTGTCACCGATGGCCACGCTACCGCGAAACGCGCCCGACTATAACGTCCCCGTCGACATGGCCACATCGTACGGACTGACTTCCGCGTGTGACACCACCCAACAACCGAGAGGCTTGGACTGACATTTTGTGTCCTCCAGAACCTTCACCCCGGTCCCCAAGCGCGTGCAAGACGGCAGCGAGGAGGGTATTCTGCCTGCAGCTGTTATCTCCGGCGCACCGATCGAGCTCCAAGCAAGGACAGTCCGGTACATTATCCCCCCACCCTCCATCACTCTCATCTTCCCCGTTCTCGCAAGACCACGGTTCTCACATTCTCTTTTCCTTTGACAGAATCTTCAAGCCCAGCAAAGCCGCCTCGCAATCAGGGGAGCACCTCAGTAAACGATGGCGTATGGACTGGGACGTGCTGCCCAAGGGCCACCGGTGGGAGAACCCGCTGATGGGGTGGCAGTCGTCGGGCGACCACATGCAGGCCGTGGGCCTGACGTTCAGGACCAAGGAGGAGGCCATCGCCTTTGCCGAGAAGCAGGGCTACGAGTACTTTGTGCAGGAGCCCAACGAGCGCAAGTTTGTGCCCAAGGCCTACGCCAACAACTTCTTGTACTCGCCCGGCAAGCTCAAGCATGTCCGGACCAAGTAGGCGGGCTTGACGTTTTGGGAGGTCGGTGATGTACATAGAATGGCGAGGGCGAGACTCTGGTTTACACAATGTTCAAGAAGTCGGGCTTTATTGATAGAACTCACGGCATTTCCATTCTATTTGCGTAAGTGGATACAGCGCCAGCAATCCTCTCATGCGACGGCCACGCGGCCAATCACTGTAAGTATCCATTCCCGATCATCATAACCAACAAGACTGTCACGCTAACGCCATAATGATATCTCCATACCCATCCTCCGGCAGTGACCATCTCCCAGTCCCACCAGCGGTGCCGTTCCCAAACGCCCAACTACAGACCATAACCTGATCTCCCAAGCACCATCACAATAAGCCTCATCCACTCATGTCGTAATCATCGGCTCGTGGCCACTCTCACCGTACTCGGCGCCGTCAGCATTCAGGCCGAGTTCAATCGACTCAGGCAGGTCCTTCTTCTTGCCGCGCACCGACGTCTCGGCCCAGGCGCGCATGCGCACCAGCTGGCGTATAGCAGCCTCCCTACGCTGGTTCTGCCGCAGCAGCACCGCCTCATTGACCTTGGCTGCCGTCGTCCGCCGGAGATCCGAGCTCAGCAACGCCCTGAGCTCCGGCTTGAGGTTGTCGTGCGAAAAGATGATCAACGACATGGTCTGCTCAAGGTCGTTTAGAAAGTCACGGTTGCTCGCTGCCCGCGGAGCCAGCTTCTTGGACGCGAATTCCAGCGCTGGGGTGACGTCCCCACCCTCGCACTGCCGGATTAACTCGACAAGCTGTAGCCGGAGTAGTGAAAAGTGCAGCTCCGGGTTCGTGTCGAGCACCTGATGGCTTTGTTAGCCCCCGGTTCGAAGTGGGAACGGCAAAAAGAGGAAGCAGGATACAATGGGTTGCTCATATCAATAGTGGTTGTGCCTCATCACGGGCCGAAGCCTATGCGTGGTGCATGATGAAACTCGTATTCTAATCATAGCAGCAAGGAAACAGTGAACAAGAACGAAACGGGACCTGCCTCTGGATCAAGCTCGTTCAGCGCCGATATCGCGGTCTCGATGTTGCCGCTGTGGATGGCATGTTGGATTTCTTGCCGTTGTTGAATGGAAGCGTGCGGCTGTTGCGCCTGCAAGTTCGCCTCCTTACAAAACTTGGCAGCCGCTTTTGGGTACCCTTCCATCGTCAAGTAGTCGAGAATGAGAGCATTGATGTCCCTGACTCAGGAGTCAGCATAATGCCCGTGCATGGAATGAGCAACAAAAGCAAGAGATGGGGGGGTTAGGGCAATCAGGGTATAACGAGTATTGCAGGGTTCCTCTACATGGAGTTTTCAGAGAGATTCCCATTAATATGCAATCATCATTTTGCCGGGTTCAGTGTCGGGCGTGCCATGGGCAAGACGGACAGCTGGGTGAAGGCGCTTACTTCTTCGGGGCCTTGAGTTCGGCGACCCGCTTCTCGAAGCCATGTTGTGGAGAGGGAGTCGCCGTCGACATCAGGGAATTCTGTTCCGAGCATGACGGTCAGCATCCAAGTCCCTCGTCGTGGACCGTGCCAGGTGACGTACCATCCGGTCAAGAGCCTCGCGCAGCTGGGCAAGGTCTCGGGATGCCGAATCAAAGTCGAGTCCGCTCGCACGTTCAACAACTGTTCTCCAGTTGGACATATGCCTCGTTGCCGGGACGCGATGCCTCACATTTGCGTTTGGATGTTCCCGGACCCTGGGTAGGCACGCGGGGGTTGTGCTAATTGAAGGAAAAAGAGTAAAAAAAAATGGAAGCGGGAGTGGACTCGAGAAGTGGAGGATTCGAGTTGAAGCTGCGCGGTGGTCAGAAGAGTGAACCAACAAGAACCAGTGCGCAAAACGGCCAAAGCTCTTGCCTGGTTGTGGATCTCCGGGGTCCTCATTTGATCTAGGCTGCCAAGCAGTGACGGGCCGATTTTCAAGCTTGACAGCTGAACGGAGAGAATGCTCGCGAGTCGCGACCGGCTTTGCTTTGGAACAAATCAGACAAGGCACGAACTGTTGACGTCGGTACGGGGCCCCAGCCTTGTGCGTGGAGAGGCAGAAACCGCAGATGGACTTCGCATTATTGCTTCCACAACTTACCTACCTTAGGTAATTGTCATGATCAACGACTGACAGAAAGGTCAAAAGACTGCCCCTCATTCGCCTCCTTCTTGTCCAGGCTGGCAGCGTCAAACAAAGAACATCCCCCGTCAACATGCCGGCTTCCGTGGCCGTCGAGCCGGCAGCCGTCCTCAACGGCGTGGCAAACACCGAAGTAGAAGCAGATGGCACCATCGCGACGCGGGCTCATTATTCCCCGCCCTGGGCCGATGTCAGTATTATTGGTATCGCCGGCAGTTCTGGCTCGGGCAAGTCGACGTTGTCCCACGCCATCGTGAACAAGCTCAACCTGCCGTGGGTTGTCATCCTGTCCATTGTAAGTCCACGGAGGACCCGGCCAGTCACAAAAGAGAGGCTTATTGGGATTGCCATTTCTACATGTAGGACTCTTTTTACAAGAGTTTGGATCCAGAGTCCTCGAGGAGGGCGTTTCGGAATGAATACGACTTTGACTCGCCAGACGTAAGCCCGAGTCACCCCCGGGACTCCATTCCACCCCTGCTCATCGTCACCGCAGGCCCTAGACTTCGATGTCCTGGTAGAACGGCTACGTGATCTCAAGGCCGGGTAAGCACAGGACGGATGCAACGCGAACATAGCCGGCCAACCAGAAGCTGATGGGGCCGTTCACTGTAGGAAACGTGCTGAGATTCCCGTATATTCGTTTGAGAAGCATGCCCGCCTGGACCGGACAACGTCGATTTACTCGCCGCACGTCCTTATCCTCGAGGGTATCTTTGCTCTTTATGACCCCAGGGTCCTGGAGTTGTTGGACATGAAGGTGACATCGACTGCCTCTCCGCACAGCGCTTCCCACGGCTGACGACGGACAAGATATTCTGCGAAGCGGATGCAGATACCTGCCTTTCAAGAAGGAGTACGTATCTGAGTGCTTGGCTTCAGCAGCAAGAGCTAACATGGGCGAAGTACTGCGCGATCAGAGGGATCGTGGGCGAGATATTGAGGGCATCCTAAAGCAATGGTTTACCTTTGTCAAGCCGAACTTTGAGAAGGTACGCCTAGGTATCCTGCTCTCCGCCGAGACTGATGACTGACCGTTTGTCTACAGTACGTCAACCCTCAACGAAACGTCGCCGACATCATCGTGCCTCGAGGCGTTGAGAACCACGTCGCCATGTGTAAGTGAACCGCCATCCACGGAACATGAGTCAGAATCTGATCCAAGCAGCCATGGTGGTCCAGTTCATCCAGCAAAAGCTGCTCGAGAAGTCAACCCATCACCGCGCCGCACTTACCCAGTTAGAGATTGGAGCTCAATCGGAGCCGCTGTCGGACAAAGTGATTGTGATGAACCAAACGTCCCAGCTGCGCGGCATGAACACCATCATCCACAACATCGACACCTCCAGCGAGGACTTTATCTTTTACTTTGACCGCCTCAGTGCCCTGCTCGTGGAGCAGTACGTCTGCCCCTCCCCAGTTTCCCCGTCCCTCTCCAACTCGGGCAGGACCCAGGAACTGACCTACCCTCCACAACCCACAGGGCGCTCAACAAAATCCCCTTCACCTCCTCCGCCATCCCGACCCCGCACGGCCAAACCTACCCGGGCCTGCGCCCAAAAGGCGAAGTCTCAGCCGTCATCGTCCTCCGCGGCGGCGCCGCCCTGGAAGCGGGCCTCCACCGGTGCATCACCGACTGCAAGACGGGCCGCGTCCTCATCCAGAGCAACGTGCGCACGGGCGAGCCCGAGCTGCACTACCTCGTGCTTCCCGACGACATCGCCTGGCACGAGGCGGTGCTGCTGCTTGACGCGCAGATGAGCAGCGGTGGGTCGGCGCTCATGGCGGTGCAGGTGCTTGTGGACCACGGCGTCAGGGCCGAGAGGATCGTTTTGGTGACGTATAGTGCGGGCAGGATGGGACTGCACCGGTTGACCAAGGTGTTTCCTGAAATTACGGTTGTGGTGGGGCACGTGGTGCAGGATATTGAGGAGCGGTGGGTTGAGAGGAGGTATTTTCGGTGTTAAGGGTGGTTAGTACTCAGTATGATTACCTTGTGGGATGGCTATGAAGTCAGGACGATGGCTTGGAGGAGGAGGCGGTTTTGCATGGCCTGGCGTATTCATCTCCATGTGCACTGGAGATATTCCGAAGCCATCTGACCAGGGTTGGAGTCTTTGCGGGCGAGTCATTATTGACGTTTGCTTGTGAAGTTGCATCAACCTATTTCTGGTTGCCAGCTCCAACCAAGAACATGGAAGCGGCACGGCTGTCCCGGATCATGTCTTGTTGATCGTACCCCTGGCGGCCTCGTAAATTACGACACAGTGTGGATAATGCGACAGATTTCAAGAGAAGCTTGGATTCTCACCAGAACCGTACAGTGTAGCAGCCGCTGACTTGACGGTGAACCTAAGGTAAATGCTGAGTCAGAACCTAAGGACCCCTGCAAGCTGCAACTGCAGCTGTGCAGTCACTGACGTAGCGATCGCTGTTGGTGTGAGCTGCGGCATGTACCGCCATTTTCTTAAACCCAACTGCACACTCGTTTTACCACAGAGATACTCGCATATTGCTATCTTCAACTTCAATTGTGCCAAGTTTTCCTTGTTCTTCCGCCTCTTCAGCTTCTATTTGTAGTACCCTACCTAGCTGTGGAGCAGTCCCTTATCGCAGCCGCTCTTTATTGACGTCACGGCCACTTTCAAACACCACGAAAATATCGCTATGCTCGGCACCCGGGCAGCTCGACAGACTGGGCGCTTTGGTCCACGAGACACGAATTTGACGGCACGCCAATGGACACGAGTCCAACCCTTATTCACCAAGTCGTCGTCCCGGTCCGGGCAAGCAACGCAAAATCATGGCGCGGTCAGGACAGCAAGCCAGTTGAGGCGCATTCTTAGCGCGCGCGTGGTGCTCGCGCGCCAATTATCAGGCAGGCCCCTCCCGCAACGCCAGTCAAGGCTTCTAAACTTTGGTTACCGCGCCGCTGCTATGTTGGGCAGCTCGGTGCTTCTGATCGGCGCCGGGATCGTCGGCTTCTTCCTCTACGATGCGTCGACCTACCGGCAGCATTCCAGCCAAGTCGACCTCGACGTTTCAGCCCTCGCCCTCAGTCCCCGCCGCGGGGGGCCCAAGAACCTCCCGATTCTCGAAAGCTTTCTCGACGATGACGACAGCGAGGAGATGCGCAGGCAAAAGGAGAAGCCGAGGCTCGTCGTCCTCGGAGGCGGCTGGGGCGGCGTCGCCCTCCTGAAGGAGCTCCACTCCGAGAACTACCACGTTACCGTCATCTCCCCGACCAACTACTTCCTGTTCACGCCGATGCTGCCTTCGGCGACGGTGGGCACCCTCGGACTGAGGTCGCTGGTGGAGCCCATCAGGAGGATCATACACGGCGTTGGGGGCCACTTTCTCCGCGCCCGCGCCGAGGACGTCGACTTTTCGTCGCGCTTGGTCGAAGTGTCCCAGATAGACTGCCATGGCCAGGAGCAGAGGTTCTACGTGCCATACGACAAGCTGGTGATTGCGGTCGGGTCCGTCACGAACCCGCACGGCGTCAAGGGACTCGAACACTGCCATTTCCTCAAGGACATCAACGATGCGCGGGAGATTCGGAACAAGGTCATTGCCAACTTGGAGCTGGCCTGCCTCCCGACGACGACCGACGACGATCGGAAGCGCCTTCTGTCCTTTGTTGTATGCGGCGGCGGTCCCACAGGAGTCGAGTTCGCCGCTGAGCTCTTTGACCTGCTCAACGAGGACCTTATCGAGCTGTTCCCCCGGCTCCTGCGCAACGAGATATCGGTCCACCTCATCCAGAGCCGCGACCACATTCTCAACACGTACGACGAGTCGCTCTCCAAGTACGCCGAGAACCGGTTCGCGCGCGATCAGGTCGAGGTGCTGACCAACTCGCGCGTGAGCGAGGTCCGCGAGGACTCGATCGTCTTCACCCAGAAGGACGAATCGGGCAAGATCGTCACCAAGGAGCTGCCCATGGGCTTCTGCCTCTGGTCGACAGGCGTCTCGCAGAACGAGTTCTGCAAGCGCATCGCCAAGAAGCTCGGCTCGGCCCAGACCAACCGCCACGCCCTCGAGACCGACACGCACCTACGCGTCAACGGCACGCCGCTGGGCGACGTCTACGCCATCGGCGACTGCGCGACCGTGCAGAACAACATCGCAGACCACATCGTTACCTTCCTCCGCAGCCTGGCCTGGAAGCACGGGTCGGACCCGGAGAACCTCCAGCTGCGCTTCTCCGACTGGCGCAGCGTCGCCGAGCAGGTCAAGAAGCGCTTCCCGCAGGCCGTGGGCCACCTCAAGCGCCTCGACAAGCTGTTTGCCGAGTACGACCGTGACCAGTCGGGCACGCTCGACTTCGGCGAGCTGCGCGAGCTGCTCAAGCAGATCGATAGCAAGTTGACTTCGTTGCCGGCGACGGCGCAGCGCGCGCATCAGCAGGGGCAGTACCTCGCCAACAAGTTCAATAAGCTGGCCCGCGCGACTCCGGGATTACAGGCGAACGACATTGTCGATGGGGATTTGGATGCCGCCGTGTACAGGGCGTTTGAGTACAAGCACCTAGGCAGCCTGGCGTATATTGGGAACTCGGCCGTGTTTGATCTTGGGCAGGGGAGGGGTGTGGCCGGTGGGTTGTGGGCGGTGTATGCGTGGAGGAGTATTTACTTTGCGCAGAGCGTCAGTTTTAGGACGAGGGTGTTGATGGCGATGGACTGGGCGAAGAGGGGTTTGTTTGGGAGAGGTGAGTTCATTACGGGAAGCTTATCCGGGGGCGATTGTGTGGCTGACCTGTGGCAGATCTGATGAGCTTTTAAAGGCATTTCCTGGGCGCATGATACAGATTTAGAGCAAGCTGAGAAGATTGGTCGATTCTTGCGGTAGAGGCCGGATATAGGATGGCCGTTGCTCTTAGGACGGGATGCGACATTAGAAGATGAGTGGTTTCACATCATACTGACTGGATTATACCGGCGTCGAGCTGCATGCCTAGCTCTTGGTTACACCTTCGGAGAGAATTTGAGTGGTGCCGGCAGTGGCTGGGTATCATTGAACTGAGAGCGCGATCGGGCTGCTCCGACTCTTTCTCTCTCATGCACCGCTGTAGTGAAGCCCACCTCTCTGCTACTGTGAATTCCCACTCGATAGTTCAAAACGTCAAGCCAGGGTTCCGGAACGGAATCAGCGCTAGCACCACGGCCTCCTCATAGTAACCCCCACGGTCAATCACATCCCCCGTCAACAGTCCAACCGAGCCATTCTTCTGCTTCGAGTTCCGCCCCCCGAACATAACCTCATCCGCGTGCCCCAGCTCCATGCCCCCCTTAACCAGCCGCGACGTCTCCCGCGGGAGGTAATACGTCGCCGTGCGCGCCTTGCCCAGCATCATCATCCCGTTTTCGCCGGCGTCCAGCTTACTACCGGCCCGTGGACCGAGCACGACAACCCACGCAAACGACCTCATCATCTCCTCAGTCTCGTCCTCGGGATCAAAATCCACCCCACCCTCGATCCCTACCCAGTAATCTGCCCCCGGCTCCAGCTCCCGGGCCCGCTCGGCGCGGTTGCGTGCGCCGAGCAGCGTCTCGGCGTCTGAAATGGGCTGGTCGGGGACGCCTGAGGAGACTGACACGCCCCGCACAGTGTGCCAGGCGGGCGTGGTGGTACCGGCGCTGCTGGTCACGATGGTGGTTTCCTGGAGGGGAAAGATGCTGGTCGAGACGGTGGTGCTGGTTCCGGATGGCGGGGGGAACATGCGGATGAAGGCGTTGTGGGCGGCGCGAATCTTGACGGGGTTTTTGGAGGCCACGATGATGCTTAGGGGTTTGGGGCTGGTGGAATTGCCCGGGACGACGGTGCTGGTAATGGTTGCGGTGCCTGTCGTGCCGGTGAGGGGAGGGGTTTCGGTGTTGGTGGGCTCCATGTGGTCTCCGTCTTGGGATGGCATCTTGTGTTGGGGCTTTTGACTGTGAATCCAGGGGGATACAGGAGTCTGCTTCCACGGGTCACTTGTCAAAGGAAGTAAGGATCGAAAGATGGCGGATGATCAGCTCAAGGATTCACATTGAAGAGCGGAAATGTTTAGTCTCTTTTTTTTACGTACTCCGTACAAGAGTACCCGGACCGAAGGACCCACTCCAAGCTCCAGCCCGTGTTGGAACTCGGCAACACAGGAAGGGGGCGGCCTTCGTATCCTTCATCTGATCTCCAGCCTGCATCGTTCTTGACAACACGTTTGGTGTTGAAATTCGCCAAACAAACCTGAAAGCACAACACTTGAAAAACCCATCAATTAGTAGGCTGCTGAAAAGTCGATCTCCGCTCAACTTTCATCACGGATCAGATCATCCAACAACAGCCGCCTTGACAGGTGCCAGAGGCCTGACTTAGGTTATTTGCCTTCCACCGCAAGGAGCACGAGGCACAACTAGTTATGGCTTTCTGGAGTTCTCTGTCGAGCGATCAAATCGGACCACTTCTCGAGGTCGCTGACCAAGTCCACCCCGATCTGCCCGAAAGCGCCCATGTTTTCGCCGAGCGCGTTAGGCTCTTCCCAGAGGGCTGCCTCGGGCTTGTGCGGCACGATGACGGCAAACTCTGCGGCTACGCTATCTCGCACCCCATCCGCGCCCGCGAGCCTCCCGCCCTAGACAGCCTGCTCGGGGAGATTGCGCCAGATGCGGACCAGTACTACATCCACGACGTTGCCGTCCTCCCCGGTTTCCGCGGGAAGGGTCTCGCAGCCGAGGTCATCCGGATGCTCATAGAGGTCGCGTGGCGGCACAACTATCGGACGACGTGCTTGGTTTCGGTCTACGGCACAGCGCCGTTCTGGGCTCGTTTCGGGTTTGTGTCCCAGAAGGTCGGCGCAGCCTTGGCCAAGAAGCTCAAGGAGTATGGCGAGGATGCGGTTTACATGTCGTGCCAAGCTGGACGATGATGCCACAGCGTGCCTGAGTTTTGGTGGTACCCGCGATTCCGGGATCAACCTGATTACCTAGAGATTTGGGTGGTATTTTGCAGGTGGTGAGTAACCGCTCAAGACTCCCTGAGCCATTTCTCCGTAATGCTAAGGGGGCTTGGAGCCTTGAAGTCATCGTAGGCATGATCCTCCAATAACACGTCCCGCAATCAATCCAGGCCGTTCCCGGTAAAGCCGGCCGGGCATCTGGTCTGCCTTACACTCCTCCTGGTCGCGATACGGCTGCATGGCTAACGCCAAGAGCAAGTCCAGGACCACTACATATTGGGAAAGGGCGGTGCATATGCATTTGTCCCCCTGCGGCCCGCAGTGTCGGCGCAACGGGACCCGTGCATCTAGACATAAGGCTTGGATGAAAGAAAAGACCAACTGGACTGCTAGGTTCCTTCAGCATCTGTTCCTCTCCTTCACACCCGAGCCAAAACATAATACTGGCTTCGTCGGCACTGGCAGGTTGCGATATGAATACTGATACCACGGGCCACGGTTTTCGGCCTGGACGAAGCACATACCAAGGTATTTCAGAGCCTTGAAGGACCGGTTTCCGTCAGAAGGTTATGTCAGGTTATCTGGCGGCGGCGAGCAAACGGACGGAAAGGCTAACAAGGAATCAAGTCCAGCAGGTGTCCTTCCCCAGGAGATCATTGCTGCCTAGGGCGACGATGGCGAGCTTATCCTAGCCAAGTTTAAAAGCGGCGCACACGTTCTCCGCATCGTGCAGTACTCTATGCGTCTGGCGCTCGGGGAATCGAGTCCCGCCTTGACCGCATCATGCCCGTCCACCTCCCAAAGCAGTGCGGAACCCGGTCATGAACAGCAACCACCAAGTCATCCCACCTACAAGGTCGGTTCCGTTCAACGACTCATTGTCTGACATACGCCTCATCAAGCTTCTGCCGGGTCACGATGGTGATCCCATCGCCATGCAACTCTTCGTCACGGACCGAGGCTGCGACGAGTATGAAGCGCTGTCATCCGCCTGGGGTTCCCGCGATGCCGAGGTATCTGTCAGGGTGGGCAGGGAGCCGTTTCGAGGTTTCGGCGAATTTGGGTGAGGCTCTTCGCTGCCTGCGGTGTGAGGATGTTTCTCGCGTGATCTGGATATACCCTATTTGCATCAACGAGTCCGACGATGCGGAAATGTCGACGCAGGTCGCCGTGATCGGTGACATATGCTGAAACGCCGCCTACGTTGTCATTTTCTTGGGCGGCGAGAAGGACGATAGCGATCTGGTTATAAGATACCTCGAATCTTGAGGACGAGGCTGAGGGACCAGATGGCAGGGTGGGCAAAAAATATTCGTTTTGGGCAAAATCAATATTACTAAGCAATCGAATATTGATTCAAAATAACTATTGAAAATATCGCATGGCTCTCATCCTGCTTAGTCATCATCAATATCTACAACGTCTGCAAACTCCCCAACCAGTGCGGACCTCTTCCAATGCTTCAAACATTCGAGCATCTCAATAGTCCCTTCCCCCAGTTGCATCCTTTCCCATGATATCGTTCGGCGAGCCCCAGAAAATACCCGCTCGGGCTCTGCGCTCATGGCTGGGATTGATAAAATATTGATCGCGAATTGTGAGAGCAGCGGCCAACGTTTCCGTTGCTGAGAATCCAACCACCAGGACAAAGCTGACTTGTCAATAGGGGTTGCATGCTCTGATGTGTATTCTTCGGAGTCATCTTTGCTGTGCGGTCGTGGGAAGTTCGCAAGGTTCCGAGCGAAGATGTCGTAGTCATCGTCAAGGTCTTCTGTTGGTTCTTCGACAGGTGGAGCCAATGATGGAATGAAATCTCGGTTCTTGAAGTGATCCCAGAGCATCTTGACAGCTTAGATAGCCGGCCGTACCCATTTTTTATCCCAATTGTGCTTGAGATATCCAGTTCGCCGTGAAGGGTGAAGAATGATGGCCGCTGCGTAATATGGCGAGTCCTCTGTCTTCAGATAGTATTTGTCGAAGGCTGCCCAGCTCCTTTGAACCCGAGGAGCGAAGAAAGTGTTCGATCTGAAAGTGGCAAGGCTCTTCTTGAAGTGTTGAACCAGAATGTCCATGGTGAAAAGAACTCGGTCAATGGTTGCATAATCTCCTTCAGTCTCCTTGGTTGCGCGGTAGAACGGCTTCAAGAATGAGAGGACTGATCGAAGGGTTTCCCAGTCTAGTGGAGATAAGAAGTCATTCTGGAGATCATCGTACCAAGTTTTTGAGTAAGAGTCAATCGCTGATTCCTTCTCAATGGCGACCTTGAGCATTTCGTACCAGCTATTCCACCTGGTGCTATTGTCGAGAGGGATATTCCGAGTGGCAAGTTCTATAAACTGGCGAGTTCGAGTAGGGGAGCCGCGGGTGTGAACGACAATGTTGTGAAGCTTCCCAAGAGGGCCAAGGTTGCGTAGGGAGACCTTTCTCTTCTCTATAGTATTTTTTTCTTCATCCTCTTCCTCTGTTCCTTCTTTTAATTCTTGAAAGAGAAAGGCTTGAACTGCCAAGTTGATAACATGGCCGTTGCACCGGATCCGATTATCTGATGCCACCCACGTTGACCCTCCCTCCTCAAGAATAGAGCCAAGCAATCGACAAAGCTTGTCGTTTGAGGAGGCATTGTCGCCGATGATTGCGCCGAGTTTCTGATGGATCCCATAGTCTTTGAGAACCGACAAGAGAGCTTCGCATTGAGAGTCGGCGTGATGTGAATAAATTGAAGGAAGTCCGATCAATGCCTTGGAAAGCCTCTCCGTTTCGCGATCCACAAACTGAGCACAAATTCCAAGGAAGAGCTTCCTATTTGGAGAGGTCCACACGTCGAGAGAGACATGGATTGTTGATAGAGATGACTGAAGCCTTTTCCGCACAAGGTCTTTATGAGAGAACCATGATTTTTCGATTTGGCTTCTGATTCCAGAATGCGAAGAGATGACTTCGTTTGACGCCGTGGGATTGAGGGCTTTGCAAAGAGTATGAAACTCTGAGCTCTCGACGAGTCGGAAGGGGAGGCTGTGCACAACAATGAGGTGATGATTGCCTCGGTGATGACCTCTTTGTTGAGACACTTCTTGAGGATCTGAGTGTCTAGCTCAGAGGTTTGGTTGGAGACTGATGCCTGGTTGTAAAGATTTTGCAACGTAAGGCTGCTCGGTAAATCGACTGCTCGGGAGGCGCCGGGAAGAATGCCGTGTTTTGAGAGAAGATGTTGTTTGAAGTTGGAGGTGTTTTGGGCACCGTAAGAAGGGCAATATTTGCAATAGTATATCCGATTTTTGCCCTTGTGTGTTGGCTCATCTTCTCGAGGCGGTCGGCTGTGGTCTTTTGCAGCTTCACTTGAACGAATAGATGTGCCCTTGGATATGACAGAATCTTCGGACAGAAAAGACATGTTTCCCCTACATTTGACCTGCTAGGTATACTGATGATTGGGGTGAAGAGCTATTGGAAGTCGTGGCACTTGAGACATGAGAGTTCGGTTGCCGGTGCCCTAACACCAGAGTGCATGTAATATGGCTGCCCGACGTAAGCGCCGTGCAGCCCAGAAGTGAGGGGTCAGCCGGCAACGAGCCATTTCACAGGATCATGCCTGCAAATGTCAAATAGAACAGAGAAGAACAACTGCCTTCAATTAACGATTTAGGATCTACTCAAGAAATACCTGGAAAAAAATTATGTTGTAAGTTCCTATCAAGCGTGTGTGGGTAAAACCGTGGCTGTTGGTCTTCTGATAAGAGCACGGTCCCTTTCAATATTTTCGAATATTGAAAATATTCGATTAGTCATCAAATAAAATATTGATTTCTGACCAATCGATTATTTTTATTTATCGCCCACCCTGCCAGATGGCAACGGCTTTGGATTCTCTGCGGCGCCAACCGCATATGGGCACGGCGAGATGGACCAAGACATACCCATTGAAGACTGCTGGGCGCCCAAGCGGGGCCGATTCGGCGTTGCGGGCTGGAACCGGTGCGGTTTCTAAGTGTCGTCAACGCCTTCTTCGAGCGGGCTTGGTGGTACGTTTTCTCGTTGCAGTCCGTTATTCATATGACTAGGGTACCAGGATGCTAATCATTCCCCCCAAGACTCGCGTGTGGACTGTTCAAGAGTTTGCCTTGGCGAGACGAGAGCAAGTGTGGTGCTGTATGCGTCGCTCCCTCTCGTCCCCACGGCTAGTCCACGAGTTAATGTATCTCGTCCGGTATATTTCGGAGGAGAAAGAATCGCCGGATACTGGACTCCCAGAGATCGTTTCGCTTCCCCGATTTGGCGCAGAGGGCCAGTTCGATACCTTGCTCAAGACCTGTTCCGTCGTAAAGGAACTCATGACGAAGAAGGAGGCACTGCCGTTGAGGCTGGCCCTGTACAATCTCGATTATCAAGAGAGTACAGATCCACGTGATTATAACTACGCCCTGCGCGAACTGCTGATCCCAGTTGAAAAACCGCCTTCACGCCAGGCTATTCAATCACGGTTGACGAGCTCCTTGTCAAGGCACCAAGTCCCCTGCTCTTTGTTTGAAGACTGGAACCTTCACCTTTATGCCAGCTACGAGTTGCTGCGCTCACCCGGCATGCCGTCATGGGCTTTTAACTTCGCGAAACACTCGTCGTCGGCTGCAGAAGAACACCATGCCGCCCTTTGGAACAGATCATCGCCGTGCCCGGCCGGGCTGGCCCACTTCTCCGGCCGCCCGCACTGAATAGCGGCACCCTGAGAATATCTTGCCTCATCCTTGACACGCTAGACAACATTATTTCCCTGGGTATTCCCAGCTCCGACACAGACAAGTTGGCGCTCTCATAGAGAGCTTACGTCCTTCTCTAGCACCGCCAGCCGTCGGAAGTGCTGGCCGAGGTGGCTATAATGTGGATTCCAGGGACGTGTCTGCTTCCTCTCTCTGAGCCCGAGAGCGGGTCGGGCACCGTCAGTCCTCTATTCTGGACAATAACTTACCAGATTTCAAGATTCAACTAGTTTCGCCAGGTGGCCATGCCGTACGGGCGATCGCTGCCACGTTGCCCCATCCTACTTCCTCAGTTTCGGCTCGGGTTTCTCACTTTTCTTGAGGTGTGGAGGTATGCGCGGCGTCCATATTCATCTAATCCTAATGATTCCAGACCTAATCCAGCATTAGTTTCTTGATTCCAGCAGACGGCGACCATGAAACCTTTTATACGGGTGCTTGCTTCGATCACGAGAATCTCAAAGCCAGAATACTTAGTGTTAAGTACCAACCAGGCACGAAATCAGAAGCGCTGGCCTCTTTTCCCAGAGGGGGAAGAACCTCTCGACGAGACACCGGTTGAAGAAAACACAGCACGTATTCTGGGAGAACCGTATTTCCCCGAGCATCCTTCGTGGAGCCACAAGCGAGGGGGAACTGGAAACGTTACAGCCCCGCCTGGTGGGCATAGCAGGCCCCTGCCGCGAAATTTTCAAAACTGCGGACCCGCTAGCGCTCACAGCCCCGTCTCCGTCGGGCATCTCCTAGGATCAGCTTCAGGATTCGGATCAGGGGCCCACTTGAGGTCACATGAGGTCGCCAACGAAATGAGCTATGCTTTTTACCAGGTAGTCCGCAGGAACCGTTTGGAGCGCCAATGTAACAATGTGGGCGACTGAACAAAAGGGAGGCTATCCTGCCTCTCCCCTAACGCGAGTCCTGGACCAGTGTAACCATTTATCAAACTACCTCTTGCATCTGCCAGTTCCGAGTTCTCGTTCAGTGTTTATCAGGGCGGCCCAGCAACACGAACCCTTGCCATGGGCTACTACTCTCTCCGGACGTTCGTCGTTGTGGCACTGGCCGCCAGCGCCAGTTCGCAGCAGACGCCGCCGGCCAACATCAACCAACATTTTGAAGTCGACACCGTTTTCCCGCGCCCGGTCGAGCAGACGTTCGCCATGGAAGACTTGCAGACGTTCAAGGCAAATGAGATTATTCCTCTGGTCATCGCCGTGCAAAACTTGGGGGCTTGGACGCTCGGCAACTTGACCATGGTGTGGCAATGGTACATACAGTCTGTCCCTGCAAATGGGACTCGAGGCCGAATCCTGGACGTAGGGGTGTTCGATACCACTGACGCCGCAACAAAGAACCCGGCCTTCCTCGTCGCTGTCACAAATTCGTCGACGTGGTATCAGAACACCACCAGGTGGCAGGTCTCCCCCAAGGCTCCAGGCGAGACGTATCTGTTTCAATGGACCGCCAGCTTTTATGCGGCCAACAATTCCTGCTATTTCCGCTATCCCGACGTCCCCAACCTCTATGTCTGGAAGACCGCTTCCGTGTTCGACGTCCTGTCAGAATCGGAGGAGCAGATTTATCTGCGGGCAAGGCGACCGACTTCGCTAGAGAACGTGACCACTGCCGAAGTAGCCATTCCACAGGCGCCCGAATGCCCAGAACTCGGTGGCCTCTATCAGGCCACCTTCAATGAAACGGCGACTGACTGCCAACTCGGCGTCGTCGCTGTTGAAGGGATCCAAGGCAACCCTTGCGCGGCCCAGGTCGACAGCATCGTCGCACACAGCATCTCGAGCCGCGTGGCGAGCTCCATCTCGGCTTGGACCGCACCTCCAACAACGACTCGGACTGGGAGCGCCCCCACGTCGACGAGCAGGGGGGGTGCGGGAGTCGCGCAACCGGTGCAGACAGCAATGGCTGCGGCTTGCATTCTCTGTGGTTTGGCACTTTCTTAGTGCTTGGGTACTGCTAGTACCGTGGGTAGTTAGCCCCGAGGTACCACGTAATGATAATCATTCTCCCCCTCAGGCTCAATTCGAACTTTTGCCACTTATCAACATCACGCCGTGAGAGTGAGCCCCTTTGAATCTCTCTTCATCTGTCTTGGAATCAGTGCTTTAAATTACAAGCTTCGGACTAGGCCTCGTATGGGTTCTGAATGCCGCACACACCTTGGTATCCGACACCACCGTTCCAGTACCCGGGCGGCAGCATCTAAAGCGGCACACTCCCATCACACCTTTCAACCACCAACTTGGCCCCCTCTCCAACCAAGCCATCAAAATACGCCAGCATTGTCGCCACGGGCAGCATATCCATGACGCCTAGACTCGGGTTACTCGACGTGAGCACCCGCCCGCCAAAAAGCACCCTCACAAAATACCCACCACCGCCTTCTCTCTTCCTGAACAGCTCAAACACAACCTCACTCCCCATCCCCGGCCACACCATCTCGTCCAGCTGCAGTACTGAAAGCAGCCTACTCACAGACCCGTCATGTGCGATGTTATGGAAGTAAATGACGCCTCCGTTCCCGTTCCCGTCAGGCACCATAGCGCCCCGCAGATGGGCAGCCAGCTCGGCGATCCACACTCCATACGCCGCGGCCGACGCCGCGAGCGTCTCGCGCGACCCGCGATACACGTGATTGTATTCCCAGTGGCCAAAGCGGTAAACGCGGTCTGCGAGGTCTTGCGTGACACAGGTCTTGTTGTTGTCGCCTCCGCAGGGCAGCGGCTTCTGGTGGCACTGGCGCGCCGAGAGGTTGTCGTAGTAGTGGTCCAAGCTGGCGTGGAAGCCGGCGTCGCTGGCGGGCACGCCCGAGATGGTGTCGAGCTCGGCGTAGAGTGGCTTCGCGGCGTCGAGGTGCGCCGCCCAGGCCGGGTTGGCGTCGCGGTTGGTGAGCTTGTTGGACAGGTCCCGCGCCGCGGGGCACGAGTACTTGGGTTCGAGAGAGTCGACTGCGTCTGCCTGGATGAGCAGGGGTAAACGTTCGGTTGTGCGCCACATGCCGTGAATGAGCATGCCGGCTACCTGGGAGGTGATGGTGTTGCGCGTGACGCGGTAGGCTATCTTGTGTCGCCAGCTGGGGTTGTTGCGGTCGGGGAGAAAGTTCAGGAGGTTGTGGTAGACGGCGTAGAGGTCCTCGCCGTGCTGCCAAGAGTCGGACATACCGTCGGCCGTGATCTGGGGGAATTGGCATGTTCCGATCCAGCCTGAGGGGACAAACGGGTTGACCTCGGACGTGTAGCCCTTCCAGTACGCGGGCGTCGCCCTTTGGGTTCTGTCGAACGGTTCGCCGTGGTAGTAGAGGCCTTGGTCGTCACAGTTCCATTGATATGGCTCAACGGGGAAGGCGTTGGACGAGTATGGCGTGCGCTTGTGATGGCGGTGGATCTGGATACATTCCAGGTTGTCAGCGAAATGTTAGTGAAGGCATCTGCGTCATTTCGCCGTTTCAAGAAGACAACGTACCACCTCAACAAATACAAGCTCATACTCTCTCGGAGCCTTGACATACTCCCGCTTTCTGACATGTGGCATGTTGCACCAGTTATACACGCCATATCTCTCATCTGGAGTGTCGGACGAGTTGTAGATAAATCCGTAGACGCCATCACCGTTCACCACAGCAGTGAGGTTGTTCAGTTGCGTCTGCTTTGGGGGATGCCACGACAGGTCCACCGCCGTCCCGTTACCGCGATGCGAACTTACTGCAACTCCGCCAGCTGCAAAGGCTAGGAGGACGTGGCCAGCTTGGAGCAGCATTTCACTCAAGCCTTGGTCAAGGAGAAGTAACGAAAGCGAGATGGCTAGTATTATGACGAGTCCGGCGGTATACGGGGATATCCGGCGGTGGAAGAGGGACGGGCGGCGCGCAGGTTGGACGGAAACCTCATCCATCCGGAGGCGCGATCTCAATTACCAGCGCTTATGTCGCCTGAGATTTCATAAGCCATCTACCGAATGGAGGCGGAAAGCCGACGGCCGGGGACAAACGAACCAAGGTTAGTCAACTTGCTCGGAATGACATGACCCGGAAGCTCGGCGACTCCCGAGAAGAAGCACATGGCGGAGTATGTAGATTGAACTGACGTTAAGGAGGCGGTTTGTAACACGTGGGACGGGAGGCATGCCGACTGGTCAAAAATGCCGAGCATTACTGTGGTACATTCTGTATGTACAGTACGAAGTACGTAACGATACGGACAAGACTAAGATATCTCAATGCAGTTTCGGCATCCTCTCCTACTAGCTAGACCATTAGACAAACACACCTGGCACAAGAAGCAACCCAGCAGTTTCCGATGCGTCTTGGGAGCATGGCGAGCATGGGTCTTGCTGAAGGCGGATCTTTTCATGCCGCTCGGGCAGTCGAGTGCAGGAACCGCCGACCATCTGATTCGTTAGGGTTAACGTTGGCCCCGTCACACGGGTCTGGTGTGTCACAGCTTGGCCTGTTTAACATCACCTCACGCTCAAAGCCTCACATACGGCTATCCAGCTCAAGACCGCGTCAACCATCCGTGTCAGTCGGCGGTTGACGAGGCATCTTGGGACCTCGTCTTGTTCTGCAGAACTCAGCTCATAGCATATTCTCACAACATGTTCTCAAAACCGGCCGAGAATGCAGGCGAAGTTGAGATCGATGCCCACGATGCGGCCCATGACACACCGGAAATCCAGAGAGAGCACGCTACCGATCCGAGCAAGCTGGCTCTGGTAATACAGGGTTCTCCTGCTGACCACCATGTTTCCCAAACGAGAAGGAGAAAGAGAAAGAGGAAACGTTGCTCGATGAAGAAGCCACAGAAGAGGATAACCTCCAGCTCGACTCGGCGGAGGCTACCAAAGAGCAGAAAAAGCCGCCCATCAAATTCAAGGGTGCCGTTGGCCGCAAGTTCAGCTTCCCTTTTCATCTGTGTCAAACATGGCCGGTAAGTAGACACACATCTTTGGCTCATTTCTGCATCTTGCCTTAAGGTGCTGACCACTGCCAGGGCATGGAAGAGCTCATTAAGCGAGCGTTCCTCGACATCGACATCATTGGGCCCCACATTCAAGAAGGGCACTACTACCTGATCGGCCCCCACGGGGAGTCTATCCTCCCAGCCGTCTGGGAAGAGGTCGTCCAGCCCGGTTGGGCCATCACGATGCACATGTGGCCCTTGGATAAGGCGCCGCTCCGCCGCCACCACCGCCAGCAGGTGGACCCCGGCGGGATAGAGGAAGTCAGCACGCACAAAGCATTATCCGAGATGGCCAACAGTCTCCGAGAGATTCAAGGGATTCTCGGGGCACTGGCAGAGCATTCGGGAACCCGCCTCCCTCGGAAGACCATCAACCCCACCTTGTCGAAACCGAAGGAAGACGCGTACGACATGCAACAAACGGTCGATTACATAGTCAACACTCTGCCCCGAGCGACATTGTGCAGCGCGCGGCGCAGCATATTAGAGACACATCGTTCATGTCACGGCTGCTGACCTCGCCCGGCTGAGGAATGATTCAAAGAGGCTGGAATTTGACTTATCGAGTGAAGGTCGAAGGAGCTTATTCTCCTGGGATGTGCTGCGAAGTGAGGTTGGAGAGAGTACCACGGACTTGTTGGAGTACGGCTATGACGCTGATGGGCATCCATGCCCGCTCGATGTGTATGGTTCTTCCGGGTTTCCCAACCAACGCGATCCAAACAACCACCATACTGCCTGGCCGAACATGGGTAGCCTGAAACAGCCGTCATTGGTTGAACATCTGGTGAGCCTGGTTTCTAGACGGACTCCCCGCTGTGTCCAGTCTGATATTGACTTCGCTCACTTAGTTGATTGTCCCAACTGGAACCATCCCCGCGTGGGAAGGGCAAAGGTTCGGGGAAAGAATGGTATGTGCTATGCCCTGTCAAGCTGTACAAACATTATCATGATCAAGTGCCGATCTAACTTAATCGTGCCCGACCAGGTTGATAAGCTGTGGGTTGACGATGTAGGCGCAACAGTTTGTGACACAAGGAGTAAATACTACAACCCTCAGTGCCGTCATCCAAGATCGAGCAACCCTTACAGAACCAGTCCCATCTTTCACAACTCTAGTATGGTAGCCAAGGTACGTACATCAAATTACATTCCTAGTTATTTGTCCTGATCCTCAGCGACGTTGACACCGGCCTCCTGCGGCACCGTCACTCGCACCAGAATGCCTTTTTCTGTTGTACTCGCATGGCCAAATACTTTGCTGCGACTCTCCTCGCTCGCGACACCAGATGCCGGCCCAACCACTTCCTGTCCTCCTGCAGGTGTCAACGGTTGGGGTGGGCCATTGCCGGATGGCCGAAATGCTCTATCTTCAGCCACGGCTTCACCACCTCGATCCGGTCCAGGGGATGAGAGGGGCGGTGACGGCGACACCGGCAACTGATCCCTTGTGCTAGCTGGTTGTCACCACCTCCGAGCGAAGCGCGGAGGCGGAAAGCCCTAAGCTTGATCACAGGCGTCTTCAGGAGATCCACGACCCTGTCGTACCTAACCCGGACCCGGAACTTGTAGGGGTGCGCGTGGCTGCGCCAGTCGTTGATGGTACGACGCACCTGTGTCATCCAGGACTCGTTGCTGGTCGCCGTCCCAGGGTTCGTGGCGGCAGCGATGGCGCGTTTGCGCCACCGCTCGCCGAACCATCGGACCAGAACTGTCAGCACGATGGTGATGCCGGCCCACCACACGGCCGCGGGGCCGGACCAGTTCCCCACGAATTCGCCGCTTCGCTCTTGGAAGTCTACGATGCCGGCCGAAAAAACTGTTGACACGACCGACGCGGGGAGCAGGATCAGCGTGATGGCGGAGAACACCCGCATGGTGCTCGAGTCCCTGTTTGTGACGACGGTAAGCTCGTTGGTAGCTTTAGCGAGGTTGTTGGTGGTTTGAAGGTCACGGTTCTGGACTAATCGGTGGAGCTGCACTGAGGTCAGCAAGTGAATCAGGGTTCAAGCTGTAGGCCGGTCGAAGACGTACCGTATTCTCGCGCCTCGCGCCCACCTGCTTGATTATAAGAGCCCGGCGGTGCATTTCCTGCATCGATGTACACGTCCACCGCATCCTGTCAAGAAATTCGTCGAGATGCTCGCGAATCCTAGCACGGGATGCCTTATCCGTTGTCCACGCGAGCTTCCGAGCCCTGAGCTTGCGGTCTTGGAGCAGCTCGTCACGGTAGAATTTGATGATGGCCCGGCACACGCGCAGGTTGCCCTGCAGCGCCACAATGACCTCGTCTACCTTTTCCATGTAGCCGTTCAGGTACTTGAGCCCATACTCGCTCACAGGTCTCCCGTCGTTCCCCGTCACTTTTCCAACGTAGATTTGAGTCTGCATAGAGGGGCGCGGTCAGCGAAACGGCGATGACTTCTTCGGTACTGGGGTGAAGAATAGCGGTTCAATGTCAATGGCTTACCATTTGCTGCAGGTCATCGTCCAGGGTTGTAATATACTGGCCGTACTCGCTCAACAACCAGTCCGCCAGCCAGAGCACCACCGACAAGCTGGCCCTGAAGCGCTCCTCGATGGGGCTGTTGGAGCCAACGTCGATGGTGAATCGCGAATCCTTGATGTCCCGGAACCGAGGTCCCAGTCCGGCCTCCGAAGCGGTCAGCTGATTGTTGGGTCCGTCATCGTCCGCTGTCATCAGCCACAGGCTTCTCCCGTTCTCGACATCAAAGTGGTGGTAGATGACGCACTGGTTCACGGGCCAGAGAAGCGGATTGTTGCGATCATATTCGTTAACATCAGGCTCGCCCGAGAGTCTGTGAGGCTTCCTCCCCCCCGGTTGCCAGTCATCGCCGTACTCTGCGGGCTGTGATGACGGGCGGAAAACCGTCCGGAACTCAAAGGCGAGCTGGTAGTGGTAGCCGCTGCGGCCAAGAGCTTCAAGACCAAAGACTGGTTCTGAGAAGGACTTGAGACTCCGAAAGCCGCCAAAGAAGAGGTCTCCAGCGCCAGAAAGGGGTTCGTGGCCAAAGTAGGAAATGAGGTTGAGGAAGCATGGCGACACTTGATGGTATGTCAGGATTTTGAGAAGCAATTCTTCGGTGATCTTGATTCGACGAGCGGCAGGCGAAGTCGGCAGGAAGCTGGTCAAGGGCGATGAGTTAGGTATCAACGACAATCCACGGTGAGCGCACTTGATACCCGACATTCGACTGGGTACCTAGCTGGGTTGGGTGACGTACATGAAGCGGCAGACAGGATCCCTTCGTAGTGTAACGCCCTGTTGGTTGAGAGACGTCGATTTCCCATCAGGCTGTCTGCTATCGCATGGAGTGGACGTTGAACTAATTCCGAGCAGGTCTTCCAGATGGCCAGAGTTAGACACCGTGAACACCTTGGCATCATCCACGCTGTTCCAGCTGGTTGGATAATCATGATAGTAGCTAGCGAAGTTAATAACGCTGGTGCCAGGTTCGATCCCAGGAGCAATCGAAAAGCCCGTTGTGGGTGGCTGCCCTGAAGCAGTGGTTGAGGTCGAGGGGGAGGCGCCGGAGTTGACATCGCGCAGGCCGGCGTCATGGAACTCCACACGAATGAGTTTTTCTATGAGCTTTCGTCGGAATCCCTTAACATTTGGCCTCAACACCAGCAGGATGTGGCTCTTGGTCTGGTCAAAATGCTGTCGAAAGTCGCGGAAAAACTTGACCTTCTCTGTCGTATGTCCTAAGTTGAGGTTGTATGGGTACTGATGGAAATTGTCCATGGCGACCTGGAACATTTTGATTTTGAGCTTTTCGGGGTTAGCGTCCATAGTTGCCATGGTACCTTGGTGCGCTGTTCGCACACGACAAGTTGGGTGTGTATTTCAAGCAGACTTGGCCATCCAAGCTTAGTAGGAGAACACGGCAATATCCAGACAGGGTCTAACGTATCTTATAAGCGAGTGACCCATATAAGCGAATGACCCACCCCCCCCCTCACCATAACAACCATCTTCAAATATACCGCAACAATACTAAGAACTAACTACAATTACATCGGAAGCAGGTGTGTCAGACAATTGTGCAGCTTCCTGGCAAGTGCGAGCATCATGTCCGGGCTTGCCGCACACGCCACAACACCGAACTTTCGTACGCGCCTCCCCTGCACCACCACTATCCAGCTGCATTTCGTGCGCCACCTCCCCACCCATGACCTTGTGGTCAAGTAGATTTTTTGCATCTTGTACCGCAAGTGATCCTCCAAGCCGTACGCGTGTTCTTTTCGCTCTCCGGCGCTTACTTAGTGCCTCGTTGGCCTTACGAAGCGAAGAGACCTCTGACTGAAGGAGGGTCATCTGGTGCATCACGGCCATCGTACCCTTGGCAAGCTGGTCCACAGCAGCCAAGACTGGCGTTGAAAGCTATTTTGATGATTGGCGATGCGAGTCTTGAGGAGCGTTGACTGCGAGTTGGTTTCTCGGGGGTTGTGTGGCGTCTGGAACACCAAAGGTTGTGGAGTGCTGGCCCGCGAGTTCAGGGGTGTTGGTGTATAGAGCTTTACATCCAGCTTAGAAAGCACCTTCTCTG